AATTGAGAACTGCTTTATTCAACTATCTGACGGGTTTATATACCCTTCTACAGCAGCTAACATTCACAAGTCATCTTATAATAATACTTGGGTGAGAACATCTACTAATTAGTTTTTCACAGTCGGACTACAATATGTCCATTCACAGAATCATTTCAGCACACATTACAGCACAGCAATAAATTTACTGTAACACATTATAATTAGAGTAATTCCTATTGTAAGTAACTAGTTGTAATATAATATCACTATACTATATTAACCAAATTTAGATAGCTATTTCTTTACAGTAGTTCGTACCGTGACAACGTTATATACAATAAGACTTTTACTCATAATTGAGTCATATCTACTATATAGCGTATACTATCCGACTTAATATGACTGTTGATTTGAGGCATATCTACTTTTCTGAATAGAGCATGCTATCTGATTTTATAAGACAGCTGATTCGAGCTATATCTACATTTCTGATTGGCGTATACTATCTGATTTATAAGACTGCTGATTTGAGCTATCTCTACTTTTTTATATAGCGCATGCTATCTGATTTAATGGGACTGCTAATTTCTTACCAACATACATTTCTTTCTTACAGTAACTCAAAGAAAGAGAATTATTAATGACGACATATTCAATCGCCATCTTGTAACTTTCCAGCAAGTAAGTTATATTTTAATTTGAAAGGAGAATTTATTATGTGACTATTGCGTTAATGAATTAAAAGATATAACCGACAGCCACGGTAGTAATTGGTGACTCCTAATGATCAAGCTAATAGTGGTGTCTGCCACTATAGATTATTGTAATACGCTTATGAGCTACATCATGCACCGATTAGTAACGCTAGTATTCTAATTATTATAATTGTTCAATAACATCCACAAATTAAAGGTTTTATAGTTCTATTCTTATTATGGTTATGGACTGCAATGTTATGTGGCTATCATTGATATTCATATCAAAATTCTGTTATGGATGAGCATAACTTTATTGAACTAGTTAAACATCAAAGTACTGTCCAGTGTCCAATTCATTGCTGTATAAAGAATAGATATCTTATATGGACTATCTCTAAATATATATTAATCTAAATGACACCATGTGAAGTTACTGTGCTGAATCTTAATATGACGATAGCACTACGTATTAATTATATATAAATGTATGCTTATAGGTAGATCCAATTATATTCGTGATACCATGACTATCAAAACTACACATTAACTACGTTTATGTAAATTTTCATAACGTTATTCGTTACAAATTCAATATTATAATAACTAAATACCGATCGGATTCAGACTAGACTAGCTAGAATTTCCGTGTTGGATAGGTCTTCATCAAAGCACCATCGTTAATCATTTTTAATCTCATATTGTCAAGGTCTCATCTGGAAAGGAAGTTGAGAATGTCGAGTTAGATATTTATTTATTAAATGGCCACAAAGTTGTCATCAATATTTCATCAGATAGCTTTACAGACGATGCCTTAGAGGTAAGAAATAAATACATTCATCATTACTTTACTTTTTAGAAAGAGCTTTTGATCTGTCAAACGCTCTTCCAGCCTATTGAAAGTTTTATCATCATAATGATATAAAAGAATGAGATTTAGCTAATTTACGGTAGAAATGATATCTTAGACTATGCAATTTCGCTATATCTAATAGAGATTAGCGCCGAAGTTAAGTAGTTAAGTATAGCTTTTATATATTGTTTTTTTTTCAACAAAAAAATATCGGTAAGGAATTGGAAAATAGATCTTCTACAGTGCAATCTCACGACATAGAGAAGGGAGATTAACCTCTAAGTTAGAGTAGCTGGATAAAATTATTTTTCTTCTTATATCAGCAAATCATGCCATTCAATAATTTGTATTATAGGCAGTGGCATCACAATTGGAACTTCCGGCAGAACTGGCCTACTATTTCGGACTTTATATTGTCCAGAAAAAAGAGAACACAACAACCAGTACGTAGATTCGACAATCTCTACTACTTTATTAACATAATATAATATTATCATATCTACTTTCCTTGCTATTAGACTCCTGCTCGTATTTTAGTTATCATTATGATGAATTATAGCAAGCCAATGATGGCTTTCAATTGCTTATTTTATCGTCAACTATCCTAATGTTATCTATTAAGTCCATAACCAAGTTGTTAATAGACCTTAATAGACTTATTCTCTGCCCACAGTAGTCGTATTCACTTATTTCCCCCTCAAACTTATAAATCACTCAAGAATTGCTTTTGTTTAACCATAATTATTGTAGCAAAATTGAACTCTATATACTAGATAGATCATGTAGAAGAATTAATTCATAAAGTCAGGATAACTATCTATCTTTATATTACGTTTCTAACTTTTAATTACCATCAAGTAGAAAGACTATTTCTAATATTGCAAGCGAAAATAAAATTATAGATCACTATATTAATTTTAATAAGTGATTGCGCTATGCTATGTTCACCATTATCAATAGGCAAGCATGAATAGATCTTTTAGTTATGGTTCGGATTACTTTCTTGAGGACTAATCATGCTGATTATTATTCTTTTGCCAAGTTGTTCGCAAGTTACAAAATTTTGAATCTCCCTATCTTTCTATCGCCAACGATGATTCTAATTTACACATTGTCATACGAAAATGGTAAGTTAAAGTTGGGAAAGACTTTCTAATCTTATTGACTTCCAGGAATAATCCCGTCATTATGATATTGTTTACTGTACTGTACATTCTTGAGAGGTTACGAGTACCCTTATAAATTCAAAAATACATTGGATAAGTATTGATTCAATGAATAGCTAGATCACCTTATTTCATTTCTCTTTTGCCGATTGTATAATTGATTGCATTGCTAGAGTAGCTATCCTTTCCTTTTGTAGTTGTACGAATTTAAATTTCTCCAGCATCGAAGAATCATTGTATTTTACCGTACCCTAGTATGCGTGATTCCCAATAATAACGACAGGATCAGATATTCAAACCTTCATATCGATCATGATTCTGGCAGTTAAAATCCTTACTGTATCATCTACTGACATGGAAATGCTACCTATTTCATAAACGGTTTACTCAAGATCAAACTTAAAAGACTTGATGTAGCTTTGGGAATAAAATCAGTCCGTTTGTTAATTCATTTTGTCCATTTTTCCTTTTCTCTTCCTTTTCTTTATTGACCAGGTAGAATTCCTGCAATCTTGCACAAGATTTTATTGTGCCATTAACTTCGGCTTGACTACATTCAATTTGTCATGATAATTTACCCGTCATAATAGTTTTTACTAATTTATTCATTATTTTTACTTTCTTAGCTATTGGTCTACGAAATATGACGATCTTTTAATGGAAACCGAGATTGGCTTGAATCTGCTCCATTTGCAAGTAAATTAAACTGCTATTCAATTCCACAATACCACAACCAGCGGATCTATTTGATTCATAATGTTGTTTCTGTGCTACGTAAATTGAATATATAGATTGTTGATGAAGTTAAGCGAGGTTGGATATCCGCATCGCAAAATACTAAAGCAAAGTTAGCAGAATTAATAGAGAAAAAAGAAAAGAAGGAGGTGGAAATATTATCTCTAGTTAAACTTAATAAATTATAATTAATTGCCCAATCTTCACAGTCAAACTAATCTCTTTCATTCGATGAAATTTCAGTATATTCAACTAGCAAAACGGCAATATAACTATGGCTATATCGTCTTTGAAATGTGCACATGTGATTATCCTAAAGAAAATACAAAAGTCTTAGTTTCCATTGGGGATATGGCACTTAATATTAAAGTATTTCTAGAAGAAGTACGTATAGTATCTGGTCATAGGACTATATTATTCGATAAATACTTAAATAGTTACAAGGATATAATTGTCTGATAGAATGCAAATTAGAATAAAAACGAATTCCTCTATTCCTTTTTATAATTTACAATTACAAGGGGAAGGTTAAAGCTGGCTCATTTAAGTTAACACGGATGAAATGCTGGAAAACTGTGGCTAAGGTTAGATTTAAAAAACAATTTCTTTAATTAATTATAGTTTAATAGATTACGAAAGAATCGAACGATTTTAGTATAATTGTCTAATCATATCAATTTTTTTAAATGTCTATCATACTTAGCGTGAGGAAAATAGCGACGAATATTTATTCATATTATCATTCGAATATCTTATGAGTAAAGAAAAATTGCAATGGATATCGATTGCTTCTTCGCAGGTATGTCTACATATAACAATTAAGAAAATTGCAGTAGTAAAAATATAACAGTATATGTTATGGTTTACACGCATTTAAGACTAAAAAGTTGATTCTCGCCAAATTTAATATTTTACCTTAATAAATCACAGCAATATTAACTTAATCACCCAATATTATGATATCATAATCTTATATTTATACTAGTATAATAGTCTGTATACTCCTATGTCTAATTTTAGTATTTTACTTTGATATATCATTGCTACATTAATTAAATCATCCAGGTATAGAATATTGTGGTAGCATTTACAAATACGAGTGCAATAATTAGTACATGCCTAATTTGATATTTTTTTATTCCTATAAAAGCAAACACGCAAATATTTTAAATATTATCTCCAAATTAATTTCTTACAGTAAAAGTATTTAGCAATATGAGTGCAATATTTAGTATATCGCTACTCAAACTTTGATTGCTAGTTATAATAATTTAATCGCTCAAGCGATAGAAGCAAATGCGTGCGTAAATGATTATCATACGCTTAATTTAATACTTTACCTCGATCGTACATAGAATAGCATGCAAGGAGTTTCAACTATAGTATTAGAAAGGATATCAAGGCTAGATGTCGAAATAAATACGTATAGAACCTAAAATGAATTATACTAGCTTTTAACCATCAGTATTATGCGCAGCAATTAACCTAAAACTTTTTAATAAACATTTGAAAAATAAATTCAGTTTAAAACTATACTTACGCGATTTGATTGATTACGTTTTCTTCTACTATACGGATTATATCTAATGAGCATAGATACCCATAGTAAATGCTTTAAAAGTTAACCAATTCAAATACTAGATAGTACCGATTGTAAGGCATTTCGGGAAAAAAGTGTCTGGATATCTTTAGCAAAACTTATAAAACGTGCAATGAACATTATTCATATTTTGTCCCGATATTGAACTGACAAAATTGTATACGGATATAAAATAAAGTAGCGCCAGTTCAGCCATCGATGAAATAATCCGTAGAACTTTTTAGCTTAATGTTGGAAAGAATATTAGAATAAAATACCTATTATATATTTGTTATCTATGACTAATCAATTAACTAAGCTCGGAACGAGATCTACGGTGTAATGTTTCATTATTTTAGTGTTCATATTGAAATATTTTAATAAAGATCTGATGATTTTACTTATTCTGAATATCTCAAGGCCATATTTATGAGCATGTGCCTTAAAGATATGGCACAAGAACACGTTCGAGGTAGACGAAATCAATCAACCCGAACACCAGCTGGCCGCCGCAGAACCATAACAGAATCTTCTATTTCATCAGGATCTGTAGAGGTCTGTAGCTCTCTAGTTACAATAATAAGAATACGTATAAATTCTATCAATGGCTATCTTGTAATACCTCAAAGCTATTTAGGAATACGAGTAAAGTAACCCTAAATCACAAATATAGAATAATGCGAAACATCTTCCCAATTTTTAATATTGCTTATAACATCATACAGACAATAGCAAGTGCCTCACAACGTTCCACTAATGCAGCATTTTCTGACTCGATTGAGGTAAATAAAGTAGATTTTCACTCCATTTCATTTTCAAAATTCATTCTGCTATGCTTTTAAGTATTCGTCGTTGTTTATACAATTTAATCTATATTACATGTACAGTCTTCCGGTAATTTTGTCTTGCGATCAGGAAATGCAATGAAAAAGTTCTCAGTAAGTAGTGTCTTCATCAATATTCTACAGAATTACAGTAACCTTATTATCCTTGCAATCCTATGAAATAAATTAATTTTAACTATCAACAGAGTAAGTTTCAAGGAATGTTACAACGCAATACCAACAAGAATGAAGAAGTTGTTCAAAACGAAATTTTTGAAGATGTTAATGTAATCGGAGATGATGATTTATAACTCTCTGCTATGGATATAATCATTATCGCTAATAATGCGATCACTCGTACGAGCTAATAATTAGAATAATTTGACAACTTTGTATAGTAAAGTATAAAACATGTGAAATTGTTTCTAGTCATCTATAAATACCTTTAATCGCATAAATTTAAACTGTATAAGTTATATGCTATTCTACCATTACTATGTTGAACTTACTCTTTCTATATAAATCTTGTATTTAAGAATTATTAGTCTCCTGATTCGTTTCAACAATATTTTTTTATTAATGATGTCAAGCGAAAACGCTGAAGGCTATACGGTATGATAATTATGTTTGAGAGCCTAAATGTGTACTCATAATTGCGATTTATACCCTGTAAAACAGCATATCCAGTTTGTCACCTATCGATGAAACATGCATGTCATTTATCTAGCTTTTTATCTAATTCATAACCTATTAATAATCGTTTGTTAATATATCTCATCGTTCTTTGGATTTCATCTATATTTACCCTAAAATTATGTATTTAATTACCCACCATGGCTACTCTTATTTTTCATACAGCCAGCAGAAAATTTCACCCTATACAACATTTTCGTAAAATAATATATTTTCATATACTTTAATCGGATAAGTCTTTAACATAATAAATAAATCAATAACAAGACATAATCCTTGTTTCATCTTATACTGGAATTTCCAGGAAATAAAAGATGCGATACTGAATGAATAGTTAGTTGGCTAGTTAGTTAGTTAGTATAGTCAATTTACATAATTACTGTATTACGGCTAACCTAATATATCGTGTTACACAGCGTGCGCGATACTCTTAAAAATAGACCGTATCTGACCCAATTATTTACATCATAAATACATCAACAGTCCGTGATAAAATTCGTTACACCCAGACACTGCTTAAGTAGAATACATGCACATAGTGATCATAGAACAACATTTTTTGGCATCCAACAATGTTAATGTAAACTTAGCTACAATAATAAACGCTACCAAGCACGAATATGCAGTATTCTTGGAAGACTGTAACGTTGTTAGTACCACGTAAAAAATTTCTTAGTAATTATACCTAAATAAATATTAAGGCTGGTATAATTTGCCGTAGAAGTAACAATAATTAATATTTATCAATAAAACGCCAAAGAATAGGCAAAATGAAGACACCGTCGTAATTTCTAAATATTATAATTTTCTCAATTTCAAATTGACGATCCACTAGATAAACCTACGCTAACATTAATCATGTAACTATGATTATAATTATTAATAACAACTCGACGTTCCATACATTTTAGTGAATAATCTCCATCTATTGGATTGATACTGCAATGGAGAAAAGTATCTTAATCTAGTATGTTAGATTTTCGATAAAAAACAATTATTATCCACTGAACACAACAAACGTAATATTAGGTATAAAGCAGTGTGCCGAGTTGAAGTCCAATTTTACTTGTACATCATAACAGAAAAAGGAAAATAAATTCCCTTATTAGCTAACTCTACTAGGCTATTCATTAAAAGGTAGCACCAGTACCACCTTTCCTTGAATCTGCATGAGCAAGAAATTTTCTGTCAAACTCGGAAACACCATTAACCACTGACTTTGATGCTGAATCTTTAACATTATGACCTAACTTCTCCAGTCCTGTTATGATACTCTTAGGGAAGTTAGCTAAAGAAATTGTACATAGTTCGAGTCAATAGAAATGATAAATGCACCGAAAATATTTGCCACCCAGAGGCTACACAACTTTAAATAACTTACTTTCAACCTCAACTGCATCAGGTAATAGCTGGTCATGTAATCTAGGTCTTTCAATTGCAGAAGATATATTTTGCTTGAATGACAGTAGGTCCAGTAAAACTATAATAAAAAATAAATAGTATCATTAATATTCAACTATGGCGAATAGATCCAATTACGTTATATGTTTAGATGCAGTGTACCTTGTGAAACTCCAGTTATGATCATAGTCCCACCAGAAGCACCAACCGCCAAGTTCTCTTTACAGGCGTACTAATAGTTTTCAATATGAGGATTTTTTGTTTTAGTGGTAAAATGATACTGTGTTAACTATTAATTAATTATGTAAATAAATTTAAAATACCTTCCTATGTAAATGCAAAACAGGAGATATTGATGACAAAGGTTGCTTTCCTGGCTTTACGTAATTCGCCTATTAAATCAGCAAACAATGTTGTCTAATAAGAATATTTTCTGGTATACGTTGTATAGCGTAATTTATGATATGTTCTAAGACTTAATCATCCAATGTTAGTATACTCGCTACTTATATCTTTTACAAATTATATTTCAGATGTAGCCTTAATGGCAAATGAAACGTCTGATAGTTAAAGAATTGATATAGATGCAGCAGTAATTACCTTTGAGGGCTCTACTCCAAAACCATTAGTTATATTGGGTGACGAAAAATCATCCATCTGATTATTTAAGACAATACCAGTTGGAGTAATCAAGCCTGAACCAAAATACCAATTTACAGTACTAAAAGAAAATAAATCAAATGTAAAAATTTCTAAATACCTGATATGTAAACTTTATCACGGCTAGATCAAGTAAATTTCAAGGTTGGGTAAAATTATTTTTGTTATATTAAAATTGTACCTCGTTACAGATACAGCATCACCATGGGATGTTAAAATTGAAACGTGAGTTGTACCATATGTGTTTTGCACATCAGATTGCGCGCCGTAATAGCTAACATTGAAAGTCTGATAATCAGAAATTTTCTCACGCAATTCTTCACCTACATTTTTACTAAGCATTAAAAAAGAAAAATACCAGTTTTAATTACTTTACATCTTGGAATGACTTCTCTCGAAAGGATTTTTGTATGTCAATTATGCAGTATCTTCATATAGCAAAGTCATATTCATTTTATCAAATTAAATTATATTTACCTTAACATATATTTCGTAAAATTATTTACGTCGGATACAAAGTTTGGATCACCAAGTTTGGTACGTTGCGCATACGCAAACTTAAAAGCCTGGAAATAATTATAATATTCAGTGAATATACGTACGTACTTACAAACCAATAACAAGAAGCGGCCTCATGAAATAAACGAAGGTAATCGAAACAAAGTAACATTCTTTTCCCTATTCACCTCTATGATCCGATGATAAGATAAGACAGTATCCGAAACGTTAGCAGTAAAGTTGTAACCTTCTAGAATATTCAGTATCGACATAACAACAGGTCCACCAGATGGTGCTGGAGTAGTTACTAAAGTATTTCCTTATGTGTGCAATAATATAACAAAATAAAGTAAAGAAAAAACACATAAACAAATGATTAATATCATGGATGGTTTAGCAAGAAGTAAAAGTATACAAGTAGTCGAAATAGAGTAAAGTTAGAAGTGATAATCTTACCATGATAAGTATATGAAATTGGTTCCTGAATTTTGGCCTTATAGTTTTTCAGGTCAGCAAGTGTTAAGATACCACCGTTACTTTGAACCTGTTCACATGAATGCATGTTAGTGTAATTTGATAGCATTAAATAGCCAAGGCACGTAAATAACTATATAATTTGATCTATTATTAGATAAACTATGACAGAGATCATTAAACTGGATATAAAATGAACGGTAGCAATAAAGTGTTGCATATACCGTTGAAACTATACTCTTGGCTAAAGTGCCAGAGTAGAAAACATCAGCTCCACCAATAGCAATTCTTTGTAAAGTCTCTGCGAGTTTTGAACGCTTAACGATGTCTCCTTCCTGTATGTGAGAAACGAAACAACAGATAGAACTAGATTAAGCGATCAATATGTAATAACTGCCTCGATGCTTGAAAATTAGTCTTAGAATATTGCAATTAAACCTTTGGTAAATTTCCATTTTTGATAAATAATTGCTTCAGTTGGGGATTACTTTTAATCAAGTTTGAATGTTGTTGATAAAATTTTGCTGAAGTTAAAAGTTGAAATTTCTCGTTAATAAGACAAAAAATCATTACTGTACTACAAGAAGAATCATCCTAACTTACCTTGGCCAGCAGTCACTTTAAAGCCATGCCGTGCTAGAGTAACCGATGGCATAATTAAATTCTTCCAAGGAAGTCTAATATAAAAATTGAAAACATTAACTCATATTACAAAGTATCGCTACAAATACACAATTAATTATATAATAGTCACAATAGATTAATTTATATTAATCAACCTCATTTAACGCTTATCAAATTGATTTTAAATCGGGAAATTAGTACTTATACTGAATATTATAATCGAACGTTATTATTAAATTTAGTCCACTAACTTTCCGTATTTCTGATGGGCTAAGTCAAAGCCACGTAATTCTCCTGGTACGCCAACAGATAATCCACCCTATATTTTAAATACAATCATGAGAAATATTTAAAAAAATGGGATTAAATTCTTAGAGTTACCATTCAGTGAATAGATTTTACGGCATTCACTACTAATGCTTTATGTAATTTAATACTTACCATTCTTGCTAATGTTGCATTTCCATGAAACATATCAGTAGAAGATGCTGCTGGTGCTACTTCTCGAAAATTGATTACATTATATTTTCCAGACAAACGTGCCAACATAAAACCACCTCTATAATATAATTATACAGTACATGAAAGTTAGAAAAACTTGTATGGAGCCCGATATACGTACACTTTGACTAAATAATATCGGCGACACGCGTGAATTTACTTTCTTCCTTTTGTGGTGGTGATCAATGAAAGTTAAGATCGAAATGTAGTATATATCTAAGAGGAAACTTACTGGAATTATGAATTTCAATATGGAAAATGACCGGTATATAACTATTTTATTTGTCTATACAACTGTTACTCTTGTCTTAAAAAATATATACAAAAATTAACCGATATTGTCAAAAATTGATCGAAAGCTATCACTGTAAAACTAGCCCCCGACAAATAACTTTGTGATCAATAATACGTATACATATATGTATATAATTTAAAGTATCCCAATTATACGTCATTAAATATGGATTATAGGCAAGAGATAATGATGATCATCATTCACGATCAAATAAAAATTATCATTCGATATTAGAAAATACAACAGTCATTAGAAGAATTGGCCAATTTTTTATTGCAAATAATATTCTTAAACTTGGCTTTTGAAGGGTAAATTTATTGCATTTAAATAAGGGTTAAAGTATACTTTTCAATTTTGATATTATTTCCTCAAGAGATAGGAATTCCAATTTGGCATTTAAGGTTAACATAAGTGCAGAATACTATTCTTCGCGCGTGATCGCGGCCAATGGGAATAAATGAAAGTAAAAATTTCATGGATGGATAAATTACATGTCACTGAATAAATCAGCTGTGCAAGGCTGTTAAAGTAGGCATTTGTTGACAAAAGCGATGACGACGAAGATACCAATAAAGAACAGGGTAGTCCTGATCGAGACTTAGTGTATCCATAAATAATTAAAACACTTACGTTGTTATTTACAATTCATCCGCCCACAGGCACGATATTATAGTACTCGTATAAACATGTTTAAATTTACAAATAATTAACTGTTAGTATCGCCATAACTGTAAATGAATGAAACTGATTGAAAGTATGGAGCCACAACTAACTATGAAATACGTACTGGTAGAATAATTAAGCAATTTTTCTTTTCCAATTATCATTATATACCACTAACAAGACGATAAACTATGGATGTACTATCTACTGTATAATAATGTGTTGTTTTTGTCATAATTTGTAATATAGATTTATAGACAATTTAGGTGAAAGAAGTAGTATTTTTATGATCAGCATTGGTAGTGAGTGATTACTAGAGATGACGAGAATAAATTTGCACAAAGAAAACGTTGATTATTCTATCAAATTAGTCTTCTTCTATTTGTCATTGTAGCACTTTTTTGTTGTTGTTTTCAGGGCGATACTCTCTATATGGATAACTAACTACGAGTATATTATCAATATTAGATATTTAACGTCAATCCTGTTTAAAGTTAATTCGAAACTATACATCTAATGGCAGTATTGAATGATTCTTATTAGAGTTTAGGAAACGTCGTAGTAGAATTTAGAATTTAATTTGGCTATTTTGTAGATGCCATGCAGTAGTCATTAGGGTCTTCTAAAAGGAATGAGGCATGACTACCAGCCTATATTGTGTTCATTACAGTTCTATATTTGAATAGTGAAAAAAAAGTTTTTTTTTAACGGTGTGCATGGACTGAGAAGGGTGATTATAGTATAAGTGCAGTCTATTTTTCTATTAATTGTTGTATAGTAAAGTGGATTTGTTCACGATAAGAAGTGGCTACAACGTAATCGTCATGACTGCAAATGATCCATTAATTAAAAGAAAAGCGACATTAGCTACAAGAAAAATATGAATTTGATCAATCTGATTCGGCCATGACTTTCTTCTTATTCGTAGTACATCAACTGTAATGGATGAAGAACAAATTGGATTTTCTAGTCATCATCATGCCCTGATGATTTGATTCTACTGATCTATACGGTTGCCTCTTTTGTATGGTAGTAATATCGTAGCAGGATATCCCAATTAAAATTGAACTATTGTAAAGGAGAATCATCGTGTCTCATTAGCATGGACAAAAAAAAAATAGCTATGGCGTTAGCAGGGACTTTTCAGACTTTTTTCTGATGAAAACGACAATGGTGTTATTATGGATGGGAGCGATAAAAGGGTATGGAAGAGTATATACAGTAGGCCTTCCTCATATTTTGAAATCTACCCACAACAGCTAGGTCTATCACCATTGTATTCTAGATACCCTAGAGAGTCTGTCAGTAAAGTAGCGTTTTCAAAAGCAAACTAGATATCTATGATCCTGTATTTGATAGATTAATGTATTCGATGTAGACTTTATGTTGTAGAATTGGAGAATTTGGCGTAGTCATGACATTTGTAGTTATAACACGGCCAATAATTCACTTCTAGGAGTAAAGATATTGTCGATTATTTATTTTTTTCATGTCTACCATTAACCACTTGTAGTCTTCCTGTGCAATAACTTGTATAATTAGTCAACTAGCTATCAATAAACGAAGGGGAAGCCTGAGGATTTATTCTTTAAAGGAATTATTTTAAAACAGATAGAGTTAGTATAGTATACTGTACATGACTTACCCTCCTATACCAGAATATTGCATATTGACAACGCCTAAGCAGATTAACGTTGAAATGGCAGAATCCACTGCACTACCACCATTTTTTAACGTTTCCAATCCAATCGCGGTACACGCCGGATGATCACTAGCAACAGCAGCATGTAAATGGCGTCTAGGATTGACAACAGCGTCAATAATTAAAGCTATGGTGACAGTAATGGTAAATATGGATGCACTGCAAAAAATCCATTTCAACTTTCGAGCGTTTCTTTTACGATCTAACGCCATCTTATCGTCATCATAAAGTGCATGACTATTGAAATGGCGATCATCATCTTCTTCTGATATATATCGATCATCCATTGTTTGATCCTGTATTCTACTCGATTGGAGATCACTTCCTTGGCTAGCTTGTGGATGATCGTCTTGTTCGACCAAGGCTTCTTTCATATCATGATCTTGCGAAGACATTTTGCTCGTTTTCAACGTCTTCTTCCTCTACCATGGATTGAAATGTGCCACAACAACAATATCAACTTGGACTTCTTGGATCCTGCGATGGTCAAGGAATCTTCTTCCGTCGGTGACCACTGGGCTTCAAAAAATCGATCGGTCGATTTATCTTATATTACCTTAACCTAGATAGGCTAAACTGATTGGTGTTGTACAGCCAATAAATGAAGGAGATTTGGTAGATGGGTAATAGATAAAATTCTTCTCCCTTCGATTGATTGATTAATAAATAAGAATTAATTTATATATGATCTCTTCTTCTTCTTTATGTCCACTCGTCCAGTCTTTCCCTATCCGACTACCAGGCGATTAACCGACGTCCTGTTTTATCGATGCTTTACTGTATCGTGAGTAGTGACATTACTTTCGCTTACAATTGAAAGGGCTGGGCACTTTGAGAACAGTGAAGTATAGTAGACTTGAGTTTGAGCTAAAGCAAAGGGTAGTAATACTACCCAGTGTGTAAAATAAATGTCGTCTTCGGGGACACCTTGGCGATCAACGACACCTATTGTGCACACCTTCCTATCCTATACCTTGATATATGGAATCGATAGCAAAAATAATGGCACGGTATCCAACCGTACTGCGCATGTGTGCTCTAGCAGCTGCCTGATTCTACAACGACCTTATGACCTAATCTTTTCTACCATCAATATTTATAAAAAAAATTCAAAAATTCATGCATTCCATCTATCTACAAGTCCAAAATACAAGTATATAAGGTGGCATTGACTTGTAATATTTAGAGTAGGTATGGGGGAGATTTTGTTGGCAGCGTATAAAACGAAACTGGCCAGATACAGTAGGGACGAAGTGGTTATTTGGCTAACTAGACTAATGGCTACGTGGCGAACTAGACTAATGGCTACGTGGCGAACTAGGCTAATGGCTACGCGGCTAACCAGGCTAATAGCTACGTGGCTGATCAGGCCAATAGTGATGTGACGAAAGCCTAATGTCCATGTGGACATAGTCCTGCTCACTGCTGTTGACTCACTCTTCATACTGTAGCGTATAAGAAATAGCGTGACTTAATGCAGTATTCTAAATGGAAAGATGCATGATACCGGAAGTGTTCCAACTTACTGCAGTAGACTGTAAACGACCCTTGAAAACCTATGAACATGGCGGGTAAGAAGTAGAAAGCGAACACCTACGTATATCCTATCTACTACCCAATGGATTGCATTGATGACATCCTACAGTGGGCATTTATGTTCTCTTCATGTATGACAAGCAACTGATTTTTAAAAAGCAAGAATATTTAGCTTGAGAAAATCGCCACATTAATAAATTGAGTCTAATGTGATATTACATCTAGGCTAGCAATCAATATCGTTGAGACACGAACATCAACGAAGCTCAAGGTTGTCTATTTGAACGGGTTTCAATCAATGATGTTACATTACTAGTCCAACCCTTACTCGTTCTATTTGGCGTACTTATGCGGTTGTACAACTTGTACTTATTACTTTACAAATCAATCGATAATAAAATTGAACAGGCTTTAGCGTTGCCGGCAACATGATTAATTCCAGATGAGAGAAAGAAATTTGGATAGCCGGGTGGGGCCGGCGGTCTCTTGGCCGCCCGATTTTGGCCTTACAGATGGATGGAAGGCAAGCACGACACATGTCGACCGTACAGTACAATATTAAAGTACTGTAGGGTAGAGACCGTAGTCAAGAATGATTTGTCACGGGAAGCTACAGTACAAACTGTACTGTACTGTACACGGTACAAACTGTAAGGCTCTGACTTTGCAGTAGTAAAAGTAGAATCTGTACTGTACTGCGTCGACTCCGAGATGAGTGACATTAATTTCGCGCATGATTGGATTCCGTGATCAAAGTAGCGTACCATATTTCAAGGAATATACCATCCATGGATACACAAGATGGCCGTTAGTAACCAAGCTTGCTACAAAAGGAATGTCACCAAAGCGATACAACACCCCTCGGGGTCGCCGTTGTACCCTACTAATCCACTACCGCATCGCGTTACTACGCCCGCTGACTATCATCGTTCTCGCAATTGATCGCAAGAATGGCAGCTGCACCAGCACCACAACCGGAAAATGTATTTGTTAAAACTACTGGATATCCAACTCAGGATAAAGCAGAAGAGCGAATTGGAGTCAATGCTATTCTCCTTGGGCCGCCTGGAGCTGGTAAAGGGACTCAGGTGAGCGTCGATTGATAGTCATTCAAGGAGCAAACTTTGTACCCAAAGGGGAACAGATCATGATCCACATACTGTAGGCTCTTTCGAGCGATGGAAAAGTTGGCATCTTTCACTCCATCGATGATGCCAATACACCAACTAGAATCGTCTACAATTCATTGAATTGCCTATTAATTAATGATGGAATGATACAAGTGATCAACGGATTGATCATCAAAATCAACCACTAAAAAAATGCCCTTACTCCAATTCTCTTGTCTTGCCTTAGGCGACTAGAGTACAAAGTGTTTTAACTTCACAAGCGCAACCCACAAGCACATCTGTTTCAATCCTAGTCGTACTGCAAAAATGACATGCAATAGTAAACTAAGCTTAACTCATCTTCATTCCGCTCCATGGATACGCTCAGTGCAGAGATCCTAGCTAAAAGTAGATGCATACGGATTTCCAATTCAGTTTAGAGACTTGTATATATACTGTACATAGACATACAGACGTATACTGTAATATACAGGACAGTACTGTCTATGTTGTACACAATCGCACATTGAAAGCAATGCCAACCATCTCTATGCTTATACATGACGAGAAAGGTTAGCCATTTTTTCCCATCAATGTTGAGATGATGATTACTATCTTATTTGTAATTGGATAGCAAGATAAACTGTCTAAATATTGCCCATAGATTCATTTTAAATCTTTTTTTCAACCTCTTTCCTACACTATACGCTCTTGTTCTTCTCATGGCGAACGCTATTAGGCTCTGAGATTGGCTAGCCGTTATTGCGTATGTCATCTCTCAACCGGTAAGTCAATCACTCACTATTGGAAATAGAGTGTTATACAGGACAATCATTAGCATTTTCAATATCAATGCTCTATCTTATCCATTCAAGTATAATCAATGAAATTAGGATAGCTATGACATCCTTATTTTTCAATAATAATTGTAAAAATTGCCTCTTTTCCTATCCTTTGTCTTCAAACTATTGGCCATATATGAAGGCGATATGCTTCGAGCCGTTGTCGCATCTGGCTCAGAGCTAGGAGGTAGAGTCAAGAAAATTATAGATGAAGGCGGCGTAAGTAGACATAACTAATATATTTCTATTTATTTTTATTCACATTGCCACTGTCAGACCGCTGATGAGATAATTATTACCAGTCAAATTCCTACTGTACTGTATACCTGATGGTAATAATAGCGTTGTTTATTTAGTCGCTGGATATTCGGCATAGGTATGCAGTACTGTACAAGTATTGATCATGCATACTTGTAAAACTTCGAGTAGTATATACAGGACTATCACGACATGGTACAACAACAATTAAATTGCACTCAAAGTTTGTCATTGCTTGTACTAATTGCAATCCCATTAGCGTTCTGATGCTAAAGTGCTCAGGTGTCTATAGAAGTAGCTAAGTGTATCTTATTACAGTAATGACAAGTTGATTGCCAAGAGATCCAACTTTATGTAGAAAATTTTGTAAAATGGACAGCAAGTTTCACTTGTTAACAGTGCCAACTACGATAGCAGATTATGCGAAAATCGATACCTTGCCTTATCGAGCTGGTGTTACAGTTACTGTAGAATTGTGAATAACTAACTTAATTCTCTTAACCTTCGTATAATGAGATGAATAGCTATAATAGAGCTATAGCCAAACTCCTTCACCCATTGATTTTATCTTTTAATTTATTCACGGTTCTATCATGATCATCATCTTATAACACGTTAGCCCCCCCCCAAAAAAGAGTGATTGATGTAAACTTACTCTTATTAACCGGTACAAGTATTGCCTGTGCATGTTACGCTAATAAAAAACGTCTAGAAATGCAGCAAATTTTAGATCTAATTATAATTACTAACTAAATGATTTTATCTTGTATTATAAATAGCTTGTAAATGATTCCATTGTGGTTGAGTTGATTAATGAAAACCTAGATCAACCTAAGTGCAAGAATGGTTTTCTGCTTGATGGCTTTCCAAGAAATACAAAGCAAGCAGATATGGTTAATCAATCTTGTATAACTAAGAAGCCTTGCTAGATACGCTAAAATTCAGACTATATAATCAATCTGATGGTAAATATTTCAATTTATTAGCTTGATGAACTATTAGATAAAAGACAGCAAAAACTAGATTCTGTAGTAGAATTCAAAATTGAAGATTCTTTGCTTGTTCGTCGTATTACCGGAAGGTATTCTATAACAAAGGTTGATTTGATAGTATATATTAATGTATCATTATTAACTGTTTGCAATTACATCATTAGGTTATTACATCCTCCTAGTGGTCGTGTTTATCACGAGGAATTTAACCCTCCTAAAGTTCCTTTGAAAGACGATGTAAGTCCGCTAAATTAAAACAGAATTTTTATGTTGTTGTTGGCGGTGGTTGGCCGTGTTCTATTACAGATTGTTGCAGCTATTTGATAGGTACTAAATCGTTTAATTTATTCCGATGTTATTTTAGGTTACTGGTGAGCCGCTTATTAAGCGTTCAGATGACAATGAAACAACTCTAATGAAACGCTTGAACACTTATCACACTGTAACATTACCCCTTGTTGATTATTACAAACAAAGGGGAGTATATAGTTTTGTTAATGCAGCGATGAGTCCTGATACCGTGTTTACCACAATCCGAAACATATTTGAGCATTCTAAAAGATCTCAACGAACTGCATCTTTGTAATTGCTGGCTCTAAAGATACTGAAATCAATGACTTGCTTATCAAATTCCTATCATTCAATTTTTATCAATATAGATGCTCACGTGTACGCTTATTCCATCAAACTGACTTTGGAAAAAATATGCAATTGCTATAAATAAAATTGTAGACAATTATTTTTAATATGTAGTTTTGAACCAGATACTACAGTATTTTTTAATTGCTAATTATAACCAACAGTAACAGTAGTCGATGATATCATGAATTGTGGATCTGGGTTAGTTGTGATGAAGCTATGGGTAGATTAGGTATGCACCATGTTAACTTACACAGTGATCGGCTAAGATATTAAAATGGGATCAATTCTATGCTAACGTGGAAACTAAATATGATAAGGATTTTACACTGATTTCGATGGATAACACAGGCAACAGTAATTACTAGTTTAACGTCCTGTCGCTTCACTGAGAGGGTTATCACAGTTCATAGGCAGCTAAATAATGCAAAATTGCAGTACCACGCAAAGTTCAACGAAGCGGTAATTAACTGTGATTCATATCCACGGGGTCATTATTTGTCACTACGGAATTGCTTATTATTGCCGAGACGTATATACTAGCAAAACTCGTAGAAATTCCACGGTATATACTGACAGTGTGATACACGTGCTATCGCATTAATACGATTTGATTTCGATCACTCTTTTAACAAAACATAGAAACTTGATTATTTAAGATTACTTAAAGTTGTACAAGTCGAAGCATACCTCATAAGCCTGTGTAGTATATGTCATATGTACATCGAAGCATTTATTGTGTTTAATCTTAATTGTAAATTTCATAACGTACGCATCACATTCTTACAATCAATGACGATACATGGTCAAAAACTGCACGTGTATTAACTGCGGTTACCGGCAAGGACTTTTAAGAGAAAATTCGAATTTTCCCTAAAAAGTCCTTGTTACCGGGTAGTAGGATATCCAAGTAGTATATAAGCCGTAAGTATTTCATGTTGTACATCTACGATGTACACCTTTATAGTACACTAACTGTCATCATCACAGGAATACTATACCAAATATAGCACATATCATACAGTGTACATAACAATATCAGGTAAAGATATCGCACAAAAGCCATTGAATGAAGTCCGAGAGGAATCCGATCACTTGCAATATCGAAATTACTAATGGTTTTTTGTTTTCGGTTCCACATGTTGATTATACTTAAATATAGAGTAATAAATCGAATCCACCATCACTGTACATTAATTATAATGCTTTACGCGCAGAAGAACCGGTACGGATGTACAAGGTACCATGCCAACTTCCGTTATGACCATAGTAATGAAATCGGGAGGTGTAACATCGTATAATAGATTTAGGATACGAAGAGAATCAATACTTCGCCATTCATCCAATACTCTGCCTTCTTTTCTGTTCCCAAGATCGATCATAACATCGGGATCACCTATCCGATCAGTAAAATAAAATATTAATGAAATTAAATGTATCCTGAAATGCGATACAGCATTGAAGTCAAATTTTCCATATTCGGAATAACATCAGATATTCATCTACGCGTAGTCGCAATATTAGGCACTTCATCATGAATGATATGTAGCTTATCGCTAGATTCACAACATTTTATCATTTAAACATAAACAGCGCGTGAGAGGTATCATAATACGTAGACTGTATTCTCAATATACCTAGCTCGTTAAAAACGAATGCATCAGTCTGTACACGTTCATGAAATTTGTACGTTTCACAGCACACGAGAACAGGGACATTATACGAATGGGCTACTGAAGCAACTAGAGCAGTTCCGACTCGGGACATTACATATCCATTAGCTAGCAATGCATGAGCGCCCAGTAAAATCATCGTAACCTTTAACATGTAACAAAAAGAATTTCTTACAAATAAAACTAGTAAAGATACCACTATAAATCAGAAAATGCTACAAGACTTAAGCAGTTCTTACTAATAGATGTTACACTTGACACTTCTCTAAAGTAACTAAAATGAGATAGTGTTGAAGTGATAGTGTTCCGTCTATACTTGGCATCAACATTACAAACCTCTTTCATTACGTAAGAAACTGCATTGATCAATACATAGGAACAACGAATGCCAATCTTAACTAAGCGGTTAACAAGTTCACGACCTATGAATGACATCAATACAAGGCAACATTATCAATATGATAGTAAGCGTAAAATTTTCGTTGATTACAAACGCATTAACATTGCTGTCTCATCACACACCAACATAAATTTTAATCAACAAAAATATACCTTCAAGCTTTGGGCGACTGTCAACAACTATCACGCGAAATTTTTTCTTCTTTTCATGCGCATCGGTTAATATCTTTAGTACCAATGACGAGCTAGTAATAATATAATGGGATATAGTCACCCTTGATTACTGACGTGGAAGTCTAACGTTATATGATATACCCGTATCTATATTGCATACGCATTATTTAATTCATTATTATTATTTTTAGTAATTAATTACAATGAATAAACCAAAATGACTTCATTGTCATTAATCTTAGTCGAGGCATAAGTCTTTGAAATCGATTCGTCAGCATATTTGATCCTCTCATTATAAAATCTATCAATACTGTTACAGAGCCTGTCCTTTGCCTGAATTGTTAAAAATATGTATGTGTTGTCATAAAGCTTGTAGTTTATATTTTACTGTTAAATAAACAATAAAAAATACTTCTTGCCAAATACCTCTTTTTCTGATACATCTGGAGATATCTCACTTATTTGCAACTTGATGTGTTTAATTGCAGATCCCATACTTACTGACAAGGGTCTACATTGTTGCAAAAACCTGTTTAGAAGTAGCAGAGAACTGTTTTTAGTGCAAAGAAGTTACTGTACTGTAAATACCGCAATCACTGAGGCAGCTATCAGTCTAGATGTGCATGATTTTAGTGCAACATTTATCAACATGAACTTCGACAATCAACGATACACATTTCCGCTAATGCTATAAAACCCGACTATTATCAAAAGATCCAGTAACCTATCTTAAAATCGTCATTTAACAACATTGACCTATTGGTTTTATCCACAGGGTTACATTTAGAAATACTTACGTAATACAAGGTTTTAACTTTTGCTCAAGATCGCGTGATAAAACCTTTTGCGATGGAACCTGATAGTCATGTATAACCTATAGATTCGTTACGATAGAGCCAAGAATAAGTTAAAAACCATCGAATAATAATAATTAATAGATAAGTTTATCAAAAACTATAAAGAAATATTGCTAGTGAAGGGAATTTACATCCTTTCGCATGGCTATAGTTTAACTTTTCGTGAAATCAAGTATGTTATATATTTTTCTGAGGCATTGACAGAAAAATGATACACCTTAAATAAAATAAATTGAATAATACCTTCTTCAAGGCAGCTAATAATGCTACACAGCGTGCGTTAGAGCCACAAATAATTCCTTCGGCGTATTGTAAACCCAATTTAATGATTGCAGGATGTATAACAGATGTTGAAAAGCTAAATAAAAGTAGAAAAAAAGTCTTTTAGGCTACAAAGGTCAGCTCAATGCCATGCAAGCAAATTATTTAATATTAGACCAGGAGTAAGAACATCTCTCCTCAATATTACACGAAAGAATTTACCTAATATTATGGGTTAAAGTATCAGGAGCATACTGATATAAATGTGCAAACATTTCAACTTGTTTCTGTATCGTTTTCCGCTGTGGAACCTGAGTGAAAAGTTTTGATAGTTTATTAAAACCACTCGATACTGTTAACAACCGGTAAACGAGAAGTCGCCATTTACTAACAACAGCCACTCTTTGATACCTAGAAATAGTATTTAAATATATCGCAGTAATTTATAAATAGTTTACAAGTTTCCTACCTGTTGTTTTTGTAACGACTTGGCATATTTTGCTAAAACTTTCTGATCATCAGCCTGAAGCATAGAACTGACTCGGGGTCGAACTGAGCGTGACCCTCCAGTAGGTGGAGGTTTGCTGTTGCTTTTCGGTTCCTATGACAAAAGCGTATGACATTATCGCATTATACCAAAGTTGCTCTTAAACTCTCCAATTTGTAAAGCCATAGAATGCTTTAAACATGTAGCATTTAACAACTGATTATCGTACTAAATGATTAAAATTAGGTTGGATTATTTATAAGTATTACAGTATCTAGGAGACTATTGAAAATTGCAGATTATGTTGTCGAAGTAATACAGTCCATTTCGTTGTTATGACTACAAATTATCTACAATTAAATGGCATGGACTGGGCATGGAGTTACTGTAAGAGACCTCAGCGTTGTATAAATAATTGGCATCATTCGTAAGCGGATACAACATCTACTGAATTTTCTCTTATTTTACATATTTATATTTTCTTTTAGAGACTACATGATAGTAAATCGTTATTGATTATCATAAGAGTACTAAGGGTATATCACTTGAATGATAGCGCATGATAATTCAAAATGGACTACAGCAACGCCGTAATATCATAGAAGGGATGCATAGCATTCAATTTTACGCAAGTATAACGCTTAATGCAGAAGGAAAGAGAAATGAATAATGATATCATGTCCATTTTGTATGTCTAATAACGAATAAGGAAATGGCAATACTCTTGCTAATGCAGTATTATTTCATATCATTACAAACAAGCACATCAACAAAATTACTTGACGTTTATTTCCTTGCTTCTTTTTGTTACTCTTGGATTCTTCGAATCTTACGCTTCTCGTATCTGGGCTAGCATCATCTTGATGTTTCTGAGCCTTTTTCGATTTCTTTCTAGCATCTGAACCTTCTTCGTTAACGTTTCCTAACAGAGTAATGATCAATTAGTATCGTTGCCGATTCAATCAATAACATCCACAGTAAGACTGCGAATGATGAGAAAAGAAAACGCGAAGCAGCTTAGTTCTATTTCAGCTGATTTAATTCCACATCAATTTCTCACCGACCGCCGTCCCTCCCTCCAAAAAAAATATTGTATGGTATATCGATGTTAGCTGATTTAATTTCACATGAATTTCTCATCCCCCCTCCCAAAAACAACGTATGACGTATGGATGGAATGTTATAGCAACAAGACATCGCCACTTCAAGGAATACAACCAGAATTCAAGACAACAGCATCCGAATTTCAAGCCTTTTTCATTTTGGTTAAATCAATTTCCTAATAGTAAATCTATCAAGTCTGCTAGTAAGAGAATGCTCTAATGGTAAAGGGCTATGAAGTCAATCCTACTCTTAACCAGTTCGGAGATGGAGTTTATAGACTGGCTGTTGCCATATCCTACAGCCCATACCCGTCTACTAAAACCATTCGATCTTATGATCGATCTGCTGCGTCAATTGACAGTCAACTAACGCCATTAGCACGCTAATGGGTGTGCAGATAATTTCGACCGGCATCATTCTGCTTGAAATTTTAACTGGATAAGACTACTCAGTAAGAGAATGTTGCAACAGTATGAAGTAAATTCTGCTCTTCACCAGCTTGGAGATCGAGCTTACAGGCTGGCCGTTGTCATCTCCTCATACCCGTCTATTAAAAGGAAAACCATCGGATTGATCCACTGAGACAGTCAACTAACGCCAAGCAATTAGCACGCTGATGTCGTCCAGATCATTTGGACTAGCATCGTTGTACTTGAAATTTTAACTGGATAAGACTGCTCAGTAAGAGAGCATTCCAACAGTAAAGGACTATGAAGTAAATCCTGCTCTTCACTAACTCGGAGATCGAGCTTATAAACTGGCTGCTGTCATCTACTCATACCCGTCTACCAAAACGAAAACCATTGGATCGATCCACTGAGACAGTCAAGTAAACGCCAAGCAATTAGCACGCTCATGTCGTCCAGATCATTTGGACTGGCATCGTTCTACTAGAAATTTTAACTGGATAAGACTACTCAGTAAAAGAATATTCCAACAAGTAGGACTATGAAGTAAATCCTGCTCTTCACTAACTCGGAGATCGAGCTTATAAACTGGCTGCAGCCATCTCCTCATATCCATCTACCAAAACGAAAACCATTGGATTGATCCACTACGACAATCCACTAACACCAACGCTAATGGCGTCTTGAAAATTGGGACCAGTATCGTTCTACTTGAAATTTTAACTCGATACAACTACTCCTACACAGAATTATTTGACTACCCTCTATCCTAGCAACACCTTCGAGCTTTTCTATCCATTTTTACCTTCGTTCCTATGTGCTTTGGCTTCCATTTTGCTTTGGATAAGCTGATTTCAATGTTTATGCAGCCCAGTTAAGGACAACGACAGCCGCCTGATTGCCTCCAGAAGTCACTAGTGCCGTACTTCCTTTTCCCACATTGCTGGTCTATGTCCTGTATCCAATCATCCAGTACGGACAGACGGCCTTGGGTGATAGACCGTCAGCGAGTGTGGTCAGCGACAATAGTAGTAATAGAGTTTTTTTACTGCTGTTTGGGGCCATATACGATAGGCGTTGATCGTCCAGACTTTAGAATACGATAGTAAATCTGTATCCAAGTTGCTTTCGCAACCCGGCAACGGATCAATATGATAAATCATGATATAGTCAATATTGGTAATCCTTATCCTTCCTTACGTATATAATATATAATAAATACTCGCTACAGACTAGGAAAATCAAAGTAGTAAATCTGTATCCAAGTTGCTTTCGCAACCCGGCAACGGATCAATATGATAAATCATGATATAGTCGATATTGGTAATCCTTATCCTTCCTTACGTATATAATATATAATAAATACTCGCTACAGACTAGGAAAATCAAAGTAGTAAATCTGTATCCAAGTTGCTTTCGCAACCCGGCAACGGATCAATATGATAAATCATGATATAGTCGATGTTGGTAATCCTTATCCTTCCTTACGTATATAATATATAATAAATACTCGCTACAGACTAGGAAAATCAATGCGAAAGTTATTGTAATAACTATCGGTAGTACCCGTCCTGCGAACGACTAATTTATCTAACTAAATCAATTTATCCAGCTTGCATTCTTCAGTATAGCTCACACTTGAGTTGGCATTATTGGCCAGATACATTTTATTGGACTAAAATTGAACAGAGTGAGTAGGCAAAGATTATATTTAGTTACAGCATGAATGTTACCTGTGCTTCTATATTGGGATGATGATACTGCGTGAAGTGCAATTTTTTGCTAATGTTGCGGAGAAGTTGAGGATTGCACCTGTGGGACTTTATTTCGCGGCTAGGGAAATGCTATCATTGTAAAACAAACTTCCTATATATGCAAGGATTTCCAGTTTCAAGGGATCCAATTCGATGCATATCACTCAGCTGTATGCGGATCCTAGCTCAATATAATCTCTAAAGCTCTCAAAGTCGCTTAGTAAATTCTCTTTCCTCTATCCATATCAATACGTAACTTAACTACATTCTTTTGTATGTTCAATTGGCCAAATTCGGGCAGATATAACACCATAGCATGGTCTTCTTCTAGTGGCCCATCACTGTAGTCAAGGCTTCCAAGACTCAATGATGACTAATAACTCGCAATAGAATTTATTTTACAAACACTGTTGAAGATATTGCAAATAAAAAATTTCTACTAATAAATCCATATTATCACATTACTGTTCGGTTATGTATAGTGGAATACTTAATGACTGCGCAATGAATAGCACACTCTATTCAGCCAAGTAACAAGGAGGCATCATCAACCGGTTCAATAACCAAACAACTTCAAAACATAAACTTTATTTAATTGTCACTCCAAGTTACCATATACGTGCATATAATATAACTATATATTACAACGTAAAATTAGAACTGCAATATTTTTATGGTGAACATGATTTACAATACGTTAATTACAATGTTATACGAATACAAATGACGTAGCATATTTATACGTGTATGTACAGTACAGCATAATTATTTTATACAGTGTACTTCGCACTAGTTCGTAGGTGTAGAATGCAATCTGCAACTATTTATAATTTACAGATTAAAAATGAACAATGTTGTCATAACCTCAAATCATGATTGATCTAAGTCTGAAAATTTATCCTCACAATAATAACAAACCAATAATATGACTATATCATACGTCACCAACTTCGAATAACAGCTCCGTTTATCGACAAATCGAACTAACATTAAATAAATTACATTTTTAAGTCTATTCTTTTGCTGTTTTCTCATATATTACAACATATACTCAACACGAAATTAACCAATAATTCTAGATCAATTATAGAAGTAAGCAAGATAACGTCCATTTCAGACTTCAAAGAAACTTTCACTATATACAATAAATATACTATAGGATATAACAAAAGTCATAATCAAATCAATTGCTTTACAAATACTATCAATACAAAGCTTTGATGTACTCATAGTCAACATAAATTGCCTTATTTGCCACCAAATTCTAGGCGTTATCAGTATCGAAATAACGTAAGCAGATGCTGGTTACTGATATTACAAGAACTTCAATTTTAATTGTATTTAGGTTACGTTGTAGATTCCATTATCAATATCAAAGCCTACCTACTTGTGACGTCTAAATAGTATGTTAATGTAGCGTGCTAAACCTCTTTCAGTAGGCAACTGACGAAATCGGATAACTTCCATAAAAGGCATACTTTACAAGTGTGTCAGGCAGTCTACAATGCAATCTCTTATTCGACGACGTAAATCTTCGTTACCATGAGTTATGACATGCGTGCAATCATCTTCTAGCATTATGTGAGCATCTTCTGCATTTTCAGAATTCTATCAGCAGCCATGATTTTAAAATATTAAAAATTAACGTCACTTATAAGAATTAGTAATAGCTTACGAAATCTATTTACACTAGACATTCCTAACAGAATCATTAATACACTCGTACACAATATATATATATATGTTAAATATTGGTATTGACAGGTATTCCCAAAGTCTATATATAGATACTAACCATAAATATTGAATAACCAGCGACAGTTCTTTCCGATGAAATGTTCGACATTCCCAACTGCATTTCAAAATATTAAATAAATGGTTTCAAGTTTCTATTACTAAGTTATAAAAGATGCAGCATAGCCGAAGCACTATACGTAAAAGTAGTAACCTTAGAAAGTCGACTCAACAATTCATCTACCGCAATTTTCCCGCATAGATAGTCGTTGTGATCCTCTACTATATTTTTACTGTAATAAAACGACGGACTTAGGTGACAGTTTCAATATGTTATTGCAGGGTATCAAATAACATTACAAAGCAAGCACGCTTACCTATCATTCACTTCAAGGGTGTGCTTATTGTCACACACATGCAATGATCCTCTCACGGAAGCAATTAAAGTTGAATTGTTTACTTCTGATAAATGCAGCTGGCTTGCTAACTAACAAAAAATGTTATTCGTAATAAGAAATATAGACTATACAAAGTTGCAAGTAGCACAGGAATCTATTATGAAATCAAAATTTTTCTAGGATACCTCATTACTAATGACAACTTTTTCATACTGTCTTTTTAACGGCAAAGCTAAAACATCACCTTTATTATACGGGTGGGTAGGAACACTCTAAAACACGACAGAAACAACTTACGAACAGGACAAATACAAATTCATACCAGATTGCAATATTATTGCCTTATATTGTAGGTATAATGAAATCTCACCGCGTTAACGTAATGTTCAATTCGACGACCAAATGCGTCATAAGGCCTGACATAGCTCTCAGGTAAAACTAAACGTTGTGGCTTTAACAAAAGTATCAACGTTATTAAGATAGTAAATAGTTAAAATTATTTTTTATGAATTTCAGGCTGTTTACACCCGACTCGTAAGTAAATGCCTGACAATCATACAGCATACCTTTATATCTTGAAGTAACTTGTTGACCTGATTAAAATTTAACCGATGATCGATGGGACAGTAAAATGCCTAAAGAATAACAATGTATTCATTACGTGTCAAAAGTATCTACAGAATTTACCATTAGATACCTACTTTCATACTAAGTGGTTGAAACGGTGCTAGGGCGTCTTCGTAAGGGAAATCCGGTTCTATATTTGTATATCAAAAGATTTAACTTCAAGGTTAGCACAAGTGTTACATACAATAATATACTGTAAATTTAGTCGTTAATAGTAATCATTTCGAATACTGTACAACAGTATAGTATCCAACCCGTACCAATGAACGTACCTATAAAAATCACAGAACTTTTTTCGTCGTTTCTCCACATTTCCATAAAATGAACAGCGTCACCAATCCGTAAGCAAGGATGTCCAGCAAAAACGACACATGGCTGACTAAACACATCTCCAAAGCCATCTATAGTATGTAAAAATAAATTTTAGTCCGTTATTTAGTCCACTGCTTGGTATTAATTCTTAGAGATTAAAATTACCTTGTAAATTAGGGAAATGTTGCAACCTTTTCGTCTTGACCAACTGTAAAATAGGAGGGCATTAAAAATCTTAATATTTACCACTCCTTTTTAACAAATTAACGTTATATAGTATAAATCGTTATAAGCTTAATGTTACATCGGCGTGGATGAAAGGTGGCTCAGGTAAATAGACTTTATCTTGCTTCGTGTTGCAAAGCCTGGTACCCAGACATCGAAATATGTAGTAAACGGAATATAAAAATAGTTTATATGAAGTAAATGGTTTTAATTCACGGAATTTTAATATTGTGTATAAATTACCATTCCCCATAAATATTGGAGAAAGCCAAAGAACTATCAGCTACAGGGGAAATAAAATAAATTGGTATATTCCCGAGACCTGATTGATCCATGAACGTGCACAAGCATTCTAGTAAGTCGTAAATAATTCCCTATAAAATAGCGACAACATAAGTTTTCTTACTAAAGGTGAATTAATATATATATGTGTTGTAATATACGTGTCATAATATTTAGCTAAATCACCGTTGGATAACTTGGAATCAAAACGTTCCCACCATTTTTTAGGGTAAAAGCTATTTGAATGATGCGAAGATAAAAAATTAATAAGATATTCATGACTTTACAAGTACACATGAAAACATACCCAAATTGTTGCATAGTTCCGTTACAAGTTGATCGGGATTTGCATATGGCACTTGACTTAAACCAGTTAAAATAACAATATCACTTTTCTTCAAAGCTTCTTGATCTAAGGGCTATACCAAAGAATTAAACAAAAATGCATGTTAATAGCACATTCAATAAAATTTCAGGTGAACAGTACAAATTGTAACGGATTAAATTAAGCCGTACCATAGGGTGTGTACTAAAGATAGATGAGCAAGATAGGTAACTGATCTAAAAATACGATAAAACAACATTAGAAAGAAGTTTGTAGGTTATACCTCTATCATGATAAAATAATGCCTTGCAATTATCTAGACTGGTCAGTCAAAATTTTACAATTATTACAACTTATGTACTTTTTCATATGGAGATTCTAATATCCAATTGCTACTTCCCAAACAAAATCCAGAGCTTAAAGCGGTAACATTAAATGCTCCAAATAAGTCCTGTGTCGTTAAGTAAACATAGCCACTGTTATCTAAAAGAATTTTATCTAACTAACTTAAGCCACCTTACTAATTTCTCAAGATGTCGGACAGCTTGAACTTTAGACAAACAAGCTTCAACTTCTTTAATGCTGTAAATTGTAGGTTTATAATCATAGAAATAGATTACAATAAATATATATTATTACAGGTCTCAGCCAACAGAGATATAAGTATTACTATTTAGTACAACTTACGTATATATCGATTTCCACGCAGCGATATCTCCAAACTGATTTAGAGGCGATGGAAGAAATCTATTGTAAAAATTCAATAGTAATAATTTTCATTTTTAAAAGCCATTAAACTAAATAATGTATCATTAATTGGCAATGCGATTATGAAAGTTGTACCTAATAATGTCAGGTTGTTTCCATTCATTAATAGAATTAGATTTCGAAACACGTTCGTTATAAAATACCAATTCTTCCATTAACAATCTTAATAATAATAATAATAAAATTATCCTAATTTAATATAACTAATAGGTAAACATATCAAATTCATCACAGCCGACGCTAATCACATGAGAATTATTTCGGTCAGATACTAACTTTCCCATTTGCAATGTTGGCTCAGTCGCATAGATTTTCCCGTGAAATTCGCATCGCTGAGATAATAATTTAAATTGTATAAAAACAAGTCAAGTGGCAGCAGGTAGATGTGAAATAGCAAAACTATTACTATAACGAACTATAAGTATAATGTACGGACAAACCTCAGTAATGTATGGTAAAGCCAACATACAATAAAAGTTCGATATCAATATTGCATCAAGATTTAAGAGATCCAAGAAACCCATCTATTGAACCAATATTAGTATACGTATTTACAATATTTGTATATCTTGAATTATTTTCACATCATGCTGTACGTAGTTACGTAATGCAATGCCATGATAAGTAAAGCTTATATAATAATAGTCTCGTCATGTAGTATCGAAACCGTTAAGTGCAAAGAGCGCGCATAAGCTTGCATACGTACAGACACAGTTCTCTCTTTAGTTAAAAGCACAAACGGTTATAAGTATGAAATGTTGAGTTCACCTACCTCCGGTAAACGAAATTCCGGCATACTATCGATAAACGGTATACCATTAATATCTTTAATAACCTAGATATATTAAATAATATTAGCATTAGTACCTGGATATTGCTGCAAGTTATACACTATATATATACTAGTCGATCCCTCGTTTGTTATACTTCACGTGCTATACTTGTACCTTTACTTTATTTAACATGCAATACTTCAAATAAACTAATCTTAGCTGATAACATAGCTAGGATTTAGTCAGTAGGCGAATTACTATATCAATAGGATTATAATTGATCTCTATGACTATCAGAAATACTCCTCCAAGCGACAGCCAGTTATCAACTAAGTATAAGTCATGCAGTATGTGGTAACAAATTTTACAAAAAAGAACAACACCATCATTTGAAGCTATGAAAGCTGTAGTGCATACTGCATCTATTAATTATTAACCTTAATCGACGAGATAAACTGAAGTCATGATAAAATCGTCCTCAATCAATTGCCACAACGATATCTGCGACCGAATGATCGGTTCTGTTCAATACTGATTATTGATCTACAGTATTCTCAAATCTTTTATTAGATCTTTATGACTGAGTTCAAATGTTGCATTGATTAGTAACCCTATAAACTATTTTGTGACACTTTCCTATGCAGAAAGAATCATATGTATCATAATAGTACTATAAGCTTTAAATAGCACTGTATTATGCCTCCACACTACCGAGGCCTACCGCTGTAGCGTAATGACGACTATCTCCAAAATAAGCTACAAATTAATATAGAAATGATAATTATATCATTGACTATGCGGATTGGCTCTGAATTACACATTCAAATTAATATGGCTAACAAGATACACTGGTAAAATGCAATTGGATGATCCATTGTAGTCTCATTACCTTGCTCTTCATAAACTGATTGTTCCAATTTCTGCAGCTTGATAATCTTTCACTAATTACAACAACAAGACATTAGTTTCAAGTCTTCCAATAGCGTTGGATATCATCCATTCTATTTACTTTAAGTTACAATACTGCAAGTAAAATAAATGATGGAAGTCACCTTGTAACTACGGGAACAGGTAAAAAGTGCAGCGCTGGAACCATGCTCAAGCTGCAATCTAGCATGACGGTTATTTGCCGATGTTGAACCACTGAACATGGCGCCGATGCATGACCTGACAAGCAGTACTTCAGCCATACCGTTAAGAAAAAAAATCACTTAGACAAGTTACTTTGACACACATATATTGCCTATGTACTCTATCAATTTCGAGGAAATCGTTTTAATGCTATAATATCCAAAAGTAGAATTACCACTTTCATCTTTGATTTGTTAACGCTTGAACTGGCTGGACTGGCCGACTTGACCTGAGCTACTGTTGGCTTTGCAAGCTAAACTGCTAAAACCACTGTTCAATTACTATAGTAGATATGCTATTCTATCCCTTCCTTGTCATACAATAACGCCAATCATCAGTCTGTGACAGTTTCATTCATATGACCAATATCCACAGAGAACGCACTATCCGATAGTTATTCTAGAACACACCATTAATAGACAGTTTTAGTAGAGAATTTAGATGGTACATGAGACAGTATAGTACCTGGATGGGTAATGTCAGTAGTACGCATGTCAGAGATCCTTTTGTCTAAACTCTGAATATACAGTACTATAGAGTAGCACATTAAGGGTCTTTAGAGTACGCTATACAGTGTGCTGTACAGTAGTAGAATCTGCTATCACAGACTATAAAATTCGTATAGGAATTTGAATGAATTACTTCATCGAAAGAGTATAAGTAGTAATGGCGAACTCATAGTGCTGTATAAGATCGAATGAGCTTGTTTGTACATAGCTTGGATTCTAGAGAAGACGAATACTCTGTATAGTCAGTAGATTGGTAGGTAGTGATAGTATTACAGCTGTCAAATATATCCATATGATTGTAGGGACTAGGCGAGTATTCAGTGCGTGATATCTTTTTTGCATATAATATATACTGTGAATCACGAGTTAGCGAAAGTGATGTCATGGGTACGAACTACCAAACATACGCGTCGATTGTAGATCGCCACCTATAGCATTAAATGGCAGCATCTCATCATGTAACAGCTGGCGAGTAAGGCGCTACATTTACTACGTATATATAGAATCTTTTAGAACATTTCTAACTTTTAGTTGCGATTAGCTGAAAAGTACTGTCATTATTTTGTATGAAGAAATGATCGCTCTTAGTTTCTCGGAACGCTACGCTACGCCATGGACTACAGTATGACATAAATAGTTTGAATAGTTCATGATCGTCGCTAAGCTGTTGATTTTTGTTGCATTTATCGTTTTATACACATACAGCATTTCACATTATACAGTATAGTATATAGTCAACTAGACTATTGCCGGTAGTCTGAATTTCCTATAGTAACTTCATCTACAAAATAAAGTAGTGGAATACTCCGAGTATTATACACGTAAGCGTTGCTAATGCGGCCTTCGCACGAAACGGCACGCCCATAGCCACTCTAATAATGTATTCTATATCTTACATGAATTCAAACTTCAACTGCAACAAAGAATAAAAGCAAAAGCATGGATAGAATTTCATTCTTATAATATAATATAATGACAACAACAAATGATTATTCCCGTATGAAATATGTTATCTTTAGAAATGATTTAATTGATAGTATCATCGGATATAAGCATCAAATTTGCGAAAGTATGTATAACAGATGCGCTATCAGCAGCACATTTTCATTGTATCCCGGTAACAGTATGCATATTTCTATTAGCAATGGATAGCTAACGTTCCATGATAATTAATACAGTGTTGTGTACTTTATTGTAGCGTTCATAAAAAAATAAAAAAATTGTATAGAACAGTATGCCGTAATTGTACAGTAGAATACATGAATACAAATAGAATAATGCGAGTGTGCTGAATAATCTCTAGTTACGTGCAGTGTTCTCGCAAGTCGCAACGCACGATAAGTACAAATCAAATCAAATTTACTTTTACCGTATGCGTACAGTACACGTTCCGCACACACTTATCACAAAGTACAGTAATTAACTCACTCTCCGTAAAATAAATGGTATACGCTACATATTTATATATATACTTTGATACCATATACAAAATGTATGATATACCGTCTATGTGCGCAATAGCATTTCACTTTTGGACTCTGATGCGGCTTATAAAATAGTAGTGAAATCTACGCTTCTAATAACGTTCTTTCGAAAGTTTCTAATTTCTACGTTTGTAGACTCTTTATTACAAAGTACGTTCAAAAAAGTGTCAACAAGTGGTTATTGTTAATTGAAGCTATTTGTGTGCATAATACGAAGCAATAAATGAAAGAAACAACCCTAATCGATTTTTTTAATGTTTAAACACGTTAACACTAACTGAATTTGGTTATCTAAAACAATACAGCATTTTACTAACCTACAAATTAAGCTATATGTCACTAAAATAAACTGATAATACGTAAAATGAGACTTTGGGGTTTTTTACTATTTTAGATATGAGAACAAAGCACATAGTTTTGTTTTGCTTATTGTCCAGTCTTGTCAGATATTAACTTATTATCCCTGCTGATAGTAGTATCTGTGTAGTCTATTCCTTTTGACATGCTATAGGGTACCGTAGTCATGATTTTAAGGAGGGGTCATAAAATACCAAAATGTAATAATAAAACACAAGTTTGTTCAAGGTTTGTTTACAGAATGAACTCCGGATTCAATTGTTCATTGAAAAGGAAAAGAACAATAGCGATGTTAAATTAAAGAAGCAACTAGCGTCTGGAAAGGCTCATGTAAATATCAAAAATTGCGATTTCACTGCATCATTAATTCCGCGTTGACATAAGAACGATAATTATTATTGTTGTCCTATAGTGTAATGTTAATGAACCTGATTGCACTGCTACAGATACTAACTCCCTTGTTAGATAAGAAAATGGTTATGTTTGTTGAAGACATTTAGCTATTCACGATGTTTTATCTCATCTGCTGTAGTATAAATGAATGATATATATTTCAAATTACTACCGGAGGAATATAAACGATCATTTTGAGACAGAACAGGCCTGAATTATAGTTCCTTTTTCTATTCACTATTGGACGTCAACTCGTCAACTCTATAATATTTAAAACAATGCGCTAAGAACAGGATAAAAACAACAATGCTCTACTTCCATGAGACTGTACTTTATATCAAACGGTTACGTAATTTAACAACAGCGCGAATGTTATTGAAAGTCTAATTTACTGTTTGTATCAGATTCTTTATAAAATATGTTACAGGCCATGAAATGCTTAAGTTAATAGAGGGTTTAAAATTGTATCCCTTATTAATTATCAAACCGGTGAGTTTTAATATAATACATATAATAATAGTATGAAGCATCGATCGAAAGTTCATCTGGAACGGTTTTTGTACATAATTTGTTAATGCGTGTAGCAAACAAGCTTTCTTTCAAAATTAGAGTAAAACCTGTATCACCGGTTGCTTGGGACAAATTGTTCTGATGCTGTACTTACGAATGTACACATATTATGTGTACCCTCCTATACAAATATCTAGCTGTTGAAATTGATTAATCTTCCACAGAGTGGGTGTGTGAGAAATGCAATGACGATAACAGGAGATATAAACAAATGTTCTGCTACAAAGAGTTGATCTTGTATTCCTACTGTAACTCATCCAAAAAATAAATATCCCTCCTCCTCACGGGTAACAAGAAGCTTCATTCATTAATGCCATACTGTTTATGACTACATTATTGGATCGTATACCTTTACTCTATACTAATAAAAACATGATCATTTTGTAAGAATGAAATGGATGAGGAAACATCCATAAAGAGTATCCAATGCTTAGCTAGATTATATATTATAGCGTATAGTATTTTATGCCATTTATGTACTACCGGTACTGACGATGTTCACGTCATAGCTTATCATAGTTCACACGGTTGTCGTGATAGAAGATTACCATGATTGCATCTTGATTGGCTGTTGGGCTGATTGAGGCCGACCGTTCCCACGATCTGCACGTGGTCAATCTTATTGTCCTACGACAATAAACCAATCAATACCAAGATAACATTATCAACTGCAAAGCTAAATGATCACAGATTGCAGACAATAATACAAAACTATAGCTAGTAACCAGCCGTGGGCTAACGTTTCTAGAAACAATAGTGAACAAAAGCTTAATAATACATTCCTCTTATATAATGAAGTATCCTAATAAGAACATTGCACATAACTCGATAGTTTCACATATAACAGTTTGTAATAGTTCTCCCTTTGCAAAATATACAAACAGTAAATCGTTTCATCATTTTCCATTTCGAAATTACCAATTCATTATCCTATCCAGTTTAAAAGTATGAAATGTGATGGTAATGATAGTAGCTCGGATGATACCACCAATATGGAGTAAGTAGAGCGATAGTTCAACCTTCCACTACTACTTTTTGGACACGTGCCGTTACACATATAGCCAATTTTTAATATTTATATTCTAATTTTGGTCGCGTGTGATACGTTATGCAGGTCATCATCCATCAATGATGTTCAAATTACCACAAGGAAGAAGAAGCGTGGGGTAAGACAACAAATCGATTGCAATCATAATATAGCATGGATTTGTTTTATACCTATAGTTTCAAAGGTTAATATCGCTTAATGATACAAGTGTGCAATGATTTACAGTATATTAAAGTAAAAATAGACTAGAATAGTCGTTACTTTATTCTCAATTGATTACCAAAATAACAATTACCATTAGTCTTCTTCTATCTACTCTTCTAGTAGTTACAGTATTGACGATGATAGACTACATATATAGCATAAAAAAATAAAAATTGATTTATTTTATTATGAATTCAACTTATAGATTATCGAAAAGCGACGTAGAGATCGTATCAATCGTTGCTTACATGAATTAAAAAGATTAGTACCGACGGCATATGAAAAACAGGTAACAATAAATCACGGTGTAGATTAATTTCCTATAGTTACATATTATGCTAGAATTAGATTGCTTCCGATCACTCTAATCTACTTCCTTCAAGGCGTAATAACGTAGATTAACGCTGATTGAATGTATCCTTCTGTACGAAATTACTACATTACAATGTAACATGTATACAAGATCTAGTCAATTACTCGTTCATAATTGTCTAGGATAAAACTACAGTATTAAGTGTAATTCAATTTTTGTTGTCATCATAATTTCATACAATACAATATCGTAATCACGTATAAGTAAATGTTCTCCAATAATTTTGAATAGGGATCAGCAAAATTAGAAAAAGCCGAAATACTGCAAATGACAGTAGATCATTTAAAGTATCTAAAACTTCATCTGAAAGAAGGTAAGCCAGTAAATGTTCATTCATCGTATCATATAAATTAATTATGCGTATCTAGAAGCATCGAAAGAAGGCATGTTTAACGTTATAATTTCATTAACCCTGCATACTGTACTCAATTGTCAAAACAAAACTTGTAAAAACTCGATATCATACAGAATCAACAGAGTAATTGTTACTAAAGCAAAAAGTTTATTATCATAACAAAAGACTACAATCCTTATTCGGTACGATTATAACGGCGTTACAATATATGCTATTATACAGTTTACAGCCTAATTTGCAGTATAAGTAATGTTACACAAAAAATAGGATAACAATACGGGAATATAAAGCATCTTTCAATCCATCATAGAAAAAATGGATCAAAGACTTGTTCATCGCTGATTCAAGTGATTCATATTATTATTTATATTAATATTTTAGGCAGAGATGGTGTTGCACATTATTATGGAAGATCGCCATTAGCTGCAGTGGATTATAAAGCATATGGATTTTATGGTTGTGCAATGGAACTCAATCGTTATATATCTGATCATCATGGAATCGATTGCAGCGATACATCTCGAGTACGTTTACTAAATCACTTAGAATCATGCATGAATCAGCGCTTTTCAAACTGTTCTTGCTCCCAAGATTCTTTACCTCCAGTTGGACCAGTAGCTTTTCATGCAAACCCTCAACAATCCACGACTTTTTGTGCAACTGCTATGCCAGTACAGCTCAATCTCATGGCAAATGAGACTATGAAAGCTGCTCATATTGGTTCAATCCCACTTGAAAATAGCAGTTTATGCTCACGAATGCCTCTACATCCTAGTGTTATTACGACTGGCATAACCTCGCATCCTGGCTTTCCTATGTATTCTCAACAAATAGCTCCTAGCATGCCGATTACATAATTTATGATCTTCAAATTTTTCTAAAATTGTAAAATGAAAATATCATTATGAAATAAATTTCAAAGCAAAATTTAATTAAAACATTTTAATACAAAACCCATGGGATCTATCCATCTCATTTTCCATGATATACGGCATATTACAATTTCTGAATCACATCTCAAACATTTCTTATATATAATTGTCATGTCATGCCTAGGCTGGAGGATTTTTATACATATAAAACCTGCTCTGTATTAATATTTCCAACTTTAATGTCCATAGCCGATCACGTAGCTGAAGGCGTTTGCAGAAAAAAACACAATCTTGATCATGATTACTTCTATTTCTATGCTATAATAATTAATATATTGAAATTGATTTCGTGCAAACATCTTAGTTGTAACTGATTTACTATTTTTTAAGACAAACATAGCTTCAAGTCTCGTCAAAATCTGGAAATATAACATTCAGTAATCATAAGCAAAATATTTTTTGCTTAATAATATAATTATAATTTCAAATGCATAGCATTGTACGCGTATTGCCAACTTTTGCAATATCGTTAAACTAACCTGAATTCATGAATAAACAGAAGTGCTTATTTCGGAGAATGAATTTTAACGTGTCAATACTTTCAGTAACTCAATTGGTAGTGAGACATGAAATATATATATATATAGAGCTCATTCCGTTATTTAGGCAATTAAAGAAATATCGACATGCGTTATAAGTGTACAGTATAGTGTTTTAATTTCTTTAGTTTACGAATCAATAATATACAGGCGCATATGGTATAATTAAATTTTCATCATTTCATGATGATTCCACTGTTAAGGTATGGTATCGGTCTTTCCTAGATAGTTTAGTTAGTATGTTACATTCTCGTTTAAATGCAATTAATAAGGAAGACATTCAGTCGAATAACTATCCATTGTCAAGTATACTAAATAGGATCAAGATAGTAGTGCAATCCTTATATACGGCGAAGCCACCACTCCATGCTATTGCAATTGTACGTATCTAGTCAAAATTTTTATTCGTCATCTGTATAAATAGTCTGCCTTTACAAGCGTTAGGGCTACGTTTATAATATGAACTGCATATGTATATATATATATGCGAGAACATTACGGTACCATAATGCCAATACGTAAACGCAACGAAATGAAACAACAGATTACTGAGCATAAATCGTTTTCTCATTTCTCATAGAATTCACTGATCATGATCGTAACCCATTAATAGATTACGTCGTATATTGTATATATATATAATGTACCATTTGTGGTATACAAATATGTCGCAATTTCTAAGTGATTCTAATACCAGGCTTGATATTATAATGAATCGATGCGAATACATAATATCGTTCATTTATGTTAGGTCGTATTCGGAGAGCTAGATAACTTTTCTTCTTTTCTGTATCATTCGCAGCTTCATCTTTAATATAAATAGTATCGAACTCTTCAGTATAACAATGCAACGGTAGTCTAATAATATGAACAATTTGTTTAGGTTAATGTTCAATGAAATTCTTCGCGTAGGTGCATTTATTCACTACGTTATTTGCATAAAGCTCATGATTTGACTTACATCTTCGCTAATTAATCGATGATTCATTACAATGGCAAGGCAAATACAATTTCATTAATGTCGTAAGTCGGTGGTAAAGTTACCCAAAGCATATTTGCTTACGCTAAGATATATGCTTCTAGGAGGTACAACTACCTATTTACATTGCTATGCCGTTTTTAATTAAGCAATTGTGAAGAAAAATTGTAAGTTACCTCTGTAAAGCATAGGATACGCTTATTACCCTAGTACTGTATATTCGTATATTACGATCGAAATCAAAGTAGCAATTTTGAAAAGATGAATGCATATAAAATTTAGAAGTCCTTCAGCAAGGTAATCCCTGCATTTATCAAATTTGTAGCTACGAGTTCAAAAGCAATCAAAATGCAATTCTATGGTAGCTACTCATCTCGTCAGTTTCATAGGAATCTACCTTTGACATACAGCCGGTGAATTTCTAAATATATTATGGAATTAGGGCAATACGATTCAAACATTGTAAAGTTATACAAGCTTGCGATCAATTGGTCAGGTTTCAGTAGGAGAATTATTTTACTGCTATGCCAATATACCACACAACCCGGCGATTCGATTTTAAATCGCAACAGATCAAAGACGCTGCTAACACTCTAATTTAGAACTGCACTTATTAACTAGATTTTTAGAGACTAAGATCTTTACAAATTTATAATATAGTCATCTGATTTTGTAGCCATCTCCGTCAATTCTAAATGAGAAATAGTTCAAGTTCTTGACAACACATGTAAAAAAGAATAAAGTCCGATATATTCTGCTTAAGAAAGCTTAAATCAGTTCAAATTTCACTCCATTTACCAGTATGCAAAATACAATCATGCAATCTTAAATACCACAAGAAAACGTTGCGTTATTGATCAACTACTACATTATAAAGCAAATACTAATAACCCAGATCTCTAACCGAGAATAACGCAAAGATCATAGCAATATGGAATATAGAGCACTTATTTATTGTATTCAACCAAAATCAGTATAGTACAGAAGATTTTCAAGATTTCAGACAGAAATATATTTGTGACAATTAGTATACAGTAGAGCTTTGTAATGCTTATTCAATATACAGGAAAGAAATTTTCTGCAGCTGTATATTAACAACTGTAAAATTGAACCCTTCTATTCGCTCCTTTCACAGACGAGTACCTTTCGATCGGTTTCGCATGTACGACGTATGTCTAAAATCACGTAAGACTAATATCAGCTTCGCAAAGAGTCATATGACGACTCTGTCCTATAAAATGTCCAGTAACTTCGGTATCTCTTAATCGTATTGTAACGCTGTCCCCTAACTTGTAACCTCTAATCAAGCAGACAAGAAAAGAAACGAGTTATTAATACGTGACACTTTATTACCGAGGGAACTGAAAGATTAGCCATATTAATTAATTATCGATCGTTACAAAATTAAAATGCGTTCGTACCGATCTCCTGCATAGCTTGGACGTTTAACAACGCCGTAAAATTTACCACCAAAATCTACATATAAATCATCGCCAACCACATGCTTGATATGGCCAGTAACCTTTTTCTTGCCCGGTTTACCAATACCTATAAACTTTGAATGTCGGAGCATGTTTTCAAAGTTGCTGTCTTTCATTTCAAATGATTCTTTATAGCTACTGTTATCTAAAGTGTTGTTGGAAGAATCGTTGCTGTTCTTCATTGATGTTGAAAGTGCGAACCATCGACAACCAATGCTGCTTCGCATCAGCTGCATTAAATTTCCTGTACAATAACGACGTAGCATTATTCACTTAATTTGTAGAAATATCCTGCTTCTATGCTTTGAATTTAATTAGTTTCTCAGGTTCCTAATCAATCACTAAATTTAGGGCAGAACCTCAAAGGTTCTTATTAAATCAAGTTATCTTTCCAGATGTTGAGCAATGAGCGCCGATGTGCAGCGAATGTCAGCATGTAGTACAGTAAGGGCAAAAGCTGTTGCAATGCTGAAATACAGTAGTGGAGTAGTAGACGTGGGATGCAGTTCGGCACTTCATACTGTATGTATTGACAGTACTGTACTGTAAGCACAGTATACAGTACAGTATGTTATACAAATCACTAGTCCAGGTTTTGTACAGTGCACAGTGTACAGTTTACAGTATTATTGCCAATAAAGTACTGTGCACTGTACAGTTCAGTAAGGGCAAAAGCTGTTGCAATGCATAACTGAAATACAGTAGTTGAGTAGTAGACGTGGGATGCAGTTCGGTACTTTATACTTTATGTAGTGTAAGCACAGTACAGTACTGTACAGTACAGTACTATACAAATCACTAGTCCAGGTTTTGTACAGTGTACAGTGTACAGTATTTTGTCAATAACGTACTGTACACTGTACAGTTCAGAAGGGCAAGAGCTGTTGCAATGCTTAACTGAAATACAGTAGTTGAGTACTCAGTAGACGTGGGATGCAGTTCGGTACTTTATACTTTATGTAGTGTAAGCACAGTACTGTACAGTACACTGTACAGTACTAATACTGTATGTACTGTACTATACAAATCACTAGTCCAGGTTTTGTACAGTGTACAGTGTACAGTATTTTGTCAATAACGTACTGTACACTGTACAGTTCAGAAGGGCAAGAGCTGTTGCAATGCTTAAACTGAAATACAGTAGTTGAGTAGTAGACGTGGGATGCAGTTCGGTACTTCATACTTTATGTACTATAAGCATAGTACAGTACTGTACTATACAAATCACTAGTCCAGGCAGTGTACACTGTAAGTACAACGACTCGCTGATTGCAAAGCAATGTCGTAGATCTGAATTGCAGATATTTCCAGGGACTACTCAACTAAAAAGTTTCCTTTAAAAGCCGTAACTAAAAAATTATGTAATATACTCGACTAAAAGTATTGGAGAAAAATTTTTGAATTTCGGCTTTTGAGGCAGAATTTTTAGTTGAGCAGTTCCTGATATTTCCGATACTTAAATGAGAATAATTTCAACGTTGATTTATTACAGTAAAAGCTAGCTTATTTCATTTGTGAAATGGCTGCGTTGATATTTAATGTTGATAAACTATAGATTAATAACTCTACAGTATCTTTGATATAATCCCACCAGTAGAACACCATGCATCGACAATACGCGTACAGCATATCTTGCAACAGTAGACCCCAATGAAATGAATCACGAATGCGAATAATACTTAATTTATGATGCGTAGTTTTGTAGATAGATTTTATCCTAAAAGCCTACAATCTCTGCCGTAAATGAAATTATCTTCCACAAACTGCATAGTACATGTGTCTAAAAGGCTACAAAATAGAATTATAATAGAGAACACTACTTTACAGCGTCGAAATCTCCTTTACTAGTTTAATTTGCATGGACAATTTACTTGAAACATGTGTACAATATTGAAATTTGCGTAAAAATTTGTCTCATGTGCCCCAGATATCACAGCTTAAAATCCAACAATACTAACAACAGCGACGTATTAAGTATGAAGACACTAATCGCTATTGCAAAAGATCAGTGATCTATGATAACGTAAAATCGTTAGCTAATTAGAATAATCTGAGTTAGATAGTATTGCAATTAATTGCAACTGATCTAATGCATGACGGTATACCGATTATAATTTTACGCATTGTACAAGCAACAGCAACATATTTGATACCAACATGTATACTAATACAATAGCCATGTGTGGACTCTCCATCCATAACACCATATCAAGGTTCAAACAGTGAAAATCGGATTTGATCAATGTTCGTATAGCGGAAAAATTTATAAACAGAGACTTGGATAATAACCAAACACGTAAATTATAACGTATTTACACCTCTTTACACAGAGAGAGCAGCTAGATTAATATATAGGTTTCGATATTTAGATTCAGTTCGATTTCATTTAAGTTTCTCTCTTCTTTTATTTCTTAAATAGCTATCCCATCTTTTTACAGCTGGATGCTTAAATTTACCTGAAGCGATAGATTGTTATTCATTAAGAATAATTAAGAAGCATTCCGTAAATAACATAGCATGCAGACCATATTGCTACTAAAGATTTCATTACTACAGTAAAACAATAACTGTAAATTTTATTATTGCCTATGCTGAAAAAATTTTAGGATTCCAAAGATATAAACTAAAAAACGTACCTTCGGTAGACTTAAAAAAATCTTCCAAGTCTCCAAATCGATTTTCATCTGTAATTGAATAAAGTTGACAATGAAAGAACTTAAATATTTTGTCCTATTCAGTAATATAATGCAATATTTTGAGTAAAACAATATGAGTATTTTTTAAAGGCTGCACAAAACTTACCTTCCTCATATTCAAAAGCTTGTAATATCATCTCAAATCTGTCCAAATCCTTAACGGCCCTGGCCTCAGCAGTTGCTTGTGTCTCATATTCCTGTATATCATACGAAAAATTATTGATTTCTGAATTCATGAAGCAAATCTCGAATATAAGTAAACTTTACTCGATTCTACGTGACTGCATTGATACAAGGTTCTAAGTTTAAGACAATTAATGATAGTGTAAAATGAGTTTACCTCCCATAAGCTAAAGATTTCATCGCCAACCTTCATTATCGGAATGAATCAGCATACATAAGTTTGGGTTGATATTTTAATAATAAATAAAGATATTACAGTACCTATACATATGACATCATTATTCCAATACCTCATTGCTAACTAAAGCTTTGATACTCTGCATAGCTTCCTATAATTATAAATTACGCAATGTTAAGTTAGCACTAGAAGATAGTAAATTTCGAATTGCGTGAGAAAAAGAATTGCAAAGCCATAAACCTAACAAATTCTGATTGGTATCAGTGATTCTGCTACGCTTAATGGATTTGAGAGCTAACCTTCTCCATTCTGTGTTTATCCTCCTTGGTCACACCATCGAATGGAGTTATATCACCAACAATACTCTCGGCTAAATCATGTACAATTGCTACCTTCATACATCTATCGAGCACGTTTATTATGTCCGATAATATAATAACAATAATAATAATAACTATCATGACATTGCCTGTGCAATTCGATAGATACGCATACATGTGACGTAAATAACTTATCCTAAAGAATCTGACACTCTACCCACCCTACTTCATACTGACCTCGTCTTATCTAATGAGATTTCCGGATCATCAAGTAAAAAGGTCATCATGGCCATTCTATACATATGCCCAGCAACGCTTTCCGGAGCTGTAACTTGATGGTTAACCCAGCCCGTACGTTTAACTTTCTATTGCATGACGAATAAATATAATTATTATTATTACAATTATGACATTATCTTGAGGCTTCAGCTATTTCAAACTATAATAATACGGTATGCGTACGAGTAGAATACGACATTCAAATTGGATTTTAGACTTTATTATCTAACATGTAACTAATTAGCCAGTTTTGATTGTGATATACCTTTAACTGACCACATATTTTCATAAATTTAAATATCCCTTCAATTTCCGCCATTGCCGGATGCAGTTCTGTATACAATTTACTACGACATGCGCAGCACTACCATGCTACTATGACTCTTGACTACAGTACTATGTACACTGCATACTGTACAGTACTGTACTGTACAGTGTACAGTACACTACAAATACAGTACAGTACAGTACACGGATTTGCAGCAAGGACTTCTTATTACAGTCTGTACTGTACTGTACTGTACTGGAAGTCCCTGCCATACAGTACTGTACAGTACAGTGCAGTACAGTACACTCTAAAATAATACGGTACAGTAAGTGTTCTATCAACTTTTCTACAGTACTGTACTGTATAAGTGTATAGTATACCGTACTGTACTGTACTGTAATCATAATCGAACACCGCTTGCGCGTCGCCCAGGCAACAGTATTAAATTTCTAGTAAACATGTTTGCAGAATAAATGAATAGCTACATAGCCATTCTTCTATTTTTTTTGTTATATGTCACTTAGTAACAGTTCTTAATATGCCACATTCACACTCTATCTATGAGCCATAAGTATATTGTATTCGTTGTAAATCATTACTGGATTAAATCACAGCGCATCTCAACGCTTCTTATCTTTACTTGCAAATATAACGTACAGAAGTCAACAGAACTCAACATTGCACGTCTTATTGGACCATATCTACTATAAAGCAGCTAGTGCATGTATTTTATATTTTCCACATTAAAATTTACTTCAGTATGAGGTGGTAGATTGTAATTAACCAGAAGACGTAATGAAAGCGTGGCACTCAATCGAAAAGAGAGTATTATAAAACCTTTGAAACTGTGATAAAATCAACTTGCTTTGGCTGGACGAACTGCGCTGAGATAATATTGGAATACGACAGTCTTTAGTTAGTTTTACCTAACTTATCCATTGCTATTATTTATCTGATTTACGAGAATATCTTAATTAGAAGTAAATTAAGAAATCGACATGAATCATTCAACTGGTAAGTAGATTCTTTAATAATTAATACGTGTGCGAGTATTATGAGTGCTTTGGTAATCTGTATACTCGTATGTTGTTATGCAAAGTGAGTACATATATGTATAGTACATGATCTGTCAGTTTTTACTAGTACGGTGGCAAAATATTAGTAAAATTATTCGTAAATGTAGTATTCTGGATGAGGTACTGTCATACATCTTGAATTCATTAGTCTGAATTTTGTAATATTGCCAAAATCGCATTAAATGAAACTCCTGTAATCCAATCACAGTTTAACTATATATGCACTACGTTCTGTAAAATCACTTCTAAGTTACTGTTAATATTATGGCTACAGTAATTACTCATCTAAAATATAAGTATTTGATTATAATCGTTAAATAGAAAAACAAACCCGAATTAATGTTATATCGAAACCAAGACAGTTACCAACTCAACATAAACCTAACAGGTAACGATATGATAAATATAAAGATAATAGCCCATGATTAAGATTCAAAATGGAATTCACCAAGGCAAAATAATAATAGTAATGCCAGCAGTTGTAGCTGTATTGAATACTATAACTTAAAATTGAACGTAAAGAAATTATTATAATTATTGAAGACAGTTATTATAAGTAATTCGTAAAATGCTAATAATACTCGGCGTAGTATGTGCGATATGGAATACCCATATCATGTAGCAGCGATATATAAGTAAATAACTCAAGAAAATTCACCTTTATTATACAATTTATGTATATATAAATATTAACTTACATATGTATTTACTTGCAGGAGTTCTGTGTATGAGCGTCTAAATGAATTACACGAAAAAAATAGCAAAGCAAAAGATAAGGGTGAGCATCTTTATATAGAATTGATTAATGACACGTACCATAAAAGCATCTCATAGTTTTAAGGTGTTATTACAATTAACTGTTTTTTGATTAAGCAGAAGTAATCTTAAAATGTTCTAATAGCATCAGTCATTGTAATATTTAATCCTTAAAATCGACTGTTGCTAAATTATAATGTTATGATTCTCCAACATAGCATAAAAAAGCGATAAATCGATATACAATAGTATAACTCCTGCTAAAGGATTATTCATACAAAATCCTTGCAGCACTGTTGATAACCTTTGAGCTTCATTAAATTTAAATTACTAATGTTTATCATATTTATTCAAATGTGACTCAGATCTTCCAGAACGTATCCAGGCTCTCGCACAACCGAAGCTACTACCAACTCAATTTGTGATGGACAGGTACAATCTAAACTTCTGAACTAAATTTTGAATATATAAAAAGCAATGCATTACAGATAATTCATATACTACCATAGATTATCAAATTCATATTAGAATTGTTATAATTCTTACGTAGGCCTTCTGCATCTTGGAGTGTTAGCAATTCTGCTAAGAACTATAACATGAGCCAACGAATAGAAACATTGGCACAGCCCAAACAATTGCCATCGAATTTTCAATTAGATCGTTATAATATAAGCGTCGCTGAAAGTGCTTTGAAGTATGGTCAGGCATCCGCACGAATTGAACAACTTGCGCAGCCCAAAAAGCCATTTACTGTACGGCCCTGGAGTGCTGTTTATGAATCGTTCGTAGTTATTCTGCTAATATTATATTAGTAGCAACTATAAGGCAATAGGCTATGCAGTATTGAAATTACAATTAAGCAGTCAAAATTAGAGACTATCTTATTATTACCGTATCTGTTTAGTGTTGTAGCCATACGATATACTTCAATGTATAATCTAAAAAATAAACCTGTGCATGATTGGATTGACCATCCTTTTCTACTCTAATTACAGACAGCAACCAACCAAAAAGCGTAAAAAGCGGCGTGTAAGCATTACAGATTACGAGTGTTCAGATCGTATCTTAGAATTATCAAAGCCGAAGCGATTGCATCCCAAGTTTCTTACTGATCGCGTTCACATAGATACAGTCAGCATGGCAGCTACAAAAGCACATGCTTCAGTTCGAATTCAGCAGCTAGCAAAGTCAAAAGTTTATCATATTAATCACGAAGATCATAGTTTAAAAGTATCAAAACGAGCTTTAAATGCTGAATGTTCACTAAGGATAGAAGAATTAGCTAAGCCAGTTTCAAGGAGGCTTATTTCTAGAAAAGGAACCTTCAGGAGTTCATTGGAAGAAGCTTCACTATCGTGATGTAGTGTTACTTATACTGGGCCAAATTATTCACTTTATTTTTAACATATAACGAAATGCTAATTTAATGCAATAGAATATTTTAAATTTAATACGAAGCTTTTGTAGTGACAATGTATGAACTAGCAATTGATAACTGTGAAAGTCTGAATAGTGATGAGAACTATAATTTACCACCCATAACCATTTATTATTGATTACTACTTTATTAAATTCGGTGTATCCAATATACTGGTATAAAATCCTATAAAAAGCAATTAATTTCTATACGTTCGTCTATTTTATGTGTGCACGCTTATATTAAATTATAGTGCTGTATAATGTTTTATGTTATTAAATCAGTCAGAAAGGCTATGTATAGTGAACATGCACAATATTACTGGATTTTATTGCTTTGCTATTCGTTCAATTATATCACATAAGACAATATAGGACAGATTTTTTTCTTTGATATTTGTAAGTTATTTTAGTTTCGACGTCAAATTGCTTTAAGCTGCCTTTGTTGATGACTGGAACTCAATGCTGTATTGTTGCTAATATCTATCGATAATGTGAAGCGATATATATAAAGAGAAACTGATATCATTCTTTATGTTTTATCTATTTTACATTTGTGATGTAAACAGTAATTAATTGAAATCTATCAGTTGTCATTTTGAATCAGTAATAAGTTCTTGTGTCTGATCTAAAATAGTAATAGAACGGTATCTTCACTACAATACTTCATATACCTCAGTGTTACCTTCAAATTCGAGTTTATGCTATTGTACTGGATCACTCGTCGTAATTGATTATAGTTAGGCTTATACAGGATTGCATATTCTACAAGTACGCATATCTGACCGCCAGATATCATAGTATGTTATTTAGTAAGCATAATTGCTGGTATCCTAAGCGTATAGTTTGTAGTCATGATATCAGTATACGAGTATAATATAAAATATTATATTCGCGACTACGTATACCTACGCCAATGAGTAATTTGACTTGACAAGAAGAGTTATTCGATCTACAAAAATTTTCCAGCATAGGAAGCACAAATAAGAGCTATCCGGTGAATCACATTCATTTCATTATGACGGAAACGTCAATGTTAGGGTTGGAATCAGGGCCCTTTACATTTCGATATTTAGAAAGTCCCTTGTCGAAGGTGCAAAGCAGAATCGTAGTTAAAGTACATGGATTGATCACTGCTTAACTTGAAATTTGGAGCGACGATAGAAAGTGTAATATGGCACAATATAGAAGTGTCTAGCTAACGTTATGAAATATTTTTGACATTCTGGATCCCTCTACTGTACAGTTACAAGTAGAAAGAAAACCTGCCACAGTAACTGGGACCATATGCAATACCGTACTGTATGCACTGTATACCAGAGAAAGGGATTGGATAAAATATTCAATATTAACAGCCGAGCCCCAATTTTGGCCCTGCATTATCATCACTAACTGATCGTTCAGTGTACAAAAATCCATATTTGATACCGATGGCATCATTTCAATCGATCTCGAAGCTGTGCGATTGGCACGATTTAGCGTCGTTTTGTGCCATTTGGCAAGGAAATTTTGCCAATGGCACCCTTTCCATGTCGATTTAAACTACATTGTCGATATCAAATGTGGGATTTTTTTTTCGCTTAACGATCCGTCCATGATGCCTTAAAAGCACACAACTTGGATTTCAATCTAAAACATTTACATCCTTTAATTTTTCTAATTTATGTCAATGTCAGCTTTTCAGCTGTTTGGAAAGTTAGAAACCCCCCGTATACAATCATGCATCCCGTAATTCAGTTTGGAACTGTAGGCTAAATTACTATGACCTTCATTCAAAGTGGTTTGCCCACTAAAACATGTCCGCCATCTGAAAAACGGACGGCCGGACGCTCATCTGAAAATGCAGAATTATCGTACTGTACAGTACAAGACAGCATCTAATACAGTACAATGTATCGTGTCTTTGTTGTACAGTACTGTACAGTGTACTGTACACCTGGTCAAGGGCATTAGGTACAATGAGTTCAACGTACAGTACAGTACAGTACTGAACGGCTTTACTATAGACCTTCCATAGTAATAGCCGCAGTGTATTCAGTAAAGCGACAACCCCACAGCGCAACACTCCCTATGCCACTACACTTGGGGAAGAAGGATTAAAGTTGATGTGGAAATTTTTCATCTTTCTTCCTTAGAAAAGTAAATCTTATTGATCAAGACGCAAGCAACTATAATTCCGATAGTTTATCACCATTGAATAGACAGGGTATCAATGGCTCTGTGAAGAATTGACTTGTTGTTAACCAATATCAGAATATCAGCAATTTTATCCAAAGCAGTAGATAGGTCAAGCGAATCTTTCCAACATGGCCGCACAAAGGTAATATCCGCTAGGATAAGAATAAGATGAAACAGAGAATAGCACTTGACTAATGTTTAGGACGATAATCTGTAATCAATCAATCAATCAGTAAACATAGATATATGGAGTGGAAATGGGTTTCTTCTTTACCAACGGTTCGTCAATGAGGGTGGTCAATATTCAATTCAATGAATAAAATAATAGAAATCGATTTTTACATTGACTGTAGGTATTCACTGATGCAGTCAATCCTTTTGGATCGATATAGTCTACATAACGCCAAACTACAATATTACTTCTATTTGTAAAATAATTTCGATTCCACTTGATAGGCTAGGCTAACGTTGACGGATTTTAATTAGTCATTCAATGAATGGCTAGTCTATCAATCATTTTCAGTGAACACAGCACTACTTTAGCTCATTGGGTACAAACATGGTTTTACGATAGTCTGTTCAATGTACAAGTACGCGTATGGGAGCATTATTGCATTATAAATTGATCATTATGTCCATGTTATACTAACCCTATGCATGCAAAGTATCATCATCAATCCTTTAATTGTTTCCACAATGAAAAGCAAGTTAAATCAATTAATCAATCAATGTCCGCCAGTTGGCCATATTACACTGAAAATGGTTCTACTGCACTTAACCTGCTACCAATTTACTGTACTCTATTCAGTGTAATACTGTAGAACTTAAATCCCAGCGTTAATAAATACAGCACTCGACGCTAAACTGTAGTAACTACTGCAGTAGTCAGAAACAACACTGCTGCCAGCTGTACTTATATTGTATTGCGATTCTCTCTTTTCGATCTAGTGATTAAGTCTTATCAATATAGTGTGCATGCTGCAAATCACTTCGTTGTTATCATCGAATTCAGTACTTGCAATCGGGAGTTTTAATAAAAACAGACCGGAATTCAAAAATTTCCGATCAAGTGCATTTGATCCAAAATTCCAAAATAGATTCTATAAAATCTGATTATTCTGAATAAGACTAAGCTTTGTATATGAACATATGAGATAGTTCCTTTATACTAAGATGTTAAATCACTACCAATACCATGGATATTCTTCATTGAATTAATCATGATACAAATTTTCAGTATCTATGTTATATGGCCTTCGAATGTATAGTATTGTATATACATGCTGGTCTGAATAATAACTCCGATTGGCTTAAAGTATTTCAGGATACAAAATTTTGTCGTACATAATAATAACAATAAATCTCTGGTATAGGACGTAAAGCTATGTATCCAGTATAAATCTCGTCCAAAAAATTTTGACCCCTACTATCACATATCAAACTGTGTATCTGTTGGAAGAACAAATACCGCTCAATAGGGACGAGTAAATCATCGTTACAGAAAATAGAGTAGTTAACGTACTAAGTGCACATAAGGCCATGTGTTGCTATTTTATTTATTTGTTGCTTTGCGTTTTAATTTCTCACAGTAACTGTCGCTTACGACAGATGATTGTTTCTTGAGTATTTCTTTGCCTAACTTATGAAAATGATTTCATCTTGTAGCTTTAAAAAGCTAAGCGAAGAAAGCTTAACACGACCACCCGAAGAAGTATTTGATTTATTGGAGAAATTGGGCGAAGGGTATGTTTTCGAGACAGTACTATGGTGATTTTTAGCAATCTGCTACGTTAACTTGCAATAAAGTAGATTGATAGCATGTCCTCTATTCTCCAGAGTGTTGTATTGGTTTACAATTAACTGTAAATACTAATACAGTGCATGCTATAGGTAATAAAAATATCATACACAACTCGTTACACTATAGGATACAGTAACTAATAATTTCAATCGTTCGTTAATCGATCGTTGTCGTTATCAGTTTGTACGATTGGTTATTATTTAATGTTACAGAATTACTTTGTAATGAATGATCTGATTAATCACTTACACTAACTATACCCGCATAATCAATTTTGCAGCAACGGGTGGTGGTCAGTTGTCAAAGTTTTTAAATATTATTAACTTTCAATAATATAGATCTTATGGCACAGTCTATAAAGCTGTTCATAAAGAAACCGGACAACTTTTAGCAGTCAAAAAAGTACCTGTCGACTCCGATTTGCAAGATATAATTCGTGAGATTAGCATCATGCAACAGTGTGACTGGTAAAGTGAATTAATATATTATCTCTATAATACTTGAAACTCAAGATTCAATACTACCCATTGCTAGGCATACTATACAATTGTATGATATAAAGCTCTTAACGGGCTTAATGCAATGGAAGTATAATTGGTAATAAATATTTACGCTTTAAACTTGCAGCTCATTTGTTGTGAAATACTTTGGTAGCTATTTCGAAAATTCTTATCTATGGGTAAATTTTATTGATACAACCTACTTAATCGCCAATATTTCGCTCACAAGTTCGTATCAATGCTAACAATTTTTTAGATCGTTATGGAATTCTGCGGTGGTGGCTCAGTTTTGGATATAATGAGGCTAAGACAGAAAACGGTAACTATCATTATACGAATTCAATGCTAAGATAAGTAATATGCAATTAATATTGTCGACTTTATGAAATAGCTGGAAGAATCGAAAATTGCGACGATTGTACGGTGTACTCTGAAAGGCTTAGAATATTTACATATATTGAGAAAAATTCATAGGTCAGTCTGGACGATTTTTTTTCATGACGTAAGCACAGCTACATGATAAATCTTATCTAGCTCAACACTCGTACATAATATAGGGATGTGAAAGCTGGAAATATATTGTTGGATCTGGAAGGAAATGCTAAATTGGGTTGGTTATTAAGAATTATTGAAATTGGTACAAATATTTACTTGCAATACTCTCACTGATCTAAATCTATTTACTGTTGTCACAATTTAAGCTGATTTTGGAGTCGCAGGACAACTAACGGTAGCGTTATTAGCTTACGTATTGTGACTTAATATTGAATTGACAATGATCTGATAGTTTCAATATTATTCTTAGGATACGATGGCGAAAAGGAATACTGTAATTGGCACACCTTTCTGGATGGCACCGGAAGTTATTCAGGCTAGTAACCTTTTTAGTTTACTATTAGTTAATTGCATGCTAACAAGTTGAGATAAGTTTATGCTAGTATTATTTTATTTCGTATTTATTGTACTTCGTTATCTTTGCTTTCTATAGGAAGTTGGCTATGACTGTGCAGCTGACATATGGTCTTTAGGAATAACTGCTATTGAAATGGCAGAAGGGAGACCTCCATATGCAGACATTCATCCAATGCGGGTAAGAATATAGTCGAATTTGTAAATTTTTAGTTATAGAAATGCTGAGATTAATAATTTCACTTTTATTCGTTGTATGTATATTGCTTTGATGATGTCAGGCAATATTTATGATTCCAACTAAACCACCTCCGACTTTCCAAGAACCTGATAAATGGTCTACAGATTTTATCGATTTTGTTTCAAAATGTCTTGTTAAAGTACCTGAACAACGTCCTAGTGCGTCAGCGCTATTACAGGTGAAATAAAAACATCCAATTTACTTTATTTCATCTGGATAAATCAAATTTTTATGATTCTCGATTATGTGTTCTGCAATCGTTGAATGGATATTATTTTTAAACCACAATAGCATAACTTCGTAAAAAACGCTATGCCAGTTCACACATTACAAGGAATGATAAAGGAATCACAGGAAGCGCTACTAGCAAGGCCACCTGCAGAATCTGACTCAGATACTGAAGTAGTTAATACTGTCATATTATTTACTGATTGCATTTTTTACAATGCTTTCCATTGTATGTATCATTATTGATTATACTTGCGAATGGTTGATATAGGAAGAGGAAGATGAAATACAGGATGTTGGTACTATGGTAAAGCGCCCCACAAGCACACATATTGCGCCTGAGGATGATATTGACAGCGGTACTGGTACTATGATCTGTAAAAGTGATACTATGGTTACAAGAGAATCTCCGTTAGTTGCTGATGATAGCGACATGTCCACGCTAGTCATTAGTAATGCAAATAGTAATCATGAAGCAGGTGAAGTATAATATTTAATTTACGAAATCTCTGGGCACTTGAGCGATAATAATGTGATAAATTCTAACGTCTTATAAGGTAAAGATTATAAACCTGATTTCATGGAACACTTTGACAAGATAAATAATAATAAATCGAAGGAAAATTTGTATGAACAAGTCGATTCATTTGAGAACTTCGGCTTCGTAAGTATATGGTAACATAAGACAACAATTTATTTATTGCAAATTGCAAAGTTCATACTGATTATTTATATATTATATTTTATTGCAGCTAAAACAAGCTAGCTATCAAGATCTTCAGGACAGACTTGCTAATCTAGATGTGTTCATGGAGAAGGACTTAGAAGAATTACGCAAACGCTACCAAACTAAAAGACAACCAATATTAGAAGCTATAGAGGCTAAGAAAAGGCAGCAGAAGTTGCAAGATCATAAAAGATAGTTCAGATGAATGTAATACCAATACTACCTACGGTTGGAAATAAGATTTTTTCACCGGGTATACAAGGGAAAAATTATCTTTGTATTTGTAAATTTTCAATGGATGGTTTATGAATAGGTACCTGTATATTTCAACACTCAAAAAATGTTCAAGAAGCTGTTAAGTGATATATTTGTAATTGTCCGTTGTACCAACGGAATGAATGCTCAATTAATTTGCGCTTAATTAAATAGAAATAACCCTTTACGGTATTACTTTACCTATTATCCATTTGATATGTCAAGTTTCTTCCATCATGCATATTTATGTATACGCATATGTACATTGTACAGTACGTATAGCAATAGTTGGGTTAATGTTAAATGAAATTTCGTCATTGGTTTCTGTTCTTCCCGAAAAAGTTTTACTCTGAATTTGGTTTTTATGATCATTAGTATGTTGACTTTCGATTCTTTACCACTATACTATTATATAATTTTTACAAATAGCCGTATTATACCAGGAATTTAATTTCTCCTATCTGGTTTAAGCATATCTGTACAGTTTTCACACATTAATACTTAATTTTTGTGTATTTGTATATAGACTAGGTGATTATTTTTCAATTTGCAATTATAAAATAAAATTTGGCTTACAGACATGAAATACGGTAAAAGTGAAAGTTTCTTAGAATTTGCGTGCATGTGAGGTGTCTCAAAGTTTTCATTGAGACTACACTGTATTTTCGCAAAGTACAAATATCTAGGCAATAAAAGACATCAACAAATACCGAATTTATTAAAATCGATATTTTTCAAGTTAAACTATTTATTATAAATATCTACGTTATGCGAAAAAAACTAGCAGAATTTGTAGGAGCTTTCATGCCGTAGCACACGTACTGCATGAGGTATATAAGAGTATTACAACCTAATTTATATTAAAAGTTTAAATTTTCGTAATAATCAAAATAGTTACTTTTTTTTCTCAACCTATCCGATTATAATTAGCTTATGCATCGATAAAATTAAATATGTAAAAATGCCACATTAGTATACGCACGAGTACATGCAGTTAGAATTAGCTTCAAGCAACACAAGATAAGTCCTATTATGAAATTCCAGGAAGTTTGACCTTATTTCAAAATCTATTTTGCTATGACCCATTTGATTTCTTGCTTGTCAACTTCAATTTTAGCTAAATAGAATTAAATTTGTTATTCTTAGTTTTTACGACATAGAGCTGGCTATATTATACCATTAAACTTCACATCAAACCTACCAACTGTTTTTTCAATAACCATTTTATTTAAAGTCAAAACAAGGTTACTTTCAGCGGCTTTCATTAAACTTTCAGGCACTCCCTAACAGCCATAAATGTTAAATATAAAGCCAGAAGCGCCTTGCAGATGCGTATATGAAGTATAGACTATTATCTAGGAACTAACCTGGTAGACCATCTTCGCTAACTGAGTAGTAGATAGCGGCTTTTTATTAGCAAGAGTCATCACGTTTAAAACCTATAAAACCCAATAATGAATGTTTATTTGACAATTACCAATGAGCTGATCTATCTTAATGGGTGTTACCAAAAAAGCTTCGTGAATATGAATTAAATAGTAGGAAAAACCTGTTTCTCTCTTTCTTTTCGATGTTCAATGTATTCATTTATTTTGGCTCCAGTATCCAATATTATTGGACCATGACCAGGATATATTAATTTTGATTGAAAGGAACGTATCTTCTCTAAGGATTTCAAGAGTTTATATAAATCATCGAATTGCTGAAACGGATGAAATACTTTGATTAGTATACAATACGGTAACATTTCATAATATACACATATTTGGCTTATACAATAACATGAATCAGACACATTCAAGAACATGCAAGCACAAATGCTACAATAGCCAACACATTTAACTAGATAACTAATACCTACCGTAGAGATACATAAGCCTCTTGGTGTATGTTCTTGTATTGCTATTGTACGTATTGAAAATGTGCTATACGTTAACGTAAAAGTAGTCACTAAACTTAATATAATGACATTGCATCTACTAATTATCTACAGCTCAATTTAATCGAAGACTATAATTAATATTTTAGTCATCGCAGTAAGTTTCTATAGCGATACAACCTAATAACCTTAAGCTTAATCAATTTTATACATCTCAGTGCTAAAATAGGGGCACCATGAATGGAAGTTTTTGCAATGCTCAATTAGCTGATATGATTTAAAAGTGACAACAGAACTGCGGATACCTACCCCAGTTCCTTGACCAAGAATACAATCACCACTGAATATAGCATCTTCTTCTTTTAGAAGGAACGCTACATGATCATCGCAATGACCAGGCGTATGAATTACTTGCAGTGTTGCCCCCTCAGTTTTAATTTCATCACCTTCATTAAAATATGTATAATCTAGATCTTTTCTACCAGGTATTTCTTCATTTCGATGATCATACCATCCTAATTTGCTTATTCGAATACTATTATCTGCATCATATTAAACAATATTAAATAATCAATTTCTGTTTTGTAGTTTTAAATATGCTGAATAAGTTTACAAATCGTAGTAACCCTATCATCATTTTATAAGCAGCTATATATGACGGTTATACGAGTATAAAGGTATGCAATGGTGCAATAACTAGAATTTTATATTTGTTCCGATAATTTCCATGTCAAGAGTTTTAGTAGTACAGTATTTATCCTCATTGACTTTGAGAGACATATGTAATATATCCTGTGGTCTTATAGAGAGCTAACACACAAGGTATAGTAAGAGATAGGCCTTTATTAATAGAGAGAATATGAGAGAAAGAAGGATCTCGTAATCTAGTTGTATCCATCTCTATACGTATGTGGAAGCAGGGACTTTTAAGAAGTTTCTGATGGAAGTCAGTAAAAATATACTACGGGTACATCACAATGAGGACTGTATTCGCATATCATGTCAGCATTAACCTCCGATTACATGATCCATAACGTCGCCAATTGCTCCTACGTGATCTATGTGATGATGAGTAGCAATAATTTCTTGAACGTGAATACCGTTCTCAATTAAAACATCATTGAGTAATTTCCTATAAGCAGGAACATCAGGATCCGAGGTATCGATCAACAACCGTCTAAGAGGAAAACAAAAATAAATAACCAGCTGTTACAGTTCACATTTTAGTTTGCTAGAAATACAGTACAATAAATGAAGGTAAATATGACGATGAGTGAATCAATTTATGAGACTAGTGGTCGAAAGATACTGTGATGTTGATCATGACTTAATCTTAGAGACTCGGTTGCAAATTGAGTAAATTGAAATATAACCTTACTAATACAGACACGTTGGCAAGACACTGACAACTACATGATCTATACCTTGCAGGTATCTCCCCAATGCTCGCTATATAAATAGAAATGGAAACATTGTTGTTTTTTTTGGTAACAAACTATGCGATGATGCTTTAGAAATATTCTGATATCATGATAGGATACACTTATTGTAGCATATACTGTAAGAAGGAGAAATTGAGGACAATGTTATACAGTATAAGATTTGTTGTAGCATATAGTGTAAGAAGGAGAAAATGGAGGACAATGTTATACACTACAGTATGAGATTTGTTGTATTATATAGTATAAGAAGGAGAAGTTGAGGATAATGTATGAGATGATGGAGCAGACAATCATTCCATATCATTATAATAATAGTATGAGGTTTAACTGACCTTTTACCAGTTCCGACAAGATAAGAATTTGTTCCTTGCAAAGTCATCGGTCTAGCATTACAACCCAATATTCGAATCACTCTAGGAGAGAGTTTTTCCACCATGCGAAGTGCAACCAAGGAACCAGCAGTCATACTGAGTCTATGTTTACTACAAGTCAAAATTTAGAGATGTTACCTAAGCTGCATGTATTGCAGCTATTGACAACACTATTAAACACACTATTTTAATTTATTAATGCACCTTCTTGATTAAACTACCTCGTCAATGATAATCGCTAGAGTTGCAACTGATACACCCTTAGTTATTTCTTCTTCTTTTACAAAATTTCCCCACTGAACAGTATCATCGGTTCAAGACTACATAGAGTAAATGGTTATTTTCCTGTAGCTCATATAAATTCTCTTTGCAAGGAAATCTCTCTTGTTAAGACAACGACAGTATCTACAAATAATTTTGCCCTAGCTCCTAATAATGGATTGCAGAATTTACCTTTTGATCGTGCTGGAGATCCATCTACTTGATTAGTTTGAGCGATTCCATGAAAACATTGCAGTGATTATGCACGGGCCCGATGGACGAGTCTACTGACCATTATATAGTGTTACAAGCATAGCTACGGTAGCTATGCAGTAACCATTACCATGACGATTGATGATTCAACTCTGTGGGATTTTTACTTACATATAGCTATAGTATAAGCATAGTCTTAGCTGGCTATACCAACAGTTGGTTTAACATCTCCCTCCTCCATCTTGGCTCTCGCTACTGAAATTTTATCCAGATTGAAAAGGTATTTCACTTCTTCATCACCTATAAAAAACGAATCAGATTCTGCACTTGTAGAATGTTGTTCTAGCTTGTGGTTGTGAGCAGTGTTATTCGTTAATATACGTGCTGTACTGCGCTCTACAACCAACTTAGAATCTTGATTCTCTTGCTACTGAAATTCGAACTGCAAATTTAAAGGTATTGTAGTGCCATTGACTTCTTCATCAGCGATAGAAATGAATCCAGGTCGACACATAGACACACTTTAATTTAATCAGAACGACATCAGCGTAACACCGACTTAAAAGCTGCCTCTTTCCCGATATACTTGGAGTCGTCATCAGTAAATAGAGATGACACAATTTAAATAGAATCATACCAGTGTACCTAGGAGTAAATGCAAACTACTCCAACGCTCTCTTAAAATTTGCCTCTTTCCTGATGCGATTCAAGTTGTAGTGTTTGGTGAATGCCAGACGTAGAATATATACAGCATATATGCTAAATAGGCTTGTTGCTATCACTGAACTTATGTATTTATGATTATAGTTTGATACTATAAAGTTCATGCCTCTGCTGCCTACTTCTCCTGTTGACAAACAGTTCACATTACATTTTGCACTATCCATTACATTGCTTCCATTCTACTGTTGTTGAGTCTTCTAAATAAATCTCAATTTCTACGTTACATTTGAACCAGTGATGGATGGATACTACGACATCTAGTATCCTGGCAGATACGGTTATTGATAATCAAACGTGGGATTGGTAAATCTGAGGATATGACGCAACTACGTAATGAGTTTTACCTATAGAACGTTCATCTTAATAAAGACGGAACACTACCTTACGTAGAATTGAATTTATCCCCAATGATCACGATCCTTCTTGCATTGACGTAAGCATTAGTAATGGCCAAAAAAGAAATTGATTTATGCCAATCTAATAATAAATACTGATCTAAACCTAACTGACCTATGATACATGTGTAGACTTGATAGAAAATAAGACGAAAGTATCCATGATTTTATACGAGTGAACATATATTAATATTGAACTAAACCTAATTGATTGGTGATATGGGTGATATAGATGTCAGTTGTAGAACAGTAGTAGTCCTTGATTAAGTCAAATATAGTATAATAAGTTAAAATTTCGCTGATTTTCTTGCAAGTCTGCTTTTGCACTACAGTACACAGCTAAATATATACATCGTAGAGTATGCTATGCGTACAAGAGAAGTTTGCTTGACTTTGTTACTGGATCTACCATTAGCAAAGTTATAATAACATGATGCACTAAAATGCCCTATTGCAAGCTACTGTCCTGTGTAACATCTGCAATAGCTAATACTGTAATATTAGACATGGTGATCTTCGCTAGACTGTTTGAAACTCTTTGATAATAGGATTATATTTTTATACATTAATGTATAATTAAGGAGCATGTCATGCAAGATGATGTAATAATAATATGTTATGCTAAGCACAAATTAATGAATTCATTCTATAATGAAATTTTACTTCAAATACTAGTGACTCCAACTCAAAATGACTGCTGGCAGTTTAGTTCCATTGGAAATGGAAGCACAACTATCTCCCAGGGTTATTCGAATACTAGGTGGCAATCCCGGTATGATGACTCTTCAGGGCACAAACTCTTATATTATAGGGACAGGCAAAAAGTAATATCCATATATCATACTAAATCAATTAAATTTCATTCTTACTGTATAGTATTGTAAGCTATTGTACATGATTTGTATTTTTGAATTTTCTACCCTATTTATAATCATAATCATAGTTGGTATATTCGTCAATACTTTCTAGACGGATACTGGTAGATACTTCAGAACCTGAAATACCTCTTTATACTGATAAATTAAAAGAAGTTTTGCTCAAGAATGACATTGGCTTACAAGAAATTCTCTTGACTCATCATCATGGAGATCATGTTGGAGCCATTGCCGCTGTTATAAATGACGTTCTGGGTGGTTAGTCCGCTCATGTACTAATACAGAACTGAGTTTTATATTATCTTTGCATTTCAATTAATTTAATTGCGTATTCAAGCATTGAAATCACGTCGGAAATCATATAATTATGAATAGAATCAATTCTCTGTAAAATGATTAAAAGTCATCAATTAAATTAAATTGTAATGTGATAATTGAATTCATTTATAGGCGAAAGAATACCAATCAAGAAGTTACCGTTCAAGGACAATAGGAAAGAAGACGTTATAAATGATAATAGCTTGCATTACCAATATTTAGAAGATGGTGAAATCATTAAGACTGATGGAGCAACACTTAAAGTTATACATACACCAGGACACTGTTGCGATCATATGGCAATATATCTTCAAGAGGATGAAGCTATATTAAGTGGCGATTGCATTTTAGGACAGGGAACAACGGTATTAAATAAAGCCATTGCTGTATTGGTCCCTATCTACATTTACGAATTGCATTTTGAATATTTTCACTAATCGAATTGAAATTGTATGATAGCAGAATGTATGCCACTGAATGCATCTGGTCTGAATATGTAATGATAACCTTTCTATCCATTGTAATAGGTATTCGACGATTTATACGAATTGATACAATCGTTAAAATTATTATTAAATTATCCTTGCAAAATCATATACCCGGGCCATGGACCAATTATCAAGGACGCCCATTCCAAGATCAGGGAATATATTTCTCATCGGAAAGAAAGAGAAGACCAAGTGAGCAGCATTAGCTTTAACTGTTATAAGATCAAAGATTTAATTCTTGTATAACATCTTTCAAAATAATTATATTATTTCCTGCTTAGATTCTTAATGTTATGAGAAGCCTGAGTGGTAAACTTGCTTCTTCAATGGAATTGACAAAAATCGTATACAAGGTTTGGCGTGTAGTTACAATAGTATGACTTCGTATGTTCTGTATGCGAGTATGTATTTATAGTAATTTGGGGTATTTTTTGGCGTTTACTACATGGGTTAAATATTCCGTATCTTATGTAAAGGATATTCCGGAATCATATTTATTAGCAGCGGAAAACAACCTTGTTCTTACTTTGAAAAAGTTATTAATTGAAAACAAAGTCGGTAGGTTAATAACGATCATCACTATCGCGCGTTACCCAATCTAGTACGTATTAAAATCTGCACTGAATGAATGTTGTGTTATTTACGACTGTATTCTACTACTTTGTTATATTATAGCTAAAGTTGGTGATGATGACCTTGGCGAAATAAAATGGGAACTACGCAAATTTTAATGGCCTAAATATGTGTCAGTAATACCAGCGAAAGTAAACTCTAGTCTACGTATAAATTTGCGTACATTGCAGTAAGGTATAAAACTTAAGCAAAATCATGCTAGAAATGCTATAACTTAAACGTGCTATTAATGAAGTTCGCAAAGGAGTAAGTAAGATATACTCCTTACATTAATGTAACGATATTACAATATGATATCGTCAATGGCAAATCATTCTCCACATTAGACGATTTAAAAGGTCTTGATATTCTACACTTTAAACCGTGCTTATAGTCATTCTTTTGCATTCGGAAATTGATTAATAAGTATGATACAGCAATAAATTGACATCAATTGTGGTATGTAATACGTGAATCACCTTTATTCAATTTTAGGTTTGATTTTTTTCAATAAGATAGTACTGACACCCGATTAGTAAATGAGTCGTAAAATTAATTATAAAAATAAATGCTTTTCGAATTGTTCTAAATTTTTAAACGCTACATATGAAACTGAACTAATAGAAACATAATGTTCTAAATAACATATAATAATAAAGTAAACAACAATCAAAGCTACAGATATCTCTGTTACGTTCCATATTAATAAATATTATCAAATAAATCTTTGGTTTGGCGATGCCGCTTGCGATCAGCGGTCAGTTGATGTTTAAATGATAAGGGATCATAACGAAGATAGGAATGTATTAATGGTAGCCTTCCAAACAATTCGGTTAAGTAATTCAAACATTTCCATCTTTGAGACATTCTTCGACGTAGTACCTTTAATGCTGGTTCATTACTAGAAAATTCTTCAGATATTTTATGATATTTCTTTTGCGTTAACTTGACGGGTGGCTTATTCGTAATATAAGAAATAACAGTGTTGATTGCAATGTCTAAACAATTGTCTAGGCGCTGAATTTTGTTTAAGGCAACATCAGAAAAGAAATGATATACCAAGTCGTAGTAGTATCTGCCAAAAGATTTCAAACATTTAGTGTATGAATAAGTATATCATCGCACACAGCTAGCAATTTCGCAAAATAAAATATCTACAATACTAAAAAATAATTTTAAATCCTTTACCTATGTATAAAAGCTCCATTTAACATTATAATCGAATAGTAATTAAGCCACTTAGAGGTAAATTCATATCTTTTATGGACATCATTCCAATAATGACTTTTACTAGCGTAACCAACCAGTCTATCGGTAAAGGACCGCCAGATATCGAAGGCAAATAGGATCTATATTATTATATCGTGTAATTAGTAAATGAGCTAAAATGTTCATTTAGTAAATATTTATATTCGAACGAAAATATATAGCAACCTCGTCTTTATTATATACAGCATCTTGCTCTAAAAATAGAATGGCTTGCGTCTCAATAATATGCATTAAATTCGAGACGTTGCTCAAATAGTAATCCTAACGTTTCATTAATAAAATCAAGTTAATATCGACACCTATCCTTAACTAATACAAAAGTTAACGCAACAGAACTGATTGTTTAAGTCAGAAAATTTAACATTAATGATGATTAAATTAAAGCATGGAATAATGAAAAAGTGAATTTAATTAACGATATTTCTGTAGTGTTATGTAACTGCAAAAAAACATAACATACCTGATTTCTGAAATCAGATATAACAATAGATATATTAGATAATATTCTGGGTAGTTCAGATACAGCGATGATTGGCTGCTTACATCGCCAATGAATCCATACCTAGATATCGTAAAGTTAAATTTAGTAGAGAATTAAACTTGATAAGTAACTGGAGCGATATTCATTAGATAGAGTTCATTAACATATTTACCTTATTTACAACAGGCAAACTAGTCAGAGTACGCATTAACTGGTAGAAAGCCGTGGATTTTTTACGATCTGGATAATTTCTTACGACAATGATAGCAGTAAATGCCTTTTGGACATGAGAATTCCATATCCCATTAGAATAAAAGGGATAATCTTGTGCATCTTCTAGAAATGGAGTATGTAACGCAGCTAAGGCACCAGGTACGTGGTTCCATAACAGATTATGTACTGGATTAGTTTGGTCAATACGGCCTCGAATAATCTAGTAAAATAATTCGAATTAGACTTTTATTTTATATAACGCTATTTAAACTCACAGCCATATAATACATTTCTGTTAAAGATATTCGCAACAATTAAGTTGCAATACAATACTAAGATTTTTTCCGTGACACTCACAAGTTAATCTATATACACAACTATTAATTTGCTAGTCTAATGTAAACAATTTTTCAGTAATTACCTCTAAAGTAGACAGAACGATCCTAGTTACAGATTGAAAATAAGTTTGCCATAGGAATATACTTTGCTGCTTCATAGCAAGTATTTTTTCATCACTAATAGACTCAATTAACTCTGGCACCTGCAGCAAGAAATTGATTAAGATGTCATTGCATTTTAAATGTAATCATGCAATAATAGCATATTACGTATTTATAGAATTGCGTATTCAAGATTTAAGGAAAATATGTTAAATACTTACATCGAATAATTGCCTTTCATCAATCTGTACGCAAGCTTTCTTCCAATCAATGACTTCAGAGAATGGCAGCACCCACCCATTGCTTAGCACAATTGGTATGCAACCAAACTGAAGCGCCTCCAAGAATCGAAAAGAGCCCAGGCGCCTACCCCGTGGGACCAAGCAAAATGTGGAATTTATCAGCAAATCTTGATAGTCGTACCTGTATTGAGGAATATTGTCGTATACTTAGAACACAGAAGTGGCGACTGTAATTTTATCTTCATTATAAAGATTTTGTCATTGCAAAGCGCTATTTCTTACTTATAAAATTAATTTTATTGGATATGATGTACTCATACTTGGAGACGCTACTTGCTAATTTATATAAATCAATCGTACCTCGTGTAAATATAACAAATACTACTATACTGTAACGTTATTTACTGTGTAGATGCAGGCAACTACCATTACAAGAGTCAAGAGACTGATGCATGGATATATGAACAGAAGGACGATATAAATGTCACGTTTACTGTATACCCTGTAGGTCCTATTTGCACATTTTGGTTTTACTTACTCTCCATACGTTAGCTCATCAACCACACATCTACTATCTTGATGCTCTCGCCAGGTATTACCATGTTTACACGTTGTTACCATGATATAATTGAGATCATCATGTAAGTGGTGTAAAGCATTTCTAGTTTCACTTCCTATTCCCAATACATAACGTTTGCCTTTAAAAGCTGCTTTATACTTTCGGTGAATTGGGAAAATACTTGATAAACTTCCTGGCTGACGACCATCATTTTGCAAATTATGTAAAGGATAATCTTTACCAAATAACGGCCAGCTGATATCAAAGCCAAGACGATAGGTAGAGTCTGAAAAGGATGCTTTGATGAGGATCGCATTCTCTAAAGATAAGCTTAGATCTTCAGCATAATCCGGCCAGGTACCAGCGAATAAATTAAAGATGATATGATTATAACCACGATTCCATAACTTATGAGAACTAATCTTGGAGACGCGATTTACGTAATCTTCACTTGATTTGTCACGGTCAAGAGTATCAACAGCTAAAACAAATAGGCACGCTTGATCTGGCTGGTTAGTATAGTAAGGACTATTCTGAATGGTTCGGACAACTCTAGCATAGCTATCGGACATTTTATTATTTCCATCATATACGTAAACTTTGAAAGGGCGGCCAATACACCTGCTATAGTTAAAGCAATTGCTCATACGGCAATGAGGGTTAATATTAGGAGTTTTATTTGCAGCTAATTTTTCACCATCTAGGCCAGCATTTGTAATCGTCACAGCTGGATGTGGAAATGTAAGGTCTTCGTCATCAGTAAAGTTCATATAATGATCGGGAACTATATTTCCATTTGTATGATATAGCCGCAACCTTCTATGGTTGCTATACCAAAAGCAGGCAGCAGTTACCAATATCAAGATAGCGGCCAAGATTAACAGTATCTTTTTGTTAGGCCAATTCATGAAGCCACCATCAAAGACACCTTACGATTGAGAAATGCGCGTACGTACGTACAAACTTTTTTTAGTACCAAATTTTATACCTAAATACTCGCACTATCGTAGTATCAGTTTAGTTTGTCATGTTATTGATGCAACATTGATATACTGTATCACAAGAAGGGTAAAAAGACCCTTTAAAGTTGGAGAGGTCAAAAATGTTACTTGTTAGGCGAGCAGACAACGTGGAATGGTAAGGTGAGAAAGCTACACTAGCACAGACGTAGAGTAACTGTAAAGATCCATTATGCCTATTTGTTTATGATACAGTATGTAAAAATGGTGGCCTGTCTATTGGACTTGATCTAACCCATTTATGAAATGCCAGCTAAGATTCTGCTACTGACCGTAGTATTGAAGGAAAAACAACAAGGCAAATACTGGTGTTTCGTCATGGAACAACTACAGTAATGGACTTGGATGCAATACTACCGTAGAAGGTAGAGTCACCATTTCCAGTAGTGTAGATGAGAAAAATTACTCTGTTTTACTGTACAAGAAAACCATTGAGACATCGAGCAGTGGATATTATACCATCATTCAGACTTTTATTTTATACAGTGTCGGCTGAGATTTTACTACCGATAGTATTGTACGTTCAAGAACAACAAGGTAAATGCTGGTGTTTGGTGTTGAACAACTACTGTACTTGGATGCAATTTGTACAATAACCCACCGTAGAAAGTAGAGTAACCATTTGTAGTAGTTTACAGTTGTAGATGAGAGAAATTATCTAGTACCTGGATGCAATTTACAGTCATCCGCTGTAGAAAGTAGAGTGGTTATTTGTAGTAGTTTAGACGAGAGAAATTATCTTCCAGTGCAATTCTGTCATCGGATGTACAGCCTATATACGAATATACGCGTACATTGTACAATTGTAGCGCTTTGGCTCGATTTCTTTAGTGATTGATTATTAGTAGCATAATACTCTAGATATCCTTGTTGTGATACAGGATAGTATTTTGCTCACTTTAGCAAGGAGACCGAATTGAATGCAAGTAAAGTAAGCCATATCTTACAACAGTACCGTCAACTCTAGAAGTATGTCCCTAGTGCAGTTGAATATTATACTGTTATTTTATGTAGTCCCAGCTGGGAATCTACCGCCGATAATAATATTGTACAAGAACAACAATGTCAATATTAGCGTTTCGCGTTTGGAAGTGAACAACTTGCACTGCAGGTATATTACTCTCCTTGGACTTTAGTCATTCAATCTTCTACTGTAGTACTGTCATTATCGGCTGTATCACCTGCATGTACAGTCTACTTTTTGGTCCATCTCTAGAGCAGTTGACATTATGCTGTTAAGATTGGAAAGGCGTGTAGAGATTTACTATCATCACAGACGTAATTACATAGAGTGCTTTTGTCCCTTCTTACTGTCATGAACTGATACCATACTACCAGATTCATCTGGAATTCAACTATACTGTCAATAGACTAGAATAAGTGTTGATATTGTATGAACTGTTTATTAATTAACCACTGGCATTCAACGAGGCAATAAACAAGCGCCATCATACTATGGAGAAAGTGGCTTGTAATGCATGATAATTTGTATTTATTTTAACTAGGATGGACATGCAATGCCAAATAATAACCACCGGCATTCAACTGGCAATAAACAAGCGTCATCATACTATGGAGAAAGTGGCTTGTAATGCATGATAATTTGTATTTATTTTAACTAGGATGGACATGCAATGCCAAATAATAACCACCGGCATTCAACTGGCAATAAATAAGCGCCATCATACTATGGAGAAAGTGGCTTGTGTCATATATCTGAATCTTAGACTTAGTTAATGTTAGTATAGTAATGTTCCCCACGAAAATACACAACAGCTTGTAATGCATGATGTATTTATTTTAACTAGGACAGACATGCAATGCCAAAATAACAACGATTGCCAAGACCACGGATAGCAATACAGTGGCAAGTCGATCAGTCTGACTGCTCGACTTGCCATGACGACGTGAAAAATTCTACCGTATGGAATATCGCTTGTGAAGGCGTCGACTAAAGCCATCACAGTAGTGGTGACTGTAAAATGGATATAGCACAGAGGAAGAAATCAGTCGATCATGGCACTCATCATGATCTAATGTCCATCGTCAAAGTGGTTTACTGTATGCGTACACAACATGATCCACATTCATGTTGAAAGAAGTTTCAAAAACAACCGACGATCGTAGCCATTTCAGCTGCAAGAAGGAAAGACGTAAAACGTAATCCCTGACACAAATTGCAGAGTACTAACCTTTTCGTATTCAGATGATTCTACAACTTAGTATTCACCACAAGCATTCCACAAGGCTTCCAATTTCAAAAGCAATGTAGACTAAACGTTGAAAATTGCCATCCTAGTAAGAAAGGAAGGATAAGCACACCCAACGCCTGCAAACCTTAGCAACACAAGGCTCTCCAATTGCAAACCGCACCAGTCTGACTAGTGCAAGGCAAACTATCAAGAGATTTGCAGCCGTATCGAGTTACAAAAGACGGTCCTATTCTGACGCGTTGCTTGCCTTATATACAGTGTGGTTGTCGGTCACAGCGATACGGTACACTGTACTGTATGGAGATGGGTCAGAAAAAATGCCAGCTTTCTGACCAGCGCCCCTGACTGCGACAGTCTACTCTCCAGTCTCTCCAGTCTATAAAATGCTGCATCGCTGTTGTAGCCCAGTGGAGACTGCAAGTTGCCATGGCATTTCGACTTGAAATCTTTCAATCTGGATCCAATGCCACATCAAGAGATCCTTCTTGTTCCATATTCTACTCTGGATGACACTTATGGAGAACAGTCTACTCTCCAGTCTCTAGAATGATGCATCGTTGTTGTAGCCCAGTGGAGACTGCAAGTTGCCATGGCATTTCGACTTGAAATCTTTCAATCTGGATCCAATGCCACATCAAGAGATCCTTCTTGTTCCATATTCTACTCTGGATGACACTTATGGAGAACAGTCTACTCTCCAGTCTCTCCAGTCTATAGAATGATGCATCGCTGTTGTAGCCCAGTGGAGACTGCAAGTTGCCATGGCATTTCGACTTGAAATCTTTCAATCTGGATCCAATGCCACATCTAGAGATCCTTCTTGTTCCATATTCTACTCTGGATGACACTTATGGAGAACAGTCTACTCTCCAGTCTCTCCAGTCTATAGAATGATGCATCGTTGTTGTAGCCCAGTGGAGACTGCAAGTTGCCATGGCATTTCGACTTGAAATCTTTCAATCTGGATCCAATGCCACATCTAGAGATCCTTCTTGTTCCATATTCTACTCTGGATGACACTTATGGAGAACAGTCTACTCTCCAGTCTCTCCAGTCTATAGAATGATGCATCGTTGTTGTAGCCCAGTGGAGACTGCAAGTTGCCATGGCATTTCGACTTGAAATCTTTCAATCTGGATCCAATGCCACATCAAGAGATCCTTCTTGTTCCATATTCTACTATGGATGACACTTATGGAGAACAGTCTACTCTCCAGTCTCTCCAGTCTATAGAATGATGCATCGTTGTTGTAGCCCAGTGGAGACTGCAAGTTGCCATGGCATTTCGACTTGAAATCTTTCAATCTGGATCCAATGCCACATCAAGAGATCCTTCTTGTTCCATATTCTACTATGGATGACACTTACGGATAAGAATACGTAGATGTGGACTCTCCTTTCGCTTCTTCTTCACACATCCTCGTCACTCATAGTAACTTATGGATAAGAATACGTGTAATATGGAACTGAGCCTGTCTCATCTTAATGTACTTGATTTTTGTACACTAGATGTGGACTCTCCTTTCGCTTCTCCTTCATATATCCTCGTCTCTCTTCTCTTCTTGCTCATCCATAAAAATAATCTCTCACCACATCTCATGTATCAACTCTTTATCAGACCACAAGAAACATGACTGTAGTGTACTGATCAACACTTACTTTATTAGCACATACAGTTCTACATTACATACTATCCCTGTATTGCCGACATAAAACTACTGGAATTAGCTGAAATCACTACAATGACACTTATATATAACCTTGCACAATTGCCACTTGATATTTCCTCCCTCTCCCCATTTGGACTACAGTATTGAATTCGTTTAGCATCATTAAAATTTCGAATACAAATCATCATCAGCATCGGGAGCCAACTCACTACAGTCTAATTAGCATAATTGGTACAGTCGCATGCAGCGCCATCCACAATGTGTATAATGCACTAAATCAAGGACTACTAGGGAAAGAGTTGTCCTTGACTAAATCTATAAAAAAAAGTAAAATTTCAATCCATCTACTACACCTTACTTTGCACGGACTGGAAGGAAAACAGTAATTATTACTGAATAGAATCGATGCTCCAATCCCTGTTGTTGTCATACCATAGCTCAAGACTAGTAAAGTAATTGTCCTTGACTAAACCTATAAAAAAAGTAAAATTTCAATGCATCTGCTGCACCTGATTTTGCACGGATTGGAAGGAAAACAGCAATTATAACTGCATAGAATCGATGCTCCAATCCCTGTTATTGTCATACCACAGTTCAAGGAGACTAGACAATTTTCTAGCAGCTCTTGTATCAGTACTTTTAGTGCAGATAGGTGACGGCCAATGTCCGAAGTTTACGGGTTTTGGCCGTAACATATATAATGTGGTGAATATACAGGACTACTGTAGTTAATAGTTTAAGTACCAAAAAGTAAACATAAATTGCCTCAGAAAGAGTGTCTACCAATTAACATACGAATATCGCAATTTATCAAACAATTCAATCGGTCCAATTAATTATAAATTATGTCTCTCAATGACGATTACTCCAGCAATAACATCTACTCAATTAGAGATACGTACATGTATATATACGAGCATATTCGCATGTAACTTATACCGTAAATATATACAAGTATACTGTACCTTCTAATAACAAGCCTGCCTCAACAATCGATTCTGTACCGATAAAACGAAATTTTATTAATTAAATGACATTGCATTCAATATTAAAGTTACAATTTTTATATTACTGCATAATATCACTTTGGAGATGCCTTCAAATTATTCTATTAAATGAAGCGTAAGCGATACCCTCCAATGTCAGTGAATACAGCAAAGCTGTAGCTCCAAGAAGTGCCTATACACTCAACTGATAATATGAAACTTGAATATTTGCTATAAAACTGCAGTGAAACTCTTGTTATTTCAGTGCCTTAAAAAGATCAACGATGTTACAGTGGAACGCGAAACTTCTCAACTTAGACAGGGAATAACTCTGCCCTTTCGCTTGTTGTTAGATCAGGGTGCCATACATCTACAATAAATACTAACCGAAGACTATCTCCATTATGCCATACTTCGTGTTCAAATGAATCATCAAGGATCATCACTTTACCTTCTTCCCAAAATCTTGTAAAAATAGAATATTTAAAAATGAATACGGATAACATTGCATCAATTTATATTTATCTTGTTCAATATTTATATTTGTATTTACTAATGTATGTACAATAGTCGTACTTGTAAACTGAAATAGCAATCCAACTTAAAGTTGATCTGACTTCCTTCAATTCTATGTTATAAGCTATCCACGCTTCAAGATTTTAATATTTCTATGAAAGTTATGGCACGGTATTAATAATAAATGTATATTTAATTTACCTAGTTTCATTACCAACTCGAATACTAACAGCAGAAGGGACTTTAAGACCAAGATGAAGTCGCAATCGACAGTTGGTTGGGCCAGTATGTGGCCAAATGTGTGTTCCAGGAAACATAACAGAATATTGAACCTACAACAAAATTACATTTTTTAGAAATAAAAGAAGAAATTCACAAATTTTAATGGATAACAAATAATTTGGGACAAAATATAAAACTAGCTTACTTGACCCCTCTTATTGCTTTTAGCTTCAGGAATTTGATTGATAATACTACAAGTTAGAGGAGCTCTCTTACAGTTATCATCATTCCTCTGTCCTCTCACGTACAATTGAAATTGTTTCCAATCTCCCCTACAACGCAGATTTTCAGTCTCTCTTTGAAAACCTGCTGAATTGAAAAAGAAAATCATCTACCTTATAATAATCTTAAAATTTTGAAATAAATTGCTATCTATTTATACACAAAACAAATCAAGCTCTATCATTTGTTATAGGCTATACTTATTTTACATTATTCTTTAAGTTGCAATATAGATTCGAGAGTTTATTCATTTAATTATACCAGTTTGCATATAGACTGTACCTGTTTCTTGATTCAAGATATTTAGTCCTTCTTTCAAAATACTTTTCCAATGTTTCTCTAACAATCGAACTGACGATAAATATCCTGTTTCTTCAGCATTCCACCAAGGTTTACCACGTAGTCTATCGACATTGTAGAGTGATCTCTGCCATTCTGACAAAAAATATCCTTTTATAACGCCGTTGTTATAAACAGAGTTAGCCTAAAAAAGGTAATAATCCCACTATGAACAACAACAATTTAGATATTCTTAGCTTTTCTAAAGTATTTTACTATATCGCTATTCATAAACGATACACCGATATACTCGTATATATGAATGTATAATAGTTAATAAGTATTAGTATAAATTCAGTAAATATTATCCGTATAATCAAATAGACATTTTCTTACTTCAGATTTTCTCCCCACTCGTGTTAATGCATCGCCTAAATATAAGTAGAATTTAGCAGCATCGGTTCCTGGCTGTTGACTATTGATGCCAGCACTGAGTAACGGGATAGCTTCATGATATTGTGACTTAGTATTGAGAAGGAATCCTAAATGAACTTGTGCAAAACCATCATCAGGTGATATCTCTAAGACTTTTCGATATGTGCTTTCAGCTTGAGAATTTTGCTTGATTAATAAATACTGAATGCCCAATTTATTTAAAATATTAACGTCGGTAGGTGATTCTTTTACTAGTTTTTCTAATACTTCCATAGCCTTTTTATGGCTACCTAGAAAACTCGCGCGATCAGCCAGACGCAAATATGCAGCCTTTCTAAGCTCAACTGAGCAGTGGCGTTGCTCTCCAACTTTATGATAATTCTCAATTGCCTTATGTAGCAGTTGATTACTTCGCTCCTGCTCTGCTAGCTTATCTAAAGCTTTGGCTTTGCCGTAGCGTGCCAAAACATTAGTTGGATCTCGCTTAAGGATCGGGTCGAAAGCATCAAGAGATTTATTATAATTCTTTTGTTTTAGAAATGTTTCTGCAAGTGTTAAATCATCCATAGAATCCTTGCTAACTAAATTATTATTCCCATTTTTCTTAGGCATTACTTTTCCTGGTTCTTGTTTCAAGATAGTAGTTCTTTTTATTTTATCCGCAATAATGTCATTATCATCCATAGAATTCCCATTTGCCACGTTACTAGAAGTAGCTAGGGTGCTCGACACTGAAATTGTTTCATCCTTTCTCTCTGAATAGATTGAGAGTTTCGTCGGATTACCATTTAAACTATTCTTACTGCCGCTCTGTTTCTGCTTCTGAAGTACATCACCATGGCTATCGTGAAAGATGGCGTCAAAGCTCTGCCTTGGTGACCTAATAACATCTCGTAAAGTTTGATATCCTATATAATAAGTTCCTACGGCCAATGCTACTGCAAGTAAAGCTAGAATCGATTTCATTATTTAAAGTGAAGACACAATTTACGTCTATCTGACGGTGCACTATAGTGTATGTAATTATCTCTATTAATAATGGTGGTCAATTCTCGAATTAAATATCCTGCAATTTTCATAGTAGATAAAATAATATTGTAACTCATATATATTCACAGTATAGCACTCTAGTCTACTGTATTAGCGTAAGTACACTATATACACTACTTAGTAGGCCTCGATCACTTTCTGGATAGTAAGGTATTTGTACTCTGATCTACCCCATACCATATGTATAAACGCACATCATGATCATACTGTATATTTATATTACTCGATTTATATGCCTACTTGGATTTATTTTAGCAGGTTTAGCGTGATCCATAGTGTACGTATTGCAGTAGCGTAGATTTCATACTATGCTGGTAGATCTGCATATACTTACTTACTGATAGCATAATATATCCTTAAAGTTTAGACGATATATTAATCTCATTAATATGCATATTATTAGCTACGATTGATAGTACTTAATTAATTTCGTTCTTGTAAGATGATTTATAGCATACAGGATATGAATTGTACTATAAATCCAATGATATTTTGTAATAATTACCAAATTATCCAATATTTAATCATATTCGATAATAATAAGCAGCAACTTGCAAACAGTGCTATCAAGAGGAATCTTTCTGTTTTACGCGTAGTATTAATATGTTCTAGTTCTACTACGAGCCTCCATCAATTTCAGATCTAAGGATAAAGTTCAATTTTTGCAAGACCTTATACAGTGCCTTCGAGATTACTTGCCTACCGTGCTTGATATCAGCCATACCCAGTATCTGTATGCACTCATTTGCACGTTAATGTAAAACTATAGCTCACGGTAGACAGATACTGATCTAACTGACCGCATTTTTTAATTGGGAATGACATCGCGGCAATTAAGTATTAATTAATATAATGTAATTCTTTGCTACATAAACTGCAATAAAGGGAGGTATGTATTGGTACGTACGAAGATTACTAAGTATAAAATGAAAAATAAGCCAATTAGCGGTATTGTGAATATCATTTTGAAGTCTTGCACATTTGTACCATTGAGATTATTATTTTAAAATTTTTGTTTATTTAAAGTTACAAGTCCAAATTTTTATTTTATTTTCCTTGCTAACAGTACAGAGTACAAGCTGGATTAGAATTAATACTATTCGATCCACAGTTCGTGATACTTGACTTGTTTACTTGTTCACGGAGTAGAATTTCAATACCCTCACTTCGTACTTTACTTGAGCAATTGCGCAAATTGAATTCTTATTGTTGTTATACTGTTCACTATCCAGTACGAATCATAATTCATAATTGAACAGTTAATGGTATTTACTGTACTGTACAGTATTCAATAATTTTGTCGTAGTACCTTGTAAGCAGTATGTAAGCTGTATTAACTTATATATTAAGGCATGAGCTAAAAAAAAACGGATTTCTTCTAGTAGTCCATGACTAAGGCTTAATTTGAGATCTGTTGATGATGACGACAGTAGCCAGAACCGTAGCCATGGAGAAGAGCAATGAGTCCATTACACTGTATGGTACTGTACTGTCCAGTCCTAGTACTGTGCGAAGTGAAATGATGTCACCTATATCGATTCCACGTGGCAGTGTAAGTGAGTACCTTAATGGAACGTCATGGTGACACTATTTTTGCCAACAATTCATCTACTGTACAGTACACTTTAGTTTATGCACTGTAGTCCGTGCAAAGTGAAATGATGTCACCTATATCGGTTCCACTTGGCAGTGTAAGTGGTTACCCTAATCGAACGTCATGGTGACACTATTTTTGCCAATAATTCATCTACTGTACAGTACAGTACACTTTAGTTTGTGCACGTTAGTCTGTACGAAGTGAAATGATGTCACCTATATCGATTCCACTTGGCAGTGTAAGTAACTACCCTTATCGAACGTCACACTGACACTATTTTTGCCAACAATTCATGTACTGTACAGTGTACAGTGTACAGTACAGAACAGTACACTTTAGTTTGTACTGTACCAGCACCAGGGACAGAGAGAAAACATTTTAGCAATGCCTGACTGCGCTCTTGTGCAGTTGTCCAGTACAGTGAATGGACTCTAGCCCCTGCCACCTTACATAAAGTTCTTACTGTGTACTTTACATGTACAGTACAGTACATTAATTTCATCATTTTATAAACTCTGGGAAGCTAGGACTCACGCTGTAGTGTAAGTAAGATGACAGTGGGCTACTGCATGAGTGTGCATTGCAAACTCATGTTTGTATCCAGTAAGTACCATACTGTACAGTACAGTACTGTACTGTACAGTGTACACAGGGCCACAGAGTATTGAGAAGTTGTATTGACAGTACAGTACTGTACTGTACTCGACTAGAGTGTACAGTGTACAGTGTACAGTGTACAGTGTACAGTAGCTGGAATACGGTACAGTGTACTCAAAAGCTGATACACACGATTGTACTAGACTGTACTGCACCACTCTGTTAGATAGCGATCGTCGACCTCTCCATGGAATTGTCAACACTCGAAAGTCCAACTTGAAACTTTCTGTGCACAAATCCTCATCCAATCGACTGCATTTATATGTCTTATTACGATGATCGTATGCAATATCTACTAATGCACTGGTCATGGAAGATAATATCAATTTAACCTTCAAAAATATTCAAGAGTTTATCACCCAAACGAATCGCCAGTTATCTCATCTCATTGATAAAATCGGACTGGATAGAGATCAATTTTTACTAGAGGTAAGGCACAGAAGAATTCATTCCTATCTGAAATCACATTGCATCACTACTTCAATTGTATTCTCGGGTAAAAATAGAGCGATTTGCATACTAAAATTTCTATAGCATGATGCTTAACATCATTATCGCTTGCGGTAGCCAATGCAATATAATGTTTGTATCGATTATATTGTACAGCATTCGTGTTTGAAATGATTCGCTTGATCTCAGCATGTACACCATAACCCATCTTTTAAATGTACTTTTACAGAATGAAATAGTTTCATGCCCTATCAATGTTAATCATCGCATACCGCGCTCGTCTTTAGAAAAACATACTAAGAAATGTATGTTGAAGGAGCAAGGTTTCTATAATCAGGTACTATATAACTATAAAATAATTGCCAATAATTATATTGTAATAGCTCGCTTTTTCTTCAATGATCTTGTAAGTTATAACGACGAGTTATTGTCTAAACTCTTGATATATTATATTATAACATCAGATTGAAATACCTACATCCAAATTCTTCTACCAACCAAACTCTTCAGTTTCATCAATACTTACAGGTCAGAATAAATATCATGGTATTGTAATATTTACTATCCTTACAACTTGGCGACATTGCTGCAGGCCTTTCTACAAGTAATCACTTCAAATTTGCTCCGTACAGTAGTAATTCTCGGATGACAATAGTATAGCTTTCCTTTTATACATCACCCAAGGAAACAACTCAAAAGATACAGTCAATAAATCGACAATCCGTTATTTCTGCACATATCTTGTAAACTGTTCTCTAAGTCAATTGCTAATCATACATTATTCCAGTTAAGATTCAAGAATAAAATGAAATAGCATAGATACTGTATATGTCACGTATATCTTGAGTTATTTCTCATGCATCCTGATATTTTACGCAGATTATTCAAATGTTGAAATAAATGCCGCCACAAACGACGACAATTGCACTTCCTCAGCTGTAAGTAATAGTTCCACAATTTCATTTACCCTATCTTATGTATATTTACTATTTGAGAATTTTTAGACAAACTGTATTTTGTGCACGAGACATTTTATTGACACATTATGAAGGAACACAATACGTTGTCTCTCTAAACTATAGTCATCATCTTTTTTTCCTATTTATACTCATACGTAGACAATTGTTAGCGAAATAGATCAAGATTCTAGCGTTATAGACCCCAAGGATATTATGACGTTGGAATCTTCAAATCAACTCTCCGATATCAATATAGAACATAAAGATATATCTACCGATATTGAATACGAAACCATACCAATGGAAAAAATAAAGTATACCACGTTAACTTTCTTATTGAACTAGTCTTCAGACAATATTTATATTCCCTATTAGCACGAAATACATATTATTATCAGTATTATTTTAATTTCTTACACTCCAAGATCATTTTGTTCTAATAATTAACGTAACTGCAGGAAAATCCACAGTTGGAAAGCCATTCCTAAAAATTACCTGAATATTGATACGTTGATAATGGACCCTAATACCATAAAATCTTGGATAATTAAAAATCTGCCTAAAACGAATTATCTCGAGTAAGTTGTTGGTTCATTTGAATAGATAGTCTATATTACCAATAAAATTGCTTTCACAAACTATTGATCTACGATTGAAATTAATTGTTATTGATTGTCAGGTCCGTTATGGGAAGTGAAATTGAAGTTACTAACATCATTATAAGAAATTTACACAGTCAAACTTTATGCCAACCCAATAAACTCGTACGAACATTATGGTTCGCTCTACAAAGCAGTAAGCTTAATTGCTGTTATACTATTTTGACTTAATTAATTAATATAAAAACATATCGTTAGAGGGTCAAGAATTTGTGTTAGAACTGTGGAAGTTTTTATGGACCATGAAAATAAGCCATCAATATAAACTAGACCAGGTAATGACTTGTAGTAAAACAGCCAAATGATGCTCTTAGTGATAACCATCTAGCTTATATTTGTTCCAGAATGAAGTAAATGAAGCCATTCAAGGTATAAAAATAAAATTGAGAAGCAATTCTGAAATTAATGACGATACGAATCAGAATTCATATCAATTGCACTTCCAAAATGTACGTTCAAAAGTAATTACATACTTTAGGAATAGATAACAGTTTTTCGACTTTGTTACAAACATCTTTAGATTAAACTTTCATTTTTATTACATTAGGTGTCTGAGGGTGTTATAACTACAGTTAATTATGCCCTATCACCAGATAAAATGGCTTGCATATTTACACCTGAGCAGCGATTAGCTATTTACGAAGATATCATTAAGGTCGGTTCATAAACATCCTCTAGAAAGTATTTGTCATCTCAGTTAAATTTAACAATTACAATACATGTGATTGGATGTTATACGGTACGTATTTCCTGACAGCGCGTAAATGCCATGAAGCCCAAAACTAGAGCTACATTAGAGGAACTTCAAATTGATTTTGATACCATCCAAGAACTATGTACGGTTTATGACATCAGAATTAAATATATAAAGTAAAATGTGACTATTATTGTAGCAGCAAAAGTAATTACCTTAGTATAACTAATTTAAACAAATTACATTAATTATTTGTAATAAATCATATTAGGCAATAATAATACTGATAAGACCAAAAGTCATTTAGAGGTACTTGCTGAACAGCGCGACTACAAGAGAAGAAGACAGACTTACAGGGCAAAAAATGTACATATTACGAAACGCACGCCTACCCAGGTAAGTTCTATGAATTATTATTTTCTGTAAACTTTGAATGGACATTACAATACTTTGGCCTTGTGTACTGTATAAATGCTCAAACCATCCGCTAATTAATGTAGTCATGATTATGATCTTGTAAGTGATTTAACAAAGCAGTATTTCGTTGTTGCAGGTTCATCGTGACTTGATCGAATTACAAATGAAATACTTAGAATCAATGATTGGAGATTCTAGTCATAGTACTGAAAGTATTAACAACGATTCCAGGAATGAGGTGACTAACAATAAAAACATAGCTAGCCAAAAGACAGATACTGTCATCGATGAGCAATTAAAATTAAAGTCAAGAAAAGAAACAAAATCCGATCGTCGTGAACGAAGACATGACTCTGCAGACGAACACTACTCTCATCGCCATCGCAGTCATTTTCGGGACAAACCACGATCTCATTCTAGTAAACATAGCGACAGTGACTACAGTCAGCATCACCATCGACGCAGTAAAGACGATAACCACCATCATCGCCATCATCACAAACACAAAAAATCGCACAACAAATAGTCAAGCTACATACAGCACTATACTTTATGTCAGCAAAGACTAGTAATTGTTCCACGTTCCTAAACAATTGTATTTGTAAGCGTTGATCTTAAATTCTAGGATATTTATTTCTGCATATAAATTAATTGATTGATGACCTGAAAATGTACTAAGCCTATGTAAATTATATTTCGCGATACATCATAATCGCAATTGAGATCGATCCAAACAGTATATAAAATCATACGCTAACAGATATTCTGAATAGCACCTCAGTACAACAAATCATAGCAGCGATCGAATTCTAAAAAATAGTCAAATTAGATATTGTATTCTAATAGCCAATAAACAAATGCGTAAAATAAAACCTATTTAAAAATTTTTCACGTAGAACTATGTGCAAGGATTGTAAAATAGTTTCAGTTTGAAATTTTCTTATTAAATTATAACTGACATATAATACGCATTTGCTCTTATCATCACTTGCAGTATCCCTTCAGTGATTGCAATCAATCACCTTAAATTAAATAGTCCATGATTCAAAAATGTGTAATTCATCTTGACTAATGATTTCTAGCTTGCGTATTGACTATTGAAGATACTCTTCAGTGCCACCACAAGTATAGAATAACATTTTAAGTAGTAAAATAGTCGCTTGACATTCTATCGTATCCTAGTCTTTAAATTTCTTTTTATAAATATATATACATCTAACGATCAAGTTAATCCAGTTCTAACATGATCATACAATATGAAGTTACAGAGCAATGAATAAATTCCTGCAACAGATTATAGTATCAAACCATTGAAGCAACTCTGGTTGTCTTGTGAAGCACCAGATTATATATCAATAGAGATTTTAAAAAAGATAAAATAACGGACATTCATTCAATATTAACAAAGGTTAAATATAATACGTAGGATATAATCAGCCATATTACTGTTTTGCACTTTACTGTCAATCTGTCATGTAGTTCTATAGAATCTTAATTTTTTCAAAAATGGTAAGTTATATAAGATCCATTCATCCAGGGTATCAGTCGAATCAGACTCGATCATGCGTTTCCAAAAGATTGCAATGAACAATGTGGCTACCAATGTTATGCATAAGCGAGCTCTGTGTAATAGCAAACCAAAACAATTTCTTAGTTTCATTAAATTCTAAAGGAATTTCATTTTTTACAAACATTGCTACAATTTAATTAACATTCTGGCATACTTAGTTCTAATAAAAGGTCTAATGCCTTTGAATACAGCACTGCCAAACATTAATAAAAATGTCGCAAAACTAATGCCAATATTCAGGGCTGAAGATATCGCATCACCACTTTTTAACCCTAAACCTTCATAATCCATAGGCTTTTGCAGCTGATCTAATCTATTTTCTATTTCCTTTATCTAAAATTTACATGCAAATGCACTTATAAGCAATTAACTCAAATGGCAATCTAATACTAATTCTATGGTGCAATACATTTGCACTCAGAAGCTGAGCTACTAACTTTAGTATGATAAGAGCTAAAAAAATCATCTAAATCTCCAGAAAAGACATTTAGGCGATAATCCGTTCGTTCTTCAACATTTTCCAATTCAGCTTTTAATTCATACGTCTATCAAATTTAACCAAAATGTTAGAATTATACAGTATATGAGGTCCATCTAGAGAATTTAATTATATTAGCTTCATTGAAACTAACTAGATTGAATACCACCAATTTACTATACGAGTCGTATTGCAGAGAGAACATTATAACTATAATAAGAGGTACATCTTACCTCATTTTGTCGAAGGTCAATAAACTCATTCAGCTGATCCTCAATACTCTACTCAGACAATACATAGATGGAAAACAAGTTCATCAATTAAAAAAAAATACAATTAGCGAAATAATATGAATAACCTTACATGAATATGATCTCTATCTTCTTCATAATCCTCAGCTATTTCTTGAAATCGATTCTTGCTATCCTCCTAACAATATACAAAACTAGTCATGAAATGCGTAAATTATACAAACTTATACTATAGATATACTGTAAATTACTGTTACAGTACAAGCAATATTCAGTTCTTGTTGATTACATTTGATCTATCAATGGCTAATTCTAAAATTTGCTGAGATTTCTTGAGGCTAGAAACTTTGGTAGAAAGTGCCTTAACGGTATTTCTCAATTCATTAATAGCAGGCATAATTTCTCCTTCAATCTTTATCTGTAACGATTCCGACTGTGCAGTTGGAGAGGCTTCATTTGAGCTGCGTGATACTTTAGAAATACTTTCTGTTGAATTACTATTTAAAAAATTTATTTTTTATAAGTACGGCAGCATGAACGTTAAAATATTACTATATAAAATTCAATTACAGAACAAAAATGGTATCACTTAATTTACTAACCGTAGAAGTTGTTTCTCATCTGTTGTTTCTGGAAATTCAGTTCCACTTCTACTATCAGGCCTACTACATAAATATCAAACCTTAATTCACCATATTCTCGATGAACTACTCGATAAAACTTTATTTAAAATTTATAACTAGATATGCAAGATAGTGTTTCGTATACCTATGGATGCTCTTAGACTTTACAATTGGTTCCGTAGCGCTTATACTTCTCGATCGAACATCCGTGGTATCAACAACATTAAAACTATTAGATGCTTCTGTATCTAAAAGAGTAAACAAAAATTATTTTTACTCGAAATCGAACAGGTTGTCAAATTAATTAGCATAAAACTTTAAGAACTACAGTATATCCATTAGAGTTACCAAGCCGATGGAGATTTTCATTGCTACCCGCTAGTGTCGACGTTTTCGGAATTAATAACTGCTTTGTACTGCTTACAGCGCTGCATGCAAAGAATATATTATCTCAGCGAATGGTAACATCTACGCATCAAGTATCAAATTTGCTTAAATATCTAAAAGTCTATAAAGTTTAAATTTCTACCTCGATAAACTGGATTTTATGTTGTTTGTCATTGTGCTAAAGAAAGTACATTTAGGTAGAAGCTACTTAATACCACATAGCAAACTTGATTATGTATACTTTGCTCATAAAATTAATAAAATGTGGCATACCGTAAATGCATTTTATGATGTCGAGGGTCATTTACAAGTTCCTAATACATTATGATAACAATTCAATTAAAGATAAAAAACCCGTAATAGTGTCTTAGCCAAATTAAATTGATTGCACATTTACTTAAGTTATTATTAACTTACGGACGTATTATACGACAACTATAACCACTTGAGTTACTTACCGACAACAGTTTATTATGTTTTTCTAAAGATCGCTGTTTAGTAGCAATTTCTTTTTGACGCTTTTGAACCTCTTTGTCAAAGACTTTCTTTTTCCTAAAATTATATGAGGAAAATGGCTATTCGATTACCGACTCTCCCTTAGCGGTGTTTTATTATCCGATGTACTAAACAGATAATTGACTAGCACAATAGCAACTAGTAACTGCTACCAAGTTATATACGGTAATTATATATCACTTGATAACAGCCACCAATGAAGAACCATCATATAATTTCACTAACTTTGCTTGATCTTGACTAATATCGTTATCATCATAGGTCTTTAAGTAATCAGCAATAACTTCTGTATATCAAATAAAAGCATATAATAATTAGTTGCCAAATAATCAGATCTTCGAGTTAATCAATTATATCGATATATCAGTACAAATAATTAAGAGTTTATTAAATGATTGGTTAAACTATGAAATGGCATGCAATCCTTCATCAGATTAATATCCAGCACAAGCTACGCGTACCGTTTTGAAATTGTGTTAATTCATTGATGTCTTCCTTAATTGACTCAATTTTTTTCTTTAACTTTTCTACTTCAGCTTCTACTATAGCAGTACGCTAAGCAAGAAGTTAAAATTTCCATTAGTATATACTGTAGTGACATTACATAGTAGCTGTCTAAATCCAAAGCTGCAAAGACATAGTATGAAAAAGTTGGACTTGGACTCCTCATTACTTCGTTTTATAAATATAAAAAAGTTACATCACAGTATGCGTTATCACGATCCACAATGAACATTAAGTAGTCACAGAAAATTACAATAAGAGAAAGCTTCTATTAGGAGAAAATCAAAGCATCGATAGTAGCGTTAAGAACTATCAATGATAGTACTAAACATGGCAATAAAGAGCCGCACCGTCGTAGCTTTACCTGACTATCAAGAAATCCATCCAGTTGATCTTCTTCATCCCCCAATGTTTCATCATTCTAAATGTAATGCAATGAAAACAATGATGTACGTGAATTACTATATTGCCTGGCATCAATTGTAAGCATAATTTGCTAGTACATCATTGATGCTTATTGGATAACACAACAAATTTGTCAGTCAGTACTACGTTTAAAGATGATACGCGTATAGTTTAATTTAATAAATTCGTTCAGTGTATTGTTAACTATATAAGTTGTTACAGCATTTGGTAGTATCCTATAATTAATGAGCTTAAAGAAAGAGTTCTGATAGCGCTTACCAGATCAGTCGTAGACCGGCTGAGATCGGATTTATTAATAATATTTAAAGAGTTGCTATGGCTATCTCCGTTATTCTTCCCTTTGAATATATAATCCGTTAATTTAGACACTTTCTTTCCAAGATGAAATTTGTGAGATTCGGACTCGGTTGTTCCTTCGTTGTCACTATCTTCAACTCCCATACCATGGCGTATTCCACTACTATTTATCATGATTAGATGTATTGTCGTTCTAATAGGTCTAGCAAATGCCCATTAATGTTTGAAATTGTAGTCCTTATGTTCTCTATAATTGGAGAAACAATAGTAACCCCCAAAAATATAAGCATACCTGACAACTTTAAAATTGGCTACGGTTATTTAAAATTAGATTCAATAATTTGCCCGTCTGATCTAATCTATTAGTGCCAATAAGTACAGTATGTACAACGCGCTGTACATTCCCATTTAGAAACAACTTGGAAAAGTTAAAATAAACAAAATGCAGTGAACTCCCTAACGATAACTCACAGTAGACATCAGTGCAAAAAAAGGTTGGTTACAAATGAAAAGTACCTAGCAGGCTAGCCCTATCTTGTAGAAGGTGAAAAATGTAAATTATTGCTGAACTATAACGATTTCTTAACGATGTCGAAAAAGATTTTGAGATTTTAAAATAGGTTTACAGGAAAATAGTACAGTATTCATAACTGCGATTTGCAAAGAACTTTGTTACGATACTAATAACTGTATACTGTCTACAGAGCAAGGTAATTATTTGTAAAATCGGGTACAATAGCACAAAAGGGCATCGTTTCATGATACACAAACGCAAAGCTATTTTAGGAGTGGCATTTCTATTACTTATGCTTTCAAAACTATAAACAAGCTTCCTTTCATTGTACAAAGGGAAGTGTTATTCTTGCACAGCATCCATGTTAAAGAAACCTTCACCCCATTAATAAACTGACTGATATACTGTACGTGTAGTAAAGATTATTGACAGACGTCGGTCCAAAAAGGATGAACAATTCGTTCTACCGTATCACAATAAAGTACATTTTGTCTACAAATATTGCAGTCAACCAGGAATGCTTGTAGTACAATATTAAGCCTAAGTTAACGTAAATATATATAACGATCTACATAAAATAATTCGTTAATTTTATTCATTATAATTAATTAGATGCCGTATTGATCCATAATTTTACCTGATTTAGTGCTTTTAAAACGTAAAATTGCAATCGTACCAACTTAGCTAATAGCACTACTATGATCACCATCATACACAAAATTTATAACACTGGTGTTTCGTAGCGAAGCAGGTTTCATTTTAATTTCGAGTGAAAAACTGTCCATTATGTACGTGGTAGCGTATACGTTTTGCAAATTAAATTTGAGTTCTACTGTATTCTGATATCATTATATGTACAGTGCGTACTACGTATAGATTGGAACGTCCGTTCGTTAACGATTACTGAGTTACAGAATCGTCTCGAACCACTTAAGATATCGCTTCCATTGTACGAATATATGAACAACATCGACCAAGGCTGGTTGATAATACAGTATAATTAATTCAAAGTTCAAGCTATTATTCAATGAATGTTGTGAAAAAATAATAGGTGCAAATAAAAAAACAGAAACGCGATCGAAATACTATTCCATGCAGTACCTTGACATCATTATGATTTGGGACACCCTTCCGTAGTACAGTAACAATACTTCATTCGAAAGTCTATCTGCAGTAAATCGTGCATTAATACAGTATATAGGTGTCAAATGTGGAATAATTAATTTGTTGGAGTCATTTATTCGAGTAATGAAGAATTACAACATTCAAATCCTGCAGTAAAATGCTGTTAACATACGTCGTTGTAGTTTATTATTACACTCAGTTCACTTGATCCACCAACTGCAGCGAATGCGGTATAGTCATAGAGGGAAGGCAAGTAAACGACGTTTATAACAGTCGGTAGGGGGTTGTAAAAATATAAGCAATATTTCGGCGTTTCTTTGCTAACATCACACCACAGTCCGCTACCGATAGAATGTTCCCAAATCGGTCGAATTATTATTATTCTTTTTTTGGTTAGTGAACAGTGTACTCAAATTTATGCAAAGGTTCTTTTTCAGACTTTGAGATATTTTCATAGGTGGCGAAGTTATGGCAATATACAGTGCTCATTACAGTCATAGCAAGGCCTGTAAGAAATTGAAGGCTGGAGCGAATGCACTGTATCCTTGCATCTAGGAACTACCATTATCGAAAATAGCTTGCGGCGAATAGGTATTTGAATCATTCGATCATTCTCAATAAGATGTGTCATCGACACTACTGTACTCGTCTGTTTTACAGGCTACGTAGCGGGTGTAATGAGGAAGAAAAGTAGCACAGATGATGCAAAAGTGCACCTTGTCGATTATTGACCGTGGAGTAAAAACCTCTCAGATGCAGCTATAATGCACACTTGCACAGGTACTTTTATCCTGTACGACATCCATCAAAGACATTACATGAGTGAGGATAAAGTAACTTTTGAATAAGGTCAAGTTGACCACGGCTGTTTTCAAACACCGACAATTTTAAGTTGTCCCTTCAAGTGAAACTACGGTAGACTTGTAATGTTGATCTGAGTACAGTATATTCTCATTAGTCGTCTAAACGACCATTGAATAATTGTATTCTAAAGACTAGGATAATAACGAGGATCAATCAATCCTAATTGCTAAACATAAGTCAAAGGTTACTAGATCGATTCAAAAGTCCAAATTCAAGAAGGAAAATTGACAATGTATGTACACCTATCTCAGGCTAAAATCGATGGTGACTGGTGATTGTCACTGAAAAATGTCAATGGAACCCTACCTGATTGAGAAAGGATTGATAGGATGCGTGGATAGGCTATTTCTCCAGTTTAAAGGGATGCTGGCTAAAAACTATCTGCAAGTGAAAAAGAAGAACCACTTTAACTGCTCAAGTTTCAATGGCGAATAACCCCAAGAAATTGATTTCTCTCTACCACTGCGCCATTAACTGAAGTGAATGACTCACGCCGAGTCACCGACTGCCACTGAAGCGTTCAATAGCTTCAATCCAATCAGTTGTGACGAGCGGCGCAAGTCGATTGCACTGGTCACGATAGCCTACAGTATACAGTAGTGTGTACAGTGCTTGTTCTACAGTATACAGTATGAACATCAATATTGATTTATGCAAATACCACAGTATATTATTCTAAATTCTAATAATGAGGCTGAAGCGTGTGAGGTGAATTACACAGCGAACCGTCTGCCTTTCAATGTTGCCATCAATGACCATATCAATGATGTCATCCACCGGTGGAGTCATACAGTCTCACTATGTGGTATGATGCAGTCCAAATAAAGTTTGCCTTTAATTATGATAGTGAATTAGAAGCTAAACAATGACCTGAACTTGTATCCAATATCCACCCTGAGACTTTTTTATTTTTTCCAACTTGTAAGCGTTTTGTGCTATTGACATTTCAGCTTGACTTTAATGCTTCTGAGGATGACGATGGAAGATGCCTCTAAAGCGTCCTATGCATTATTCTCACGAGTGGTAAACTGTGCAGTTCGTAATTAGGAGCACACTCGTCTGCTACTGAATGATGAAATTCAACGGCAGTACTACTGTAGGATATCGCTTGAGGTGCTATATAAAAATGTCAATCTAGCATGGGCTAATGAAGGATAGATCAAGCACATCAAGTAATCCTGACCTCTACAATAACGTCATGTAAAAGCCCAAGTATAGAGCAGAGTCATACAGAATATAAAAATTGAAATTCCAAGAGATTTTTCAATGTTTATTACTTACTGTACTGTACTGTACAGTGTACAGTACAGCATAACCCCCCCCCCCCCAAAAAAATGGAATTGAATTTAGTTTGTTTATGATTTTATTACACAGTCCAACAGGGAAAAGTTGGAAACAGTAGAAAACTTCTTATGTACTGTACAGTAATGAAGAGATTCTATGTATGGTACTATAGCATCATGATGGAAATCCATGAAAGCTAGTGTGCTGTAAAATAGTGTAGAAACTTTATCCTCAAGGTACTCCCTCATCTCCATATCTCTCACGCTTCTTTACTGTTCACTAGAGACCCTTTTTAGAGAGTCTGTAAAATAAGGGTCTCTACTGTACTGTACTCAGTACAGCCTGTAAGTAAAGCTGAATTTCTGTCTGTCCGCACGGTTGTAAGTCTGTCAAATAAGGGTCTCTACTAGTACAGTCTGTACTGTACTCAGTACAGCGACTACAGCCTGTAAATAAAGCTGAATTTCTGTCTGTCCGCACAGTTGTAAGTCTGCAAAATAAGGAGGGTCTCTACTGTACTCAGTACCGCCTGTAAGTAAAGCTGAATTTCTGTCTGTCCGCACAGTTGTAAGTCTGTAAAATAAGGGTCTCTACTGCACACAGTACAGCCTGTAAGTAAAGCTGAATTTCTGTCTGTCCGCACGGTTGTAAGTCTGTCAAATAAGGGTCTCTACTGTACTGTACTCAGTACAGCCTGTAAATAAAGCTAAATTTCTGTCTGTCCGCACGGTTGTAAGTCTGCAAAATAAGGAGGGTCTCTACTGTACTGTACTCAGTACCGCCTGTAAGTGAAGCTGAATTTCTGTCTGTCCGCATAGTTGTAAGTCTGTAAAATATGGGTCTTTACTGTACAGTACTGTTACTACTGTACTGTACTCCGTACAGCCTGTCAATAAAGCTGAATTTCTGTCTGTCCGCACGGTTGTACTGCTAAGTGTGAGAGATTAAGCAATCTCTTTCCGTTCCATTCCGTAAGCAAACTAGTGACGCAGTATACCGTACAGTACTGTATAGTGTACAGTATTACAGTGCAGTACGGTACTGTACCGTACAGCTTATATAACACGACAGGCGGTCCAGTACCGTCAGTCAGTAAGCCGTACTGTACCGGTACACCATGTCACGTGCGCTAGACTGAATTGAATCATGTGATCGATGGAAAGGACGACTGCACTGTACTGTACGCTACAGTCTACAGTCTACAGTACAGTGTATGATGATTATGACGTTCATGCTCGATACTCGAGTGATGTCATCAATGTTAGTATGAACTGATTGATCGATAGGTTCAAATGACTGGCGGCAGACGACACGTCAACATCTTCTACCCTACAGTACTGTACTGTAGTCTGTAGGTGATGATACGTTGCACAGTTTGCAGCTACTTGGGATACAAAGCCACGAGAAGAAAGTACGCTCAGAACTGACGACAATATTCCCCATTTTCAATGATCTTTTAGTCAGGTAGTGCAGTTTATTTTTTGTTCTTTCTTGAATTATTCAATTCAAGTTACAGTATTACACTATTCTACTTAGCCGTGATATCAACTGCTGGTGTTTAAATAAAGCAAAATTAAAACTGAGTTGAAAAATACCATCATTGATTGTGGCTAGCATTTCATTCCATGCTCACGTCATTGGAGCTGTCTGTTATTGATTTTAGTCATTGTTATGATTGTGGTCATTAGTAGGAGTACAGGAGGAGCTTTATTTGTATATTTGCATTAAACAACCATTTGGCTCGAAATTGGGAAAAAATTGCCACCAAGTAGTGTATTGGCCATCTGTTTCAAGCCGTTATACTATCTTGTACAAGTTGGAGAAGTAAACACCATGCTCTAGAATTGTTTTCCTCATCGAAATGGATTACATAGGCAAATTGGTGTCATTAACCAAAGAATTCTACAATGGTATCAATCCTGCTACATTAACAGGAGCTATCGACGTTATTGTCATTGAACAACCTGATGGTAGCTATTCATGCTCTCCATTTCATGTCCGTTTTGGCAAGCTTGGCGTTTTACGAAGTCGTCAGAAAGTGGTAAAATATACAAACTCATTTTTCTCTTCTAACCTAGTAGTAGAGTATCAAATTTACCCTCAATAGAAATGCAACGTTGCTACAAAGTAGCAATCAATGAGCAGACTTCCTGACGCTTGTTTTCCCTCACTACCATGCTACAAAGGATACACTTGGCCACATGTTATGATGACAAATTATGCCACTCTAGTACTCCAACTTGTTATATTCCAACTCCTCAATTGTTCTAATCTCATCATGACCTATGAATGCGACCATTACTGCTGTTTTAACAAAATGAGACATCAGAAACAATACCATACGTGCGATATTGATCCTACTACGTCCATGCATAGTATCGTATTAGGTAGGGGTGAACTCAACATACTGTTCTTGGATGGAGGTTAACCCTAGCTAATACGCTTATACTACTTTATTTGCTGAGGACTACCGCAGCTGTCCATGTTACAGAAATGGCTAGTTGTACTTTTAGTTTTCCTTGACTGTAGTCATCCTTTTTGACAAGTTGATTGAAAATAAAACTGAGTACTAGAGTGAGCAAGTTTAGTCATAACAATATTCGTAGAGACACAATTGATTCGACCTAACTTGTAACCTAACCCTAGCTTCTCCATCAAATATGAGAACTTTAACTTCACACTGTTGAAAGGTTGGATCATGTAGTATGCTGTCCAGTTCTACATTCATAAAAAATATCCAATTTTTCAATAAAACCCAGCAGTTTTACCAACAATATTTCTTTACCATCTTGGGATACTCTGTATACGACTTTATGAATAAATATAATACGATAGTAAATAAATACTACTGCACCGAATGCTTAGACAACTCTACCCACAATATACTATAATACCGTTCATACAAAATTAAAATAATAAATAAATAAGAAATTCTGTATCAAATAGCTCATTTTAAGTCTTGAAACTACTATAGAATAGACTCGATGCTACGTCTTCATAACCATGTAATATTCATGCTTTTTTCTACTTTCCTGCACTTGCACTACATGTTTGGAATACTTGTATACGTCTTTTTGCAGTACAAGAAAACATCTCAATGAATCGCGGTCTACGCTGTAATATACAACTGTAATGGATTATCCAATTCCAAATAATTCCATCCAAGCAAAGTACTAGTACTAAAAATCCATTTACCAGATTGTAAATAAATGACAAAAACATCATTCTAAAGTTTTAAATTATTCGTTGGACTTGTTGGGTACAATAGTCTGCCTTTTAATGTCTCAGGATCAGCTTAGACATAATACAAACGATCTACATGCAGTAGCTTCTACCGTTTGGAAATGAGGACAATTTGACCCTTGACTAATGTTATACTTGGTTAAAACTTCATCGTAAGAACGTTCTAATCAGTTGATAATGTTGTCGTACTCGTAGATACAAATTGCCTTATTTAAACTACTATATAGCAATAATTTTAACACTACCTTGCACAAGCTTTCACATCAGTATTGAAGTATATAACTTAGAAGATCACACTGCTGTAATAGACACCAAGCTAAATTTGTAACTTCTTAGATTACTGTATTATGCTATTAGACAACTATCATTATTAAGCGATATCCCATAAAGTTATGCAAGTCACCTGCGTTACAAAGAGAAATGTACATCACATATCTATAGTAAACTAACAAATTGATTCACATTTTTATATCAAATGCAATAATATTTATTTATCCTTTATCACCCATTAGGTGGACATTGAAATTAATAATCAATCCGTTCCGGATATATTCATGAAACTAGGAGATGCTGGTGAAGCCTTTTTCGTCGAAGAAACTGACGCTCCAGTATGACCTCAACAAAAAATCACTTCGAAATAAATACACCATAAAAGTATACTTTATTCATTTTGTAGTAAACGTAAGCTTTTTAACTATACTAGGTGCCTTCTTTCTTATCCACCTCACCTATTACTACTTTCGCTGATGACTCTATTGAACCAAGCCACCGTAATCCTCATTCTGAACAGGTTACTCCTAGCAAATAAATAATCTCATATTCAATATTTAGCATAAATAGTGAAAGTATAACATATTATTGTATCTTCCATAGTCAATTTCGCCAAGCAATGACGTCAAGGGTAACTCAATAAAACAAATAGAATAGGACGATAAAAATTTATGCGGAATGAACATTACTAAATATTTTCGTCACTTTGTTCTTTATGGACCTTAGTCGATATTGAAAACAAAGGTGATACAGTTATACCAGTGGATGGTGATCACAATAAACTGAACGAAAATGCACTCTCAGATTCAGAAATTACTGCTTATTCTAGCATATCAGAAGCGATTAGTATTCCCTCTAGGAAGTCAGAAGTAAGTAAAATTTTCACGACGATCACTCAGTCGATTGTTACTCAGTCATGTTAGTATATCTAGTTGATACAGTCTAACATTCTAGTACTTTAACATTAATTATCAGTGGGAAGGACTACGTGATCACGATGGTGAACGTTACTTATTTTCGGATGGTGATATCAGCCCTACCAGATCAAGGTATAAAATTACTTTTGAATAAAAGTAACAAGAAAAAATTGCACTTAAGTTCACTAAGAAATATCTTTATATTCAAGTCCTGTAGATGCTATTCCTCTCGATTCTCATACTTCTCCACACAGCGATACAGAAGTTGAGTTACATCAATCAGATACAACATACGATGATTTTGAAGAAAACTGGAATTGGGACAAAGCTGACAAAGAAAAAACCAAAGAATATACGGGTACTTGAATAATAATGAAGGGTTTACGTCTAGAAACAAATTTTATGCCATTAACTGTAGCGTCATGTTTGACCTAATTACCAAATCCACAGAAAATAATGGATCTTTAATACGCAGTATGATAAAATTTATCAGTCGGAAAGACTCACAAAAAGGAGAAGCGCCAACAGAGGTAAAGTTGTATGACTGTCAGTTGTAACATCATTTATATAGTTCGCGGAAACCCTGTTCTTAAGAATTAATTGTAGTTAATAAGTTCTCTATGTCACTGTTATGATAATAATCATTAGGAAAATGATGGAGGTATATATTTGTCAGAGCTGAGTAAACCGGATGTAGACCCAGAAGTTACAGCAAAATACCTCAGATCAAATCGGTTTGTTTTTATGTCTGTACTTATAATGTAGTGTCCGCTGATAATTTTCACTTTTAATTCTAACGGTACGTTTTCTACCTTGTCTAGGTCAAAAAAAAGTAATTCCTATGATAGTAATGAAGAAACATCTATACTACAGCGTGAAATGCATCGTGAGCTATCTTTACCTACGGTTGCCGCGACAGGCAGCACGTCGAATAATAAGGTTACTCACCTTTCCGAGAGCCTTCCAATGATTACACCTAGTCTTGAAAGCGAAAACACGAGGTAAATGATTGTTTCATTGTTTAATATGCTTGCTGATATCCAGTGAAAACTAGCCCTTCTTACTGAACTTTTATTGAATTTAGCAAAGATTATGCCGATATTGCTATCTCCAGTTGTGGCTACAATTCTGCCATTAATGACCCTAATTCTCAAGGTAGATGTTCGTTAATACTGAAAAGAAGTCGCAGTCAATTAACCCGAGTATGCTAAAAACCCAATAATATCTTTTGTGCTCACAGAAAAATTCAACGCCTCCGTTATCTCATATGAAGAATTTTGTGCTAACCCTAATCGTCTCTTTGACGATGAAACAGTTGTTAGAATTGCCGATAAGTTAGTACTGTCTTTTAAACAATAATATTTACCTACAATTTCACGTCTCATTAATCAAACTTACCTATTTTTTATATAGCTATTACACGTGGCAAGTTGCTATACCAATGGTAATGTCAATGATGTTGTATCAACAACCATTACCTCAGGTGAAAAATGATCGAGATAATCATTTTTATATTCCCCATAATGATACTCAAAGTCGATCTGTACTCCAAAAATGCTCTTTTAGGATACTGTTGACAAACTAATTGGACAGCATATGCGAAATAATCAGGTCATATTCAATAGTAATATTCTACTATAACCATTAATCCCTTGTACTTGGCATAATTACCAATTTAATACTTTACCATAAATTCAGACTCAGAAGTCTTCTATTGGTTCATGGTTCTCTTGGAGAAGCCCGTCACCTACGAAGAAAGCACAAATCGATAACAAAGTTCCCAGGAAGGTAATTTATTCCGGTTACGACAATAGTGATATGGGCGGCATAAAAATCACAAATGTTGCTTAATAAATATAGCATAGAGTATCGAATGGCGAGATTTCAGCGAGTGACGAAGGAACGGACGATGAATCTACCGGTAGCAAAGAAAATATCGAAGCAAACAATAATGGTAAAAAAAGTCACGGTGGCGACGAAGTAGAATCATTTTGTAGCGAAAATTACAAGAAAGCTTTGCGCCTTTCGTCTGATCAATTGGTAAAGTAATCTCTGTACCCATTTATCGAACTTTTTATGTAATCAAAAATATACCTCAAAGGCACAGATTCTAATTCTTAATATGTATGGATTTGGATTTTAGAAAAAATTGAATTTAAAGAAAGGCGACAATACAATAACTTATTCGGTATCATCAAAGTATCAAGTAAGTTATCATACTGTATCATTCCATGTAGAAAGCAACGAAGTAATAGTTTTTACACGAGGTCTCACCTTTATTTCGGAAGTACATGTATATTGCAGCTAATTATAAATTATCTACAAATACAATCCCGCAATGGGTGTACCTTGCCAACTTTTCAACTTGAAAAGAATAACAGAATACTTAATGTTTAGGGTACAGCATCGGTTTCCGCATCCATCTATCTGTGGAATTACAAAGACAAGATTGTAATATCTGATATCGACGGAACAATTACTAAGTACGTGTATATTTCGAATTCTCTCTTAATTGCTGTGCATTAGCCATTCTCAGCTATAGATTGACTTGCCTGTATAACGTCTTTCATTAGATCCGATGTGATGGGCCAAATCTTGCCTGTTTTTGGTAGAGATTGGACACAGAACGGAGTAGTAAGTTTACTAGAAATTACAGCTTACTTATTGAAAAATTTTCCACGAATTACTATAGACAATTATCTTATGGTAAACTCTGTATCTCTCAAGGCGGAATTCTTTTCGAAAGTTAAAAAGAATGGTTATCAATTTATATACCTATCAGCACGTTCTATAGGCCAAGTAAGTAATATCGGATGATGCCGTTAGCGTTGCACCTGACTCACTGTGACTAACTGTTGATGGCCGTTGTGTATTATAAATCGTTTAGTCATCCATCACTAAGAATTTCCTTAAAAGCGTGACTCAGGGTAATATAAACCTACCGGATGGACCATTAATGCTATCACCTTCATCTTTGATAAAATCATTCCATAGGTATTGTAGACAATAGCATGACAATTAAGAAAATATTTTGATCGAATTTTTACATTTTCTATTTTCACTACGCTATTCTGAATGACTGACTGCTTAAATTATTGTATTTTAGAGAAGTAATTGAAAAGAAACCGGAAAAATTTAAGATAGGCTGCTTACGTGATTTACAGAAGCTTTTCCCAGAAAATCCCTACTATTCTGGATTCGGAAATAGATTGAACGTAATTCATTTTTACGGGAACATCTACAGCTTTCTCTAATAAATGCTTATAGAAGTATCCATTAACTTTTATCTTACTAGGACGCATTTTCTTATCGTGCTGTTGGGATACCAGTTGGCAGAATTTTTACCATAAATACAAAGGTTAGAAAAACTTTTCTTAAAAAATAAGATAAAAAGTTGACTGTTATTAATCTTATAATTCTATAATGTACATGTATGTCGTAATTAAGAGAATAATTAATCTTCATTATACGACTGATTAAACTAAAATAGGGAGAAATCAGAAACGATCTTATCAACACTTTTCAGTCATCGTAAGTTGGTGTTGTCATATTGTTATATTTCAGTTACCGTAAAATAATATTGTATTCTTATCGACTAACTTAATTTTTCTTAAAGATATATGAAGCTTGGCGAACTTGTTGATCATATGTTTCCGCCCATTTTATACTCGAATGTACGTACTGCTGAAATTAGCAGAGCGGAATATAATGACTTTAATTACTGGAAGGTTCCGCTAGCCAATTTGAATTTAAACAGCGAAGCCCTAGAGGGAGTTGTCTTACCACATGAAATAAATAAGAAAGCTAATAAATCATAAAGATCAGTTTTATTCGCCATACGCCTTATTTTCAGACTTTAGAAGACGAACAAAAAATATATTCTAAACAGATATGACTACCTTCGAAGCTTATGTTGTAAAGTTCTACATACATCCATTAATGATAATAGCTTTTATGCAACACAAATTTTATTGGCTTCCGTATTTTATTTTCAGGATTCCTGTATATATGCAAATTATTACAACATGCTTATGGCAAATTATTACTTGATATCGGAAGTATGTGTATTGCGTAGTTTACTGAGGTATTACCTAAGTAATTAACAGTGATATCAAATGCTGCATAAAATTGACTTAATAAAGCAAATACTCTCCATCGTACTAATATTTTGGTATGCAATGAAAACTATCTCTCTAAGATAAGCATTAACATGATTGCCACCGGGTAGTTTAATCTATCAAACTTTATTCAGCCTATTCATTTCTCCTATCAATCGGAACAGTTTAGATTTTGATGAGCTATACTAGGATAGATTCTAAGGGCTCCTCTAACTGCAACTATACGAAACCCTACTCTTCAAATATAATATGCACGCATATATTATGAAATAAAAGAGAAATAATTTAGATGAAATACGAATTTAAAACCATCGAATAACGTCTGATCAATCGCATCTAGCTTACAGTATGCAATACTTTCATAGTTTTATTCATTCTATACTCTTTCTGTGAGTACTGCTACTGCAGATAAGATGTAACTCATATAATATTTGACCAATCAATAAGTAAATTTTATTATTATCATGGATGATTAACAGTGGAAAATTTTATACTAACGCTATCAACATATTATACCTAGACGAAAACGTAACATAGCTACGTAGTATTAATCGATAATGGCTTCGTATAATCCTACTTACGGGCCACAAGTACTTCCGTATGGACAATAGTAGTTACAAAATCATTGATACAGTACATATTTTACATAAGACTTATAGGAAATATTCGCCATTACACTACCACAGCAGCAGAACTAGAAATCTATAATCACAGTGTAAACGCACAAATAAACAGTATCGAATTGCTATCAAGATTGTAAAATAACGTTAATTAATAAGCCCAATCAATAGAGGTTTTCTAATATTTGAAAATGAATCACCGTATGAGTCGTATGAGCGGCCCAATAACGACACTGTTACATACATAACAGTAACAATATATAGTACAATGTGACGGCTCGCGCTGTTAACAGAAATTCAGTACTATTAGAAATGAAATTTTCAACTACGTGATACATGATATTAGTGATCATAAATAGCAGTCAAATAAACAATATATACGTAAATGCATATACACGTATTTATGCAATAACTGAATTTCCAGTTCGATCATTAATATTTTCTCCAACACTCGCACTGCTATCATTGCTGTTAAGATGATTTCGCTTATCTAATTCCAGAACCTGGATTAAAATAAGTGTTAAAAGAGATGCAATGAAAATTATTATCATAAGCATTCTGCTAAATAGCAAATATATTTAGAAGCAATTCAGTAAAACGTTACGTACTGTATCTAATCTATCATGCAACAACTATTATTTTTCTAGTCAACTAACCTGTTGCAAGGCCTTTCGTAGGCAATGAAAATTGTAATCAATTAAGCCTACAATACATTTGACGCAAATTATTAAAGCTCAAAATACCATAATATCAAAAAAGTATAGTATAGTATACCTCGCTTTTCGTAGCTGTTCTCTCTTAGGATCGCTACCAGTGCTATAAATCTACATTAATTATTACAAAAGTAAATATAAAATCTTTATCAGATTAACCAAAAAGATATCGAAAAGTCAGGAAAGAATCGTGTCTACTATTTATCAACTTATAGAAAAGTAATTATTTTACCTGTTAACCTCCTTCAAATATAATACCGTTGAGTTATTTAATTGAATAATAGAAGTTGAACGTTGATCATACACACTACCCTCACGATCTTCTTGCAAACTAGAGATAACGGCGAGAATTTCGCAAATTCGTTTACTTAATAACTAAACACTTTACTAAAGTCTTATAATGGCTTCTAGTTCTTACCCGTATATGCACGAGACATCAATAACTACATCCAGCATATCACAACAAAGTTCATAAGTGATCATATCTACTGGAGAGCTAAAAAGACGAGTTAATAAAATAAGAAATTTGATTAACCACCACGAATATAGCTAATGTTTATAAATTTTGTAAAGCAAATCAGCTATTATACCTATCAGTTGCTATATAAATTTTACTGCAGACATCAAATAGAAATGATTTCTCAATACCAGAATTCTACAACAATAATAATTACAAAGAAAAACATAAACATATTCCCTCTTCCATGTTAAATACGACTAAAAATATTCAGAGCCATGCATTCAATAAGATGACATAAGATACTCCTTATTCACCAGTGTTAAGAAACAGACTTACAGAGTTGAAAATATTTAGCAAGTTTTCCAATGTTCCCAAGTGCTTTATCAACTTTTGCACGACTTTACTAAACGCCTATGCAATAAAAATGTTTATTGTTACTGTCATGATCGTTAAGTTCTATGCAGAGCTTTACTAATATCCTAATCGTTCCAATTTCTATCAACAGCTAGTTTGACAAATTATTCAAAGAGTAAGTACACCAAATACCTCAAATATCGAGTGATCATATATACTTGTTAGATAGAAACTATAAAAGGGATAAAAAAAATGCGTACATGTTAACTTTAAAACAGTATCGTTGTGTTATTAATAGACAGAATAATAATACGCAAGCGCATTGTTTTCCTAGATTTTGTAACAACATCAGCATAAGTAACCTCAAATGAATTGACTCCAAACTCGCATCTTCCATATCTCCAGTGGCGCGTTGATGGATATCACGCTGTACCTCTATAATAAAAACATCACCAAATGTATTCATTTACTTGATAGCATTATTATATTAAAAGAGTTGTTAGCGCTATTAGATATGAACTGACCAATCTTATGATCATCTGAGAGTCCGTCAACTTTATGAATAAATACTTCAAATTTGATGTCTGGGTTGACCTAAATGCGATAAAGACCATTTTAGTTTCGATAGGTACAATACAGTACAGAAGCTCAACTATAATCGATTGACGATAATGGTGTACAAGATTAGCTCAAAAAAACAAAATAATTCATTCATTCAATTTTGTCATAAAACTCAAGTACATGCTAACAGTGGCATACCTTATGAGCTTTTATGACTGTAGTGTTCAATCTATTCAACGCCTCAGAGTAATCATCCTAAAAGAAAGAAAAAGACTTATTTTAATTCTTCAACTATTTTTGATGGTATTATGCAGTCGGTAGTACTGAATTAATGTGAAATTATAACTTATGGGAAACAAACTTGTTGAGGATATAACACTATATAGGTAGACAGTATATGCGAGAATAAAAGTAAAGCAATTAATATAAATTGATACTAAATTACTTGAACTTGCCTGCGAATCAATTACAAATATTAAGGCTCCACAATTACCAAAAATCGATTCGGCATCGAAAGCTGAATCGAAATAATCTATTTGGCCTGGAAAATCCCATATCTAGAAAATAATACATTGTGGATTCTTAGTACTTGGCATTAATTTGTATAATCCAAAAATGCTCATGGCATATACACGTACGTATGTTACGTTGCTATCTATAGTACCTGAAATTTTATAAATGATGAGCTGGATAGATCTATATAATTAATCATTGATAAAAATGTGATACCATCAATTATATAGAATGTTACGTTCAAGTATATATCAAATATTTAAAATGTACATTGGATCAATTACTTAGCATGTAAATTGTATCCATTTTATAGCTATTTCAATCACATTTTCTACTGCTTATTTGGAGAGACATACTCTTAATTACGATCATAGGCTATCAAAAAAGTACTGATACCGATATTGTAATCTATCCAAATGGACGTACCATCTTTAACAATTTTATTGGTACTTTCCAGAAAGAGAGTCTCATTTGGAGCCATTTTATGGAAGACAACTTTTTGTATAGATGACTTTCCACTTCTATAATGATAAGATTATGTCGTGATAAAAATTAGTTTTCCACATAATATGGCTGGTATGATGATAATCCTATCAATCGAATTGTACGTAGGATAAGTTATGCAAACAAATTATATACAACGATACATCATCATTTCAAGTGAGATAATCAAGGTAAGCACAGCAGCAATAATACTGTAAGTCTCTATACCTAATGTACCTCCTCATTATCCATTTATTACATGATCTATCAAAATGAATGGAGAAAATAGCTAGAAATAAGTACGACTGTCATCTTACCTTCTTAAACCCATCAACAAAATTCTGGGTAAATCGTTATCTTCAATCCCTTTGAGGTTGTCTTCCACTTCACCAGCCAATCTATGCCAGCAAAATAAAGCAATTACAATACTTTAAGCCTGTTGCAATAACCTCTATCACTGCTAGCATCTACTTCTAACAAAGTGCATGTATTCAAGGAAAACATAAACTACTATTACTCCTGTACTAAAACATGAGTCTGACTACTGACTTACCCAAATTCTCTTGGAAAAGAGCCAATAGCATAGCTACCATATCTTATTTCCGCATCCAGTGTCTGTCAAAAATAGATGCAATATCAATGTATGTTCAATAATACTATAATCTCAATGGTCTCTTCTACAAAGAAATGTACTTTTGATACATAAAATAGCTTGTATAAGTGCAACTAGCGACGAATAAAGACATACTTCTTGATCATGATCATCAGCCATGATTGCCTTCGCTTGTATACTTAACTAGTATAGAGTAAGAAGTAGCTGCTTGCTCTTCTCATCATGTGATCGTCAACGAGAGCAGAACAGTTCCAGTACCGTACGGTACTGCACTGCACGGTACCGTACGGTACGGTATCGTACCATTAGGACCATGAACTGTTACAGTACAGTTACTGTACTAGTAAGTTATGTTGGCGTGGTGCGCGTGCGCAAAGCGAGGAGTATTGTAGAAGCGCGTACCATGAACTTCTATACTATCCATAGTAGTAAGAGAAGTCCCGGGTAGAACATACTACAAATTGAACAAAGCTTCTATCATGGCTGACGATGACGGTGCCGGAAATTGGTGCCTGATTGATAGTGATCCTCGCATCTTTACCGAACTCATAAAGGGTTTTGGTGTTACTGGAGTACAAGTTGAAGAGTTATGGTCCCTAGAGAAAGAAGAATTTGAGAAATTGAAGCCAATTCATGGTTTGGTATTTCTATTCAAATGGCGCCCCGGTGAAGAAACTGTAGGTTCTCTGGTGCAAGATTCTCGACAAATCTACTTTGCCAAACAGGTCAAGAACAAAGACACTTTCGATTGAACTTGCATTAAATATGATATTTAGTGAAGACAAATCATAACGTATCACTCTTTCTTAGCTAATTCTCTCCTTAATACCACAGTATACTATCGAAATCATAAGTAACATGGTATGTACTTAACATGGAATTTCCAATTTTAACTTTCAATAGGTAATTAACAATGCATGTGCAACTCAAGCCGTCCTAAGTGTATTACTAAACTGTAACCACAAAGACGTCCAGTTAGGAGAGATGTTATACAAGTTCAAGGAATTTAGTGCTGATTTTGATCCGACAATGCGTGGCTTGAGTTTAAGTAATATGGATATTATAAGACAGGTGCACAACAGGTAAGAAGTTATGTAGATAACACTAAGAATATGTCAAGCAGATCTCAGATCTCGCTCGTAACTCTTAAACATTCCTAATATACTGTCTTTCTCGTCTACGTCCTTGCAATAACGATAGCAAAATTTACTGCGATCCCCATGGAACATCTAACTTATAATGTTTATACTGCTTCTATTAACGGTTCAGCTTTGCTAGACAACAAATGTTTGAATTCGAGAACTCATCCAATAAGTCTGAAGAAGCTTTCCACTTTGTAGCCTATGTACCTATTAACGGACGTCTATATGAGCTGGATGGATTAAAAGACGGACCAATCGATTTAGGCAAATGCGGTGAGGATTGGATTACAGCAGTAAAGCCAATTTTGGAATCTCGGATGACAAGCTATGCAACCGGCGAGATTCGATTTAATTTGATGGCAGTAGTATCAGATCACAAAATGAAATTGGAAGCAGATCTAGAAAAGTTACAATCTAATTTATCCGATCTGGAAGGGAAATTATCCAAATTGGATACAAAAAAAGACACCGAAGCTTATCTCAAGTTAAAAAATGAATATGCTACTGTATGCCCTTATTTTATGAATTAATTATCAATAAATTACCTGATATCACTAAGTATTAATGCTTGCATAGTCCTGTTATATACTGTAATCGCTATGAATAATTTTTGATATCACTGGTGATAATATAGGTTGAACTCAAGATGAATGAAGCTAATCATCAACTACGAGTAGAAGAAGAAAAACGTCTGCGATACAAAATTGAGCATGCAAAGCGAGACCATAATTATCTACCAATGATTGTGCAACTACTAAAGTGCTTGGCCAAGGATGGCCGTCTGGTAGAACTGACGGAAAAGGCCGAACAGCGTCAAAAAGCGGTAACTGCCGCAGCACTGGAAAGGAGAAAGAGGAAATTGGACTCTGGTAAAGAGAGTAGTGATGACAAAGATTCTGGAAAGTAGTACTGACGAGTTATTTTAACTCACCAGTTTTGCCTTTGCCTTAAAAAACCTAGGCGCTCATTATATTACTGGCGATAAATATTTGGACTGGAAATTCAAACCAATATTGTACTATACTATTCGATACCGCTATTAAGTATATTTTTTTCAGAAAATTTTGATACAGTAGCCGATGGCAGTCTTCGTTTGTCTCCTACTGTCTCAACTACTCTATTACATATGATTTGGACAGTTTACACCATTCGGCGGTATAGATAAATATCATGTTGTACAAACATACGCGGTATAATGTTGTAATGCAGTAGCCAAATCATTAATCGCGATCTACGGTGTACTGTATACAGTAATGCCCTTTTATTTAAGGTAGCAATCTTGAAATATTCAAGCGACGCCAATGGAGGTTTAAACGTTTATTTCTCTTGTAAACTACTTAGATCTAATACTAACTGCAACCGAATATGAAATCATTAAAAGAACATCCGATAGTATACTACCATAAAATGATAATAAATTCGAAATTCTAATCTCAGGAAATGGATGAATTTCAGCAATTTTGATGACAGAGACTGCAAGTTAGATTACTTTACTTTTTTGACTAGAATAAACCTCAGAGATAAGCTAATAAAGATTCAATTTTAATAGCGCTGTGCGGTATACGAGTATAAGATGTGCTTATATAACAGGACCTGGAGTTTAGTCTATTTCCCCATGCAATGAAAGTTTCATTACAGTTGAACAGGAATACAAAGTGGCTGTAACTATTCACACCTGTGCCACTTCTACCCTAAAAGTAAAATGTTTCAGTAGATCAATAAATTATAAGATTGAAATATTAGTAGTCCTGTCCGAGTATATTATTTAATTGCTCCCCTAGGGGCTATACTACGGTAATAAATTTCTTCAAGATCAATAACTTTAAACTACTGTAGAGTGTAGCATTAACTTGAGACGATCATATGCATGTAGTGCATTCTACCGTCTAAAATAAATAAATAAAGCTAAGCATCACAAGTGAGGGGGTCGACTAGTTGATTATATATGTAGAGTATTATTAATCAAACTATCACCTTTACGCTTTAATATACACTACTTAAAGTCGGCACAGTACAGTAATTCCACCACTTTTAATGCATAGTTCTATAACACGTAAATGTGATCGTTTCACGCCTAAGGTACATCCATCTGCTGAAAAGTGATGAGGCCACCTGCAATTCAATGAACAATCCACAGTTGAGGTTACTGTACTTACAGATAGTATTTTAAAACAAAACTGCAAAATCATCCTGTACTACATCTTAAAAAGATTACATGCCTAACTTACATCCACGCATATACAGTACTGTACATATAGCATACGCGTATACTGTACTGTATATACTGTACACGTATAAATGCAAAACAGTACATTAAGTTCAACAGTGCCTCTAGGGCGATAGAGATAATATTGTATTGACTACTGGGTGTATGTGTACTGTCAAATCAATTACATTCACAACAGCCTAAATTTTCAAAATTCATCACTAGTCATAAAAGTTGAGCTTCGTTTTCCCACTATACAGTGCCGTAGCTACTGTACAGTATTTTAAAGAGCCAGGTATGCCAGAACGAAACTGCTAAATGGCTTAGATATATCAATGTGATACAGTTGTACTGTAAATCCCGCATGTAGATGATAAAAATGAAATTTGTACCGCAATACGAACTGTATGATATATAAGGGTTTTAGCGATACTGTCATCTACTGTATATAACAGTAAATACATGGTTTTCTTTAAATAGTTCTGTTACGAAATAATATCGTTGTTGTAGACATAGTATCGCTAAGATCTATCATATTGAATAAGCCTGTTTATTCCAGTACAGTATATTTCTGCAGTTGTTCTGTAATGATGACGATTAAGTCCTAGATAGCATATCTAGGAAAATAAGTTGTTATCTTATTATGAATAAGATAAGATTGTCGTTAACATTCATGGCATGTCCGTTATTGCACATTACTGGTAATTGTCTCTTATATATAACGGCTCCTAAAGCATAATAAAGTTAGTTCGGTACTTAATCTCTATTGGACTCGTGATTGTTCAGTGCTCAAGCCCTACTGGACTATTGAATTATTATTACGATAAACAAGAAAGTGTAGCAAGTTCATATTCATATTCATGCGATATACAATATTATTAGGAACCCTAATTTAATTACGTAATTATCATTCTTTCTTTCTTTTATCACGTAGTTGCTAGAGCCAGCCGTCAGGTCTAGCTCGAGGCAAGACGGCAGATTGCCATTTGCCAATAGAGTACAGTACTGAGTACTGTACAGTACAGTAGGTTGTACTGTACTCGTCCTTATTGAGTGACTGTACTGTACAGTGTTTTGCACTGTCCTCTACAGTGTACAGTACCGTACAATACCGTATCAGTTTAAATGTAATCGACAATATACAAAACAATACATTGGGAATTTTGCAGAAGTATTTCACAATTTTCCCTAGGCAGTTGGAAATTCGATGGATAAAAGGTCCTTAGGCAATCCGATGAAACCAGTTCAAAATATGCAATTGACACTGATCATTACTTTAATCGCTTTCTTTATGAGCGGTTCTGCGGCCGAAAATGGATCTGTCACAGTAGATACAAACGCAGGTAAAGTAGAAGGTACCATGGTCCAAGTAGAAAATAAAGATTGCGCTATTTTCTTAGGAATACCTTATGCAAACCCACCTGTGGGCCAGTTACGATTTCATCTACCCACGCCGGTGATGAAATGGAACAATGTGCTCCAAGCCAAGACTGTACCCAATCTTTGCTATAGTCTCAATTTTGCCAATTTCACGGACGTAATAGGAAGCCAAAATGAAGACTGCCTGTATTTAAATGTTTTCACACCTAAGGTAGGAGCATCCAAGCTACCTGTGCTGGTATGGATCCATAGTGGCTCACTAGGAATGGGCAATGCGGCCTGGTGGAATGGTGAAGCGTTGGCCACTTTAGGTAATATGGTTGTAGTAACCTTTGACTACCGTCGTGGTGTGCTCGGTTTTTTGACTGGAATGGATCGTAATGGTATGCCTATTATAACTCCAAACCTTGGCTTGCATGATCAACAAGCAGTATTTCGTTGGGTACAACAAAATATAGCCCAATTTGGTGGAGATCCTCAGCGTGTTACCATTAGCGGTCACTCTGCAGGCGCTGCATCGGTTGGTCTGTTTATTACAACAACACCAATGCAAGAGACGCTTTATAGACAAGGCATCATGGCTGGGGGCTCACCTGTACTGCCTACGTTATATTATCCAGATCTTAAATCAACTAGCCAAGCTTACAAAAATTTTCTGTCTCGTACAACCTGCGACATATCTGCCTCAAATCAAAACATTCTAAGCTGTTTACGTAATCTGCCTATTGGCGATATTATTTCTATTCAAGGTAAAACTAGTACTATCTTGGGCCTTAGCGAAGCTTACAGAATCGTCGTCGACGGGACGTTAATTAGCGACGATCCAAAAAGGCTGTTAAAGGCTGGTACTTTGAAAAATAAAAACGTCAAGGTAATTGGTGGAGTGTTAAAAAATGAAGGTGACTTATTCATTGCTCTAATTCCGCAATTAAATAATGGTATGCCTCGCCAGATGTTCTTCAATTATATCAATCGAGAATTTCCCAATGCAAGCCAAGCTGCTCGATCAGTCGTCATCTATCGTTACACTGCTTGGTCAAACGTAACGTCTCCTGCCAATAACTTGCGAATGACATCGGATCTTTTCACCGACAGAATATTTAATTCACCAATGGCATACACGTTAAACAAAATGTCTGATAATGGCATCGTAACCTATTTTTACCAATTCAATCATAAAATAATCAACTCTGGCTACTTCCCACCTCATGTTGGCGTTGTACATTCTATGGAAATACCGTATATTTTTGGTTACCCAATGTTAAATTTGTCTCATAAGGGTAATTCGTACACCAGCGAGGATATGAAATTAAGCAGAGTAATGATTAATCTATGGTCAAATTTCGTTGCATCCGGGTAAGTTTAGGCTGTAATGAATGATGAGGTTGTCACATGTTTAAATCATCAAAGTTCAAAGTACGATAACGATGAAGGGACTACTAGATGTACGCGTATTTACTATAATGAATAGCGAACAAATTACTGAACAATCTTTCCATTGATTATTTAGATTTTACTCTATAGTGATGACCGTGCTCAATGCCCTATCTTGATTATAATCATTAATAGTAATACTGTATACTACAGTACTGTAAAGCTCTTTACTGTCAACGAATATATCATTGCTAGAAAATAGGATAGATTGAATAGGCAGGTGTTTTATCACCGGAGATGTTGTTCTCGCAAATTTATCTAGGTGGTACTAATAAATCAACATGACGTTGCTTTAATGTCTAGAAATCCCACATCCACGCCAGTCAATGGTATTACATGGCCTAGGTATGACTCTAAAAGTAAAAGATGTTTGCAACTAGCTTCAACTCTTGGTGTCCAGAAGGCACCTCGTGCTGACTATGTAGCTTTTTGGAATGATTTATGGCCTCAATTAGCCTCTGTTAATAATTCATCGCCAGAAAATTCGACCATGCCAGAAACATGTGTTAGCCGTTCATACATGCTTGCTACATACATACAATTTGCGGTATTATGTACTTTAGCTGCAGCTATGATTATATTTTTTATTTTTAAATATCGAAAATGGCCTTCTCGAAATATAGCAAGACTTGCATCTGCAGGAAATGACAACAATGCTTTGTAATACGTGGTATAATGATAAATTCTACTCTATTTTGCTGTAATACTCGTATTAAGTCAATACAGTATTGGAAATGTAGTACAGTAGTATACAATGTTAATTGTAACTAGATTAGGCTACATTCTGCACATCCGAATCAGCAATTCGTAATGGCAACATTTTTGCGGTTATTGTCAATTTTGTATATTACAAGCTGCAAACTCGAGCAACTCTTTCAAGGCTTTTCAATCTTATTTATAGTACTGTATTTGGTTTGCAAAAGGATACTCTGTGGCATCTCTTTGCTAAGATAAATTATGTTGATAAGTTTTACAGGCATATTAAATGCGCACAGCCTTCAATATTGTGACTAACAGTAACAGTAACATTACAATCAGAAATGTTTGAAAATTCGTATCCATTGCTATACTGTACAGTAAAAGATGCTTAGTTAACTTAATCGGATGATTGATAAATAAATGAATTAATCAGGCAGGATGAATATTGTGTATGAGTGGATGTGCATTGTACTGTACTAAAGTACTGCATATTCATTTTTGGAGTGATACAGTATAACGTTATTTCAGGGCAGTGTGATGCTGCCAATGCGAAATTATCTAATGCTGTAGTATTGCTATCTTACTTGAAATTTAATGAGACCAGGATGCAGTACTCGTAGTAACCTACAGTACACTACATATCTCCAGATATTCTGGATAATGCATTGAAAAGTGTGTTTAATGAGACCATGAACTACGGTACCCTGCAAGAAAGCAAGTGTTGCATGTTACAAATTTCTTTGAGCTATTTTATAGAAGCTATTGTACCTTGGACTTCTAGCTGTTGCAAAGTATGAACTACGGTACCAACAAGAAAGAAAACGTTGCATGTTACAATTTCTTTGAACTATTTTATAGACACTATTAAAGAGACTATATTAAGTAATGGTTATATTAAATATTATTATTAGATGTACCCGTAGGTAAAAGTTTTACACACCGTTATGAAATTTCGAGGTCTTTTGATTATTTAAAGCACCTCGAGAAGGATTTTGGCAAACTGAAACTAAAATAAACACACCGTACTGTATACTGTATAATAATAATATATAGCGAAATAAGATGAATACTGTAATGCAATTATCGTCTTTCAGTAAAATGGTAGAGAATATTACTTGTTCTAGCTGGACGAATATGGAGAATTTTTGACACATGCAACACCATGAGCACTTTGGGTAGGACAATTTGAAACAAAATGGCTAAGATAAAATAGCCTAGACAACAACAATAATAACAATTATTATCATCATTCTTCTTCTTCTTCTAATAATTCACAAGCCAATTAAATTTGAGGTCTTCCGATTGGATACTGTTTTATACTTTGTCAGAGGTGAAAGCATCTTATCCCTTTCGGACGACAATAAATTATACCGCACTGTACTTGGTCCATACTGGAACCTAATAACTCAACCATTTTCTTTCAGACAAAGACACTGACTACAAATTACCATAGGGGAGAAAAGAAATATTTTCTTGGCCCGTAATGACTATACAGAAAACATGATGGATAACCAGGCTGATAATCGATACTATACAATACGGTATAGTACTGTCCTATCAGCGTTCTCGATCTTATCATCGACAGCTTGGGATGAATGAATAATGCATTTGATGGCCTGCCATTAATAAATTTAGAAACTCCCTTACCACGCTACTGTACTAACAAGTAAGTGAAAATAAATAAATAGATTACAGTCGGTAAATAGGACAAAGTAAAAGATCGTATGACAAAAACGCTATAGGGAACAGGGGCCTAAAGTGATTCATTTTTCTCCTCGATTTGCATCGATAGAAACGGAACAGTTGTAAAAAGAGTTTTCATCCCTATTTAGTCGACATCAAGGACCGTTATGAAGACCGTTGTATTGGCACTCGTCTTGATCAATCTAGTCTGTAATAATGCTTTCATTCAAAGTGATTTGACAGTTCAAATTGATTCAGGAAAAATCAAAGGGAACATTACACCTATCAATAGTAATCAATCATGCTTTACTTTTCTTGGCATACCCTATGCTCAACCGCCAGTCAGAAATTTTCGATTTTATCGCCCTGTACAACCTACCAAATGGACAGGAATACGCCAAGCTACGACTACACCAAAGTTATGTTATCACAGTATTGCAGATTCTTCAACTTCAACCAAAAGTGAAGACTGTCTTTACTTGAATATTTACGTACCAGCAAATCAATCGTCAAATAATCCTTTACCTGTTCTTGTTTGGCTTCATGGTGATTCTCCATCCTCGATGAATACGGAGTTATTCAATGGTCAAGCTTTCGCCGTCACTGGCAAATTGATTGTTGTGACCTTCGATTTTCGTCAAGGAGTTTTAGGCTATTTAACAGGGACTGATACCATGGGTCGATCGATCATTACACCTAATTTAGGCATCTTAGATCAGGTCATGGCCTTACAGTGGATTCAAAAGAATATTGCCAATTTTGGTGGTAACCCTAGGCGAGTCACTTTAGCTGGTACATCCACTGGTGCCTTCTCAATTGGTTTACAATTTCTAAATTCAACACAACAACATGGCTTATATCAACGCATTGCCTTGGTCAGTGGATCTCCACTCATGCCACGTATGTATTATTCGAATTTAAATGCAACCAATAAATCTATGCAACAATTCCTCAAAAAATCTCATTGTAGTGTACAAACGACCGCAAAATCGATCCTATCCTGTTTACGCAATTTACCTATTGCAAACATTTTATCTGTTCAATCATCTTTAACTCCTTCAACATACGATAACATGTTTAAAGCTGTTATCGATGGAAATATTATTCAAACTGATCCTGTAGTGGCTTTAAACAATAATCAATTTAATCGTCAGGTTCAGGTTATGGCAAGTGTGGCCAATCCTGTTTCTGGTTCGAGTAGTGGAATTCAACGACAGCAATTTATAACTCAACTTGATTGGTTATTCAGTTACACTAATCTTGTTGCAAGATCTGCCATTGAAAATCGCTATACAGATTGGAATAACGAATCATCCCCTGTCACTAATCAGCAACAATTATCATACTTATATTCCGATTACATCGTTACAGCTCCACTGGTTTCTACATTGAAGAAGTTTGCTGCTCAAGGAATTTCATCGTACGTGTATCAATTTAGCTATCCTATCAACGATTCCATCAATTTTGCTTTTAAGCCCAAGTATATACCGGTTGGATCTGAGATCAGCTATCTTTTTGGTTATCCCATTCGTCAACCGACCAATGACAATAGTAGATATTCACCAAATGACCTCCGTATTAGCCATTCTTTGATTCAGTATTGGTCCAATTTCGTCTATAACGGGCAAGTCATCTATTAAATTAATTAATCAAAATTGTCTTCTCTTTAATCCCTGTATTAAGTTCAGACATTAACAAATCCTAATCGTTACTAGTGTAAACTAAAACAGCTATGATCTATCACATTTTCTATTGATACTAAGTACAATACAAAAAGTCTCGTACATCTATATCGAAGTACAAATTGAAACGATCACTGTTGATCATCAAGCCTTTGCCTTCATTATTTAATAAGTTAATTAAGGGTAGAATTTTTACAGTACAATGCTAATCGCAACTTCATTAGAGTAAATTATTTTAGTTAATGAAAACCCGATTGATTAGCTAACTTTGATTTAATACTGCTCTACTTTAATTTTTTCAGAAACCCAGTCTCAAATAATCCCGTCGTATGGCCAAAGTACAATTCCAATACTGGAAATTATCTAAAAGTAGCATTAGCTCCACAGGTCTACAGCTCACCACGAGCAAACTATGTTGCATTTTGGAATCAATTCTGGCCACAATTAACAAAGCAACCGAGTAAGTGTACTCAAAATACTTCACCACTTACTCCACCGCTTACTCCATCGCCAAAGCAATGTGCCGATCCCGCCTACATTACTGGAACTTACGTTCAGTTTGGTTTATTATGTGCCATTGCAATTGCCATAGTAATATACTGTGTAGTCCGCTACCGGCGGGGGCCATCCAAAAATTTGACACATTTAATAAATAATACCAAAGCTGAAGATGAAAACCTGTAGGGCTGAAATATTTACCAAGGAGGATAGTTGAGGGTATACAGTAATATTCAAATTTGTTGAGTTACTTATCGTATTGAACACTATTATTATTCATGGCAATGGTCATACTCAACTGCAGTGTAATTTGTATACAAGTGAATGAAATATTATCATTTAATGATTTTTATGTGATTACAACATGGTTCTACGTAATATTTATTAATATTTTACTCATAGAATGGAGACTGATCATTGCTCAATTTTATCTGCAATTTTCAGCGTAATTATAGTAATATCGAAATCTCATTTACAGTTAATAAACAAGCATCGATTCTTCTGCTCGTATCGAGTGTCTCCAGATAAAATTTTTGACATATTTGATCGAGTTGTGTTTGAGTTACAACTACTACAACCCCATATTTGTGCCCTATCCCATCAGTGATATATTGTAAAGTAAAATAGTGCACGAAGTATAACGAGCAAAGGATCGACTAATCCCTGTATAATGAATGATTCAGTATAGCATAACACTTTACCGAGTTCAAATGAAGTTAAAACCAGAAATGTAGTCGGCTATTCAGTTATTTCATAAACTGTTCACAGCCTTCGTTGTCTTGGCGAAAGCGAAGATACAGCCAAATCCAATATTATAAACTGCTAGAGATCTCCATTTCTATGCCAACAATAGGTATTATCTTTTAATCTATGCAGAGCAAATCTAGATATTTAGTCATACTTGTTCTAACTTATAAATTTTCGCCCACTCGGCGTAGTTACTTTAATGCCGTGCGATTTAATGTACGAGTGTGAAGCAAAATTAATACTTTGTGATCGTAGATTCCATATGAAAGGGACAGTATTTTTGCGTCAAATTCTATCATTCACCTTCTTTCTCATTTAAGCAACCCAGCAAAGCTTTACCGAACATTATTACTAATGGGTCAATACAACTTGGATGGTTGGCCTATAAATAAACATAAACGAACTAAGGCATTCCATACCCCAAAAGCACTATATGTTGTAGGTAATTTCTCAGTTTTTGCAATAACATATGGTGAGTTATTAGCTTAGCCACTGAGCATATACAATAGCATAGCTGCAATCATTTTTTAGCCATGATGTAATACAATGCTGACATAATTATATTCAGCTCTTCATTCCCTGCTTCAAATGTACAATAATGGTAGCGATTCGAAATTAACTCATTATATCGGTGTTAACATCGGCAAATAATTCACGATGTACCAAAATACGAAAATTTATAGTACTTAGCAACTCGTCGAATTCGTTTATAAGCGATACTGCAGTGAATAGCCATTATTAAAATTATTGACAATTTAGAAAACTCCCCTATTAAAATCTATAGATGTAGTACTCGTAGCGCCAAAATATGTAATAAATGGGTTTTGTAACCCCTAGGTTTGCAATCCTCTAACCCGAAATTTCATTATAACAGCCATCGTCTACAACTACTTTATTCACCACAGAAACAATCCTACGCTACACAGTACTTTAGTTCATAACACTAGTACGCTTTTAAAACATATTCCTACTGCAATTGACTAAAACTAATACCACCATCATATTAAGATGCATCACTGCCGCTTAGTATGGCAGTATATAAATTCATATGTGCTTGCACATAAAATACATAAGAGATATCTATTCAATCTACGGCTTTGGAGTTGGATAGAATTTAGATGCTAAACTACGATAGGTCATAAAATTTACGAGTATCGCATCTCAATTTCCGAATATTCATCTTTATCGTGTGGATACATAATATTGTAAATACAGCGCAACCAATAAAACTATACATCTACCTATTATGAAATCAAATTTGATATTTTTTATCTTTGCAAGAAATTGAATGAGTTATTAATAATAATTAATCAGAAGATACCCTTTCTCCGAATATAGGTACTCGTAAAATAAATAAAAATGATATACAACACAAGAAAAAACGACAATTCTTTTAAGTGATCAAAACATGAATCTTAACAGAATGATATTGATATCTTAATTAAAAACAATAACATTTGTATAAAGCTATTACATCGAGTAAATGCAAAACTACCATACATATTTGATATCGCATAGACGCCAATTCACAATTTTTTATTGCCTTACTTCTTACTAGACAAATTAACCATGTCGACTAGAACAGAATACAACATAGTTTCATAGATGAATTCAATCTCCCTTCAAGCCATTCTTCAAGTCACAACTACTGTAATATTTAAAGTAACTTCTATATAATTTCCTAAAATCCGATTTCATCTACTAAACTAACGTCGACTTACTATTATACGAACATATTATCAATAGAGCCTTTATCCCAATACTAACAAATACATCCGAGAACTACACCCCATATACGCGTATCCTACTCGAGTATTTATGCGAATATTATCCACAGAAGCTAAGAGTCTAACAGGAATTTTTTAGTCAGCCTGTTTTATAACGAAGTAGCTTATAATCTATAAAAATTAAAATTAATAACAAATCAATCTCAGCTACCAAATTCATCATAGCTGAAATATCGGAGAAATGACCTAAAGCTATCTTCACTTATATAAGTATTCGGTATATTATTTCAATTTTATCTCCATCAATTATTATAAAAGTCTTCTACTCATAAAATCTCGATACTACAAAGTAGCCAATAATGCTTTCATTGAACTGTATCGTCTATCACAATAAAGATTACTTTCCAATACTGTCTGTAATCAGTCTAAAAGCAGTCATATCCAATTTATAGTTCGAAATGGCCACATCCTGTGGATAATGAAAAAACTGTATTGTCTATTTGTATTCCTTTCTAAATTAAATTGCATAAAATCAGGAATTTTTATATCATCTGATGGTCACTAATTGCACAGAAAGTGTCCTCAATAAGAGCAGTCCCATGAGCAAAATCAGTTAATTTCAAAATTTCAAGTAATTCGAATGCTAGATATGACTTATTCATATTCCTTTTTGTATCAAAGTTTATGGCGCTGCAGACATACTAGCTTAAACACTCTCTTTAGACATCGTAATCGAATAACAGTATATTTTACTCTTTTATTCATAATAAAGATAGTCTAATACTTTATTTATTAGCAAATAACTTCGCTTCACTAAAGACTACCTATTAATGGACAGATTGGTAGTAGAATTAAATCATAGAAGATCAATAACTTTACTCGTGTGATCTAAAACAACAGTTGGCATTCATTTTGTAACAAAATAATTTCTCACATATTATTAACTACAGTAGATACTTTTATTTTTAGAATAAGTGACCGGGGTTACAGCATTTATTTGATTAAGACGATATCACTATTTCTTAATGCAATTTTAGCTAAATAATTACATCAATAGTGACAATAATTTATAAGATATTGCTAAAACTGACTCGTCACTACCTTAGCTTAACCAAAAGAAAGTTATATACTCGTAGGTAATCAATAATTGGGTAAATATAGTAATTGCTTAGAGTATCCAATGAAGGGTTAATAATATGGATATTAACCGTTAATTAAAACAACAAAGTTAGATTCTAATCCCTTATAAACAAGTAGCAGATGACAGGATAGAGATATCATATATTTGTTGTATGTTAAGGAAGGTTTCACTTTTACAAGATATAAAATGACTTCAAACTAGCCTATTTTCACAGCTCTACAACATTAATCATTTGCATTTCTAATTGCTCATTATTACATTATTCGTTCTTACAAATGAAGAAAATGGTAGGGCACAATTTTCTTTCGATTATTCAAGTTTAGAAAATTTAAAACTCATTGATCGACGAAATACAATCATGTGTAATTGTCTATAGCCCTCATTTGATTGAAAGAGGGTATATGCTTGGCTTCGATTAATTTGGTTTGGTATATTTCTAAAAATGATTGAAATATCCAATAAATTGAATGAGTAAAATTAAATACAGTATATCGAGATACCAGTATGCGCCATCGCCTACGCTATCGCTTGCTATTCACGTTACCGTATGGTTTAGCGATCTTCTTAGGAACTATCTACAATAGCGAATAGCCATTTGTCTTTAGTAGTCTATATATAGGGTTAAACTTGCTATAGGGTAGAAAATAATATAGGATGGTAACAGTAATTGCCAATACATAATCTGTTTTATTTTAAAATTAGCAAAAGGATTGTTTTTTTACCCTTAGGCTAAATATATAATGGCTTACAAAAACAATGACTAGTAGTAAAAGGTCAAGATAAAACAGTTTTCGTTCTTTCTGCCATGTTAATGCTTTTATTGTTATACCAGCTGCATGTATAGGCGTACAGATGAAATTAATTCACGACATGCTGTGGAACGAATGAATGTAAATATGTTATTTAGCATTTTCTCACGTAGTCAAGAATATGGTAGGTTATTGTTTGCAACTAGTATGTAATAGAAGGGTTTTTCTAGCACTTTATAAATTTTAGTTTAATGTTAAAATGTTGTCAACAACTAGGATGACTGTAAATTTTCGCACTATAAACGAGAATAATCAAAAATTATAAAAATAGATACATTGATAACTTATCATAAACAGTTCAAGACATACAGTACAAACCTCAAGTTTAAGACAATCCTTTCAAACTGAGAAGATTACCAATTACATATTATCATTAAAATATAATTTTCTCATGAATTGCAAATAATTACAATTGCCTACTGAAGTACAGTATATACATTAGTCATTTTGTTGATGAAGTTTAACTAACATTAAAATATTCAAACAGTCATTAAAACGGTTATTACAATTCTGATAACCGATTCATATTTCTCAAAATTCGATCAGCGATATTCAATCAGAATAACTATTATCATACAAAAATAATAATTCCTGATTTAATCATTTTTTAATAATTAATTAGTATTAGTATATCTCGTTATTAAATGTCATGTAACCTTGCCCAAATCAAAATTACAACAAAATACGCTGCTTCTAATTCGTTTTTATAACAACTTGAGCGTATCCTTACTATAATGCTGTACATGTAACGAAGAATGATGATAGACAATATTACATATCAATGACTTAAGTCACTTACTTTACAAACTTATCAAGTTACATAAATAATCTAATTTTATACCGAAAGACATCACTATTATTATCTGTCAAAAATAATTGACTCTTCATTTGCTTGTTATGTTACTGACATTTCACAGTTAGAAACAATATATTATGATGTCATGAAATAATCTAACAATGCTACCAACATTCGATAGGACATCTATTGAATGAAAACTATTTATCATGTTATTGATGAGAAGAGTTTATTTAACCATCTATGTAACCGTGAAGGGTTTATTCTTTAGAAGTTTCCATCGCGTACAAGATGGGTGCGGAGAAAATTTATCTTTGCTTTCTAACAGTCTTAATTTTGTCGATATTTTCTTGGGCTAATATCGTACAAACCGATAAAGGTCCAGTTCAAAGTAAAAATTATAATATTGAAGGTAAAGCTGTTTATGGATATCTCGGTATCCCTTTCGCGCAACCACCAGTAGGTAATTTAAGATTTCAATCTCCTCAGCCGATTCAAACACCATGGACACAAACTAAGAATACAACGACATTGCCGTATGCTTGTCCCCAAGCGTTACCAATTCCTGATCTTAGTTCACAAACGAAACAAGGTCAAGTTAACGAAGACTGTCTGTATATGAACGTGTGGACACCAACAACCAATAATGCCTCCAATCTTGCTGTATTTGTATTTATCCATGGCGGAGCTTATTACTACGGTAGTGGATCGAGATGGCAAGGCAAAGTACTATCTGCTAATCAAAATATCGTCACAGTTACCATGAATTATCGATTAGGTGCTTTCGGCTTTATGACAACATCTAAAGTCAATGACAATTACCCTATTGAACCAAATCTTGGCTTACTCGATCAACAATTAGCTTTGAAGTGGATTCGTAACAATATTGCCAAATTTGGCGGTAATCCACAAAATGTAACTATTGCAGGCAATTCTGTTGGTGCTGTATCTGTAGGATTGCATACAATGTCCCAAGGTAGTAAAGGCTTATTTCATCGCATCATTATGGAGAGTGGTGCCCCTATTATGCCACAATTCTATTACGTTGATTTTAAAATACCAAACATAGTATTCCAAAAAGTTGCCCAGCTTTCAAATTGTAGTCGTTCGACAGCAGCTCAAATTGTAACATGTCTTCGAGCACTTACTATGAAAGAGTTACTCACAGCTCAATTAACAACGATGGCAACTTATCCATTAGGATTTGTAGTTGTTGCAGGAGGCCAATTTTTACCTGACAGCCCGGAGACACTGTTAAAAAATGGACAATATGAAAAAGTGAATACAATGTTGGGCACAACCACTGATGATGGCTCTATATTCTTACAAGTTAATCGGTATCAAAATATTGGTCAAGGTTTACCACGAGCTGTCTTTCTGGGTACAATCGCCGGCTATTTTGCCGCATATAGCCAACAATCAAGGTCTGCTATCGAATATCAATATACAAAATATGCAAAAGAAAATGATCCAATTGCTAACAGAGACGAAATTAATAAGTTATTCAATGACTTTTTTTTTGTGGCACCAGCTGACAAGTGCGCAAGAAAATATTCAGCTGACGGTGTATCCACTTACTATTACGAATTTGCATTTCGAACTCAATTATCTACTGCATTTCCTCCATATATGGGTGTTACACATACAATGGAAGTGCCTTATGTAATGGGTTATCCTATTAATAGGCCAAGCAGTTTTTCAGCTAATTTCACATCTGAAGATGTTGCGGTATCTCGTGATATCATGCAAATTTGGGGCAGTTTTATTAAGCATGGGTAAGTCATTGAATATCCCTACTTGTAGCTATAGTAATCACCGCAATTGATTTACTCTCAAGAATAATGTTACTACGGCTTTATTATTAATTAATTATTTGTCATAAATTATTTAAATCTATATGTTGTATACGTGTTTATATTAAATGATACCAACTCATATACTGTATAACTTTTTACAATTTTTTTGCAACGATTTACTTACCGATTTTAGTACACCGACAATGGCATCATCGGCTGCGCAGTGGCCTATGTATAATGCAAATAATGCATCCTACTTTAAAATTAGCAATCAATCAGAAATTAGAAAGGATTATCTTTCTGATCGTGTTGCATTCTGGAACAAGCTATTACCAAAGCTGGGAGTACCCAGCACTACCGTTCCCACACCAACGACAAAGCCGACACCGACACCGACTAAAGGAATGACTACGCCTTCTACGACAATGATGACCACCAACAATCCTGCAATGTCCGGCATGGTTCGCAGAGAGTATATGATAGCTACATACGTTTTAGCAGCTATTGCAGCAATTTTTATAACCACTTTAATCATAGTTTTGTTTAAGCTGCATCAAGCCAACAATAATCGTATCAAAGGCACCAGTATATCCAATAGTCATAAATTCTAGCTCAAATCTAAGAATTGAGATACCTTTAGCTTCTGTATACTTGTCATACCAACTTTTAGTAGTCTTTTTCCAAGTATCTTGCCTTTCTGAATTTATCCTTTCTTGTCATTTTAACATGTAATAATATAGACTGAAGTACAGGAAGGTATACGTCCTAGATGTAGTTAATTTTAATTCGAATATAATCTGTATGACTCGTAATATATAAATTATCTATAATCACACCAGCACAGAAGTTAGCGCCTAAAGATGCCACGGCTATTGAGCTAGATATTTTCATCATGATTTTATAATTTTAATTGCTCAACTGAGCTTTCGTTAAATAATGTCTGTTGCTATAGAGCATTTGTAATCTGATCACGCTATTGGATAAAAAAATTGAATATTTCAGGATGAATACGGTACTATATCTTAATCTACAATCGAATAACTGCCATAAAAGTATACAGTAACTTGACCTACTTTGCTATCTGTGAAAATAAAAAGAGATCTATCTCGCGGGAGATTTATTCTGTTTATTGCATAATTAAATCTGGGCTATACCATTAAGCTATTGAGATAATCATTACGTAAGTAAAGTTGGGTTTACTGTAAAGCCACCAGCACCGGTGAGATATTCGATATGGCATTAAAATTAGTCGACATCATGGCCCTAGTGGCTGTTATTGTACATGAAAGAATAAGCCAACTTATGACTGATTCGAATTGTTCCATATTGATATTGACTTATGCGCCAAAGAATGGTTATAATCTGTTTCAATGTATGTATAAGGCCTATTTTCGACTCGATACGTTGGTTCCACAACATCTGAAGTATGGCTGTTTAATTTCATCTGATTAATTTCAACTATTTATTGTGTAAAGTATTTAAAATAGTCCACTCTATCTATCTATACGATAATTATTATGCTGTATAATGTAGAGAATATGATTGAGATACTATTCTTCATCAAGTTTTTATCCATCCGCGGGCAAAATGGACATTTGCTAATCATAATGATGGGGCTAATTTATGCAATCGGTGATTTTATATAACCGCTGCTAATTTTATATAGTCGCCGCTCGATCGGTGACTATATAACATAGCCGGTGAACATATAAACTAGTCGGGATCCCTTGCCGGTCAAATTTATACGGCTACGTTACATAAAATCGCCGATTACATAAATTAGCCCATCATAATCACTAGAGAAAAATGATCGGGATGCTATTCCTCAAGATTTTATCCGTCAATGTGCAAAATGAACATTTGCTAATCATGATATCTAATAGCATAACATAATTAATTATTATACTGTTGTGATAAAGTGATCTTTAACAATAAATTAAGAATTACAGTTTCTTGCCAGTTTCACTTTATTACATAAGTTAGATTCGTCTAACCTTTACCATCTAGTGTACGGTTTAAACTTTTCTCGTACAATCTTAGATCGTAATCTAAGCCATATTTGGGGCTGCACTACAACTGTTTAACTGTATGAATATAATTACTAGGGAAAAGTGACTGGGATATTATTTATTTATTTAATATTGATCATCAAGCTATTAGTGTGCAAAATAGATTGTCACGCCTGATCATCATTTCTTCAATAGGATACACTCAGATACAATCAAAGGAGACGACAAACTCTTTACACATATGAAGTTTCCTAATAGTGGAAATGTCTAGCAACGGATATGGTGTGGATGGTTATAGTAAATTATACAAAGAATCGAAACAAACAAACTATTGGCGTCCATAACAGCCTTCGGTCCACATCAAAGGCAAACGACAACATTAATATCGATGCCTCTAACAGCAGTAGATTTACTAGAGCATAGTATTAGCAAAATCATCCGTTAATTAATCTATTCGCTAATTATAATATATATATCATATATATAACAATATTATTGATTTACAGCATCATTGACGATCAAATCCCCATTACCTCCACGTTTTAGACATCATTTACTTTCTAGCTCGCAGAAGTGGTCATGGTTAATATCGCCATTCTTGTAACATCTTTATTGCTGTGTCAAGCCTCAGCGATTGCATCAGCAGCTGAAATGGTCCATACTAATAAAGGCCCTGTTGCCGGTATCGATTTTAATGTTGAAGGAAAAACGGTTTATGGCTATCTTGGCATTCCTTTTGCCCAACCGCCTGTTGGCTCTTTAAGATTTCAGCCTCCACAACCGATAGAAACCGTATGGAAACAACCATTTGATGCCACATCTCTCCCTTATGCTTGTCCACAAGGTCTACCAATTCCCGATCTCAGTCAAGACACTAAACATGGACAAATTAGAGAAGATTGTCTCTATATTAATGTTTGGACCCCTAGTGCAAGTAGTACATCAAAATTGCCTGTTTTTGTTTTTATCCATGGTGGAGCTTATTTCTATGGTAGTGGATCACGATGGCAAGGTAAAGTACTTGCAAGCAATCAAAATATTATTGTTGTAACTATGAATTATCGCTTGGGTGCTTTTGGGTTTATGACACCAGGTGAAAAAGTCGACGGTAAACACGTTATTGAACCCAATCTGGGGTTGTATGATCAACGATTGGCTCTTCAATGGGTTCGCGAGAATATCGCTCAATTTGGAGGCGATCCTAATAAAATTACAGCTTCGGGTAATTCAGTTGGCGCTATGTCAGTTGGATTACATACCATGTCACCTGGAAGTAAAGGATTAATTCATAGAGCTATTTTGGATAGTGGTACTCCACAATTTCCGGAATTCTTCCATCCAGACTTCACCACTCCACGAAAAGTATTTGAAGAAGCTGTCAAACACTCTAATTGTGCACGAGCTAATACAGCTGAAACAGTAGCTTGCCTTCAAGATCTACCTATGCAAGAATTATTAGGTGCTCAATTTAAAACCATGGGTGTCTATCCATTTGGCTTTTCTGTCGCTGTTGATGATCAATTTTTGCCAGATAATCCTGAAACTTTACTTAAAAATGGACAGTACGAAAAGGTACCTACGATGATTGGGACAACATCAGATGATGGCTCGGTTTTTGTAAGAATGGGTGGCTATCCAGATATCGAAAAAGGGCTATCAACAGAGAATTTTTTCGCTTCAATAGATGTTTTTTTTAAAGCATTCAGTAAACAAACTAGATCTGCTATTAAATTTCGTTATACTAATTGGATCAAAGAAAACGATCCTTTAGCTGTTCGAGACGAGGCGACCAAACTCTTTAATGATTACTTTTTTGCAGCACCTGCTGATAAATGCGCTCAACAGTATGCATCTGATGGTGTCCCTACTTATTATTTCGAATTTGCCTTTCCTACCAAATTGTCATTTATTTTCCCTTCATACCTGGGTGTTACTCACACTATGGAGATGCCACAAGTAGTAGGCTACCCAATTGATAAGCCGGCCAGTTTTCTAGCCAATTTCACGGATGAAGATGTCAAAGTATCGCGAAGAATGATGGAGACTTGGGGAAACTTTATCAAATATGGGTATGTCGAGACAAGATACAATTGTAAAGTAGGATACAATCATTTAGCATGATCAAATTATGTTCTTATTTTTAATGATATATAAATAGATATAATTGAGTAAAAATATAAGATTACTTTTTTTATAATCAATCAGTAGAATACCGTGTCATTCTTTAGTATATTGAATGCATTACAGTTAATTTTGTTAAATGTATGGTTATAATCCTATACTTAGGACGCCTACTACAGATGCATCACCAATACAATGGCCGCGTTATGACAAACAATATCAGACTTATGCAAAGCTTGACGATAAACTGACTATAGGTCAACATTACCTAGGTAATCGAGTCGCATTTTGGAACAAATATATCCCAGAACTCGAGGATTATGCTAAAAAATGCGATAGCCTTGCTTTGACAGCATCAACAAAATCTCATTGTGACCGAGACCAACAACAGTGTTCACGCATCGATTAACCTCAACTCTATGCGAAAGATGGCTACATGTATTTTAAGACCAGATCCGTATTTTCTTTGTCGATCTTCTAAATTGAGTTTATCATAAACTTTGAATCAATTTATAATGAGGATTAAGTACCCATATGATAGCTTATAGGCAAGTTCCCTAACATTTATGATCAACTTCGCGTATATGGTAGTATTGGCATGTCAGATTTGATCAATATTGATCTATCGTTAGACAAAGTTACTAAGATTTAACAGCTAAAACTCCGTGTTAAAATATTATACTATAAGAATTGTTGTTGCAAATGTTACAAAATAATATTACGTATGTGTGCACTGTACAGTTTAACTTATGCTTGCATGTCATATGGATATTATTAATTCTTAATCTATTATAACGATCTCTACTTATGTTTTGTTGCCATTAGCATTCTTGCGGTGCTTATCGAACGACCTTATATCCGCCACTATACCCTAATTAGTCTTTTATTGGTAGGGATTCTAATCCTTCGATTTAAAACTTGAGTAGTTAGTTTGTATCAATTAATGCTGGAAATGTTATCAATCATTTGTTTAATAGCAATCATTCTTTTACTTAATCTATCACAGTGTGTCAATGATCAACATTAGAGACGTTGATCTCGTCATAAATAAGACGTCTTGGTAAGCCATGTTGTGCTATTTTTATTTTTATAAGAAGAAAATCCACCCTAGGATTTACCTATTCGATATTAAGCACATTATAAAGCCTGTTTATATAATCAGAAATATTTTACTTCTTCTTACTGATCCCTCACAGCATGATATGATCTATTGTATTTCTAAAATATTAAATCTCCATCAAATCACTTTCATACATGCTTCATTCGTGTTGGTTCTCGTTGGATTAAATAAAGTTTAATACGAGTTTAATACGATCCTAACCTTTACAGCGTCTTAACTTAATCACTATTTCCTGTCTTAAAATCAAATCAATTACGCAATTTATTTATCGAACAGCTAGATGCATCGCATAAAGAGAAATCAGTGACAAATAAACTATATCAATTATGCATTTAACATACAATACAAAGCTACGACTACCTTTTGCTCTCCACAAAAAGTTTATGTATAGTTCACAAATTTAAGTACATCAAAGATGAAAAACATGCAATGGAAGACGACGATATAGACGAGCTTAAGGTAATGATATAAGGGACTATAAAGACTTGATCCAACGAATGCGTATAGATCAATACATAACACAGTTCAGTCCATCTGTGTAACATTTAAATATCATTTTATTCCCATATGTCGGTTACAGCTAGCTTATTCTCTATTTAGCTAATGACAAACTTTGAAAAATAAGTACAGTCATAATATCATGCTCTACAGATATCAACGATATTATCTTAAAAGTTGACCTTTTATCAATGTCTGAACAGATTAAATAGGAAGCAATATTCTAATTATTCTTGTCGAAGAAATTAACTGCTCTTAAACTGTTCTTTTAATTGCATTTTAAAATTTGCATATACAGTAATAAATATAGATTCCTAACCCTACAAGAATGTTTTAATCAGTTTCTAGTTCGCTAGCTTAGTCAGGGACTGCTATTTCGTATTTTATCTTAATGAACTGCGACATACTGCATTTTTAGCTGCAATTTTATAACCACCTCCATAATCAAATAAAGCCGGGATAAATCCATTTAGCACGACAAATTATACCTGTAATATACGAACAGACTTGAAGGCCCTTGCTGAAATTAATTCATGAGCAGCAATGCAAGACTTTAGCTGCTATTGCATATCTGTTCATGAAGTTATTAGAGATATTTGAGAAGAATCTAATCAAATAAGATCGTCAAATCTAGAAATGCACCATATTTTAACAGGTATGTTTTTCTGTTTGATAACAGCCCATAGTATACGTTACGAAAACAATATCAGAAGCTAATAGCTCCCATGGTATGGTTTCTCAAGAATAGTATGCAAGTAAATAAGCCATTATGAATATCAAATGCTATAGAGTCACTATTTACTTTAATTAACGCATTGCTATGCTATCGAAGTAACGGCAGCGATTAATTATTCTCATTCCACAGTCGGCAGCCATACAGTATGGAAATAGTTCAATTATTGTTTCGATTCATTTATAACTCTAGCTACTGCATCTACCTGATGTATTCTGAATAACTTGAAGAGTAAGTGGATCGGTATGGCAAAATATATACGTTGCTGTTAGACCTGAGAAAGGTTCGGTGAATATTTATTATCGTTGCTCACGTCCATCTTAATAAGCTGCGACCTCTAGGTCAGTGCCTTTATGAAATAACTAATGGAATCATCAAAATGAGAACAAATTCTATTTTCTGGGGATCTCGTAAGTAAACAATCACAAAGTTAACTCAAAAAAATCAAGAAAAAACAAACTGTAACATAATGTAGATATCCTGATGCTAAGCTATCTTGTCTATCTTGCCATTGGTACTGTCTCTAAAATCAAATTCAACAATTTGACCCACTTTAGGCTAAGAGCTAACGAATAAACGATTATAGTGAATAGATGGAGCTATCTAAATTGAGTAATTGTAATTTAGTCCACCATTCTTTCTAGTCAATATAACATGCATGCTGCTTGTATTTAACCCATAGAGATATATCTCTAGACATCAAACTATAGCCGCTAGCATTGATACTTTGTTATAACGTCTATAAATTGATTTCACAATAGCCAGTATTCTTTCTTTCTCTTGTAGAATTGATTGAAGACTATATACAACATTCTTATTTCCACCTTTCTAGTTCAAGATAGCACCTTATGCTCTAATTCATTTTATTGTAATAAACGATAGTAATCAGATATCCGGAATCATCATTGTGCTTGTTAAACATGAAGCTTGAGCGATTTTAATAAACTGGACATCACTTTTGTCCTATGATGACGATGTCTGTTATATGGAAAATTGGCATTTCCAATGAATTGATTTAAATTTATTGACATTTAAAGATAATTGCAGGACTCCTCCCATAATGGGCTATGAATACAAAGTTGGAATATTAAGCTAATGTATCATCGCCGACTTGAATAGATCATGAGCTACCGAACTTACTTATAAGCCTACGCCTAATTACATACTAGGGGAATTACCTATTGCTTTTCACGGTTCTGTACTTGGAATACAATTACACGGATAGAAGGGTAATCTTGGTGAATGCTTTTCAAAGGGAAAAAATTTTTTGCTATTTCATTGCTTCGTTAACGGCTTGCCTCTATCATGAAGAAATTGCTCGGTTTGTTTTTTTTTATTTATCTTAATTTCATTCAGGGGAATGTCGGTCAAACTATTGCTCAAACAGCAACTGGTCCAGTCGAAGGCATCCAAACTGAATATAATGGTACCGCGGTGCATGTTTTTCGTGGTATTCCTTACGCAGAACCACCTATTGGAGGTAGACGTTTCGCCCCAACGACATTAATGAAAACTCATTGGACAAATCCTCTCAATGCAACAAATTTTGGTCCATCTTGCCCTCAAACTATCTTTGTACGTAATTTTAGCCGATTAGAGAGAGATCACCCTGGCGCTCAACAATCAGAAGATTGTCTTTTTATGAATATTTATACTCCAACGACAAACACGAATGCAAAATTACCAGTTTTTCTATGGATTCATGAAGGAGGATTTTACTTTGGTGCAGGTGGTTTCTGGGAAGGAAATGCCTTGGCTGCAATAGAAAATGTTGTTGTTGTTACCTTTAATTATCGTTTAGGAGCGTTAGGTTTCTTAGGGGCAATAGATCCCAAAACTAGAACTACTGTTGTTGAGCCCAATCTAGGTTTTCACGACCAAAGATTAGCAATGCAATGGGTTCAAGATAATATTGCTAATTTTGGCGGTGATAAGACGAAGGTAACTCTTGCTGGTGATTCAGCAGGAAGCGTAAGTTGCAATTTTCAAATGCTAATGCCATCCAATAAAGGATTATTTCAAAGTGTTATTTTACAAAGTGGCACTGTTACATTGCCCAATGGTTATTATCCTGATATAGATGAAGCAACTTCTATTTTTACTCGATTAGCGTACAAGACAAAGTGTAATCGTACATCCATGGAGGATAGTTTGAATTGTTTAAGAGGTTTACCTTACGCTACCATTTTATTACAGCAAAATTGGATTTTATATGAGACAACGGGTGCTTTTAAACCAACTGGCAATTTTGGCTTAATCCCTGGTGATCCCAAAGAACTAATCGATCAAGGTAAAATTTTAAACGTTACGACAGCCTTTGGATCATCGAAAGATGACGGAACTTTATACCTAATGTTGCAACCAGGATTCGATTTTAAAGTTACTCGACAATATTTCGACGGAGCGGTCAATTTTTTGTTTAGTAACTTTGCTCCAAAAGCAAAAGATGCTGTTGTCTTCCAATATACCCATTGGGCAAATATGACATCACCTACGTGGAATTATAAATTAGCTATTGAAATGTACACCGATTTCTTATTTCTAGCTCCTAATATCTACTGTGCTACCCAATATGCACGCCATGGTATTCCTACATATGTCTTTGAATTTTCACAAAGGACAGTTAAATCGGGTTATTTCCAACCAGCAACTGGTGTTACACACAGCATGGAGATACCTTATGTTTTTGGCTATCCATATTCGAAACCACCTTATGATAGAGATGAATTTACCTTGGATGATCGCCAAGTATCCCTAGATATGATGACCCGCTTTGGGAATATCATGAGGAGCGGAGATCCTAATACTCCCAATTTAGATGGTATAGCTTGGCCACGATTTTATGGTAACTCTTCTCAGTATTACGTATTTACTGCTAGCCCAGCCGTTCGAGATCATTTAAGATCAAATAACATGCGATTTTGGAATCATTTAATTCCAAAATTGAATGCTACTCAACCTCTTTCAGTTGCTACCATATCAACAACTAGTAGTCCTACTACTAAGTTGCCATTAACAACTCAATTATCGCCACTCCTCCAAGAATTGCATACATATCGTCTGGCATTATGGATTACACTTGGTGCAGCCTGTTTCCTAGCAATTTTAAGCTTAATTTTAGGAATTATGGTGGCTAAAATTCGCAATCGTCCAATGAAATCTTAATAATTTACTATCATCATTTAGAGAAAGAAGTCATTAATATTAAAATTTTTACTATAACTTTTAAAAGGAATGACAGAATAACTTGAAATTGAAAAAGTAAATTCAATAAGGTTATTCAATGGATATCTCTACATCTACTGTAGCTGGCCCGATTTCAATTTTCATTCCTTACTTGTTCTTATTCTTAGTAATATTCATAGCTAAAATTCGAATTTGTTTAACGAAAAATATCGTAGCGTTAATCACTAATGAACATTCTAATGCTGTGCAAGGAATACGTAAATGTACTAATGGCAAGTTAAAAGATCCAATTTTAGAAGCAGCTTTTGGTCCAAAATTAGATGAATTTATTCCAGTGTATCTGAAATAAAGTATAAAGATAGTACCAACTAAGGCTAGTCTTATTCCAATGCAACTCTATAAAGTAATCTTAAATATTACGACTTCTAAGAACTTAAAACATGAAATATTATGTCAAATAAAAGTGCGACTAACTGACCAATGATCAATTCCATGTGATACTGCAAGCATGGTTAAATAAATTTAGGCTATGCTACGGCAGAAAAATAACCAAATAGCCTGAAAAAGAGAGCTTAGCAAAACTTTTAAAGCCATTATCTAAAGGCAATAGTTCAGCATGGAGAAATATTTAAGTTTTAATTGTGCTAGAACTTTATTTATAAAAGATATACTATTAAATGGAAGTGAAATATTAGAATAGCGTTAGGAAGAGAATGAATCGAACGTATACTCGCATAGCAAATATCTATTGGCGAAAATTGAGCGTTGACAGTTGGTTGCGCTAATGTGATACTGGAAGTACAATTACGAACAATTTGCAATATTAGAGGTAAAAGAGAAATAAGATACACTATAGAAATAAAATTGAACCAATAGCATAAGTATACCGCAAGTATCGAATACCAACATGATAGAGTACATTACTAATCTATCCATAACCTGTTTGATGAATAACCTTGTATACTTTACATTGGATTAAGCATACTGTATCGTAATGTAAACGATAATTTTTTGGCTAACCATAAGCTACTTATTTTGCTACTCAGAGTAAAGTCTATCAAAAATTATCCCTTGATAGTACTGAAGTTTGCTTTTACACTTTTGTAAACGGAATTTAGTGTCTGATAGGGTTATCTACTTTCCCTACTTCACTGATTAAATTATTTCGTTCCTTATAATTTACGAAAGCAAATTCTGTCTAATTTCAAATATCTCTAATTAAACAATTGTAACGTTCTATTAATACATTAAAATAAATGAATCAATTCGATGCAGAAAATACCGTACAATTTAATTTCATGTAATATACCGCAGTAGAATTAAGTGCAGTAGCTGCTTGTTTTGGCATCTCACCTTGATTATTAAGTTTCTACCGATTCTACAGTGCTTTAAAAGAGGACTGAACATGCAGGATGTAACTTGCACCCTATCTAGATTAATTATATGAATAAACGATTGATCATTACAGGTAAAAAAATAACTTTAAACGATAGCATTCTATATTAAATTAATGTAGAATCAAGAAAATCCTATCATTAGTTAGTACCAGTAGTATTCATCTCGGCAACCCTTTATAGATAACTGATCAAAGCAGGAGTTTCATTGGTTATAATTAATAAATTAATCTTATTAAGCATGAATCACAATGTTTCCATATGGTACAGAATCCTTCAGGTCTTTCTTTATTTAAATTTGAAGAAGAGCTCCTCCTTTCTGACCAATCCTGATAGTACTGACGTGTAGTAATTTCAGCTAATTACAGTAGTTTTGTGTAGGCAATACATACATGATGAAATAACGAGTCTTATGCTTAACTAGCTAATTATACCTGTGGCTTTTATGCAGCTAACTCGATTGATAATTATGAAGAGTTATAGATCAGTGCGCCCGGGTTGATAGTGAGTGCTACATCTAAATCTAGCCATATCGTGGTTGTTGGGAATCTTCTAGTATAGAAATACTTTTAATAAGAGGTGATGGATTCAGAATAATAGAAAGGTCTCCTAGCATAATATTGACGTAAAGTTTAAAATTACGAGTCGATAGGCATAGTATATTCACAAATGTTAATCTCTCATCTGAGCTATTATCATCTATTATGTAATTAATATGAAGATTCTGTTCATCTGTAAACAATTGTCAACATAAATCAATTTGGCTGATTGATATTTGATTTACATGACAAAGCGGCGTCTATTAGCTTCCAAAATTAAATTTCAATTTAAACTATCCCACTTCAAATAACATAAGCTCTCATTCGATTTCTGATATCATATATAAAATTCTGCCATGCGCCCTCACCTGAGTACTTTTACTGCTTTATTGTAACATGTTATAGAAGTAAACGTGTAGTATATAGTTTGCTCTGAAGACAGGGTTATAATTAATACCATCATACAAGCTACATATACATATAGTATAGTAAGAGTATAGTTTTACATTCTAATCTATTAAGGTATTTTTATCCTGTAATCTTTTCGTCTTGCAAACGTATGGCACATAAGGGTCGTTTCGATTAGGAATTAGCAAGCACTAAGCTCAACTAAATCGATAATACGGTATGTTAGTGAGCTTCTATTCTTTTTAATTACACAATCTTACAGTATTTATAACGTACTCAAATAATACTATTAATTAAGATTTTGGGTTAGAAACAGAGATCGTTTTTTTACAAATAGGCAATTTGAATCGCTTGTTTCTTAACTATGATTTTATTTAGGCATTCTTTTAAAATCAGAGATAGAAGTGATCAAGATGAAATGGCTACTGTCTTCTACTACAATATTATTGATCTTCTATCAGCTCAATATTGCATATGGTGCTGACAGCTATGTTGTAGCACAAACGGATAAAGGAGCTGTACGGGGTAAAACTTACAATGTTGATGATAAGCAATGCCATGTCTTTCTCGGAGTGCCTTATGCTGAGCCACCAGTCGGCTCCTTAAGATTTATGAATTCAATACCATTGAAGAAATCATGGAGATCAACTCGTGATGCTCTCCAATTTAGCCCATCCTGCCCACAGACCTATGTTGTGCCACAAATATATGATCGTCTTGATAAATCATTACCAGAAAGCAAAGAAAACGAAGATTGCCTTTATTTAAATATCTATACACCTAAAGTCGATTCTAAAAGTCCCTTATTGCCTGTCCTAGTATGGATCCATGGCGGTGGCTACGTTATGGGAACTGGTGCGAATTGGCATGGCGAGACATTATCAACACGTGAAGATATTGTAGTAGTGACAATCAATTATCGCCTTGGCGCTTTAGGTTTTATGACAGCTCGAAATGAGAAAAATAGTGATATCTTGCCAGCTAATAATGGCCAACTTGATCAAAACATAGCCTTAAAATGGATACAACGTAATATTCGTCACTTTGGTGGCGATAAAACTAAAGTAACCATTGCTGGCAATTCAGCTGGTGCTGTTTCGATAGGATTTCACCTATTATCACCATCCAGTCAAGGCTTATTCCGTAGTGCTGTTTTGCAAAGTGGTACTCCGTTATTGCACTTATGCTATCATCAAGACTATACCGAAGCGAATGAGATCTTTCAGCGATTTCTAGATCATACTGCATGCAACCAATCCCAAAAATCTCACCAAATTACCACTTGTTTGCAAAAATTATCCGTCGATCAAATTATTGAAGCTCAATGGGCTGCAATTAAAAGAAAAATGGGCCCCTTTAAACCTATCGTGGATGGTAAAACAATTCCTGCTGATCCAAAAATTTTACTTGATAAAGGTAAAATTAACAAAGCCAATGTGATCTTTGGTCTGACAAAGGACGATGGAACGCTATTTAATTTGCTAATCCCTAATATTAATAAGGGAATATCCAGACCAGTATTCGATGCTGTAGCACAAAACTCGATCGATTATGTTTCTAAGCCAGTTTTTGAAACTATCCTTCATCGTTACAGTGATCCTATCGATGCTAATAATCCAATCCTTATCAGACATTACTCCAATTTATTGTGGACTGATTTCTATTTTCTGTCACCAGCTGTTTATTGCGGCGAGAAATTTGCAGAACATGGCTTACCGACATACATGTATATATTTAGTCAACGAGTGGCTGATTCGTTTTATTATCCTGACCATGCTGGAGCTAGCCATCAAATGGAAGTACCTTATATCTTTGGATATCCAATACGCAAACCGAGTTATTTTAAGGATGAATACGATGAGAATGATGTTAATGTTAGTAAAAATATTATGGCAATGTGGGGCTCATTTACACGAGGAAAGTAAGTAACACGACTACGCTAATATTCCTTTGATAGCTTAGTGAACTGATCTAATGCCCTGTAATCAATTATAATTAGTTGAACTATTGAATCAACTTTTCATCATGTTAAAATAATATTAACGCTCCTATTCCTTCTATTTTTGTTGCAGCAAGCCCACTGGTAGCAAGAATTGGCCGAGATATGAGGTCAATAATCGCTACTATTTAAACATCACCAAAGATCCACAAGTAGATCAGCACTATCGACATGGTGATGTAGTCTTCTGGAATGAAATTGTACCAGCCATGGAATCCAAAATTAAAGCATTAGTGCAAGATTCACAAGGCGATTCTTCTACTAATCAATCTAATCCATCCGGCTTTAACATTTACAAGATATCGACGATTGCCCTTCTTGGTTGTGTAATCTATCTTGTATTTAATATTATATCATCGGGTAAACCAAAGAGACATTAAGAATAACCAACTATTATTGTATTAAAATCAAAGCTTTAGCTAAAAGTATAGGCACTACTAATTTACATGATTCGTAATTTAAACTGCATAGCTTGTAATCTCGCAGGAAAATAATTTATTACACATTTCATAATTCCAACTACAACTTACATATAATGTTGCATTCTTATCGAAACCCTATGATAGCTAAGTCAAATAAAACGCAAACTTATTTGTGCATATTTAATTATCCTATTTTAATATGGCTTTATTTATTCAAGTTATATTCGCTAACGATACTTTAATTTCACTAAAATAAAAATGAATGTTGTTTGAATCATTTATGTGTAATCATTGCAAAGCTCAACGCTAGTACTGATGCTTTCACATTCAGAAAATACCTCCTGATTTAATTACTTAGGTATTATCAAAATACTGTCAATGTATTAACTTAACCCTGGTAAATAACTGCACATTCTAATGTAACTGCAAGTTCCATTAACATCAGTAAGTCCATTATAGCCAGGTCTTATTCGATGTTTTCCATAAATGCAACGATCGCCAATTATAACCTTCCTAAAGCTCCATTAGTATGATGTGGTCATTAGAATCGTTGCCGCTACTCTACAAAGCTATAGTATTTAATTGCTGTTATTACTGATATTTGATAACAATTTAGTTTGCAATAAGTAATAATTGGCTCCACTGGAGTGACTAGAAAGTGACCAACTTTAATCATAATATAACCTCTCCTGTTTTATAAGTGAAATTTCAGCCCAAGTATTGATTATACACTTTATAAACATAAGCTCACAGCTTGTATAATAGAATCAACATTTTCAAAAACGTTTATACCAGCAATAACAACATCTAACTCATCAAATTCAGTGTAGCAGTCGGTGTTAACCTTTCATCTTCTTACGATGCATTCATTGCCCCACCAATCACTATGGCGACTCAATTTTTTGCAGTCTACGAATTGTTACTTCGGTCACGTTATTATAATATCAATGGTGTCTGAACTCCTCATCATTAACATATTTATTCTTAACGTAATCATATTCTATTTTGCTTTTCCCTATTGTCAAGTTGAGACATTGAGTCATTTTGGTAATGTATAATGTAATTTAAAAGAATCGTATAAAACGAGCGTTTTCACAAAATATTGAGTAATCATAAAAATTATTATCCATGTTGATTATTGTTGATCGGATATGATATCTTTAAAATCGTTAAATCTAAATTTCGTGATAGTACTAATATTACTATCAATCATTGATAATGCTTGGGTTTCAGCTGTATCATTAGAAACTAAGCTTGGCCCTATCAAGGGCATAAAAACAGAAGTCCTTGGTAAGCCGCATTATCGATTTTTAGGTGTACCTTATGCCTTACCACCTGTTGGCGATTTACGCTTTCAACCACCGAAGCCGATAGTAGCATGGAAAAAGGAAATGGTTTTAGCACGATTTAAACCTTCTTGTCCTCAGATTTTCAATCACTACCCATTTAGTCATCGTGTTGATCCAAGAAGTGATGAAGCACAACAAAGTGAAGACTGCTTATATTTAAATATTTACACGCCGAACATTCAAACCGATCGAAAATTACCAGTCTTTCTATTTGTTCACGAGGGAGCCCTCGAATTTAGTAGCGGAGCTAATTGGCAAGGTCAGGTTCTTTCTCAGCATCAGAATATAGTTGTGATAACTTTCAATTTTCGATTAGGAGCGTTTGGATTTTTAACAGGTTTCGATGACAAAAATCGTGAGATCGTTATTGAGCCTAACTTAGGTTTCCTAGACCAAATGGTCGCCTTGAAGTGGGTATATAATAATATCGACGATTATGGTGGTGATCCCAATCAAATAACATTAGGCGGTAACTCTGCTGGTGCTATGGCTGTTGGCTATCATATCTTGATGAGAAAATATAACCCAGATTATAAACGCTATTTCTCTAGAGCAATCTTAATGAGTGGCACTGCACTTACCACTGGCGGTGCTCATTTAGACCTAAATCGTTCTACACAAATATTAAATACGATGCTGACTGAATTAAATTGTCCTAATAGCACCAAATCAGTCATATTAGAATGTTTAATGTCGAAATCTACTGACCGTATCATGGCAGCCCAAAGCACACTTTTACTGAAGCATTTTATGCCTTTCAATTTAGTAAATCATAAAAATATGTTCGAAAATGATACTAAGATGGAAATGGAAGCAGGAGAATTCCATTTGGATGAGGTCATGATCGGTACGGTTTCCGATGAAGGTCTATACTATTTGCAAGAAATTAATAAGTTTATTAGTGATGGCGGTATCGATGAGAAAGTTTACCAGAAATCCATTGATATCATCTTTAGTCAATATGCAGATCCAATAAGAGAGGCAATTAAGTTCCAGTATAAAGATCATTACCATCCTTATAATCGTACTCAATATCGGGAAAGCTTGTTTGCTTGTCTATCTGATGCTTATGCTATTGCCCCGGCTGCATATGCTGCTAATCAATTTTCGAAGTTTGGAGTAACTACGTATCAATACCACTTTGATTTTCGTACCAAAGAGTCAGATTATTTTAAACCTGAGCAAGGTGTTGCTAAAACTATGGAATTAACGTATTTATTTGGTTACCCATTCGAGCAGCCATTTCACATTCGAGATAAATATTCTTTCAAAGATAAAATTGTCAGTAAATTAAAGATGAATTTATGGGGTAATTTTATTAAAGCGGGGTAAGTTGAATGCGAATATTTACGGACTCGATAGTAGCAGTGTGAACCCTACAAAATAGCTTGTTAGGGATGACATTAATTTTTATTCTTGAAGACTATAGCGATCTGCCCTAGCAGTTTGAACTATGATCTAATTAATAAAATTGCATGTTACTACGTATCATATATAGTTAGTGCTCATCTACTAAAGGATAAAATTTGATTAAAGTTTATGAGTTAAATTCTCTGTTTGTAGAAAACCGGCTTTTCCCTCGCTTGAAAATGAATGGCTACCGTACGATAACAAGACACAATTCTATTACTATATTGGTGAAAACGTAGAATTGCGACAACGAAGGCGAGCGAATAACGTTGCATTCTGGAATAGTATGATACCAATACTAACGGAAGCACTCCAAGAACCAACAGTCTTCGAGGAAGAATTTATTGAAGAGTTTTATGAATACCCGCCAACTAGTAAAGATTCCAAAGAAACGAAAGTAATACTACCAAAGCCGAAAAAAATTAAAGAAACCACACGAGTAGATACGCCTAGGCCATCAGATGAGTTATAGTTGAATTCTTCTTGATTTTAATTTACTATCTTTTAAATGTGATTGCTTTTAATGGTATTATAAAGGCTTTATGGTAATCGTATACTTTATGAAGATTATTATTCCATCTTAAATATGCTAATTTATCTTTCTCAATATGGCAGGAGTTTATACAGATTGAAAAGCTTTCATATTTCACTTAATAGCTCATTTATTACGAATTCAAAGTATCTTACTAACTTAAAGTTTAAAGTGCTATAGTACTACAATAAAAATATGTGAATGTTATAATGTAAGTGTCTGAAAATGCTTTCCAGAATTTAAGAAATTCGTTAGCTAATATTATACAACAGTCAATACATTTATCAGATGTGGCTGAAACCGTGTTGTTTACTTTTCAACTTTGGTGTATTTTTCTTAAATACAATATCTAACTAATATTATTTCAAAAACTCTTGATAATAAACAGTGAAGAATTTTTTAAAATGTTTCTGGATTTTAGGGTAATTGGCATTGCTAATGCAACAACAGTAGAAGAGCGAGATTGATCATAATAATGTCTTAAATCCTTACAACAAATCGTAGAAAAAATCTAATCCTTGGCCCAATTCCCAAATTGAAATACCAGTTCCTAATTTCTTAGCAAGATCCACGCGAGCTTGTATTGACTAAAAGTGTAAAGTGAGATAGTTTATTCGCTATTTAATTCTTGTATAACTCAATTTATGGTATTGCAAAAACCGACCTTTAGCGATGGGTAATAGACGGAATGAGAGACACCGCTACAACATGAAAAATAAGTTAACTCGTTATTTCCTAGCCCAACTTAACAGCTATATATTATTTCTTGGTTAAATATATTTACTTACTGCTTCTTGTACTCTATTATATGTTCAGCAATTTTTGAATTCCATTTTATTTTAGGCTTATTCTTAGTTAAAATGTCAATATACCTACCATAGGATGATAGTAGCATCATGTAGTTCAATATTACAGTACATACGTATATACGAGTGATGACAACAGGGTCGTCGTTGATTTCAGTTTAACTTACCCTGGACCTATGATGGCTATGGAAATATATCGCAAGAGGAAATTTGATTAAATATGAGCGAAATATTAACGTATACATTATGATGGCTTTAGAAATCGTACACATGGTAAGCTTAAGGAAATAATGCAAACAACTTATAGTATCAAATACTTACGTCCACCTCCAGTTGTAGAATAATCATTGCCATAAAAGTTTAGTCCAGTTAATATTTTCGATCTAGATGGCCCCTCATCTGGCACCAATAGTTTGATACATTTTCTTACCCAAGCAATTGGTGAATTTGGTCCGGGACTAATTGAAATAGAAGTTGATAGAAAGCTTAAGAACAGTTGAAATCATTGGGTTCCGGTTTATTACTGATCTAAAGTAAAACAATCCTTCAATATTTTCATGAAGCATTCCTCTATAGATACAGTAATAAACGTTATCCTACCTTTGAGGAGAAGAATAATCGTACGTCATCAGACTAAAATAATCGACATACGGTGCTAATACTTCAAAATCACTTTTCCGAAAAGTGCCATCAAGATCACTTGAATTGGTACATAAGATAATGATGGTTAATATTATTCCATGAAAAATTTTATTAAATTTTTAGTCATAATTCCATTTATCTACAGCAAACTTTTTATAGATAGGCGGAGGAATAACCAAAACGATTTTTAAATTTTCAGCATGGAAAGTATTTGCTAGATGTATCGTCAAATCTAGTAAATCGCTAAATTGAACACCATAGATTCACATTAGGTATAGTTGTTACAAGGATATGAATATAATTCTTGATGAACTAGAATGGATAATAATTTCAAATTTTACTTTTTAAAGTAACCACCGAGTTGACTCCATATTTCAATAACGCCTCCGGAGAATTGATTTTTCTGTATAAAAATTTAAATAAGTGATAGTACAGTGTATTACAACTGTCTTTATATAAATAAAAATGAAATAAATGTGACTTAAACTGACGTACAAATACAGTGCTTTATATCAGCGTGCAAAAACTGCTGCAACACATAGCAATAATATATACATATATTTTCAGTAAAGTATGTAGAGACTTGGTAAACACGCTGTATACTACCATCAGTACCATCGCAAAACTAATACGACAAGGTGTACAACACTATACGTTCGGTGTTGGTACTCCAACTAATTCTAAAAGTTACCTTTAAAAACGTTGCCATATATTTTCCAAGTTTTTTCATTGCTTTTTCGTCTTTAAAGAGGTTAGAATATTGTTGTACAGTCCACCCATCAAAAAGAATCCTAGGAACTAGCAAACACAATATTTACGAATCTTTAAATGGATACAGCACCTAAAAGAAATTAGCTATGCTGCTAATAATTGCTAACATGTCTACTTTAAAATGGACTACTACCCACTTAAGCCCTATGAATGTACCCTAGTCCACCACAGTAATGACGGCAATATATTTTTGCCTGTTTCGCCAGTACTATAAATATGGGCACTATGTTATAGTAATTTGACTACCAGCCAATTTTACTTACATATCTGTGTCGTTGAATTTTGTGTGACATCTGCTATCCATCCTTTATCAATGTCATGATCACCGGTCATATAGAACGCACCATTTCCTCTTTCAATTAAAAAAAGTAGCAAATTTTATGAGAATGTCATAAGTTTAAGACTAATCAATAATACTAGAATTATACATACGTGCAGCCTATGCTATTAACAACGGTGATGTAATTGCACACAACGAATAAAGTTGTATTCAAATTACGTCTTACTTTCCGTGGTAGCTACATCGGACCGTTAATTATTTGTCTATAGTTGATAGGTAGTGTACTTTATTGTCGTTTATCAATAGTACATATATCTTCTTTAGTTAACCCTAAATATATACGTATCTAGTGTTTATACAGTATATTGCAGTATGCATACTGTGGCTATTTAGTTGCTGATGTCTAACGAGACACTGGTACACTTATTTCTTAAGGTGCGCTTTCAACATGTCTATGCAAATATAACTTTTCCTTTTAATATAGGTAGATAGGTACGTATTTTACAATATATGTAATTAACAGTTGAAATAATTTAGTGACATTAACCAAATGTGCACCCACGTGCATAATATGAAGTAATAGATAGAAAGCATTAACTGAGTGCAAGTAAACCGACTATTGTGCCAAGCTACAAAATGAATTTTACTTACTTGCGCTTGATCTGTAACCAAACGGGTGATATAACAGCGATCTTGCCATTGAATAATTTAGCCACATCGTAGCCATGGTTATTCCACTATTAGCATATAAGCATATATATATTATTAATATATGTACGAGTATAAGAATGGATTAGATATGTTATTATAAAAGAGTTACTTTTATAGCATACGCGTATATTAATGCAAGTAGACTGATTCATTATTGACTTGTACTCATTAATTTATTAATTTTATTTATGCATTGTTATTATATAATACTACATATGCATAGATAGGTATTAGCTCTTAAGTTTGCTATGGAGCAACTCAAAATTCAGGCACATAGTACGAATAGCACAAGTGTGCCGTTTCCTTACACTAACACAATCGACAATTCCTTCATTAGATTAAATCGACTATTCCTACATCACACAGTTTTACTGTAAAGTATTGCTATCCTTGATACACGCAAACTACTGTGATTGCTGAAATCATGACAGTATAATCTCCAGCAATCTGATCTACTTTAAGACATTGTAAACAGTGAACTTACAGGAGTAACATAGCCCAAGATGAAAAGATCAGAATTGGATTTCTTTTGTGTATCACCATGATATTGGCCATGTTCTCTTATGATATCTTGAGATTTTGTCTTGGTGGTGACAAGTTTTCGATCCAAGACGTTTTTATTGGTCACACCCTGAGAATCATTCAAGCAAGGAGTATCCAGTGTTAATATTTAGTTATAATGGATACGATTAACTGCATTTAAGACATAGGATCATGCACAATTATGGCTAGATCTCGATTACGTTAGCAGCGATTGATTGATTGATAAATCGATTTACTCATTTGCTAATGATAGATACTAGTATTAATGCATATAGTGTAGTAATTAACGATGGCTAGCTTAACGGTATCGACTCCGATTTCAATTTATACTAATTATAATCGGTCGGTGTTACTATCCTCCATTAGCTAATCCACCAAAGCATGTACTACATCCTACATCCTATCGAGACGATCTTCAGAACAGACCTGACTGGAAGTTTTGCCATTGATCTGCGTAACGCCATAATTAAACCAGGAAGAGTATGATCTCAGTAGCATAATCAACCCAGCAGTAATTAAAAGGTATTTAACCGATATCATGATGAATGCATCGAATGTCTCCACTGCTATCAAGCTAGACGAAGGCAGTTGATGGCTTCCCAATCGCTCTCTCCTGGAGTTGGTTGATGAATTGATGTACGCGTCCACTCTTCCGTCCACCCGTCAGGTAGTCGCCTACCCACCGTCCAGTGTCTCGTCCTGTCCGACGACGATCGAACGCGATCCTCGCTCACAGTACTACTGTACTGTCGAGAACTAGTGTAGTCTATATCCTGTGCTCTACTAGACGTATGCGTTGTACAATCACTACTCTACTAAGAATTCTCCCTCAAAATGCAAATGGTGCTCGAAAGATTTTCACTTCCAAGCAGTAGTAGAGGTAAAATTTTAAACTTCAGTTTTAACTTGAGTTTAAAATTTTACCCACTACTAATGATACTAAAAATACACAAGGATTTGGTGGGATGAATTGTGTATAGAAGTGAAATGTTGATAGTGCGGCTTTTTGAGAGAGAATTCTTAGTTGAGTAGCCCATGGTAGCCGTCCTGATAAAATGTTGCCTAAACTCTAATCCCGGGACTACTACAAAGTTTCTTTCTAGTAGTTCATGCACTAACGCAAGAAAATGGACTTTTACTCAAGCAAAGCCTGCTAAAGATGCTGTAAAATGTTGGCTAAACTCTGACTCAAGCGTTAATTGCGATATCAATAATATCTATAAGATTTACTGTATATAAATCAGTCGAGAAACTGAGTAGAAATTCATTATTACTGAACGTCGTATTTCCAGTGGTTGTGCAGTTTTTCAACTGCACAGCTTTCTCACTATTAAAATCTCGCCATACGCGTATAATATAACGTCAATAATGATAGCCGATCGATTCGTTGATGATTCATATTTCCTTCATGATGTTTTTCCTCCACTGAAGCAAAAATGGATCATTCTAATTCAATCTCTCCATAGTATTATTTCATAACTGAAAGAGAATGGAATTCATTTAATATCAAGGTAATCGTACCAGTTCAAAATACTTCTTCACTTTTCTACGCTTCTCAGCGAGTTTATGTATGCAGAATATAGATATTGCTAACTAGTTACCAATCATTCTTCAATTAATTTATTTGTTATAGCATACAAAAAGCTCTGCTATTACGAAATAGATGCAAATAAATAATTATACAGTATATTCAAAGTAATGATAATATTGGAAATTATGACTACATTTTACTCTCTGGCCCACGATCGTATCAAAGATATTCAGTAGAGAATATCATGATTAAATAGTTTCGAAATTTTTATAAAAAATTATATTTCCACATATTATATAAGTAGATAAAGATGAAGACGTACTTCACTTACGTTAACAGTCAAGAAAATTCTGCGGATGGATGAATTAAAGATTATGTCATAAAGTAAAATATTCTCCATGCAAGATGTGAATTAGAGTATACAATGCAACTAAGGATGTATACGGGCATCCAGCATATACTCTTATACATTATCTAATATCAGAGTATAGCTAGCTTTAACATTGATAATTTTTACATGACTCGTATATCAATATTTTGGACATTGAACTTATAACCAGATCATTCTGAAGAAATTTTCCAATGCAGAATAATATAGATAGCATGACACATCACCATGATCAAATTTAAAAATTATATCCAACATTTAGCACGTGTCATTAACTTTAAACTTAGTTGTAACCACCATTAGTAATCATCAATTATACATAAAGGATATCTGAAACCTCCATTAAAGATAGCTATACCTACCGACAAGCTCAAAAGTAGAAAGATATCGCTATCATTGTGGCTTATAGACTGTTAATCATTTAGCACATGTTATTAACCTTAAACTTAGTTATAGCCAACATTGGTGATCATAAATTATACATCGATGATATCTTAAACTTCTATTAAAGATAACTATACCTACGGACAAGTTCAAAGTAGAAAGATATCGCTATCATTGTGGCTGATAGTCTGTTATTTATCTATGTCAATATTTTGTAGGTATTTTTGGTATTCAAAGCATAAGAAAGTAAGTAAACATTTACTTCTTCCATTAAGAATATTATTAGGCTATTCGTTAAGGATGACGACGTTAATCTTATTAATTTATTGATTGATTCTTTGTAAAATAATTCTAAAGTCGTTTATACGTAATTTGATGTTACTTGATATGATTTCTTAAGGCAAGTGAATAGGAAACATGCCTTCTTCTACAGTAAGTAATCATAACATTCATGATATAAAATTGAATAGAGAAACGTCTTCTTTCAATAACGTCTAAGAATTGAATGTTATTGAGAGATCAGATTGACAACTAAATTTCCTTTAGAAACTGGTTATTTTTGTTTTAGATCTAAAAGAGTTAGAGTATAAGTAATAAAAGAACAAAGGAATAAAACTTTTCTTAAAAAAGGCATCCATCATTTTAGTGCAGATTGATAAAACTTTAAAAACCTTTTGTATACGCGTATTATTTACCATGGAACCAATTGAAAGTGGTGCTATCATCTCCTTGTCTCTCTATTCTACTAAAAGCTTAACTGTAGATGACTTTCAAATAGCATTAAACTGTAGAAGACTATATATAACTGCCAATAATTCAATTTCAGTACTTTCGGCCTACAAACATTTATTGTCCATTCTAAATAGCAGGCGCTGACCAACAAAATTGACGCAACCGGGCATAAAGTTGGAAATATTGCCTTTAGTCTCATCATTAATTTCAGGTTATAAGATCGATGATTTATTTGGGACCAATCTTATATGACTAGTCCAGTTGTAATCCTCTGTTATTAATACCTTACTCGAAACGCTGATATTTAGCTATTCAGAATTGATATAGAGGTCAAGCCAGAAGCTACAAGGTAATTTATGTTCTGATCTATTCATTTTTTGAGATTCCCCCCCAAAAAATCATTTTCTTTTTCCCTAGTCAGAATAAATTACCCTCAGTAAAAATCTACAACCAATTGTAATCCATTTACATTACTGATTTTTATTAATTTCGATGGCCTTATGATCGGGATTGATCTCTATTATACTGTACAAGTCTTGCCTTCTGTTTATTCTGTTATCGCGATTGGTAGGACATATCCAAGAAAAAATATCGGACTGAACAAAAATATTTTCAAGTTATAATTTTTAACCTTTTGCCCGTTCAAGAAAAACTTAAATCTTAAAAATCTTAAAGCACAGTCGCCAATATTCGCAGACAGTAACTACATTTGTTTCCATAGATTTTTAAATTTTAAAGTTCTCCTCAATGATGAATAGATACAATTTAGCCTTAACCCTATTCTTGATACTAGTCTTGAATAAATCAAATCTTGCTAGTACGACTTCTTTTGTCGTTACAAATCATGGCCTAGTACAAGGCAAAGTCAGCCATATCTTAAATGGCGATATTCATTCATTCCTTGGCATTCGCTATGCTCAACCACCAACCAATAATTTGAGATTTAAACCAGCCTTGCCGTGGACACAGAATTGGCAAGGCATATACAATGCGACATATTATAAATCATCGTGCCCGCAATATTCCTCAAAATGGAACTGTCTAGACTATAATAAGGAACTCCTCAATAGCCAACCTATCAGTGAAGACTGCTTGTACTTGAATATTTATACTCCTATCCCTAATGTAGCTGGCAATAAATCTGTCTTGGTATGGTTTCATAACGGCGATTTTAATTGCGGTAGTGGATCACTGTGGGATCCTTCTGCTTTAGCAAGTACAGAAGAGATGGTGATTGTTACTGTTAATTATAGGTTAGGAGCTTTAGGCTTCTTAACTTCAGGACAAGATAGCAATACTGATAGTGAAATTCCAGCTAATCTCGCCTTACGTGATCAACAATTAGCTTTAACATGGATCAAGGACAATATTGTTCGATTTGGTGGTAGAAGTAATGATATTGGGATTGTTGGCAGTTCAGCTGGAGCAATTTCAGTAGGTTTACACACCGTTATTCCAAGCAGTGGATCATTATTTACATCTGCCATTCTACAAAGTGGTACACCACTCTCACCCCACGCTATCAAGACTAAAAATCAAGCTCAAATTATTTTTCAACAATTTACAAGCGCTACTAATTGCAGCCGTAATACATTAAATTTAACGATTGAATGTTTACAATCTCTATCAATCAGTACAATATCACAACAGCAAGAAGCTATTTTATCTCAATTTCCTCAAGCTTTTACGCCTGTTATTGACGGCCAATTTATCCCTGACGATCCTAAGGTACTCCTTTCTTCAGGCCAATTTAACAAGGTTCAAATTATGCTGGGTAGCAATATGAACGATGGTTCCAAGTATTTAGCCCCCTTACCCAATATCACCAAGGGGCTATCAAGAGCTGCTTTTAAAACTAATATAGTCGCACAATTTTCCAATTTCAATAACGTCACTTTATCAGCCATGATCTATAAATACACAGACTGGACAAATAAAACGTCATTATTTAGTAATCGTGCTGAATATGAGAAATTATACAATGATTATTACTATGCTGAACCCATTGTTGAAACAGCGAATCTTTATTCTAGTTATGTTACTACTTATATGTACGTTTTTGCTTACCGAACTGAAAGTGATACTTATTTTCCAAGCTATTATGGCGTGGCTCATTCTATGGAAATTCCCTATGTATTCGGTTATCCATTACTTAAACCCAATAACTTAAAATTAAATTATACTGAACATGAAGAAAGAATTAGTAAGCATTTAATGTCACTTTGGGGAAGTTTTATCTATGATAGGTAAGTCATTAATGTAATAAGGCTATTCAATAACTTCATTTGTATGCAATTGGGCTAGTCATAATTTCTAATAAAGAAACGCATACTGCCTATTTGCTATAACATTACCGGATTCAATGTACAGTTTAAACTATAAAGTGGTCTTTACAGGCAGATTTGGTATCGTAAATTCCATTTGTATTTAAAGTTTTAAAGCTTCTTATTGATCATTTTAGTTTATCCGATTAAATTTATGTGTTGAAAAGTTACAAGTCACCATAACAATAACTTTAAACATAATCTGATGAATTGATGATGTTGGTTACGATAAATACTGCAAATAAACTTCAGTAAGCAAATATCCAAATTAAATTATGGCGCTTTGCTGCATTCATACCACAGACCTTCTTTAAGGGCACAACTTCTCTAACTACTAGTTTAAATGACTGCCAAAATCATCCTTAAATATCCTTTTACAGATCAGATACTAGAAATATATCATTACATTTCTTTAAACTATCCATGCAGCATGCAAAATTTACGGTACAATCATGACCAGTTTAAAATTATGTTTGTAGCTATCGTATATCACTTAATGATGACATCAGATACAAATATAGCGACCTCGTAACGAACGTAAATGTGACTTAAAGTCCATGATATAAAAACAATTTTGAATATTTTTGCTGCTGCTATATTCGAAAAAATTAATTCGAGTTTTATAATAGTGTACTTTACAACTATTTAAATTTATAGGTATAAGTACATACAATTCATGCCAATCGTACGTGTAATCAGGCAGCTAAAATCATAGAACATATACAGTAACGTAACTTCCAAATCAGCCAGTTTTGTTATATTTCGTTAATATGCGTCCCGCCCTATTAAAATTAGGCATACCTTTGCTGTATAGTCGAAAAGACCACGTCATAATTTCCCTACCTATTTCTTATAGCTACATAAACTCCAGAAGAAAAGAAGGTAATGGAATACTGTTCGACAACTAGAGCTGACATAACTTTAATTCTATAATGGCATTTATTCCACAAAGCCTATCCTGAAGTTAATTTTAAGGATATTAGCAGTATAGCTGTACAATACTTCATGTACCGACCTGAATATATACAAAATTTTTGACATGCTATGATTGCAGCAAAAAAGAGTTCTCGAATTAATATTAAGCACATCATGATTTGCTATGACTTTTTACTCAAATCAGTTACTGAATTGCAATCTACTTCATATATCAAGTAATCTAGTTCCATTTAGTAATACTTATCAATGATTATTTTAATCGTATCAAACTATCGAGGACAACGTTTAAATAGGAAAAACGGCCCAAATCATAGATTAGCATGCTAAAAATCAAAGTTCCATTAGTTAGGTATACTTAACAAGAAAGTCTGCGCCTAGCTTCTGAAATACTATTAGGACATAGGTTTTTTCTCTAGTCTACCATATTTGTCCGATCTGACTTGATTTAATATTTTTCCACGGTAGTCCTTATTCGGATACATTTTTTGTATAAATATAATTACTAAAAATAGATCAAACTTGATGTAACACTCCAGTAGTTCTGTCTATTTTTTCTCAAGGAACACAAAACAGTCTCGTAGATGGAAAAAGTAATTCTGATTTAAAATTTCATAACATAGACGAACGGTATATTTAGTAGAATCTTGTCGGATGATTGTATTACTTGACTGATAGTTTTTATCGCTATAAGTTTAAGTTACAGCTTCGTAGTCTCACCTAGGTCATCAGAAATTCTGATGGCTAATTACCATAACGACAATTTAATGTTTCTTTAGAATTAATAGTGGATTTTAGATGTCTGAGCTAGCACAGAAAATTTTTACCTAAATAATCACTGTGTTAATATTAATTTTTACCATTTGGCAATGCTCGATAAATATCTAAGACCAATGATTGTAATTACAGATCTCCAATATCAAGAGTTTCAACTATCAACTGGCGGCCCTATGTAGCAGATACCCGTTTATATTGCTATATTAATACTGTGAACTCTGAAATACGCAGTTTCTACATTGCTGATAGAGTGGAATTTTGGAATACATTGATTCCGCAAATTAACATTCCACTTCAGATCGGAACATCTAGTCCTTGTTCCACTGTAACTCAGCCAAGTAATCTGTCAACGAACAGCCCTAATTTTACCACAACGCAATCAAGTAATCTTTCTTCCCCTATAATCCTCATAGAAAACAGCACTTCTACTTTCGACGATGATGTGACTGGGAGCGGAAGTATGTCACCTTTTCCAATAGATTTTAGCGAATCATCACTTTCTACTTCTGATATACCAACTCGAACTCAAACTACCACTCACGATACAAGCTATCCCACTCAAGCACAGTCATGTAGTGATATTCAAATGATGAAAACAATCTTTATGATTTGTACATTTGCACTAGCTGGCATAATTGGAGTGTTAATTATAATTATCATTATTCTAATCATCAAATTAAAAAAATCTAAAACAGCTGTTGCTTGAAAGACAGTCAAATTATATGTATTGTAGCATATCTAAGATATTATACGTTATCAATTATCTAGCATCTCCGATAAATTGAATGCAAATGCAGAGAGTGCAATGATACCATACACCAAAAAGGATGAATTGTGTTTGTACATAATAATCATTCAAGCAATATGTATGAATTTATGGATACGTGTGAATCTTTTAAGCAATAACAAGCTTTCAGTAATACTTAAGTAAACAAGATAGAGTCTATTATTTCATATAAATTATGCACTATCACGACAGAGTTTTCATCATGCGAATACTTTTTATACGTGCAATTGATAGTAGGCTGATATCACCAGTAGAAATAATTCATCACGCATTTATTAATCATTATGCTATGACTATGCCTGTAAAGAAATCAGTCAAATATAATGATTTCTTATCATCAAATTGATCAAGCTACAACAAGGAATAAATAGGTTCTAAATTAATCGACTTGACAAAATTATTAAACACTGCAATGATACATTCTCAATTAACAATTAAAGTATGAAAGATCTAGTTGTTCTAATGGATTGAACCGTAACAATGGACTGAACTTGAATAAAATCTAGATCTACCTGTTAATTATTCGATTCTGTTCTATCATTTTCCAACATACACAAAATGAGTAAAGATAGGATATACTTTTACTTTTGGGTTATATTCCATACTTTAAAATTAAATTAAATTAGCTTACTATCAATTAATTCACAATGATCGAATATAATAACATATAGTAGTTTCCCTTAGTAGGAGCTTCTCTTTGTTTTTATATCTGCAAATGATCAAATGATAGTTCAAGTGTAGTTTCAATACATTAGTATACTGGCATACTTAAGGCGTATGAAAATTGCATCCAATCAACCATCATAAACATCAACAAGAGCTTTTGCGTAGTACAGTTATATAGCCTTGAGCCTAAAGGGTTTAAAACCAGATTAAATCAGCTATCATACAAATTTATTAATAATGTCAAGAGTTCTCTATGATTACAGCTAGCTAATATTGAGCTAGCTGTAGCTATGGTTGTACAGTTTTAATACCAAATCTTTAGTAAGTGTCATAACTATGGTTTAATTAATTACTATATATCAGATTCTCTGCGATTTTAGGATCCACTAAATAACAGCTTCTGTATAACTGCAGTTATACCAGCTAGTTTTCGGGTGCTGAATATTTTATAATTACTAGATTATGTTTAATTAATTATTGCATGCTGGATCATCTCCATGTCTAGTATTTACGAGTTTTATAAAGATACTTTCACGACCATATCTACTCAATTTTAAAGTCAAAAATTATAGGAATATCATAACTAGGATATCTTATGCTGAACCTTTTCTAACTTAGACATTTTCTTAGCAAGAACTTTTTTATGATAACATCTTCATAGCTTTAGCAGCTACGTATCAAATAAGCATCATAATTATGTTGATTAACTACTATATGCTACATTATTTGCGATTCTCAAATCTATTTATATCTGCCATTATCTTGGAAATGTCACATGAGCTTTGTTGCGGGATCAAAACATGTCCAATTAAACGATTTTGAATTTTTAGCAGTGTAGTACCAATAATAGAATGACTTAAATGCCTTTGGGAAGCAATATATTTCATTAAGTTATATAGAAAGTATCTGAAGCGAGAACAGAATTAGTCTTGGAGCTTTTTGCTACATTCCTAATATGTTCATTACAATCGTATCATGTAGTGCTTGGACAAAAAATTGGAGCTTGATATTTACTCATGGTATGCAGTAATCGTTTAAGAAGGCTGCGTTAGGAATATTTTATTCAACTGACGTCATATAAATAAACAATCTCTAGTTTCTCCTCTATTTTTAGTTGATGGCTATAATATAGCTCCTTGCTCATTACATCACAGTGCAAGTAATTATTATACCATTAGTGTATTCATCACCTCCTTTATTCATGAATTGCGCTAATCAGCAATGTTTCCATTCCTTTTTCGAATCGATAATGTGGGTGAACTTCATGTCTATGATAATATAATGATAGTTACTCTATAAAGATCTAAAAATATGTCATGCCTTATAATAAAAAGCACCGAACTGTAATTGATACTATGTCCATAGTTTATTCCTCTCATTTCGAAATAGTGGGTTAATACTTGAAATGAATATAGCAAAGGTGTATTAATCCGTATTAAATATAACATAACATGATTTTATGCTAATGTACAATATAAATATAAATAAAATCTATCTTCGATTACTCTTGCAGAATTCAGTATATAGGAATATACTGGTATCTCATAGGGTAATAAATACTAGTCAATCCACCTTACCTTAGTATTCATTAGTTTAACTTGACATATATAATACGATTAATGTCGTAATGAGGCCTTATACTCGTAAACATAGAATCTATAAACTTTAAAAATTCACGTAAATGAAATACATGTACGTATATGAATATCATAAAAAGATTTAAAGCATTCAAGAACCGCGTTTGGATTTATGCACTACTTTATCATTTACTATTCACACATATTATCATTCTTAGATCCTGCACAGTACTATAATTTACGTTATAACCTAGAATATACATGCAGTATGTATATTGTACAGTGTAAACTACATTTTAGTTGGCAAAAACACCATAACATAAGACATACGGTACCTGCTTATTGAAATCTGTTACACAGGATTGGAAGAATGCTTAACTTTATTATCAGCTTTATCATCTATTTACAATTATTATCGTCCTTATTTCTTTATGTAATGTCAAATGTTATTTTACAATATAGAATATCGCATAATTTACATACGCCTTAAATTGGCATAAATAGATGATAGTGTGTATAGTTGGCATGGTCTATAATATTCATTAAAGGTATGGGAGTTTTTAACTTTATTATTTAATCATTCACCACTTACTGGTGTTATTGCTCTTTAAATTTATGAAATACCTCAAATTTCTCATTTCCTACTTTCCGCTTTATTTTGCAAGATGCACATATATATATATATATATATATATATGGCTTTAGTCATATGTAGCACAAAAATCAGCATAAATATAACGTAGTTGATTAACAAGACTCACTTTATTGAATAGGTACTGCTCGGATTAGCTATTTTTACTACTTCATCACGTATTGTTTACACGTCATCGTTTCATCGATTTTAAATCTTATTTTATATCAATTTCATCATTTCATTATATTGTTATTAATCTAAGGCGTAGCAAAGTCAGTATATATAAATAAGAAATACAAGATTAACAAGGTCTGCAAAATTGAAAAATATTAATAAGCCTATTTTAGCTGCTACACAAATCTTTCATTTACACAAGTTACGGCCCTAAATCTTATACTATATCATAATTTCACTACTTTGCTTTACAAATATACGAAATACACAGATAGAAACTGTATTAAAAGTCAACTCAAATAGAACAAGGTAAGCATGATCAGTAAGATTTAATACATTGACAAGTATGCTACGTTAAATTTTACTTATCACTTTACCATCTGCTATCTCTATACATAATCTTTTTAAATCATGCATAAAATCGACTATCCTATTAAGCTTTAACCACAAGAGTTTTTTATTATTTAGAAACAACTCATCTAAATAAATCATGAATATCATTTTTCATAAAATCCCTTATGAGCTACCATTTTATTATTTCCTATCTTATGATAAGCCAGTGCATTGAACATGATATTGGATAGTTATTTATAATAAAAATATCAGATTGTGTACAGAGGCGGACCCATGGTGATCTATGATTAGAGCTATGGTCTCTTTCTGAGATAGTTGTAGTATTATTAATAAGTCTTATTGCAATTCATAGGCCAAGAACTCCATGTAAGGACAATTTATAGTCAGAATAATAACTTAAAAGAATTATTAGACTTCAAGGGTATTAGATGACAATTTAACCAAGGATTAAAGCTGCACAATTGCGATGACTATAACCCTTTTCAAACTTGTTGTCAGTTGTGTTGATTGATCCATAGCCAACCTTATTTATACAAGTATATCAGTGTTATTTAAATTCAAGATAGAGTTGAATAGATGCAATTATAACTAATTAAACGAATAATTAATTTATGAAATATATCATTGAATTCAATCATAACGGAAGTTGCGATTACCTTGAAAAGTATCTTGGTCTTAATTATCCATGGACGATGTCCTTTCCAACAGAAATTATTATTAATGGCGAATAATCTAGTATGACAATGTATGAAATGCTCTGGTGTCATTTACAGATACATACAGAATAGAGATTTTAGTAAATAATGGTAACACAACAGAATATTTCATCACATATGAAACTATTAACCGAGACTCAGCTTATACGTAAACGCTCAAGGTCGCACCATGTATCTGAGGTAAAAACAATAAAGCGAATGCAATCTGTTGATAATGTAATCAGTTATTATAAGTATCTCGTTTAGCTAACAAGTATGATAATAGAGGTACATCCTTTTCTATCTGTATATCACTTTATCTGAATCTGTTTTTAGCATGACTATAACTGATGTAAACGTATGAAAGTTAAACAATAATCTTACTTTATTGTAATAAAAATTTAATATTATTGATTCAATTTAGATTGTAAAATAAATTGATTGGCTAAAATTGAACCAATATGTTTGATATTATTCAATTGTCTGAAGCTATTATTCTTATTTAATTATAAATGGAGATTGTGAATCATAAATATCAGCAATTTCTATGTCATACAAATATATCACCTCTATTTACATTATGAGGATCATCAATAATTCAGTATAAAACAGATTACCGCATTCTGTTAGGGCCAGAAGCATTCCATATTTTTTTTATACTGTAATGGCCACCATATTCATCGATAACTAGCTACTTACGAGATAAAATAATGATAACAAATGAAATTATTATAACATGTAGGCATCGTTAAAAAGTGGACAAATTATGAAACTAACGAGTTTTTTTATCCTCTTCTCCATCGTTATTAACTCGTTAATAACACAATCATTTTCTAGCGTTATAGTCACGACAAATTATGGCGATGTTATCGGTAGAAGTGGAATAATCAATGGTAAGCAGGTATCATTCTTTCTTGGTTTACCTTATGCTATACCTCCATTAGGGAAATACCGCTTTCAAGCACCACAACCTATTCCTCAAAGTAGTGGAAGAATTCGACGCTACGATGCCCGTTTATATAAGCCATCCTGTATTCAACCAACACCAATTCCGTGGACTAATCCAACTACAGCTCAAGCTAATATCCATGAAGACTGCCTGTATTTAAATGTTTTTACACCATCATTAAATAAGACAGATAAATTGCCTGTTTTTGTTTGGATTGACGGAACATCGTCGACAGAAGGAAGTGGTAGTCGATGGATGGCCACAACGTTAGCAAGTCAAGCTAATGTAGTCGTTGTTACCTTCAATTATCGTTTAGGAGTTTTCGGTTTTCTAACAACAGCTGAATTAAAAAGTCATGGTCGTCAAATTCCAGCTAATATTGCTCTACTTGATCAACAAGTTGCTCTACGCTGGGTACAAGACAATATTGATCACTTTGGTGGCAATCCTAGAGCAGTAACAGTCGGTGGCGATGGCTTAGGTGCTACTGCTGCTCAATTGCATACCCTTATCCCATCAAGTTATAATTATATCCATAATTTAATTCTACAGAGTGGCAATGTACGTATGGTACATACTATTGAGTCTAATATCCATAAAGCTCGATCTATCTTTCGTCTATTTGTTGCAGAAGTTGGATGTCTGGGTCAAAATCATACCGTTACTCAACAAGTAAATTGCTTACAACGCTTAAGCACTCGGAAACTTTTCCAAGGTCAAAAAGTTTTAACCCAACAATATTGGCGATTTTTTAAATATGTAGTCGATGGTGTACTGATACGAGATCACCCAAGAATTCTACTTGATCAAGGCAATTTTAAGAAAGTCAATTTAATCGTTGGTTATAACTTAAATGATAGCGCTAAATTGATACAACAATTACCACATCAAAATCAAGGCATACATCGTGATATCTTCCTACTCTTAATCGATACTTTATTTGATGAATTCAATCACGCAATACGACGAGCAATCATTCATGAATATACTAACTGGCAAAATGTTTCATCGCCAATATTCAATTTACGACAAGCTGACAAATTAATAACCGATAGCTTATACGCCGCACCAACAGAGTATATCGCCAACATTTATTCTAGAGATTCATCTACCAGTACTTTCGTCTACTTATATTCCTATCGTGGCAGCAATCCCGATCCATATTATCCTTCACAGTTAGGCGTTAGTAATACAATGGAGATACCATATGTTTTCGGTTATCCCGTCGCCAAACCCAATTACTATGCTACCGCCTATACTATGACTGATCGTCAAGTTAGCCTTGAAGTAATGTCATTATGGGGCAATTTTATCCATCATGGGTAGGTAGTATATTGATTTTTCATAGAGTAGTGCAATGGTAATGTAACCTTAATTGCTGAATGAACTTCTCTTAGGTGCTTTTCAATCTATCCAAAGTAAATTGATCTTATATTTCGTTTTAACGTTCATCATCAATATCAAAGAGGAGTTCTTAGGATACTAGAATATTGAGTACAATGATATCATTTCGCAGCTAGATGCTCTTTTATAAACGAATAATTAGCTTAAGGGCTGTAAATAAAGGAGATGGATGATCCTCTTTCAGCTACATAACGAATTGATGCACGCAAGATCTATTCTGAAACAATTCTAGAAATCAACCAACAAGTCTATCGAGCATATTTTTTTGGATGACATGTATACGCGATCTTAATATTCTTCGGTAGTAATTAGGATTTATAGACGATGAAGGTTCACATTTTCTATTGAAAATTAATAAAGGATTAATCACGTGAGAGTAACGAGCGCAAAATTTTGTACGCATTCATATTCGATATATATATGCTCGATAGTTAAACAGCTAAAAGATATAGTAGCCTATAGATTCGCTGATGAGTGAGTTAAATATAATTTACATTATCAAGCGTCTACCTCTAATTTTTTAAGTCTAAAGTCTCATCGATCTCTACAACCAGTTGCAACATCCATCCTCAGTCAGTTATTATACTTTAGCAAGTTTAATTTTGCTCTCAAATGACGAAAAGAAAGATTTGAAATGGAAAATCTGCTAAAAATTCTACTCTTCACATTTATAAACAATTTATAAAACAAATACTGTAATTTAAGATTTACGAGTAGAAACTAGGCGTTGCTCTTCAATAGTACAATAAAATAGTTTAAAAGGAAAACTATTTACAAAATTTATACTAGTAGTACATAGAGAACATTTAAAACAGACGGTTACGAATACTTAATGAAGCAATGAATGTAAAATGACCACTTAAAACCCATACGCCTATAAAGTAAATCGATCTACATTAAATTCCGGGAGAATCACTCGAATGTAAATCTACTATATAAAGTAAAAACTATAAAAAAATATAAAGATTACAAACCAACTTCGAGTTAGAATCATTGCGGTAGAAATAATAGATTTGTCATAAGACAGTCATTATTTAAAATTTAAACTGTTACGAATTATGTTGTTAATAAATCAAATTTGGCGGTATTAGCTTTAAATTTAAATAGCATTTGAAAGATCTAAGGTATTAAATACGATAACTATAAATCTACTTGATCACAAGTTACTACAGTGAGATAAGATAAGATTGTTGCAGTATTCTAATCATCAATTAATAGCTATAGTTATAAAATGCTATGAAACAGTTTTTAGCTATTAAATTACAGTATCATGTATCGTTTTAAAAGTTTGCATTTATTCTTGAACTAGATCGCCTAACGCTGAAATGGGCAACCATCTCATTTGGCCACGATATAAAAAATCAACCAAGCAATATTATTGTGTCAATTCCCCATCGAGAATAATCACATTACATAATGCTAATGGTAACAATTTTTGGAACGGCTATTTGGAGAAACAAATTGATTATGAACATTCACGAGCTTCAGTTCCGAGTCAAGTACCAATAAAAACTGATGATATGGATCAGAATAATCAAGGCCAACTGTCCTTCTACAGTATCATCATTATTGCCTTAAGCTGTGTTGCAGTTATAACAACGGTTGGATTGCTTATCTTTGCTCGAAAGATCAGGCGAAGAACAACTACAGTTATCTTTAATTGATCGCACTATTCTTTAATTACTTCATAACTATAATTACTTGTCCTATAAAAGGCGCTTACAAAGATCGTACAGATTCTATAGTAATATACGATATATTAAATCATCACATTTTCTGAAATATATAATAGCCATATGGATCCTGTGAATAAGATATTCTCTAGAGTTAAAGATCGTCTTAATTTGAAAATTTCAAATCTTTCAATTTTAATATTGAAACAATACTATCTATCAAGCCTAGAATTGTCCTTAGCTTAACTTTACAAATCTCTATCTAAAATTAATACCTTAAAATCATTCGTATCTTGTAAATCTGGTAATACGCAAGCAATGAAGTTAAATTTTACTTGAAGGCAACAGACGATAACACAGTCAAGCCAGTTTATTTTATTTTACTTCAGTTATTTTTAAAATTGTTCCATTTTGGATGTTGAAAGTTTTGGATATATTTACTAAATATTATTGCTCCAAATTTTATCTTATAAAGTCTATGAAGTATCTAGTTCAACATTGAATTCATTTTAATTCTGAGAATGCTGCACAAATGGATTATTACACAATCAAAAATGAACATGATTTAAACTTTCTCTTTCATATATTGAGTATCGGTAATTTTAAAATTTAGAGTTAAGGCTGGCAAAATTTGCCAGGAACATTGGAAATCATGCAATCTATAATGTATCATATTGATCATACAAGACTTGTGGCTAAATCTGACTAGGTCTTGATGCACTGCACAATATCGTACAATTAAAATCCGCTAAAATGATAGCAATCAGTGCAAGATATTATTCGTTTGCATTACCTATGCAATCAATTTTCTACAAATGTATTAATCTATTCGTCTATATTATAATTATTGTATAGATTGTTATAGCACGATGGAGCGTTTTATGGTTTTTTTGCATATCATTTTGGATAACTACTGTAAAGTGTAGCATTGAAGTTAGCGCTTATTGATAATAAGGAAATAAAATCTTTATCTCAAGTTTAAAAATATGGTTTGCAATAGAACATTTCATGGATTTGCTTTGTGTCACTAACTAAAATACATTAGAAGATCAAAGACACTGTAATCGTTTCATTACAGCTCTTGGCGAATTACATTATTTAATGAGAGAATTCCCATTTATGCAGTATGTAACCTACAGAAAAGCAAAAGTAAGACTTTTTTTGGGAAATTTGCTTTAAGCTAAGCTACAATTATTAGTTTCATAGCGAATAAATAAGATGACTAAAGAAGTTAACAACAAAAAGATGTCGATAGTTTAGGTTTTTATGATCTAGGATCGTTCAATTTTCATCCGCTCGTTAGCTTGCATAGGAATTGGTAATAGTTATAAATTGAATTAGTAAATATATCCTTGCCCGGTATCCTCAGTTCTCTAGCAGACTGCTAAATTTAAGGGTCTATACTTTTGTATCATATATGAGTACAAGTGATTGCAACTATTTAGCTACTGGCAGGAGAAATCAAGCAAGGCTAGTTTTATTTAGAAGCTAAATGGTAGATCTACATTAGTTCCATTTTAAAGTAATGTATTCGAAATAATAAAGCACATCAATCGTAGTAAATACTCTAACACATCGTGCGGGCAACGTGGAAAATTACCGATGAATAAGTAAAACATAAAATATTTTTATTAATTCTATACCGGCCCATAAACGCTGTTGCCATCACTGGCTAAAATTAATATTATGATTAAATCCTATATCACTTTAAAATCGGTATCTATTCAATTTAATGCTCTTAAATTAGAAAGTAGAATATTTGAGCAGGAATGGCGAGACAAATCAATGAAATAAAAATGCCTACGGCAATTATCTTTCCATGATACTACCTTTATCAGTAGAATAAAGCCAGCATAAATTACAACATTTTTATGAACAGTGGCTCCGACAAAATTCTAACCATTAACAATAACGATTATAATATTCTAGTTAGTAGCTCAGTTTAAAACTGTAAGCTTTATGCCTGTAAATCACTTAAACAACAAATTTCGCGAAGATATGGCTGCAAGGAAATATTTCCGGCATTCCTAGTTTATGCATTTTGGGGGAATTTTTAATTCTTAAGATTGATCATAAGTTAGATTTCCTTATTTATTAACAAGGCCACAATAATTAATGTACAGTAGCTCCGATATCATACTAACTATTAATAGGCAAAGATTGTAATATTCATATATTCTACTCGGGAGTTCAGTTTAGAATTATAAGTTTTATGCCCTGTAAATCGCATAAATGACGTTAGCTATCATTTTTACCAACATATTTCGCGAGGTCATGACTTCATGGAGTATTTCCGACATAGCTAATTTATACATTCTTTGCACAATTTCTAATTATAAAGATTGATCATAAAATAGATTTCCTTATTTATTAAAAAACGGCAATAATCATTTAATTTGCCGCCATTATGAAAAGCCACCATTATTTTTTATTGTAATCATGCTAAAAAAATGCAACGAATTGTCAATGTCATTGCTAAAATGGAAATATTGATTATATTAACCACGCTCTCGTACTTAACCGTATTGCCAAGTACACCCACGACAACATTAATAATTATCATTTACCAAGCCAGCATAACGCGCATGGTTTATGGATATACATACTTTTAAACATAACATTCAATGACACTTTCCAATTGCTATTATTAGTAAAATTCTACTGCGCATATAAACCAGTTTGGTCACGCAGTATTTAGCAGCGTACGTGTGCTGTATCAAATTCGTATATGATATTATTTTTTCATCATGGCTGTACAATTTTTTGTATCTAATATTTTGATATCCTTCGCCATAATAATAGCCATAGTGTCTCCCATTTCTAATGCTCAACTTATTATTCCTACTAATTACGGTTTTGTTACGGGAACAACCATTAAAACGAATAGCTTAACTCAATTCGCCTACCTTGGTATTCCTTATGCTCAACCTCCTATTAATCAATTACGATTTGAACCACCTGTACCGGTAAAGTCTTGGAAAGGCGTCTTAAATGTTACACAATATCAGTCTAGTTGCCCTCAACGACTCCCAATACGTTTTACTGATTCCAAATCACCAAGTAGTCAAATTAATGAAGACTGTCTATATCTAAATATATTTACCTCTAATCCTTCTAATGTTGCAAATATGTCAGTGTTAGTTTACATCCATGGCGGTGGATATGTGCTTGGTTCAGGATCACAATGGCAAGGTCAAATTTTAGCTGCTCATGAAAATATCGTTGTAGTTACTATTAATTATCGAGTAGGTGTACTAGGTTTCATGACATCAGGTGAAGAAGATAGTGCTCGAAGAGCTATTCAAGCTAATCTTGGCCTGCTAGATCAAAGTTTAGCATTGCAGTGGGTAAAAGATAATATTGAAAATTTCGGAGGTAACCCAGATTTTATTACCATAGCTGGAAATTCAGCAGGTGGCTTATCCGCTATGTATCATCTAGTGATGCCTTCTAGTAAAGGATTATTCAGAGGTGCAATCCTTCAAAGTGGACCTTATGGAACCATACCATCATACATTAAATCGGGTACATCAATGCCGGATACTTTGGCCAGAGCTAAGATATCTTTTCAGCAATTTAGTTCATTAGCGAACTGTACGAAAAATACAACATCAAAGATCGTCGAGTGCTTAAAGACTTTATCTGTACAACAGTTATTAAATATTCAAAGTACTTTACGACCAAGAAATCGTATTTTAACATCTCCTGTTGCTGATGGTAACAATGTACAAGAAGCTTTACATACAGCTATACCAGCAGGAAGATTTCATAAAGTTAATATTATGTTGGGTACAACGTTAAATGATGGCTATTTCAGGCTTCCTTCTATGCCTAATGCTGTAACTGGAATACCGCGCCAAAATTTTATATCTACTACTAATAATTCTTTTCCCTTTGCAAGCCAACGCGTAAAATTATCTATACAGTATCGATATACTAATTGGAGTAATGCCAATTCACCGATATCAAATCGAGATCAATATGGAGAATTATTCAACGACTTCGTCTTTGCTATTCCTAATATATATTATGCCGATCAGTTGTCTCGATTTGTACCTACATATAAATATATATTTGCTCATCGTACTAGTGGTACATGGCAGCCATCTTACGTAAAAGTAGCACATACCATGGAAATACCATATATGTTAGGTTATCCTCTTGATAAGCCATCCGAATATCCATCAACATTTAATGCTGAAGAAGTAACCTTATGCAGACATGTTCTTTCGTATTGGGGTAGTTTTATCCGAGAAGGGTGAGTAACTTACAGCTGGAGCTGCGTTGTTATGGAGTTAGTTGCTTGCTTCTGTGTAATAAAATATAAATAATTCAGCTAAGCCTTTAGGCATTGCTTTTAAAATTGAAAGAAATTGTTAGTTTATATAACGTTCTATTCCTAAAACATTTATTCTTTGAGTATAACCAGCATAGCCTATAAATTTATGCAAATTATCATCTTCCAATACAGCACCGTTAACTAAAATTACATTAGAGAAATTCTATTAACTTCTTACATTATTTTCTACAGAAATCCGACAGACCTACGTTCTCCTATCATGTGGCCTAAATATACACAAGATACAAGGCAGTACTTGTGGATTGCTCCCAATTTCCAAATTAAAAGTAATTATCTTGCCGCAAATTCAGCCTTTTGGAATCAGTATCTTCCTCAACTCGCTTCACAAACTATTTATTCTACAATAGCTCCGACAAATGCTTCCACAGTAGAGAAGCCGCATTCTTCGGAATCTGCATACATGATTGCTACATTTGCTCTATCAGGAATATCTGGAATTCTATTAATAATAGCTATGATTTTATTTTGTAAAGTTAATAGAGCAAAATGTATATATGTTAAGTAATACAATATAAAAATTCTATTTATAATCAACCTTCAACAGTAATGACAGTTTTATTGCGCTATGCTATTCATTAAGATTTATTTATACACTCCAAATTACTAAAGTTAAGTACCAGATCGTAATAAATTATATCTTCACATTTAATAGAGATTGTTATTTTTAGTTCGGTGTGATATTACTAACTTGAGCTAAGATTTAAACCTATTACTAAATCCACATACGTAATAGATACAATAGATGTATTATCAGTTATATAGCCTACTAAATTTTCCCCTTGATCTCTAATAAATTTTTTAGCATTAATGAAAATTTATGATACGCATACATATTAAAATCTTATAACTTCTGTTGCTTAGATTACATCGTAGCCACCTGCATTTATCTTTTAAGATAAATCTGTTTGGCTTCATGCTCTTTCATATAAATATCTATTATTGATTTCTCAACGATAATTTACTTAATAATAATGAAAATTGATTACACAATTATCATTCAAGCTTATACTCTATTGTCTATTATTGTGATTGCATATTTGCAAGATTTAATAATTAAATAATGAGACTGTAGTCATTCAATTGATGGACAAGTACGTTGAAAATTGACATTACTTTCATCTGAAAACTAAATAAATATAATGAGTCCAACGTCCTCCTTAACCGATAATCTTGGTAGCAACAAACATACTTCTAGACAAAGCTATTCTGCTAACTGTGTCATAAGCAACGTTCCTTATCGTTCACTGAAGTAGCATGTAGCTCAAAATTTGTTGATGTATTTACGTAATGATTCTAAATTAAGTTCACTAATGATAGTGCTAAGAGAATTCCACGTAGTCAATATCTCTACCACATCTGCAGTAGCATACGCTTACTAAATTCGTGTCGTATTTAGTATTGATTTTCGTTATGGCCCTAAAATATCTCCATTGCTGGCATCTTTTATTGCAATTGTGGGTTTAGTATGCCCTATTTCTAATGCTCATCTTATCATTCCTACAAAGAACGGCTATATTGCGAGGAAACAGTTCTAACTAGTGATTTAACTCAATTCACTTATCTTGGTATTCCTTGCGCCCAACTACCCATTAATCAATTACGATTTAAACCACCAGTGCCAGTAGAATCTTGGAGAGGCGTCTTAAACGCTACAGAATATCAATACAGTTGCCTCTAGTAACTTCCAGTCCTTTTTACTGATCCAAAATCACTTAGGAGTCGAATTAATGAAGATTGTCTATCTCTAAATATCTTTATCTCGAATCCTTCTATAGCTAGGAATATGTCCGTGTTAGTCTTCATCCTCGGTGGCGGATATGCAATCGTTCAGGAGCATAATGGCCTGGTCAAATATTAGCTGCTAATTAAGGTATCGTCGTAGTTACTATTAATTATCGAATAAATGTTTTAAGTTTTATGTCATCCGGCGAAGAAGGTAGTAATCAAAGAAATATTCCAGCGAATCTTAGTCTACAAAATCATAGTTTAGCATAACAATGGGTAAAGGAAAATATCGAAAGTTTTGGAGGTAACCCAAACTTTATTACGATAGCTGGAAATTCCGCAGGAGGTTCATCTGCTATCTGTTATCTAGTGATGCCTTCCAGTAAAGGATTATTTAGAAGCGTAATCTCTCAAAGTGGACCTTATGGAATACTTCTACCATACATTAAATCGAGAACGTATTTATCACAGACATTAGCTAGAGCTAAGATTGTTTTTCAACGATTTAGTTCGGTAGCTGATTGCACCAAAATGCAACGTCACAGATTATTTAATGTTTACGAATTCTATTTATACAATATTTAATAGAACTTCTCGACTAATTGTATCGATTAAAGGTATTTCGTTTGTTATTACTAACATGAGCCAAAATTGATGCCTATCCTTGCTTACACACTCATACCTAGTAACTTTTAGCAAGATGGATGTATCATTCATGTTGATTTTTACGTTATTATAATTAATTCATATCATCGATAGTGTTAATGAACACGATATAACGTTCGTAATAAATTCGCGAGATTAATAATAAAATTTAAATTACGTATCCAAAATTTATAGTTCGATGAAGCGAAATTTGTAAGTAAAATAGATCTATAAGTAAATAATGATACATTCTTAATTTAAATAGTTAAACATGTCGGCTTTCTTGATCGTAAATAGAATATGAAAATACTGTTTAGATTGGCATATCGCAAGTAAACACTTGCATATCCTATAGTTGATATGGAGGATGGTGGTCCTATACGAAATAATGAAATCGTTTAAATATAATTATCTATCACGTTACTATATAAAATAAATAAGTTCTCCAGCTAATCTTAGTAGCAAAAACTTTATCAATCATTTGCCTCATGTAATTCTTTAATATTACTTCTTGAACAGTAGATTAAACAAAAGTGATCCCTTACCAAAAAATTTATGGTAAATACTGTTTCATAAAATGAAAACAATACTTATGATAATTACACTACTAAAGGCTATGAAAATAATTGACGACGATTCGATATTTGCGGTATATGGATTTATAAGAGATATTACAATAATCTTTAGCTTCATTTTAAGTTAGGAAGTTAGAGATATTGCAGTGTATTAAGATTATGATTTAGTTTGTTTTTAAATAAATATGCACTAGTTATAATCTTTCATGCTACACACAATATAGATTGTCACATTTAACAATTTTAGTATTAACAGCTCTTTGCTACTACTTACAACCATTTGTTCTATTGATAGTGTCGTAGCCGGTATTTAGTATGATGTTTTTATATGAACTAAAAATTCAATTTTGTCGATAAATTTAATCCAAATTATGTCCTAGCCGTAACGAATGCTTAACTTATAGTATCTTGAATATTAATTATCGGTATACGCGTATTGCATATTAGATAACCTTATTGTTTTTCTTAGCTCACGCTACCAGTATTGCGATCTTAACTCCGCAGAATATTGAATTACAGAGATCTTATATAGCGCAACATAATAAATGCGTCTCACAATAACTATCTTAGTCAAATGGTATTTTCTAAAAGGCTTTTATTACAATATTTTAGGAATAGTAGAGAGATAATTAATTACTACAAGAATCTAGTCTAAAATCTAAGGTATTCCGAGCTCAAAGCGAAGTGAAATCTCTTTGCCTCGTGAGTTCATCTCTGCAGTTCTTATATACATTTAGTTAAATCCATTTATGACAATTTGATAAATCTACAATCAGATATGAGTCATCAAACTAAATCCTTTTCTCAAATAGTACATCATTATTTTCTAAAATCTAAATCATTCTACTTAAGATGTCACTACTCTTCTATTAACGTCTAGCCCCTTTCTCCGAAGGGCATCTTAACAGCTACAGTATTTCTAGCTACATAAATCTTGTACCATAATTAGTCAAGTGGCTACTATTAGTCATCAGCAATTTCTAGTATAGTAGTTAGCAATCATTTAATATTAGCTTCACGATAATATCTATTCAAAGTAACCTAACTATATCAAACATAGCTATCCGTATAATCAAATATGAGTACATCACTACACGTACATTAAAATCTTATTGGATCATTATTTGCTTTGTGCCAGGTACTGCGAGGTATTACGTATATCTGCCAGCGTAGTCATTGACATTCGTATTTATGATCGTAGAGGTAGAGCAGGGGTATGAATTACTATACTACAATAATGTGCCATATGATAGACACCTAAACTTTTGCAGACAGTAATTTTAGGAATTTTAGGAATCTATGATCTTATAATACATGTATGGAATTGCTAAGGAATACGCATACATATGTATTGAGAGCAATACGACATTAATAGCTACTTTATTTCCGATCTAAACGTTGGAAATAGTTATAAATTTTACCGTGTTAAGGAAAAACACACGCATCTATCTGCGATAACGAGCAATACTCTTTAGACTAGGAATAATTTAATGTATTCTCGAAGTCTTATTGGTCGAAATATATCACACATCGTAAACCGGTTTTATGGCTAGAATAACTATTTAAATGATTGATTTTGAATATTAAATTAGACTTGCATTTTCGAGAATAAAGATATAGTTAGAAGATTCTGAAAGTGCATTTCTCAGTCATTGTTACTTATCTAGGGTAATCTAAATTAATTTAGATTAGGCAAGTTTAGTTAAGTAACATCAAGTATAATAATGAATCTATAAATAAAATAGTGAAATCAAATCAAGTAAATTAATGTTATATTAGCTAGTGTTAGCGTAGTATAATGGACTTAAACAATATTTATACTGAGAAGCTTGACCTAAATTTTAATTCATCGCGTATACGTACAATTAATTACTACGAGATAACAATTAAAGGTGTTATCGATACAACTTATTAACTTATCTCAGTTTAATTGTATGCGATATGTTATAAGTAAACTTTTACATGAATCAAGGACAAAGTACATATTATACTCAGGTATTGCGAATTTTATACTGCATCTGGTTAGACTGAAATTAAATTACTATAACTATGCTTAAGTATTCAATGTTGAGTTTGCAAAGACTAATCTTGAACTAAAATTCATAGTCTACCGTTAATTTATTCTTGCAATAACACGAAAGATTCAGATTAAACGTGCTATAGGTTATCGATACAACATATACGAACATTCTGTTTTTTTAAATTATGAAAAGAAATGTTACTCCTGTTACGTATCTCATTTTGTCCATCCAATAAACGCTAAATATACGATCGTATATCATTTTATGGGCTTTTCTCTTACTAATACATTTTAGTATGAGGGTAGTAAATCGATAGCGAAGTTTTTCGTGTATTAGGCTGATACAAAGAATCGTATGATGTTTAAGTTCCTTCTAATAACTTAGAATAAAGAACAAAAATTGGATACCTTTATTAACAGTAGAGTCCTTAAATGGAGTGAAAATGCAACGCGAACCGGATAAAACTTGATCAAATTGTTGATTTTCTAACCCGGAATGAGTGTAATTGATATACAAACACTGTATCATTATAAGAATTCTTAACCCGCATCCCGCCCTCGACTCAGGTTTATTTGTAAGCTAGCTATCTCGCACTAAGAAGGATTCATACATGGTCTAATAACCTAGCTCTGAATTTTGTTCGGTATAACGTGTTGTGCAGTATACGTTCCCGTTCATTTGAACGGGTACTCGACTAGCAGTGATAATGCTAGAAAGGGGATCTGTTTTGATATTTAAATTTGCAAATGGCTAACTGAGATATGTAGTAACTTGTCGTTAACTTGCTACATTCACTACCATATTGTCCTTCATTATTAATCTCAAGGTATCAATAAGCACTGGAATATTTTTAAACAGTGCTATTTGTTTTATAATATTATGCTGTATCTTAATTGCAGCTGATATTACTGGTATCTCGGTCTACATATTTTAAGAGTTACTGATAGGCCTTCATATCTCAGGTTTTAGCTTCTGTTTAGAATTCATACGGCTGCTTGTGTTTCATAATTTTTATGCGCTTAAGATATTTCTTGTTATATGTCTTGATTATTACGATTGCAAATGTCGTATGTATCAATTTTAATGTACGGCATTTCAAGATTTTAGGTCATACTCGTAATATCCTATTTGTAGCTAACACTCGAAATTATAGTGTTCCTTATATTCGTTAACTTTACAGACACAGATACAGTATCGTTTACTGTATTTATTGGCTACTATGAATCTGTATATATCAATTTTAGCGATCAGGAAAATAATTTAGCTTGTCAATCATTATCATAAACGCTATTCTCGAATATACTGTACTCATATAACAGGAAGTAACTACAATCGATTGACAACGCCCCATCTAGGCGATTCTGCGTACTAGTATATAATTCTTGACTTAAATGCTTCTGGTATAAACTCTATTGTTTCCATACGGCAACAATAAGTCCAAGAACAACTGCGATAGCGGCTGCGCGATTTAAATGCTTATTGTTTAAAGGGAAACCATATTGCTGACCACACCCACTATAACAACTACTATTTGTTGAAGTAGCAAAGTTCACAAATTATTGATATAAGGTACTACCTGTCGTAATAAATCGAATTAAATTAATTAATATTATAAGTAGAAGGATTCTAGCTAGAGTTCAGTCAAATTGAACTACACAAGCGTAATCAAATCGTCCGAGTAACGACGCTTTCGTCATGGCTCTAAAACATCATATATTTCAAATCTTAGCATGCTTTATTATAGTGTTGGCAATTGTAATGCCATTTTCGAATGCACAACTTATTATTCCTACGAAAAACGGTTTAGTTAGTGGGAAAACGATTATAACGAACGGTCGAACTCAATTCACCTATCGCGGTATTCCATACGCTCAACCACCTATTAATGAATTACGATTTAAACCGCCTGTACCAGTCAAATCTTGGAATGGCGTCTTAAATACTACTCAATATCAATACAGTTGTCCGCAAAGACTTCCGATAAACTTTTATATTGAACCCAACTCACTAGCCAGTAAAACTAGCGAAGACTGTTTATACCTAAATATATTTACTTCCAATCCTTCTAGTGCTGGCAATATGTCTGTATTGGTGTATATCCATGGCGGTGGATACGATAGCGGTTCAGGGGCGCGATGGTCTGGTCAAATCTTAGCTGCCAATGAAGGTATCGTCGTAGTTACTATTAACTATCGAATAGGTATTCTAGGTTTTATGACATCCGGCGAAGAAGACATTGCTAAAAGAGCTATACTAGCTAATAATGGTTTAAAAGATCAAAGTTTAGCATTACAATGGGTTAAAGATAATATTGAAAATTTTGGAGGTAACCCAGATTTTATTACGTTAGCTGGAAATTCAGCAGGCGGCGGATCTGCTATATACCACGTAGTTATGCCTTCTAGTAAGGGATTATTTAGAGGTGTAATATCTCAAAGTGCACCTTACGGAGCTACACTACCATTCATTCAATCACGTATCGCGTTTCCAATTTCACTTGCTGTAGCCAAGACATCTTATCAACGATTTGTTTCGTCAGCTAACTGTACAAGAAATACAACATCACTAATCGTCAAATGTCTACAAGCATTAACTGTACAGCAGTTAATAAGTCTCCAAATTGTTCAACGATCAAATAATATTGCTCTTAGCTTTCCCGTTGCTGATGCCAGTACTATACGAGAAGCCTTACATACAGCTATACCAGCGGGAAGATTTCATAAAGTTAGTATTATGATGGGTACTACATTAAATGATGGCTATTTCGGTCTTCTTGGTTTACCTAATCCCGGAAGTATTGCACAAGGAATACCACGTCAAGGTTTCATAGCTATTACTAACAACGCCTTTCCGTTTGCAAGTCAACGTGTAAAATTATCGATACAATATCAGTATACAAATTGGTCTAATTTTAATTCGCCGATATCGAATCGAGATCAATATGGAGAATTATTTAACGATTTCGTCTTTGCTATACCTAACGAGTATTATGCAGATCAATTTTCTCGATATGTACCGACTTTTAACTATATATTTGCTCATCGTACTAGTGGGACGTACCGACCAGCTTATCTAAAGATAACTCATACTATGGAAGTACCTTATGTTTTCGGTTATCCTGTCGATAATCCAGCCGGATTTCCGACAACATTTAACGCCGAAGAACAAGAATTAAGCAGACATATGATGTCGTATTGGGGTAATTTTGTCCGGAATGGGTAAGTAAAGATAGTTTAAACTACTGTAATTATACTATCACTAACAAAGGCAATATCAGTAATAGATAAATTATAGTTATTTATAGCGTAATTTTGTCATTTACAGAATGTGTATTAGCTGCAAATATATTAAGCATTTATATATGGGAAATGTTCAGTTTGCTAGTATGGCCAACAAGGAATATAAATTGGCGAAAGTCAGTTTTAACACTCTATTCTTATTAATGTTTAACTTATTTCTCTGGTTTATTATTCTTTTCCATAGAAATCCAACAGATTTAAGTTCTCCCATCACATGGCCGGAGTATACACAAGACACAAAAAAGTACTTATGGATTGCTCCTAATTTCCAAGTTAAAAATAATTTTTTTGCAACACAAGCAGCCTTTTGGAATCAGTACCTTCCTCAACTTTCTATTCAAGCTACTCATTCTACAATGACTCCAACTAATATCACTACTCTGCAAGAATCCCATTCCTCGGAATCTACATACATGATTGCCACATTTGTTCTGGCTGGAATATCTGGAGTATTATTAATAATAGTTGCCGTTTTGTTTTGCAAAATGCATAGAGCTAAACTAGTATAAGTTTATTAGTGCAAGTTAGAAGTTTAATTTGAAGTGGAATCTTTTAACTATTGACAATTATTAGTGCTAATACAGTATTACAGATGATAAAGTAGCTTCTGTCAAAAGTGCTAAGAGTAAATTAATATATTAAAAGTGGGTTGACAATCTACCTTTACTTTGACATTGTTTACTGGAGATGAAAATTTGAGCCTATCAATAATACGTAACATACGTATTATTATTGGGTGTGAAGAAATGATTTTTAATTTAATTAGATACAACTAGAACTTGGCTCTTCTTCTTGTGCGTTGGTAATGATAACATTGCAACATCAGTAAAACCTCATTCTATGATCTGTGTTCATATTATATTCCTTCTTTATTCTAGTAACTGTATTATTATTGGGTGTGAAGAAATGATTTTTAATTTAATTAGATACAACTAGAACTTGGCTCTTCTTCTTGTGCGTTGGCAATGATAACATTGCAACATCAGTAAAACCTCATTCTATGATCTGTGTTCATATTATATTGCTTCTTTGTTCTAGTAACTGATGCTTGCTGAACATTAAGGCCTAGAAATAAAACTTCCGTTAATAAAAATTTTGTTGTCCATTGCACGAATGAGGCCTGTTATAATCGATATCAAGATTTTACCAAGCTTAAAATAGCCAATTGTCGGTATCCACGATGATCTATAACTAAGTCAAACTATTTCATGTTAATTCAAAATCCATTGAGCGCAACGCAAAGAAACGTACCATCTTGCTGACTTTGTAAACATGCAGCAGCAACGTTATTAGCATAATAACCTGTAGATGTAATTAACTATGGTAGTGTATCATTCCTGACAGGCAGTCCATAGATGTTCCATGCGATAGAGATGGAGTAAAGTAAAAAGAAAAGCCATGAATTGATTTATATCCTAAAATGACATCATCAGATTTCCTTGAATGGTAGGTGTGAATAGAATTGCATTGTGACCATGTGATCGCAAAACTGGTCGTAAACAGCTCATCGAGTTCACTATCTCGTCTCCTAAATTTTCATCAATTTAATGGAATACACTTCCGTGCCAAATTGCTATCATAGAAATATTCTATAATATCATTGAATTCAATTACATAAATTTGTTTATGTTGTCATAATATTGATTGCTTTGCACCCCTTTTGATTTTTAATGTAAATCCCAACGCTTTTTTTTCTTATAGCTCTTCGTGACATGCAGTCAGTCCATCCAATGTAGAGGTATGGTAGAGCTATCATAGGAATGTTCTATACTATCACCCAATTCGATTGCATAATTTGTTTACTTTTGTCATAATATACAGTAGATGACATTATGCCGTTTCTATTTTCGATCTATATCGCAACATCCTTTTATACCTCGCTCATGGTATATAGCCAGTCCTTCCAATATGGAGGCATAATAGAGGTCAAACTAAGTTTCTACCGAGGTCAGGATGACTTGCTGTTCCTCCATTATTAGAAATTGTTGTTCTTGATCACCTGACATCATATATTGTAGAGCTAAATAGTCTTTACGTCATCATCATTACTATAGCAGTGGCTATTAGAAATTTAAGGGAGGAACGGGAAACTTACTTTCTGCCTTAATTAAAGTGGAGGCTTGTCATTTTCTTGTTCATTCTACTATACGGTACTAATGAAGCGGTATACCATACTGCACAAAACCAACTTTGCAATCCCTTGCTTGTCGTTTGTTGTTAGTTAATTAAACTGACTGTTGGCTGTGTACTGGAGGTATTTCTGATAGTCATTTTTAGTAGCCCTATTTATGGTATGCCATTAGTACCGCTACTTTCCTAGGCTTATTGCTCCAAAGTGCTCACTAACTAAGTGTATTTTTCATTGTTGATCGAGTAAATTAACACCAGGTCCTCCCTTACCCTTATATAAGCATTTAGAATAGTTGGAAACGATTGTTCGACATTTCAAATAAAAACGAGGATGGCAGTACACCTTTCATGGATTCTTTCAGCACTAGTTTTAATATTATTTGTGCCTAATAGTTCCGGCCAAATCATTGTTAGAACAGATAAAGGTCTCATTAGAGGAAACTCAGAGATAATTGATGGAACAACAGTTCATTCCTATTTGGGCATTCCTTACGTTCAACCTCCAATCGGCCCATTACGCTTTATGCCACCGAAAGCTTTAACATCCGCTTGGTCTGGCGTTTTAAACGCAAGCCGATATAAAAGTTCTTGCCCTCAACGCCTAAGTGTTAATTTGAATGAAGATTGCTTACATGTTAACGTTTTCACTACAAGACCAGTCGTTACTGCTAATATGTCCGTTCTGGTATGGATTCATGGAGGCGGTTTCATTAGTGGTAGTGGATCTTTTTGGAAGATGCAAACACTAGCAGCTAAAGAAGGTATCGTTATTGTCTCCATGAACTACAGATTGGGTGCCTTGGGTTTCCTGACATCTGGTGAAGATAATCCCGGTAATGATGCTATTCAACCTAATTTAGGAATACTCGACCAACAAATGGCTTTAAGGTGGGTACAAGACAATATTGAAAACTTTGGCGGTAATAAAGAAGCGGTTACTGTTGCTGGGTTCTCAGCTGGTTCATTCTCCGTAGGAATTCACTCAATAATGCCTAGTAGCTACGATCTATATCGTTATACTATTATGCAAAGTGGAGCCATGCTCGATGGCTTTATCTATAATTCCATGGCAGAAGCTCGTCAAGCTTTCCTGAAGTTTGGCAAACAAGCAGGATGTAATGGCACTACTATTGCTGCTGTGACTCAGTGTGTACGTAGTTTAAGTGTGGCAGCAATTTTAAAAGCATCCGCTTCATTATTGTTAACGAATGGCGGATTTTTTGGTATTACCGTAGACGGTAAATTAATTGCAGAGAATCCTAGAAAAGCTTGGGCAGCAGGTCGATTTAAGAAAGCCAATCTACTAATAGGAACTTCAGCTCAAGATGGCTACTCACTCATACCTTCTTATGTAAATAGACCAGTGTTTGTAGGCCTTATAAAAGCCTCGCTTACTGGAGTATATAATGATTTAGGACAAGATGTTACTATCAACCGATACACAAATTACAAAGAAAACATCAATTCTCTAACAAGTAATTGGCTCATGTTAGCGGAATTAACTACTGATTCACTCTTCCTTGCACCCGCTGATTTCGTTGCCGGACATCATTCTGCTTATTCACCTACTTATACCTATGTTTTCTCTCATCGAACAAATCAATCAGCCTATTTTAAACCTAAGAATGGTGCGACTCATGGCGTAGAACTACCCTACATCTTTGGCTATCCAGTCAATAAGCCTTTCGGCTTTTTATCAAATTTTAGTTCTGCAGAAATTGATTTGAGTAAAGATATGATGGCTATGTGGGGAAATTTTATACGCACTGGGTAAGTACTGGATCATGTAATTTTCCATCTTATAACTAGAATGATTAATATCTTGTAGTGTTTAAAAGAAAAACTCAGTAGTTGATCGACTTCAGTTATACTGTAAAGAAATTACTGCAGTACATTAGTATACAATTCAGATTATTTAAAACTCGATGAATAGAAATTAAATCGTCCAAAATGCAGTTATATCAATTTTACAACTTATATGTTATATAACTAATAGTTACTTCGACTGTTTTACTTAAATCTTAAGGGATCCATCCACTACAAGGATTTCTTGGCCAGAATACACAAGTACCAGTACTTACTACTTGACTATTACAGCCAAAGGCTATAATCCTGTAACCAATTACAAGCGTAATCAAATTGCTTTCTTTAATAATTTGTTAAACAAAAATTTACGTTAGTTAATAATCCTACCGCTAGCACTCAATCTCCAACTCAATCTCCGACTCAATCCGTAACTACTCCCTCCGGCTCTGTTATACAGAGTTCGACTTTCAAGGTTGCTACTTACGCCTTGATTGGAGTGAGTGCAGGTTTATTTATCATTGTGGTTATCTTACTTGCAATGCGTTGTCGGCGTAGTAAAGAAGTATTGGTCTAGAGGGTGAATTTCTTGCTCAGCTGATTTCACAGATAAGTAGAAAAATGCACCGAATAAACATATAATAATACTGTAGTCATAGTTGCGATTTTATTATCATTATAGGACTAACAATTATAGCCAGAAAAATCATTTTGTTAAGTTTTACTCCATGGATCGCATTCTTAGTCAGTAACGACATAGAACCATTATACGATGCATACACGTCTGTGCTAACTATCAACACATAGATCAACCTTAGCGGGTACATAGACTATCCTAAATACCAAATCACTCATTCGGAGCAAGATCGAATGTTTAATAAGAGATGGTGCTATTTTAATTTTAAGAGCTACATAATTAAACGTCACTGAAGAAACTTGTCTTTTTCCTTTTTGTAGTGTTAGAAATTTATTTTTGATACCTTTTTTTAAACATTTGCAAAGATAATGCTATTTTAAGAGTTGTATAGTTAAATGTCCTAAAGGGAATTTGCCTTTTTTCCTTTTTGTAGCGTTAGAAATATATTAATGATACCTTTTTTAACCGTTTACAAAAAGACAATATATATTGCATAGTTAAATATGCATGAAGGAACTTGTCTTTTTCCTTATTTTAGCGTTAGAAAATTATTTTTGATACCTTCTATAAGGTTTACAAAATAAATAAATTTTTTCAATATCAATATTAAACCGTAATCGTGACCTCCTCTCTATTGACATGTGCCGACATGTAACTATATATTTGCTCATCGTACTAGTGGCACAAGCCGATCATCTTATCTAAAGATGCAATAGTTCACACTATAAAAATACCTTCTATTTTTGGTTATCTTGTCAATAACCAACAGTACTTATAATGTTGTACAGTAAAGTATAAAAAAAATACAAGTAATGTAATGTACGCCAATAACTAAGTACACGAAGGATAACGAGCGATAGTACCACTGTCTTCCCTTGAAAATAACCCTAGTGTTGTGTTTGAATAGACGAACACCATGGTAATCGCTCTGTATTGACCGTTACCACATACTTGTTACTAAGTAAGCTAAAATTACCCCGTGGTTATATATAATTAATCCATCAGTTTTTGCACTGCTCTTATGATCGCGAGTACTCCTTAAAATAAGTAAGACTATTACCAAGGTAATCGCTCTGTGTTGTAACGCTACCACATACTTCTTACTGTATACAGTAAGCTAAAGGTATCCCGTAGTTATATCTAATTAATCAAACAGTTTTTGCACTACTCTTATGCTCGCGAGTACTCCTTAAAATAAGTAAGACTATTTCTCTCGCACTGAGTTCTTCATTGCGTACTTCAACCTCTTGGATCCTCGGCTGGCTCATTGCCGAATACACTACACGGAGTACTCTCACTGGTGATACACTAGATAATTTGTATATTTGCTACTCATAAAGAGGAATCGTTTTGCTTACTTCAATAGCATATGGTAGTATCAAAAACGTCTCATGGATGACCTGTTTTAATAATATTTTTATTACTACTAAATGTCTTTACTGATGCTCGCGGAATATTGTTGCCTGGCTGGGAGTAACACTTTACTCAATACGAAAATACTGTTGTAAATTGCATTATAAAGTCTGTCATGGTCTCTGAAGATAGAACCTGTGATCTGGTATACCGCGTCTTTTATTTCGTTTTAGACGCTTTAAAAGGGAGAAAATGTAACTAAAACTAACAAGCAAATACTGTACTGTATTTTATACCGACCCCTAGCATGCTGTATGAGCAGATTTTTTGAATAATCTTTCAGTTAACTGTATGTATAAAAATGGATAGGTAAAGTATCAACTTATATCAATTTATTGATACTTTACCGATATCTAGCATATGAGCAGATTTTTGGAGTAATCTTTCAGTTAACTGTATGTATTAAAATGCTTGTATAGGTAAGATATCAATTTATTGATACTTTACCGATATCTAGCATATAAGCAGATTTTTGAAGTAATCTTTCAGTTAACTGTATGGACAGTATACTGTATGTATAGTTAACTGTATGATAAAAATGGTTCTATAGATAGCAATCAATTTCATTAATACTTTTATTGAAATATCTGAGAAGCTCTGCTTGGAAGCAGTCAATTTAGATCATGAATGTTATTTCCAATTGATACGAGTGATTTAGAAAACAGACGCGGGAAGATCCATACTCAGTAACTATTTTTCGACATTTTCGGCGGCCTGTAGTATGAAAAGTCCATCCACCCGAGGAGAGTTCCAGTCCAGGTATACTTCTAGTGGTCTATGCCCCGGGATATTCTCACCGATATTGCGTTATACAGTACTGTAGAGTATACCAGAATAGCACGCGGGTTCACCGCAGCCCGCTGGTGATTTGCAAAATGCAGAGGGAATTACGTCATGTTCAAGTGGCGTCGATGACATCATCGATCAACGGAACTCTTTTTCCTTTACCTCTAGTCAGCAGGACTTCTTGACCCATACCTGGCACCGACCGTACTGAAAGTTACTACCCTTGCATAGAAGCAAATGAAGTAAAATATAAACAAAAATAGTATGAACAGGACTGTAATAAATACAGTGATTAAGCGTACTAGCTTATTCTGATTTACAGTGAAAGGGACTTGAAAGAACGTTTAAAAGCAACTTTATTATTTAAAAAGAATAGTAGTACTATATGTTACTCTCGAGCTTCTCTACTAGTTAGCTGACCTTGTACTCTTGTCATACCACCTTTTTACCCAATCACCAGCATAGAAGTAATCAAATGTACTAGCTCATTCTGACTTACAGTGAAAGGGACTTGAAAGAACGTTTAAAAACAACTTTATCACCTAAAAATGAATATTAGTACTATATATTCCACTCGAGCTTCTCTACTAGTTTGCTGACCGCTAATCCCGACTTGTTAATATCACTGTCTGGGTTCGCGGTTCGGGCCATAAATACATTTCCTTTCCTATTCTTACACGTAATACTATCAATGCCCTAATTGCCTTATCCTTTTAGCATACTATTTCTCATGAGAATACTAGAGAGATAGTCTCATTTCCTATAAGGACCTAAAGGATCAAGAAACTCCTCTATCTTAGCCACTGCTTCCTTTTCAGTACAGTACAGTATAGTAGCATAAGCCATACTGGCATCAACGATAACATGAATACTTGTGTGGTTTTCGAAAGAGTCGAGATGAGACTATAATAGAGACATCCAAATTAGGCGTTGGCATCAACAACAAATTTCAATCAAATAAAATAAATAAACTGACATCAATTTTATTCCTCAAATAAATATCTAAAATAGTCGCAGATGATTCTTAGTAGATAAAGCTTGAGATAGAACGAGGATGGCAGTACATCTTTCATGGATTCTTTTAGCATTAGTTTTAACATTATTCGTGCCTAATAATTCCGGCCAAATCACTGTTAGAACAGATAATGGCCTCATCAGTGGAAAGTCAGATATTATTGATGGAACAACAGTGCATTCTTATTTGGGCATTCCTTACGTTCAACCTCCAATCGGTTCACTACGCTTTATGCCACCGAAAGCGTTAACATCGGCCTGGTCTGGCGTTTTAAACGGAAGCCAATATAAAAATTCTTGCCCTCAATTTACACCTGTTGGTGGAACACAACCTAATACACCAGAACATCAAATCAATGAAGATTGCTTATATATTAACGTTTTTACTACAAAACCAGTCGCTGTTGCTAACATGTCCGTTCTAGTATGGATTCATGGTGGCGGTTTTATTGTTGGTACTGGAGCTGGTTGGAAGATGCAAACACTAGCAGCTAAAGAAGGTATCGTTGTCGTTTCCATGAACTACAGATTGGGTGCGTTTGGTTTCCTAACTTCTGGTGAAGATAATCCCGGTAATAATGCTATTCAACCTAACTTAGGAATACTCGATCAACAAATGGCTTTAAAGTGGGTACAAGATAATATTGAAAACTTTGGTGGTAATAAAGAAGCAGTTACTATTGCTGGATTCTCAGCTGGTGCGTACTCTGTAGGTATTCACGTATTAGCACCTAGCAGTTACGGATTATTTCGTTATGCTATTATGCATAGTGGAGCCGTATTCGATAGTCATACCTACAAATCCATGGCAGAAGCTCGTCAAGCTTTCCTGAAGTTTGGTAAACAAGCAGGATGTAATGGCACTACTGTTGCTACTGTGACTCAGTGTGTACGTAGTTTAAGTGTGGCAATAATTTTAAAAGCATCCTCTTCAATGTTGCTTCAAGATTTCGGATTCTTTAGTGTTACGGTAGACGGTAAATTAATTGTAGAGAATCCTAGAAAAGCTTGGGCAGCAGGTCGATTTAAGAAAGGCAACCTACTAATGGGAATTGCAGCTCAAGATGGCTACGTAAACGTACCTCCTCAAGTAACTAGGCCAGCTTATTTAGGCTTTATAAAATACTGGTTTAATAGAATATATAATGATTTAGGTCAAGATGTTATTATTAGCAGATATACAAACTATAATGACATCAACTCTCTAACAAGTAATTTGCATATGCTAAGAGAATTATCTACCGATTCACTCTTCGTTGCACCAGCGGATTTCGTTGCTGGATATCATTCTATTTATTCTCCTACCTATACCTATGTTTTCTCTCATCGAACAAATCAATCAGCTTATTTAATGCCTAACACTGGTGTGAGTCATGGTGCAGAATTACCCTACGTCTTTGGCTATCCAGTTAATAAACCTTCCGGCTTTTTATCAAATTTTACTTCAGCAGAAATTGATTTGAGTAAAGATATGATGGCTATGTGGGGAAGTTTTATACGCACTGGGTAAGAACTAGACAATGTAATCCTGCTACCTTACAGCTAGAATGATTAATATCTTGTAGTGTTTAAAAGAAAAACTCAGTAGTTGATCGACTTCAGTGATGCTGTACATAAAATATAACTATACTAGTATACAGTTCAGATTATTTAAAACTCGATGAATAGAAATTAAATCGTCCAAGTAGAGTTACATCAGTATTAGAACCTTGAGATATCTAACTAAGAGTTACTTCGACTGTTTTACTTAAATCTTAAGGGATCCATCCACTACAAGGATTTCTTGGCCAGAATACACAAATACCAATACTTACTACTTGACTATTACAGCCAAAGGCTATAATCCTGTAACCAATTACAAGCGTAATCAAATTGCTTTCTTTAATAATTTGTTAAATGTAAAATTTACGTTAGCTAATAATCCTACCGCTAGCACTCAACCTCCGACTCAATCCGTAACTACTCCCTCTGGCTCTGTTACACAGAGTTCGACTTTCAAGGTTGCTACTTACGCCTTGATTGGAGTGAGTGCAGCTTTATTTATCATTGTGGTTATCTTACTTGCTATGCGCTGTCGACGAGGTAAAGAAGTGTTGGTCTAACTTCATCAGCAAGTATACGGAATTTGAAGTTAATTGTTAATTAATATAATTATAACAATATCGTATCATTTTGAGATTTGTACTGCTGAAAGTATACTTGCAGGTTACTTGCCTTACTTAAGCCCTCTTCGTAGTATTAAATAAAATATTTATTCTCGCTACTTCTTTAGCTGTACACTGTAGAGCATATATTACGGTATACTATTACATGGCTATTCTTTATCCTAGTAGAATCCAGCTTCCGGATTTGTTACTTTGCGCTGCATACTTTACTTCACTTCCTATCTTTCTATTAAGTCTCAATTGTTGCTAGCTCTCGCAGATGATTATAAGTTATAACCCGAGACGTGCGAAGTTCATAGGAATCTGTTATTACTCTTTCCCTTCTTAACAAAGTACTTCTATTCCCCTCCCATATTGTTATTTGATCGTCCGTACCTAAACATCTATAACGGATCCTTAACCAAAGCTTCCATCCACGAAGGCACCTACTAGAGTTCATAAGCCCGATGGTCAACAACATTATAGTATCCAAACTAAAATTTTAAATAGTAATAAGTATAAAATAAAAGTTCATTGCGAACATATTGCATACTTGTAAAGATTTATTTTATTGCAGATATCTTTTAATTCTTGTTTTGCCGCAGGAAGATAAAGCACGCGTAGGGTCTCCAAATTTCAATTTGCTGTGCAATTGTGCGCCTACGCGTATTCCATTGCAGGCTACGTTGAATCAGAATTTGGAGACTAAAATATTCAGTTACGTATTATACTCAAGTGAGATATTCACATCCAAACGTGAGATGTTTTTGGTCTTAAGTAGACCATTTCTTTTCTACATTTCGATATATTTTCGTCTATCTAGGTGATGATTAGCTTGGACAGTTAGACGGTAGTTAATAGATACTAAAACATGTTGTATAGTAAAAAAGATTTAAATGAGATCTTGTATAGTAGATATATAACCTGAACTAATGGACATATGCAAGAAAAGCCTAAAATCAAGCTTTAGCACATTTCTACATTGCTACTATATGCTGTGTAACTTATTCTATAACTGTTGCAATCAACGCTGGCACTAACCACCCTTATCTTACCTCAGATGAATTCTAAGACTAATTACTACAGTTTAATTAATCGTTGAAAATTTCAAACGAACGATTTAAATCTCGATTGTATTTGCAAAATTAAAATAAATATGTATAACCTTTCTACCACTTTACCGTAAGAATTTGATTTCATCATGCAGATGTATGGACAAATAATTACCCTGATCAATCAGGTTGAAATTATATATCTTGTATAGCTTTAAAGCAGAACTCAATCTACTTTTAGACGATTAATTATTAGAGCAATTGGTTGGGAAAATATTGATCACCATTTTGACCTGTTAGCTATCCAACACCTGTAGCTAATGCTACACTATTAAACATCGACTGCTAGCTATTATGCCCTGCGTACAGCATTGACATGTGATGTGTGGTAATAATTATAATTTATTTATTTAATGACTGACCTCTATGCTTATTCATTGATAATTATGAGAAGAAAGTAGTTCTAACCCCAGTGATAATTAATTTCTTTACGTGAACAGAGAGACTGAGAAGAACGACGTCTAGATTAGTTTAAACGTGTAAGAATTTAGTGTATCATAATATACTCGTAGGTTTGTGTGATGCTAATTTATTTTCGAAATTTGACGATATAATAGGATACAGAAAACAAGCTATAGAGCAATCATATTTTATTTTTGCTTGTAATATGCATTTGTTCGAGTTGAAGTCATTTAATAGTCAATTTTCTTGGTCTGGATCAAGGATTGCAACCGTGCTAATTGCAAAATCGATAAGCGGCTGCACAATAAGAAGATTTATAATATACTAGTTTGGTAATACCCGTTGTAAAACGGGTACTGTCGAATCCAGCTTTTGCTCAGCACGCTTCGCCGTATAGATTATTATTACTTAGTGTTTACTGACCGTACACCAAATTTTTATTTTTATTTTTTCTGTTACTTCTATGACAATTGACGATGCCTCAAGATAATCAAGTGTACTGTATTTATCAATCAGTTAATGATGCAAATTGTTCCTTTGACCATATATGGATAACATGAGATTTATTACATTAATCATTCACCAATATGGAAAGGCTCAAGCAGTGTCCTTTAAAAGTTAACCCCGAAACCCGACTCGAGGACGGGATTCCGGTTAAGAATTTCTGTGGCAATACAGAGTTAGCATAGCGATTGCACTCATTTTCGGCTTACAATTTGATCGGGTTCAGGTTGCGTTTTTACTCCATTTAAGGATACTGTAGTACAGTAATAGTAATGCGCAGTGTTCACTTCGATTACTTAAGACAGTCAAGCGTAATTGTAGCTTTGCAGGACTCTGATTTACACCGATTTTAAGAGCTTTCGCTGGATCAATAATAAAGATGGTCCGTCCATTCATGGTCCATTCAGACTAAATGCGGAGAAAATAAGATTCATTACAGTACTGTAATCAGGTTTTTAGCCATATTAGGGTATTATTAAGCATGCAAATCTCTTCAAAAGATGCCATTGTCAACAACTATAATGCACATAACTTTCTTAAAGTTTGAACCGGTATAAATTGTAATTGTTAACATCAAACAAGTGTTCAATTACTAACGGTAAATATAATACATGGATACCATGGTGATATATTAATAACACCTTATGTCATGGAAATAAGACAGTAATTATTGTTCTCGTCGTAGAAAAGAAAAAGGGAGGTGATATGCAAAATAATGTGGAGGCCTACCATTTTCCCGGTCATTCTATTATACGATACCAATAAAATCGTATATCATACTGAGCAAAACCAACTTAGCTGCATGCTTATAAGGTCCCTCTTTTTCTTTTTTAGTGCAGTAGTCCCTTCAATAGACCGTACGGTTACTGGTCATGTAAGTCACACCTAAATAATACTAATATTCTTATTTACATAGGATGGGTGACCTTTTCATAATTTTATGAAATTAAGTTATTTAAAATATTTTTTACTAGAGCTCTTTAGGACAGCTTTATTCGATCCAGATTATATATATAAACGCTAGCGCTGTAACACCTCAAGAAGTTTAGGTTGTACTCGTATCGTTGGTGGAAAACCTTTAATTCTGTACATTTAAGCTAAATCCTTTTCAACGTTTCTTTCAACTTCTTTCACTATTAAGAAGAATACCGAACTTATTAAGGAAGATTAATCTAAAGCAATACTATGACTTTGGAAAGATTTACCGCAAGCTGTATTGTAATATTAACTATTGCATTATTACCTTATTCTAAAGCTCAACTAATCGTTTCTACTACAGCTGGTTCAGTTAGTGGTAAGATAGTAAATACTAATGGTACTGATCAGTTTGCCTATCTCGGCATTCCTTACGCTCAGCCTCCCGTAGGTCAGCTACGATTTAAGCCGCCAGTACCCAAAGAGCAATGGTCTAGTGTTCTAAATGCTACTGAATATCAAAAAGATTGTTCTCAACCGAATCTCGTAGGCCCTTTAAGTCAAAATTCGCATAAAATACAAGTCAGTGAAGATTGCCTTTACCTTAATATTTTTACGCCTAACCCTAGCAAAGCCGGGAATATGTCAGTACTCGTATGGATACATGGTGGTGGATTCCTTTATGGAACTGGCGCATGGTGGCAAGGACAAATCTTATCTGCTAACGAAAATATCGTTGTTGTTACAATAAATTATCGACTTGGAATCTTTGGTTTCATGACGTCAGGTGAAAAGGATGCCAATCAAAGGACTATTCCAGCAAATCTAGCTTTACAAGATCAAAATTTGGCCTTGAAATGGGTTAGAGAGAATATCGAAAATTTCGGAGGTAATAAAGATCAAATTACAATAGCAGGTAACTCAGCTGGAGCGGTTGCTGTTTCCAATCACCTGGTTATGCCATCTAGCAAAGGATTATTTAGCCGCGCTATCATACAAAGTGGTATTTTTGGAGATTTCCCATCTTATCAGAAAGCTAAATTGACGACCGAGTTCACACTATCTGATGCTAAAAATTTCTTTGTACAGTATAGCACGGTAGCTAGATGTTACAAAAACATCACAACAGAGACTGTAAATTGTCTAAGAACCCTACCAGCCCAGCAATTGGTACAACTTCAATTGAGATTCCTTGGAACTAATCCATATTCACCCATTGTTGATGGCGATATACTACCAGAATCATCTTACAAAGCTATAATTTCAGGAAAGTTTAATAAAGCCGACATCATGATAGGCACGATGTTGAATGATGGCTATTTTTTCTTATTACTTATGCCAAATATATCTCAAGGACTTTCACAAAATCAGTTTAAAAATTATGTCAATGGTAATTTTCCAGCAGCAAATCAACGTGTAAAACTTTCTATCCAATATCAGTATACTAACTGGGCCAATGTTAGCTCACCAAGCATTAATAGGGATCAGTATGGCGATATGCTCAATGATTATCGCTTTAGTGTACCTAACGAAAATTATGCAGATGCGCTTTCTCGATATGTACCAACCTATACCTACATATTTGCTCATCGCACTGCAGGAACCGCGATGCCTTCATTTGCTAAAGCAGTGCATACTATAGAGATCCCATATGTTTTTGGCTATCCATTAGATCCACCTGCAAATTTTCCAGACAAATTTGATGATACCGATCGACAAGTATGCCGACAGGTTATGGCATACTGGGGTAACTTTATTCGTCAAGGGTAAGTAGTCTTTCAGCAATTGCTATATATGTGTAAATACCCGCATACGGTTGTAAACTAGATTAAGAATTGCGACAATTAATAATTTATAAGTCTTACATTACAACTTGGTAATAACTAAGGCAGACAAAATTATTAAGCATGAATTAAATTTTGTTTATTAATTAATATCTAGAGCTAGCTAGACTGTTATACAATGTATAATGATATATATAATGATACAAGGTCAACCACGAAATAGTTAACTCCCTTTACTACGATAATTTAGAAATCCGTCAGATTTAAGCTCTTCACCAGCTTGGCCAAGATATAGAGAAACCAGCAAAGACTACATGTGGATTGCACCTAAATTGGCAATTGCAAAGAATTACTATAGTAAGCCATTCGCCTTTTGGAATCAATATCTTCCCCAACTTGCTACACTCACAAATACAAATACACCTCCACTTCCAACTTCCAAATCAACAATGGCTTCTACAGTATCGAATTCATTGGAATCAACCTATATGATTTCAACGTATGTTTTAGCAGGTGTTACTGGATTATTATTGCTTATTGTAATTATCCTACTTTGCAAATTAAACAAAGGCAAAGAGCAATATGCTGCGTAGAAATTTAAAGTTGAATTCATAATTATATAATCGACCTCGTTAAGATACTATTTTACTATTGTCATAATGCACTATTCATTATACCGTTAAATGGGAAAATGCTGAGTATTAGCTTTAGCGTGGTATTGTAGGGTTTTTAACATAATTGTCTGTTAATAAGTATAATAAGATGATGCAGAAATTAAAAAACTGCTTTTAAAGTTTTCATAAGATTGTTCTAAAGCTCTGGTCCAATCTCAAATAAGTTACAATCACTGAAAAGATTAAGACTACATGACGTTGTGTGTAAAGATTTCACTTCTAGATAATTTATAATTTATCGTGTAGCATTAATAAAAGTGGTTAGCTTGAAAGATTGCGTAAAGGTTTCCTACACTTAAAAATGCGATTTAGTCGCAGATGACCTAATAAATGACATTAAAATCTTGCATGCATGTTTTGGTATGGTTATTTACCTAATTTCTCGGTATACCCATATCATGCTTTATAAAAGTTGACTTTTAATAATAAGAAAGTTTTACAATCATACAGTATACTTTATAACAGTAAAATGAATTTGTGGATCAATTTGTACGGATATTGAATACCTATTAATTAATAAATATCTTATATTAATTAAGCTAAGTTACTAAGAAAGTATAGTTCGTCCTGGGGCTATTAAATTAGTTGATATTAGAAAATACTTTTTTGATTTATAAGTAATCTTGATTAGTAGCAGTTCAATTAAATATTTCACTTTTGGTGGAAACATGCGCTTAATCTCATTTATGCAACTTCTTACCAGCTTTGTTGCATATTAAGCGGATTAGTAACCTAAGATCTGGAACAAATAAATTGTTCTAAATTAGGGTATCTTACTATGCTTTATTATTGATATGATAAATGATTATAGTGTTTCAGCGATAGGAAATTTTTTAACTGCTAGTATATGTTATATCATGGCGTTATCGCTAAGATGAGTGGAAAGAAACTATTAATTACTTGAATCATTAACAAAAGAATAGTATCGCTGTACATTAGTAATAAAATATAGTTTTAAAGGCGTACAGCAGGTATAACAGCGCAATTAAAATTGTGAAATAGGCCAGCAAGGATTAGTAAATTGATTTCAATCTCAACCTACTAAGATTAATGTTGCTTTCATATCGGTTTGGAAGTAGGATATTAATACTATACATCAGAGTGAAAGATATGAGATAATCTTTATTGCTAATAGCTGTTGTAAAAAGAATACAAGGGCGGTACTTAACGAAATATGAGTCACTAAAATGATATAAATTCATTTTAGCATCCATTAAAATGCTAGTAATTATATAACTATTGGCTGTTAATTGTTTTGATAGTAGGGCAATTACTTCCGGCAGCTTATGTTTCTTTAAAAAATCCTCCCGAAATATAATAATACCTCGCTTTTATCTACCTCCCAGCAACCTGTATTAAATACTCCTGAAAATTAAATTGATGCTGTTTCTCTAGTAGAGTAGTTTACTGATCTAGTCATACGATATTAGGAAAAAAACTTCTGTAGTTCTTACTGACTTTTAGCCTCATTAAAATAACTATAAAATTAAATCAGTCTATAAGTAGAATCATAATCTCAAAAAATCATAGATGTAAGAATGAATACTAGATACGCATATAATTCTATCGTATATATAAGCTATTAAACAAGAGTAGTAACCTGTACTTTACTGTAGGAAAGTCCGAATAACGTGATATGGCTATTTCTACTTCGAATAAATCAAATTAATTTTTGTATTAAAAACTTTAAATTATATAACTCTATTTTTGCTCGACAATAAGCATTTAAAATTCAATATACACATGTCGTAGTATAGTATATATTGAGCATTTGAGCTCGTTATTCATTTGTTTAACGAAGTTCTACGTTCTAAACTGTATAACGGAGTCATTATATATGATAATCAAAAAAATTCGATTTCAGATAGCAACAATTAACAAATTAATGATTGGTTATAAGTACGTTGCTTGCTTGTATTTGCTGAAACTTATTTTGTTATATCCTGCCTTTCCACACCCTGTATTGTCCCGAAATTATCTTTATCAGCTTTACAGTATATCAAAGGCCAATTCCTGTCACAAATCTATTCGATAATATAACCTAACCTAAGCCTTATGTTATTAAGGTTGGCGATCCTAATACCGACATAATCCTCGTCTTCTCAACTCGACTCGAATCAAGACTACTATCTCTATATATATAGTAATTGTAAAATTAATAATATAAGTGTCATAGTATACTGTGCTCTTGGAATATTCATATCATAGCTTAAAATTTTTCTACAAGCAATAAAATGATGGTGTCACGTGAAGTTTGCTAATTAATCAGCCAGTTTACTGAATTTATGCTGATGGTAATTTACTGTGATGATCATAACGGAAAGTATATAATAGTATGTCCTATAACTATTCTTAGAGTAAGAATAATTTAGATATCCCATGAAAGGAAGGTATCACAAAAGCAACTACATCAGCGTTACATCTCATTGGTAGACCGCCTGGAAAAGATATGGTAATTATAATAAGTGCTATTCAGTAGTCAATACATAGAACTTCCAAAGCTTTAGTTACCACAAACAAAAAGATAAAAGAAACGTCTACGGTGTGTGGTAGTGAATTTTCAACAGGTTGTTTTTGGCTGTTTATTGATGAACTATTAGCTAATTAAGACAAGAAGTTGTTAATTTTATTACAATTTTAAGTACTTGTTTTATTCCCTATACCAGTAATTAACTCAGTAAAAAGGAAAATGGCTTACTACTGTTTTCATGCCTCCATTTTTATTATTTTGGGAATTTTAACATCGAATTCAATCGGTCAAATAATCGTTAACACCGATAAAGGACTTGTTAGGGGCACAACGGAACTGGTTGGTCAAACGACTTTACATAAATATTTGGGAATTCCTTTTGCTGAACCTCCCATCGGCGTGAATCGTTTTAAGCCATCTCGGCCGTTAAATTCCTCATGGCCCGGTGTATTAAATGCCACAAAGTATAGCAGTTCATGTATTCAATTTGTTCCAGTTTTCAGATCGCCACTTACAGCTCCAGAAAGTATCATTAATGAAAACTGCTTATACTTGAATGTCTTTACTACTGCGCCAAGTATAGCTGGCAATAAATCCGTCATGGTTTGGATTCATGGTGGTGGCTACATAGGTGGAAGTGGTGCTAATTGGCAGCCGCAAACATTAGCAGTAACGGAAGATATTGTTGTAGTTACCATGAATTACAGATTGGGTATATTCGGTTTCACGACTTCAGGAGAAGCCAATGCAAATAGCCGTTCTATCCAAGCCAACCTTGGCTTTTTAGATCAGCAACTAGCAATGGCATGGGTACAAAATAATATCGAGCAATTTGGCGGTAAGAAGGATGCTGTAACTTTAGCTGGTTTCTCTGCTGGTTCATTCGCTGTTGGAATACATCTAGTAGCGCCTAGTAGTAGTGGATTATATCGCTACGCAATCATGGAAAGCGGAACTATCCTTGACGGTAGATCCGTTGCAGAAGCACGAGCTACTTTTCTAAGAATTGGCCAAGTAGGTCAATGTAATACTTCCAACCTCCGTGCAATTTATCAATGCATCAATAAGTACAATTCTACAATACTGTTACAAATTCAATTTGCGTTGTTAAGAGAAAATCCTGCAAATTTTGGTCTTGTCATCGATGGTCGATTTCTTAATGAAAATCCTAGGAAATTACTCCAGGATGGTCGCTTTTTTAAAGGCCGACTTTTGATCGGAACAACTTTACAAGACGGTTACTCTTTTATTCCTCCATTAGTCACTAGACAAGTATTCTTGGGTTATGTCAGTAATTGGTTTAGGGAATATCCTCCATCGGCTAGAGCTTCCGTTATTAATAGATATACTGATTATACTAATATCGACTCGCCAACCGTTAATAGAATGAAGTTAGGCGAACTATCCAATGATGCTCTATTTCTTTCAACTTCTGATTTCATGGCCCAAAAATATTCTAAACATGCCCCAACATATAATTATGTTTGGACTTATCATACACAGCAAGATATATATTTGCCAGCTTATATGGGTGTAACTCATAGTATGGATGTACCATATTTTTACGGCTACCCAGTCCAAAAACCTGCTTATTATCTAACTAATTTTACTACTGCTGAAGCGCAACTAAGTAGAGATTCCATGAAGATGTGGGGAAATTTTATTCATACAGGGTAAGTTTTCTTTAATGGTCTGAAACTTTCAACACTCCCACTCTAATTATGACTAGATGCGAATAATGCTACAGTATGCAACAAGATCAAGCTGTATTTATGCGTTAAAAGAGTATACAATAAGGTAGACATAAAATAAATAAAAGTAAATTATAATTTAAGGTTTAAAGTAATAATAGTAAATGTCAGCGACAAAATAAAATACACTACCAAAACAAGATCATGCCGTAGATACAGCCTAAATCTACAACGGTCAGTTTAATAAAAGGCAGTCTCCAAAGGTAGTCCACCACTATCTTGTATACATAAATAGAATATTTGAAAAAAGGATATGTTGCTAGCATTTTATTTACACCATAATACAGAATTACTGCTTCCCTCTTTCCTTATAATACTGCCCTCTTACAATATAGCCTACTTAGAATCTGTCGAATAAATTACGTGTAGAGTACTGAATTTAAAAGATGTACAATAAACTGTTTCTATAACATATTCTTACAATTACTCTATTGTCAGAGATCCTTCCACATCGAAAGTGACTTGGCCTCAGTATAATTCTAGCAATCCCAATTGCTTAAATATTAGTCTTCAATCAATGAAAGCTGTTACGAATTATAAACGTAATAAGATCGCCTTTTTCAATCAATATATGACACCTCAATTTGGACCCCCTTTCGACATCACCACTTCAGTTACATTTCAGCCAACGATGATGTTCACTACAAATGGAACTGTAAATCAAGAATCTACCTTTAGAGTTGTAGCATTTGTTATGATTGGTGTTAGTGCTGCTCTGCTTCTCCTTATCTTTATTTTGTGTTTTACGTATTGTCGGGGTGGTGGTAGCCATAAAAATTAATCGATATATTATAGATATTTCAATTTTAGCCAACTCTGTAACTCTATCTAGGGAAAAGACTGAGGACAGTAATTTAAGTTTATAACTTAACTTATAGTATATGCGAGTATTTTTAATGTTAATGTAGTCCTAAGTAAGTAAGATTGCAGGATTTTAGTTAGTTATTATGGTAATTTGCCAGAACAATGTGTACACTTGCAATGAATTGGAATACTACCTAGAAATAAGATTTGCAACAGATACGATACCGTATCCTTGTCAAGCGTTATTTCGGTAGTAAACTGTATGAATTGCATTGCTAATTGAATAACTAGTGTTGTGTATTTTCGTGTACTAACATTAGTCAAGGCTAAGATTCAGATATATGACAACTAGTCCTCCATAGCTCAATACCTAAAGATAATGTTGGCATTTCACAATTTTCGTTTGTATTCACGTGTACTATGCTAGGCTTTTAACGTATTTCACATCTTTGTATTCGAATGCGTATCGCGCATTACCTACTTACGGTAAGGCATAGGCTTCCATAGCGATTTGATATAAGCGAGAGAATGCATGTACATTGTGCAGTAGTATGAGGCTATCTTTTAACGTATCTTCATATTCGTATGCCGGTCATGCAGTATCTCAATAAAATCTCTGCATTATCTTACTTACTTATGATAAGGCATAAACTTAAATAAGGATTCGTTATAAGTGACAGAATAAATGTATAGGCGTTTTCTATCTGGTCTTGTTGATTAATTTCAGAAGAAATGCTATCTTTTAAATTAAATGGACAGACTGGCACTGTCGTCACTGATATGGAACGAATTGCTGGAATAAAATTATGCCTTGTCTAGCCATGGTGATGTGCTTTTCTTGTCGCGAACAATCATTAAAATATGTGTAGCGTTACACTAGAGCACTAAGTCCGAACCGTAGCGTAATGTCATGTCTGATAATTATAATTATGATAGAGAAGTGCTAAGTTCTAATAATTATAATCATAGATTACAAATTATCAACATGGTATGTTATCCAAATGCTTGTCTGTGTCGTGTCTAGGAATTGAGTCAACTTCAATATCTGTATAGTATGCCGCTACTGAGTTACAAATCGATCCTTTACTATTACAGCTAGAATCTTATAAAAAGGAAAGTCTTAAGATCTCTTCGGCATTGCTTCACACGATCATTCCATGACTCTGCTAATGTATGTACTGTACAGTATAACCTTCATTAAAGTTAATCAACTAGTAGCAAAGCGCGAGCTGCATTTTATGAAAAGCATCACTAGTCAACCTCAAGATCCACCACATTTCTATTTATTATACGTATAAGAAAAAGTGTATCTATCTCTATATGTAGGCTATGGAATTTTTGACTGACAACAGGAAAGAGCTAGTGGTCGCGTAGAAAATAGACACAGAGTTTCATATAAAATAATCATGATTATCGATGTTTTCCTGTGTAGGATTGTTTACCACCAGTATTTCGTTATTTCCTGCCACAACAGTATTTCAGCGTGACTTGTATACTGGTAGAACCGATCGCACACCTATCAGTGACTGATGGTTTGTATTAGAAATCTCAAAGAAATAAAATAACTCAATAATGCAGTAAAAATGTTTAAAAGTATCAAGTGCCAACGACTTAAAGTTGTAGTAATCTGTATTTGTGAAATTTTAGCTCCATTCAAAGTCAATGCCTTCCAATTCATAGACCTAATTCTAGTTGATTAGTTCAGTCATATTTAAGCCCTTATAAGGGCTTAAAAGAGCCAATGACTCAAAGTTGTAGTAATCTGTATTTGTGAAATTTTAGCTCCATTCAAAGTCAATGCCTTCCAATTCATAGACCTAATTCTAGTTGATTAGTTCAGTCATATTTAAGCCCTTATAAGGGCTTAAAAGAGCCAATGACTCAAAGTTGTAGTAATCTGTATTTGTGAAATTTTAGCTCCATTCAAAGTCAATGCCTTCCAATTCATAGACCTAATTCTAGTTGATTAGTTCAGTCATATTTAAGCCCTTATAAGGGCTTAAAAGAGCCAATGACTCAAAGTTGTAGTAATCTGTATTTGTGAAATTTTAGCTCCATTCAAAGTCAATGCCTTCCAATTCATAGACCTAATTCTAGTTGATTAGTTCAGTCATATTTAAGCCCTTATAAGGGCTTAAAAGAGCCAATGACTCAAAGTTGTAGTAATCTGTATTTGTGAAATTTTAGCTCCATTCAAAGTCAATGCCTTCCAATTCATAGACCTAATTCTAGTTGATCAGTTCAGTCATATTTAAGCCCTTATCATCATTATTTCATATATTTAAGCCCTTATCATTATAAGGGCTTAAAAGAGCCAATGACTCAAAGTTGTAGTAATCTGTATTTGTGAAATTTTAGCTCCATTCAAAGTCAATGCCTTCCAATTCATAGACCTAATTCTAGTTGATCAGTTCAGTCATATTTAAGCCCTTATAAGGGCTTAAAAGAGCCAATGACTCAAAGTTGTAGTAATCTGTATTTGTGAAATTTTAGCTCCATTCAAAGTCAATGCCTTCCAATTCATAGACCTAATTCTAGTTGATCAGTTCAGTCATATTTAAGCCCTTATAAGGGCTTAAAAGAGCCAATGACTCAAAGTTGTAGTAATCTGTATTTGTGAAATTTTAGCTCCATTCAAAGTCAATGCCTTCCAATTCATAGACCTAATTCTAGTTGTTCAGTTCAGCCATGGTGTAGCCGTTATGATTACAAGGGCTTAAAAGAAATAAAGTAACTCAATAATGCAGTAAAATGTTTAAAAATATCAAGTGCCAATGACTTAAAGTTGTAGTAATCTGCATTGGTGAAATTTTAGCATTAAATTCAAAGACCTAAATTATAGTTGTTCACTATAGTCATGGTGAAGCCCTTGTAATGGCTGCACTATGACTGAGCTGAATAATTGTCAAAAGCTTTCAACGTAGTTGTACACACCGCATACAGTATAATCGTCATAGTGTAGTTGTTCAGTGAAGTCATCGTACTGTATAGCCCTTATAATGGCTACACTATAGTCGTGTACAGTATACAGTACTGTAACGGCTACACTACGCTTGAGCGAAACAACTGTCGACAGCTATCAACCAGTTGTAGAGTACAGTAGTATGTATTGTAGTTTACAGTGTACAGTATAATGGTCATCTTTCATTCTGCTGTCCCTATGATACCAGCTATAGCTACTAGGCAGAAAGTGACAATCACGCTTCTATCGAGACTACTGGAAACTCGGTATTAGTAGCTATCCTCGACACCTTTTCCTATCTTCAATTGGCGAAGGTGTCTGGTAAAGCAAAAGCCTTTGGCAACGAAATCGACGTCTTGCTTTCCATCCTCAACTTTTACATCACATTTTATTCAAGGTTTATTCTCAATACTTATTAAATTAGAACACAATCCATTCGGTAATGAACTAACTATTACTCAGGTGTAGTCTTGTCTATATGTATCTGCAGTCATTGTGGAACAATCATCATTTTATTGAGTTGACATCGTCCTGGCTTGCACACAACTTACTGGCTTTCAATAAGCAATTAATTATATAATCACTGAACGTCAGCAGAAACTGTGTATCATAATTGTTAACGTAGTCATCATGGAGATATCGTTGTCTGGCCATCAAATTTGGACTGCTGTTGCAGTATCACTTGCTACGGGTTTATATGTCGTTAAAAGGTATTACGCTGGTGGAGTATGTCGTAGCCGAGCCAGCCTGGAAGGCAAAGTTGTCATTGTCACTGGTGCCAATTGTGGTATTGGGAGAGAAGCTGCTCAAGATTTTGCTCGACGTGGTGGTCGCGTTATTTTAGCCTGCAGAGATCAATCCCGAGGTGAAGCTGCCATGGAAGATATTCGCCGCGCTACTGGTAACAACAACGTTATCTATATGCATCTTAATCTAGCCTCATTTAAATCCATTCGCAAGTTTACTCAGGAGATTATAACCAATGAAAAAAGCGTTGATATATTGGTTAATAACGCTGGACTAGCTTGCGATAGAAAATTGACTGAGGATGGGCTGGAAATGATCATGGGTGTCAACCATTTTGGTCATTTCCTACTCACCAACCTTTTACTCCCTAAAATTAAGGAAAGCGCTTCAAGTAGGATTGTTAATGTTGCCTCTTCGGTCTATGCTTTTGTAAAATCAATCAATTTTGATGATATCCAAAACGAGAAAAATTTTAACAATTTTAATGTCTATTCTCAAAGCAAATTAGCTAACATATTATTTACACGTTCACTGGCCAAAAAATTAAAGGACACCCATGTTACGGTAAACGCTTTACATCCTGGAGCTGTTAGAACTGAAATATGGCGAGGTGTAAATATTTTAAAGTATTTTTGGGCCAGGCTGGTCATTTACCCCATTGCATTTATATTTTTCAAATCAAGTTATGAAGGTGCCCAAACGACGATACACCTTGCTGTTTCAGAGGAAGTTGAAAGAATTACTGGACAGTACTTTGTGGACTGTCAGATTAAAAAATTACAAGATCACGCTCTCGATGAGGAAGCAGGGAACAAACTCTGGGATATCAGTGAAGAGTTAACAGGTCTAAAATGAAAAATTTTATATAACTCTCATAAATAATGGTATTAAGGAGTAACTTTTACATAGCTATCGAATCATACCAGAAGTTTCCATAAGATAAAATATCTAGTCTTATCTAGCAATGCATTAGTAATTATAATTATTAATATTAATTTTTTATCTATCACGTTTTACAAGTTTTAATACTGATAATTTATGTTTATATCGATTTACTATAAACTGACTGACTTTTAATAAAGTTTGGGTTCAGCTTTGTCTAAAAGAGAGACTGTTGGTGTTGTCGTAGTGTAGGTTGGTAAATGTCGGGAAGAACAAACCTGAAGTAGTGTTAGTATTTGGAATAGTTCAATTTTTTTCTCATTACAAATTTAGATTTATATATTGTGCAATGAAATTGAAACCGCACCGTTTATAAAGCAGTTTCACAGAGATGAACGGAGATCTATATTCCATGATATTCGATATGATACAAAACATTGTATTTTTTTAACAATAAATATACCTTAGACCAATTCTACAGTATAACAGTAGTTTAGGCGGCTAAAAGTAGATCTGTAGGTATGAAAAAAAGTGCAATTATAGAATGGACAATGCTAGGTTAATGACATCGATAAACCTATATACCGAAAATTATCTGGGCATTGAAGTCCTATGATGTTGTGGTGCAAATTGAATGAGTGATTTATTAATGATCTCGTTACTAGTTTAAATCCTTCCGTAATGACTGCTATAGTGCTTCAATATTATGATACGAGGAAACTGCATTTTAATAATTTTGATTATTCTATAATAGAACTCAGCGCGTACTTATAGCTATAAGCTCTATACGGTATCAACAGTCGTTAACATATCATTGGCAATAATCCGATCTATGTACTATTTCTTGAATTCTTTTCTCTACTAGAAGCATTACTGAATGGTAGCGCAGATCCATGCCACTCAAATGTGATATTTTCATTTGTGCTGCAGCTAATTAAGATATTTCATCAACGTGTATTTCCAACTACCATGACATTAAACTTAATTAAAGGCCAAAATTGATATTTATGACAAATTTATAATCTCGGAATATGTAATGCGTGCATGATCAATTAGCTAAAAGAGAATCATATAAACTACCTGCGCAATCTATTGACTTCTCGTTATATAACTAATAAATAATTCCAAGAGGAGTCACCCTCATCCTGTTTAATTAAGAATTAATCAGCTTTTAATGTCCTACTAGCCAAATCTGCGATACATAAAATTATGATATTATTGAATAACAGGAGATAAATAGATAGTTTAATACGTTTTATCGCTGTAACTTAATTGTTTCCTTTAAAATTTGATGTTAAAAATGAAAGCAGCTTATTCTCTGGCCTTTTCATCAGAATTATATGCATCCATCAATTCAGGGCCAGCAGGACAGTTGATTCAAGAGAAATCAGAAATATTTTGTGGTTTAAATTCAAAGCAATGATTGAGATGATTAGCTTTATAGCGACTAATAACAGAAACGAATTAATTTACCATTGAGTGTGCAATAATTGATGTTTGATTTATTATTACCAATTGACATTACGCAAATTAAAACTCCACGGAAGATCCGGTCATAATTATACTTAATATTTGTATTTATCCTGCATATCAATACTTTATTGGTAAACTAAATAATAGCTACCATGATAATTTACTGTTAGCCAGCTTTTAATTCATTACAGAATATATCCTTGTCAGATAAACACTAAAACTTTTTATTAGAGATAATAGTTTTAATGCAAATCTCAGTTTTGCTTATTTATTTCAAGTAATTGACGCAAAAAATTAGTAAACTCTACATTTACTAGCGTAAAAATATAACAGTAATCTCGCAGTCGATATATTCTCAGTAATTTAAGTCTTAACGAAAATAATCTTAAGTAATGAAATTTATTCTATTAATTTCTTGCTATAGTACTAGAATTATAGCAATTATTATAATATTGCCTACTCAAAAATATTAAAAAATGATGATAGCACAGAATGAAGAAAGAATTAATGAGTAAAGTTTATATAACTTAAGAAGATTAATATAGCACAATAATATTTATGATTAATGCCTTAATCTAGGCTGATTAGTTAACTCGAACTGATTAATTTAATTGCACTATCTCTATCAGTAGTCTAAATAAATTTGATATTGATATCCTCTTTAGTTGCAGTCTACATTAAGGACTGGATGACCCAAACAGCATAAATAGCGGGACATCGCTAAAAGTTTCCTATTATTATTTTAGTATTTGTCATTACATGTAACACTTGATAAGCTTATGTGCAGGTAACTGATAGTTGGCGAGAAAAGTTAGGGCATATATGGTTAATTAAGGATGTGGAATCTTCAAATATCATTGCATTCTCGTGTAATAATATTCCTAATTCGCAATACAACAATTTATCAACAGGATGATATAATCCTTATAGATCACTTAATCCGCCGGTACAGTATGTTAGAATGCTTAGAAAATTTTCTAAATTCTAGTTTTGTAACTCATTTTGCTTTATATTATTCTGCTGATCTTTTAAGAAAAGCAAAATATTTGACGTTTTATGTATCACTAATTATGAAGTTAATATTAATATTAATTATCCAAATAATTAATTATATGTAACTAGAAAATTTATTTTAATCTACGCGATAAAATGTAATAATGCTAAAATCTACTTCTCTGCTTCTACCGGTATATTGTTTTAAATAATGTTATCTATCCAACTAGGATGGGTTACATTCGAAATTAATATTTTCATAAACTTAACATTGTAATTATGGATCAAACGGTGTAATTATATATAACATATATAGTAAGATGTACATACAAATTATTAAATTTTGCTCTATGGTCTGATGCAGTCAAGTATGGGTAGGTGCTAATATCAATGATAACATGTTTACTTATCATTTATGTGAACCTTCTATCTTTAGGACCGAGCTATTAATTAATCTAACCTTTATGTTTCAACTTTACATTCCATTACTCACCTTGATTTGCATAAATCGATCGAACAATAGCTGATCATGTTGCCGACTTCGCCAAGTATCCCTTTAGTATTTTAATTTATCATCGTTAGTTACATTATTTCGATAAGTCTTAGACATCTAACCTAATTGTCTCTTATCATAATTATTCTATCTTTAACGATGTCATCCCATAAGTATTAAATTACCGGTAATTAAAAATACCCCTACCTTCATTGTTTTTATTCATTAAATTCTGCGTAAATTTTAATTGATTTTACATTGAGCTGGATAATAGACAATAATAGTAGTTATACAATTAATGAAGCTAGAATCAACAAATCGCGTGAAACGATTTGACGATTGAGATTATTAGTAAAGCGATCTCGTGATTTTTGAACTTTTACCGATCTATTAGAAAATAGTACAATAGTATCATCCAGCCACAGTATATCGCTCTTACTATTGCAATCAGTTGTTTTCTAATTTTCCAAAATTGTAAGTATATTATTGAGAGTACATTTTAAATAGCCATATTAACTTTTCAGGATGAACAATTCATAATAATCGGGAAGTGTTTTTAATTAATCATTAATGTTGCTACTATAAAATTTTCGAGTTTGCTAAATTGATACCATATTATTTTTGTTTAAAGATACCTACCTTAATAATTAATTAGTATAGCTGGAAGAGATTAATGTAGTTGCAATAACGATAGAGCCAATAGTGGTAATGTATATGTTTCCGTGATTCAAACTAGTAAATATAATTTAACTGGTTGAGTTACCCAGAAATATTATTCTCGACATACCAAAGTTATGCGTATACGAATGCAGATAGATTTAAAAAAAAAATGACATGTATAGCCTTATCGTTTTCATTTCTAATTGAAAATTAAGATTTCCATAGGATTTGATTGCTTGTAAGTCATTTTCTCATATTCTATCAATCGTTGGTAGCAATAATCATATAATTGATGCTTGCAATTATACGATCAAATTTTAATATAATAATGCCAAATAAAACTCAGATTAAAGGAATGAAGATAAGTGAGATCAATGATTCATAATCGATCGCTTGCTGAGAATGCCTCAAACAGCTAAGGAAGTAGACAAGTAAAAATAGACCAGAGTAGGTTCTAGCTAAAGCGCTTCATCGTTCTGGCGAATTTGTTTCAGACAAAACTGTATATTTCTACTGACTATGAACATTTAGCCTTGAGAATGAAATCCGGCGTAGAAAATGACAAAAACAATAAGATTTAGACTTACAACATATCAATATTACATTGTTACTTCTGCATAAATAAATTTTATGTTTCATGCAATAAGATAGTTTTCCTAAGCTAAGCTTCCTACACTAGACTATGGTTAAGTTTTGTAGACATTATACATAAGTTGTTTTATGATTCAATAAGTTACCAATATGTCACGTTTCATCCGTTTTAATTTTAAGCACTAGAACGTATAAATACGTAAATGAACAAAAATTATCATAAATTAATTGCGTCATTGTTTTAAATAATCAACCAGTCTGAAATTAAGTAAGCTAAAATTGAGAACTTTAATGACACTATACAACTACCAATACGTCTATGTAGCTCACTACTGTAACATTTCATGTAGCTTAACGCATCAACCTTTAATATCATGTTAGGCATTTAGCTAATCTAGGGCTCTCTTGTCGCCATCATCTATAAGGATTTCTTTGTAGAAATAAGAATCTTATTGGTAAACAATTCGATAAAGTTTATTAGCTAATTAATAAAATCTTTTAAGTGTCTATAAATATCATTTGAGTTTTAAACTTTAACTTTCTTACTATTAGAGATTCCAATATGAGACTTTTTGCTATCCATTATTTTATTTTTTCATTCTTTTTGGTATTATTTTGGCCGAATTTTACTTTAAGTAATATCGTTGTTAACACCGATCGTGGACAAGTTATTGGAACAATGGTAAATTTATATGGACAAGATATTTATATATATCGGGGCATACCTTATGCTATGCCCCCTATTAATGAAAGGCGATTTCAACCACCAAACGAATTGCGTATGAATTGGACTGGTGTTAAAAATGCTAGCCAATATTCAGCATCTTGCCCGCAAAAGACACCTATATCTTGGCTAGATCAACAAGATTCATCATCTCAAATTAATGAAGACTGCCTATATTTAAATGTGTTTACGCCAGAGCCTAGTGTTGATGGCAATCTCTCTGTCCTGGTCTGGATTCATGGTGGTCGATTAATTGTAGGTTCTGGGGCATGGTGGCAAGGCCAAACTCTAGCCGCTTCGGAGAATATTGTTGTTGTAACATTAAATTACAGGTTAGGCATTTTTGGATTTATGTCAAGTGGTGAAAGTGGAACGCAACGAGAATTTGCGGCTAATAATGGTCTCTTGGATCAGCAATTAGCTCTAAAATGGGTAGCTAAAAATATTCAACGATTTGGTGGCGATCCAAAAAGAGTAACGATTGCTGGTAATTCTGCTGGCGCATTCTCTGTGGCTTACCATACTATCATGCCCAGTAGCTTTCCATATTATCGTGCAGTAATCATACAAAGTGGTCCATTACTATTAGATATTGGAAGCTATACGCTATTGCAAGTTCAAGCACAGTTTAATCTGTTAGCGCAAGTAACGAATTGTAGTCGAAGTTCCACCCAGCTTAGTTCTACATGTATTAAGGAATTATCAACTGAACAGTTACTCAATGCTCAATTAATACTCTTAAAAGCGAGCTTTTTTGCCTTTAAACCAGTTGTCGATATGGTATTACTGCCAGATAATCCGGTTACCTTATTGAATAATAACTCGTTTAATAAGAAGATAAAAGTTTTAACAGGTATAACTAAAGATGATGGAACGCTTTCCTTCAATAGTTTTAACGGATTACCACATGGCATAGACCGAAATACTTTTAAACAACTAGCCCAAGCATCTTATGGAAGCTTTGGTCAAAATGCAGTTAATGCTATTATATATAAATACAGCGATTGGCATAATATTACCTCACCAATAGCTAACCGAGAACAGATGGGTATAGCTAATACTGATGCTGTATTTTTAGCGCCAACTATACGATGCGCAAATCAATATGTTAAGCAAGGATTGCCGACTTATTTTTATGTTTTTAATCGACGTCCAGCTAATTCCATCTACTTTCCAGAATATTACGGTGCTACTCACGCTTCAGAAATTTCTTATGTGTTTGGATATCCTATTAATCCACCTAGTTCGTATCCGGAAAAATTTGTTGGGATTGATCAAACTGTTAGCAAGAAAGTCATGCGTATGTGGGCAAATTTCATCAAGACAGGGTGAGCTATATCGATAATCCCTTAGGTTTGATATAGCAATTGAATTCATTAAGTACGATTTATTAAATTTTTTCTTATTTTTCTTTTAAATATTTAGAAACCCTAATGATCTATTAACTTCGCCACAATGGCCACAGTATGACTTGATCAAGAAAGGATACATCATGATTTCCAATTCCACGACTGCTGGCAATGATTACAAACCAGCTGCATTGGAATTTTGGAACAAATACCTGCCTACTCTTGCAGCAAATTCACGCCCATGCTCTACAAGTAAACCTACAAATTACCCTACAAATGACTCCACAAACAGGCCGATTACTGCTTCATTTATTTCGACTGAGCAGAATACGATCTCATCTGAGACTGCCTTATCTCAAGTTATCTCACAACGTTTATTTATCGCTACTGTTGCATTGAGCGTATTGTGTGGTGTCTTCATGTTGACAACAGTTATACTTGCTGTTATGTTATCTCGTCGTAAAAGTCAGACCATAACTAAATTTTAAATGCAAATTTTATAAGTACATTCAATATCCAGACGCTTTTAATATTGTCAAGTATTAATTTGCGATAAGAATTATTTGACATAATTATTGTTCGGTCATAATGTCCATATCTGTCTAAGTAATATTTTTCAGTTTCTTAACTATCAGACGTATTACGTCAATTTTAGTATATTACAATTTACAAGAAACTTAACGGTTTGAGTAGATGAACTGCCATTGCTGCTTAATATGAAAGCTTGGCTAACTAAAAATATTAAAAGCTGAAGTAAACTATCTTAATCATTTAAGTTACTGCATATATTAATGTTTCTAGCACATTATGTTATGAAAATATGAAGAAATAGCATTTCAAGTAGTATTCAACGCTCGTAAGTTGGGTCGTAACTAAGCCAATAGTAAATCTATATTACGGTAGACAGATAGATATAATGAAATTAATATTTGTTTCATTAATTTTTATAAGATAATTAGTTATGATTTTAGTATTATAAAGAACTAAAAATTCCTTTATAATTTTAATTTTAAGCTCAGTGTACTTTTATTATTCAGTATAAGTACTAAAGACTTTTCTAAATAAACATAAGTTGGTAAAATGCTATCCTCTCAAATAGGAGCGATCGTTGCACGCATTTCATATTGTAGTAGTAAAAACTTATTATCACAGATCAGGCTTTCACAGTAAGTTGGCATATTTGTCATGTCTTGCATACACATTATTACAGTATTTTTGATCACTGTGAATACGGATCGCATTTCAAAAAGGTAGATTGCAAATGGCATTCTATCCAGCAAATGTTCTTATTTTAGATCCATTCTGATATGATCGTAATCACTGCTTGTGATTATGATATGCAATTCTTCTGCAATTACGATGGTAGCAAAATTTATTGGGATACGTATGGAACAGATTTATAAATAAAATAATTATACAACTGCTATGAGTGCTAACATAGTCCAAAATGTAATTCTAATTGATAGGTTATAACTTCCTATGCTACCGGTGCATCGCCTCAAAACTAACACAATAGATTCAACATTGTGGAAATTTGTGGTTTATTGAAATATCATGGTACTCGCAACTGGCGAGTACAGGATTTGTAGGAGTTGGAATAATTTTCTATAATTACGCATACTTTAGATATACCGATAGTGTTGCAGACGATAGCATTATTTATCTCACACAGATACGTCAAAGCAATTTTATGTTCTATTGATAGTTATAAATTCAGTGAGGATTACCTGAAATAACACAATTGATAGCGCATAACGCAACATGAATATGAAGTCATTTGTGGTGGAAATTTTCATTGATAAGTAAACTGAAGCTTTGATGCTGTACGTCAGAAAAATGTATTCGATCCATAAATTAGCCAATGATTTTTTAATTTTAGTACATCGCGTATTGCTATGTGAAATAGCGGTGTCTGTCATTAATTATTCTTATAATTTCCTAAGATATGCTAGGCATTACGGTTAAACTGATATTACATATGAAGCACAAACACTGATATGATACATTAACTACGCGTTGTTCCAAAGGCTAAAATTGCGCATTGGTAGGTATATTATTGAGAACTAAGCTGTTCTGTATTTTCTTGTTCGGGAGATTCAAAGCTACTTGTCCGACCACGTCTCCTGTTAACTCTGTTTGGATTAACTCCTGTCTTTCGAAAGTGCGCTCTTTCTGCTAGATAACTTTCTTTACACTCCTCGAAGAAAGCTGGATCTGTGTAGCTATCATAAATTGATCAAATACCAGCTAAATTAGCTTACACAACAGTGGCAGTTTATATGTTAGCAAGAAGATCTCTACATTTTGAGATGTTTGTGAAATAATGACTTAATAATCATTTATACACCAAGAATTACCATGACCTATTTTTTAGTACAATGTATCAGATTATGAATTACTAAGAGTAATATGTTGATTTCCTAGGACGGAAGGTGAAAATGAACAGCAACTTTATCTCCTAGAAGTAGTAGCATCAATAGGAGATAGTGGAATATAATGTACTTACTACTTGGCTAAACAGTCGTTCATCATCTTCACTTCAGCTCGGCAAGCCCATGCTGCTGAAACAGTTCTGCCCTTACAGCAATCGAAAAATTCTACAAAATATCCATGAACATAATAGAAGCATATGAGTTGATGGCTAGAATAAGGGCCCATCTGTAGCTATGACACATATTGGTCTATTGCTGAGTGAATGTTTGATGTAGGATATTACAATCAATGTTGTGAAGACTACCTAGCTTACTCGTATACAAGTCTGCGAAACTGTTTATTATAAGAAATAACGAATACGCGTGTATTGCAACGTCCTTTAGTCTCGCTTGCTTATTAATCCGTTGATCATAACTGTAAAATAGAGTTTATAACAAGGCAGTGGCGATATGATAATAACGAATACGACTAAGCATGATCTTGCAAGCTGAGTAAAAGACGTGCAACCAACCCTTGCATCCATTGACTTCATCATGCTCGTCCTAACTTACGTACTTTGAGCTTGGACGTTGCATAGCTTAGCAGCACGCTTTCTTATTATCTGAGGAATTAGTACATTTTCTTCAACATGTCTTAAACTTCGATCTTCACTATCATCAGTCGGTTTTAAAGGCATTTTGCAATCTCTTTCCGCTGCTCTCCCACTTCCACTACCGTATCACGAATCTGTGCTCAACTGGGTGACAAGTTGGTGACAGTGCAGTCCAGTACTGTACGGGTATACTGTACAGTGTACAGTGTACAGTAGGGACCATACCGTACAGTACTGTACTGTAGTAGTGGACACAGTCCAGTTACTGCCAATTTTACAGTACTATGCGTACTGTACACTGTAAAGAAAGACTTTGCACTGTAGTCATCTCCATAGCCAATGATATCACTGTACAGTACGTACAGTACTTCAGTTTCGAACTGTACACTGTAGGCTTAATGACTACTGTGTACTAAGTTCTACTGACCCTAACCCTAACCCTCCTATTACCAGAGACTACAGTACTCGAAGAGAAAATTCCCTCCCTTCCCCCTCCGATTTCCAACTCGAGAAAAGAACGAATACACTCAGAACAGTACACTGTAATGCGTTTCAAGTGGTAGCAAGAAGTCCGTGTAAACAGTACAGTACAGTACACGTTTTAATTATTTGGGGGTGAAATTTTCTCTGTACTGTACAGTACAGTACAGTACTGTACACTACAGTGTACTGTACGTACTGTGCACTGTGCGTTCTTCTCTTTTTGGTCCCTAGGCCTGGTGAGCTACCATGGCACACAAATGGTAGCAACAATACTGTACTGTATAGTACAATAAAATTACAGACTGACAGTGGTGACACTACTTCGACGTCAGTCTGTATACAGTACAGTATGTCATACTGTATATTACAGTACATGTACGTACTGTACACTGTGCGTTCTTTCTTTTTTGGTCCCTAGGTCTGGTGGCGACCATGGTGCTGGTGCTAACCATGGTAGCAACTAGACCTGACGCAACTATATAGTATAATACAATGTGACCGTGGTAAGTCTACTTGGAAGTCAGTCGAAGTAGAGTCCCCTCTGTCAGTCTGTATGTCATACACTGTTAAGCGTTTCAGCTGGTAGCAAGAAGTCAGTGTACAGTACTGTACTGGACTGTACAGTACAAGTTTTCGTCATTTTAAGGTGAAATTCTGTACACTTTACTGTACAGTACGTACTGTGCACTCTGCGTTCTTTCTTTTTGGTCCCTACAGTACAGTACTGTAGGTCTGGTGGCGACCATGGTGCTGCTGCAACATGGTAGCAACTATATAGTACTGTATAATGACAGACTGGCCGTGGTGAGTCTAGTTGGACGTCAGTGGAAAAAGGCCTGTGTGACGGACTGCGCGCCTGACTGCACGCGCGACTCTACTTCCAACTTCATGTGTTCAAAAGAGTGAAGTGCAAAGTGAAAGAAAGGTTTCCTTCTCTTTCTCACTGGTCAAGTAGTTTAATTTCTTGACAGAATCGACATCGATTCCTGTCTCTATTTATCGTCCTGCAAGTAGCAGAACTAGAGTTCTATTGAGACGCCTTACACACATTGAAGAAGTTAAGAAAATGAGCGCTGTTATCCAAGGTAGCAACGGTAATAATAACGACGATATCCAATACAAGCGTTCAGCAGATGATGGTATGTACAGTGGAGACGACACCAGTCTTGTAGTCCCTTGTATAGCTATCGACTCTAGGCGATACTTGATACACAGTCAAGAAATGATTCTTTCATTGAAATTGTTGATCTATGCTCCAATCCATTGCAGGCACAAATAGTTGTAATGTTTGCCAAATTGTACAGTAACTTGATTGAGATCATTGACAATGCTATAGCTTCAGATGGATCACACTATACTGTACTATAACGAGTGGGCCCCATCTTGAAATCATCTCTTTTCTATTATTATAATATTAGGAACTGGAGACGCTCAAAGAAAAAGAAAACGTAGAAGTCGTTGGGCTTCCGAAGAATCGAAAAGTATTCTACCAGGCATGCCCACAGTCATCCCGACAAATGCTACAGAGGATCAGAAAAAGCAATACTTGTGTGAGTATCTGTCCAAATTTCTCTACAACTTACTCCAACCCGTACAATACGATAGGCCTATCTACCTCATTCTACAAGTGCAACTACTTTGTTATGATATCATTCTATTCATGCCCTCTCAAAGTAGAAAGACCAGTTACGGATTAGTTGTTGTTCTAGCAAATATCCTAGTAATAATTCACTTCACTGCCATGATATGCCATACCGTGCTGCATAATAAAGCGTTGAAATTAAAAGAGTAGATAGAATAGAGTGCTCGAGTTGTTCAAATGAAATTGCATACGCTCTTTTACTACTCTTTCCAATACATTCTAAGTGAAATTGTAATGGATGAATTTCCAGATTGAAAACTTTACCATTCTATTTAGTTAGTACTCATCTATAACTTAGGATCATGTTGGTAGACTTCTACATAATGGCTATCATTAAAATTATTTGAAGGGAATTTGCAGCTGGTGTAATGTCTGCGAATGTCTGACACCATTGTTAATTCTAAAGTCATCATTATCTAAGTTAACCTACATTTACGCATACAGCTTGCGTATGAATGATCTCTAAGTTCATTCATAAATTTTGGTGACGGTATTAATGGACATCTGTAATAATGATTCTTACTACATTATGTCTACCCTACTCCCATATCTCGTTTAATTGTGCCTTGATACATATTATCGAGGACGTCTAGAACTTTAGAAGTGTTTTACTGCTCCTCTACGTCAATGAATGTAGCATATAGATGCATACATAATGTTACTCCATAAAGGGCATGCTAGTTTTTGCTTTCGTAATCGAGTATTAATGTGAAAAGTAATACTACAATACAAGGTAGTACACATCAGAATATGGCTTGCTGGATATACCTTCAGTTTATTCAGATTAGACATGGATATTTACCCACGACGTAAATACTTATCTTATTACGACATGCTTATAGTACAATATAGGATAGAAGAAGTTACGAAAATGTTAAGAACTGGCGATTTAGGTATTCCGGAAAACCCAGAAGATCGGTAATAGAATTAAACGCTTATTTATCCCTTTTTATTATGAAATACGAAATGCATCAATTGTTATAATCAATTGAAAAATCTTCATTGAATAAACAGTTCCCCGTCGCCGGAACCACTTTATAGTAATGATGGTAAAAGATTAAATACCAGAGAATTTCGTGTAAGGAAGAAACTCGAAGAAGAAAGGCATAGTGCCATACAAGAATTATCGGCCTTGAATTCAAATTATAAACCTCCTGTAGATTATCGGTATAAATCTATTTTAGTAATGACACATTTTATTGATTTCAATACAATATGATTCAAGTACAAAATTTTGACCTCATTTTATTAACTGATTCACATCATTCATTCAGGCCGCCGGCTATTAAGGTCCAAGATAAGGTGATGATCCCACAGGATGACTATCCTACTATTAACTTTATCGGACTACTTATTGGACCTCGGTAACTTTAATAAGACTATTAAATTAATGACTTTGCTGAGGTTGTCAATCTTTTATTGTTTGGACTAATCATGTATTCAATATTACTTTTTCATAGTGGAAACACCTTGAAGAGAATAGAAAAAGAAGTAATATTACCACCACATATGCCTAATTATACGACTTACTTTCTGCTTAATGTTTTCTATTTTCTTTATTTGTTTTAGAGCAACTCTAAGATAATGATACGAGGAAAAGGCTCAACAAAGGAAGGAAAAGCACAATTATATGTAAGGCAATCAAGACTGTTACAGTATGATGCAATGACTTAACATGCACTTGGTTAAGACAAACAAGTTTTAGAGGCTTTATTATGATTCAGTAATCGTTAGAGAATAAATTAGATATTATGTACTTATGCTACTTATTTATTGTTGTAGCCGAATTCTGGTGAAGATGAAGCTTTACATGCACTGATTACTGGCTCAACCGCTGACGGTGTTAAGATTGCCGTTAACAAGGTAGTCATGAACCAGTAGTGATACATATTTTACGTCAATATGTCTGCGAAATTTTTGACCATACTTCTGATTGGGAGATATACTACTAGAATCACTACTATCATTGTAACTAAATTTTATTATCTAACTACAGATACATGAAATAATTCAGTGCGGTATCGATTCTCCGGAAGGACAAAATGATCTAAAACGTATGCAACTTCGTGAACTAGCTCAATTAAATGGCACACTGAGAGAAGAAGATTTGAATAGGTATGCATAACTTCTTACAAGCTAAACTTATTGTTTGATTATCCCTGACTCTATTTATGATTCAACATAGATGTCGAAATTGTGGAGCCACTGGGCATCGTTACTGGGAATGCCCAGAGCAGCGAAATCTTACAAGTACTATCGCATGTACCATATGCGGTGGTATTGGCCATGTAGCAACTGATTGTAAACAAAAGTAAGAAATAAATATGTTTTATTATTCTATAAAGAATATATTACACGATATTCTAGATATGTTACACTTCCTTACTGGTTTAATTAGAAGTAACGAAGAAGGTGGTAACGAGCCAGTAGAACCTGTTATCGATAGAGAAAAAATGGATAATGAGGTATGGGTACCTTTAAGTTTAGTAACGTACTCGATTATTATAGTTACATTGGCCATCTGTTGAAGTAGTGATACTCTCGATTTGGTAGTTATTAGTTTACTTGCAATGATATCCAACTTAACCACTAAAGAAAGGCGTAACTTGATGGTAATTGATTATCACAGTACCTATCATTGATGGCCGAACTGGGTGAAGGCTCTGCCCCTGAAGAAATTACTAAGAAACCAGATACTACTAGTGCAGCGACATCTACTCCTGCTACTAATCTTAATACCGTAATCACAACTGCTACTATTGCAACTACTACTTCTACCACAGCAGTTCCTGCACCTCCAGCTCCTGCTCCTGCTCCTGCTCCTGTTCCTGCTCCTGCTCCTGCTCCGACATCTGTACCTATTAGTGGTGGTCCTCATCCAATGCCTCCAGCTTCAGGGATGCCTATGACAAATATGCCTATGGTACAATTCTTTCTCATAATATAGACATATTAATATGACACGATATTATCCATTTTAAGAATATTTTCTCTAATATAATCATAACTACAACCTTTTTCTTAGGCCCCTGGTCCTCCCGGTTTTGGTGCTTTCCCTCCGTATGGATATCCGATGATGCCTCAACCTACGTGGGGTGGTTATCAACCTTGGGGATATCCACCAATGCAACAACCTCTACCACATGGTCCATCAGGTAGATCAACATTTGCTACATAATCGTTTACTTATTTATTGTCTTTATCAAATGAAAATAATATACGGTACATTATTCTCTTCAGTACCAAGCGGTAACCCCCCTCCTCCTGGTTTAGCTGCTTCGGACACAAATCCATCGGCTGTACCATCAGCTCCTTGGCAACAAGGTTCAGATGCTGATTTATGAAGATTAGATGAAATCTTTTTAAGTTTTTGCTACAACCGCATTGAATTTTATCATCACTGTTTCTAAATTTAATAATACCATACCTCTATAAATCGTAGTTATTGGACAATTATAACTTTAATTAAATACTTAGAAGTTACTCTTTTAATTTAATTCTAGCCAATGTTCCTAATCCAGGTGGTGCGCCTTGGCTTCAACCTGGTGCTGCAGCGCCTGGATTTGACTCAAAAAATGTCACTGCTCCTCCACCTCCTGGTACCGCTCCATGGGTAAAAGATTATTACAACTATTATTTGTCATTAAACTGACATGTTGAAACTTCTGATGTGTGAATTTACTGTACTTACTCTATAGCAACAGGCACCACCACCACCTCCGCCACCTCCTCCGGAACCTTAGTCTTGTTTGATAGTATATTATCGCCTTAGATTACATACCTACTATAGCAAATCTAGGATAAAAGTCCAGCTATTTGTAAACTGGTACAGTACTACAATTTTTAGTGAAAATAATATGTAAATAAAAAGTTAGGGTTATCATTACGGTTTCCTTCCATTTTCAAAGCTGTTTAATATTCTTTTGAATTCTAACACTTTCACTTGATGATTATGTCGTATATTGATAGCAATGATTTTGCATTCTTGAATCGTAATATGTCGATGTTATACCGATCTACTCTCTTTTATTAGACAAATAAAACATAAATTCTTGTGATGAGCATAATGGTGGATAAATGCCTCAACCTAATCGTAATAATGATTCTTAATTATCTGCACACCTACTACCCTACTTTGAAGATATATAAGTATTTCCGTATAACACTAGTACTGGATTCAGTAGCAAATTATTAGTAAGTGTCGTTTCAAGCCAACGCTCTCCTATCTGTTACTATAGCTAATTCCTTGCCTATTTCTACGGCCTGCAAAACTTGTTCTGGTCTTGCAGTCGATACGACTAGCGATTATTAATCCACTACAATATACAGTAGGTAATTATCGACTTGAAATTGGATTCCAATTTCAAGGAAAAAATGTTGGATTCGTTAGACTTGATATTAATCGCCGAGTTTCATAAATCGACTCCATTTATTTTTAATTCTATTATCGCAGGCCAATGTAGCTCTCGCCGGAATTATTTATCGACCGACGTTATTATTGCTAGGTTAGATGTTCAATACTGTGGTACGTTGCGAGATTCTTTAAGTCAGTTCATTCGCTTCCGGGAAGAAAAGTACCATCAAATCTGCCGTTGTAATAATGATGAGTCTCTGCACAGTATGCATCGCTTTTCTAATATCTTTGAAGACGTTAACAGCATAAGCGATCACTCACTACCTGGTAAAAATATTTATCGAGCTGAGAAACATCAACAATCCAAACAGAAGTTATTCAAAGATAAAGATGTTGATGCCAAAAGTGATCGTTATTCCAGTGATCTGATTTTTAATAGTCAAAATACGCAAATTGACTTCATCCAAGAAAAGAGAGTTGTTAATCTTGGAATAGTTCAACAAGGTTTACCTCACTGGATCATCTATATCCCTATTGCTCTCTACAGTAAAAGATTTCGTCAATTTCTACAGTTTATTGTAGTACTCTATACACTTTTCTCGGTAGTTTGGGCGACATGGCAATTATATAAGAATGTCTCTTTTATTAAAGTTTCATTACAACCTTTAGTTATTGCTATGGGCCATTACTTTGATTATTTCATTTCCTTCGTGGACCAGACCCTGTTGAGATTTACCCACTATTGGCTTAAATGCTTTAAACCGGTGTGTATATTGTTTACTTCTGCCTTTCCATGGATCTCAATTTACGACTTTATTGAGCAGTTATTGTTTACGATTCTAATTGATGAAGAGACAACCGACGCTTTAAGTAATTTGTGGCGATTACTAAAATATTTACTGAATTTGGGTATCCATTCCTTTCGCGGTATTGTATTTGTTTTAGAAGCGTTGCGTGTAAAAAAATTACTTGGTCTGCTATTCGACATTATAGCCAACATTCGAAATAATATAAATTCAACATCTATTCCAGTGTTGACAGTTAAAGAGCAGTTAGCTCTTATCCGATCTTTAACAGTTAATCATATTCGCTCTCTTTACTTCGGAATTTTTACAATTGTGCGGTATGCTTTTAACTGGCGAAAATATGGCAGGCATAAAGTAGTTACTTGTAACATTTCTGAATCTAGCAATTAATTCAGAGTTTGAAAGGCTCTTTCATGTACGTTAATATTTCTGAATTGGCAATTATGCTTTCATGAATACGATTACCGAAGTGAAATAATTCAGTTTCAGGCTGCTAAAATGCTCGTACCAATAGATAATATTCAAAATAAGGTAGATGATCGTCAGTTAATACATTGCTACAGTAATTGGAAATTGTTAGTGAAACACCTTAACATATCTCGAACTTATTGCTCTGCAAATTCAATTTTATACTTATTCTGTGCGATTTGTGTCGCTAAATAAGGACGATTTCTTGTAAACATTGGTATTATCCATGCAAAATGATTACTGCTAATACACACAATCGATTATGGCTCGCTATAAAGTCATAGCGAAAAGGCAGTTACTCATGAAACCTGTGCACATAGTGCAGTAGATGCTTGATTGCCATAGTTCGAGATTAAATGATCAATTAATAGTAAGGTTTGTGATTACGACACTGAAAGATTGCACTTGCAATCTTAAACTTCATATAATAACTAAGAAGTATATTAATTATCCTGTTATGAATGTAGAGCGCATAATTTAATTGTTTTTTGTGTCATGCACCAGTAATTTCGATTGTACAATTTAGAATGCGTAAAACCATTCTAATAGGATTAGTACAGCCTCAATAAATTGGAACTTTATCTAGCTTCTGTATTATAACATTGCTCCAGCAAAATCTAAAGCTTGAGGCAGAACTAAGCTGCATAGGCGATTTCTTAGCAAAGCGAATTATCACAGGGTTGATTTCTCGCATCGTCAAATGTAGGAGATCGAAATCAAACATAACAGCTTTATTTCAATAGTATTTTATTTCCAACATTCCACTTGTAAAATATACACAAAGATCTACCAGAATGAAAGAACAGAAACGTTCTACATTTTACTTTGTTTTCTTCGATCTGATTTTCTTTAAATAGAATTCCAATTCTTTTCCTTCCAGTATATAACCATCGCAACGACCGCACTGGCCAGGTCTGGACGCAACACATGCTACAATAGGTTGTATTGGATTAATGTTATGTTATCAAGTAATGGCAGTATTAACTTGTGTACATTATTTCATAATTTGATCGTACTACATGTCTTACCATAAATACGTCCTGTACCGAATTGTTCTTCTAAGGCAGAGGCGATCTTGGCAAAACGTTTTCTGGCTTCCAATTTCTTTTCTACCCTCTTAGATCGTCTTATCTCTTCAGTTTCTTCCGTAGTCTACATAGGCATATGAATGGCGGGTTCTTAAATGTTACATGTACGCGTATACAAATTGAAGTAGCATCGTAGTAATACCTGCTGTTGTTTCGACTTTTTACGTACGATAGGGATATTGTAGTGGCTCTCATACCTGTTAAGTCGAATAAAGGTAGTTAGTACTTGAAATTATCTTGTAGGGCGCATCATTATTATCTTAGACGAGTTAAAATTCACTCTATTGACAGCCTACTTATTATCTAGGATAAAATATATGACATAGTACGTAAGTAAGCATTAATAAATACCATTGCTTAAAAGGAGTAGCGTCGATTTGAACAATGCAATTCTTAACCAAAGTCTTTGTACGAACAAGTTCGTTGTTGCTAGCATTGTAGACAACATCTAATATACGGCTTTTGCGGCTGATGGCTACATTAACAATTTCAATCTTGTCAGATATACTGGTCTTTCTATGCTCAGTAAAAGACAAGGAATTTAAATAAGACTGTCCTTTTAGTAAGTACTTACCTTCCGAAGCCCATGAATAATTTCCAGTTTCTAAACGTAGAGCGCGGTATTTGTAATTTCCACCGCGAGTTCGTACGGTATGAATACGCTTAGCTCCCATCTAATAAGAATAAAAGTAGTATGACAATTAAAAAGGACGAAATAGCTTTGTAAAAAAAAAGCACAATCAAGACTGAAACTTATAATAACGACAAGTGATCCGTGAAGCATGAAAATACTCTAAAAATTACGCCTTGCGAGAGATAGATACCTCAATCAAATTACTTTCTACAGTATTCCCTACCCTTGATTCTAACAATTTGGTGTAACACTTCACTTCACGTAAAAATTAAGTAGCATTTATTATTTTCAACTATTTAAATTGTAAGGTAAAATACCAGTATTTTATCATTTCAGAATTAGTACTGCGTCGATTGCTTCTGCTAATAAGGCCAATATGCATGATATTTTTACACTGCAACCGCAGGGAGCTAAAAAATAGCATAGTCAAGGCATGCTAAAAAATACTCTAGCCAACTAGCGTCGTAAATCGTAGGGAGTTACGGTTAAGTATATAGTAGAAATTTTATGCCCAATACTACGAAGGATAATTTAATACCAGAGTAGTTCTATCGATTATTATTTGCTTTTATCAAGAGTTGATAATTAAATAACAGATCGACAAACCTTCGTCATAGCAGGCTGTCGGCCTAATTCGAACTTTCTCTTCTTACGAAGAGGGGCTTTTCGCCCACTGGTACTTCGCCTTTTATGCCAAGAGTCACGAGAAATACCTGCGTTAATCATACAATAAAAATTAATAACCCTATCGTCATCAGTATTTGAATATGACATTAAATTGGCGTGTAAAGGATTGCTAAAACACTCAAGTCTGCAGAAATAGATTTGCTCTTTACTCAATATTACTAAGACATGCACAAGGTCAAACTTATCCATCATATCGGACACCATCATTTACTATCATCAAAATATATGATCAACGTGCATCCTGTTTAAAGAAACTGCAACTACTGTCAATTATGCAGTACTGTAGTGGCAAAGTTCGACCGCAAGAGAGATAGACATCCAAGTCTCCATATACTACGAACTAGCGAGCTAATCCAATCTCGACTAGTCGTATCGCCAACTAATCCTGTACTCTATACGAATCATTACGGGAATAAGGCCACTTTACTGTAATATGATGGAGAATGAGCTACTTGCTAAAAACGATCATGAGTAGTCAACTGAACGTATCTCTAATCCCTCTTCCGCGATTATTACTATGAGCATGTTGTTCATAGCCATAGCAAATTGTACAAAAAAGCATGTCCTGGGTGATTCATATAATTGTACAGGATAGTTTCAGTGAAATGGTAGTATAGCAACGAAGAGCACACTCTTACCAAATGCTAATCAATAAAACGGAAAAAATTTACAAAAAGACTGTTGGAAAAATTAAACTAAGTAGAAAAGATGATTCAAAGTGACTACAGCGAGCATAAAAGTTATGTAAATGTCTGAAAAAGTAACCGATGGATGTGATATTAGAGCAATATAAAAGCATGGAGAGGAGTCGGCTACATACCCATCTTGCTGGACCACAGGTAGCGACAAGAAAGAACGATCAAGCCTTTCGCTCCAGCTTTGTCAGTGAGCATGAGCAATACTGTCATGCGCTCTATGCTTCATTATTACGACAGATGTGCGGACGTGCGGACTTCTCGTTATGACAGTATAGTACAGTATGCTACTCAGTCACACTCACAGTCCGTAACATACAGTACAGTACTGTAACTATCGTACTGTACAGTACAGTACAGTACTGAGGTAAAAGGGTTAGGGTTTTTTTTTTTTTTTTATTATTTACCTCCATGATGTACAGTAAAGTGTCATAGAATCTTTTACGAAGTCAGGAAGTAGATCATTTTTTCGACCGTTTGATGGTGAAATTTATATAAAAGGACGAGACCTTTGATACCCATAATAATGTACAGTATATACATGTATATATAACTGATTTATAATTATGATCAAAGCCTACTATACTGTACTAGTATTGCATCGTACTACTACACTGAGTCCGGTTTGGCAGTCTTGCAAAAAGGATGTCATACTTGGTAAAGAATCGGTAGTAGGCTGACACTAAAAACGAGGGCTTTGTTAACGACATCATTTTCGCTAGTTAACTGTATGATGATAGAAGGACTGATACAGTACGTCGTACACTGGTATGAACCATAGAGTAGTGTCCTAGATTTCAGAAAAAAATGACAACTCACTCGGCCCGGCCGTCCCGGACAGTCCCTGACGGTACAGTGTACAGTGTACAGTACTGCAAAGACAAAGCGCACTTTATACTGTAACCAAGTGGAGTGAAAACGAAATCCGAAACCGATCAAAACCCGATCAAATTGTTGATTTTCTAACCCGAAATGGTGCAATCGCTATGCAAACGCTGTATTACAATAGCAATTTTTAAACCCGAATCCCGCCCTCGAATCGGGTTTCGGGTTGACTTACAATGAGCCTGGTGTACTGTACGTAGACCTGACATAATACACTATGACTTCGATAGCGCTACCGTTTTTACTCTGTTATTGCTAAGGTAAAAAAAGTTCGACCGTACGAGTATCTATCGAAAGCAGAAAGTCTGGAGTTCAACCACTTGGACAAGTTATAAGGTTGGTATTTGCTCACCCAATTTTGGCTACACTGTTTTATCGGTTACGTTGTCATAAAAGCGATGGCTCGTGGACATCAAAAGATTCAATCACAGAAAAAAAATGCAGAAAAGAAAGCCAAAATAGCCAAAGCACATGGACATGATCAGAAGACAGCCGCTAAAAAGGCCCTAGTTCATACGTGCACTGTTTGTAAGGTATGGCACACTGTATTGCATAGAACATTCAATACGAGTAGGTTGCTATCCCACTGCAGTAGTAGTTGACAACAAGAGTTTATTTACCATTGCATGTACTGTATAATTGTACATCTCATCAATTTAATCACATCTCTTTTGATGGGATATAGATTAGTAAATGCTTTCTGATACACTATCATGTGCTGTTGACTATATTGTAGTACTAATTGTACTATATTGGCAGCAGTAAACGGAACTTTCTGCAGTTGTTGATGTTAAGGATTACACTACAGTATACTGTTACAATCTCTTACTAATCTACAGTACAAGTAGTTTGCTTTCAATTCCACCATTATTCAGTTTCTAATGATCATGATTTACAGTTGGTACTTTTTGATTTGACACTATATGTGCGTATATGGAGTTATGTAGATTTACCAAAGATAAGTAAAGTTATCCTGAACAGTTAATGAAATTAGAGGATGATATCGGTTATTTTTATAATTTACAGTTCTATGTAAGTAATACTTACCAAACTGAATAATATTATTATCACATTACTATAGCATATTCATTCGCCGAGTGATTAATTCAGTACTGTATCTAACTTCTACTGCTGTCTAGCCTTCTAATGTACCCATCTTATTGCAACAGTGCAATAGCAATGAGGTACAGTACAACATAGCAGCGGCTAGTAGTAGTACGTACAGTATACTGTAAAGTGTACAATGTAATCAACGACAATGATGTAGCTAAACTAATTCATTATCGAATCTGTATTCAATCTTCTATTTAGTGCCAAATGCCCGACCCAAAGACGTACAAACAACACTTTGTTAATAAACATCCGAAGAATGCTGTTCCAGAAGAATTAATCAACGTGGAAGCTTAAAATTGATCACGTAATATCCTTTAGATGGTTGAAAATGATCCTATCTGAGTAATTACTTACCGATTACACTAATTAATCATCGATTTATTATCTTTACATACATTTTGATTATCATCAATGACATTAACATTGTTCTCAAGCTTGTACGTAAATATGTACAAAAATTTTCGTCGGCGCAATTACATATTTTGTTTTCATCGCTAGTCATACACAAGTAAAATTTGGTGAATGAGTTTAAGATGAAAAACTACCATGTACTGTATAGAGAGTACTTGCATCGTGCGGCCTTGTCATATTAACTGTCATCTTGAAGCTGTTATTATTACAATAAAAGTATTTTACTGGAGGTAAAAAAGTCGTTTTTGTACTAAATGTAGGTACTTGATATCCAACGTCATGGACCATCCACGCTGCAGTTATGCAGTAATCTACAGTTTACAGTAACAGATCGATTCATTAATTAAAGCCCTTTGATGCTCAACACAATATTACTTGTACTAAATAAGCGTACATGTCACTGGTACTGTATGAACAAGTACTATACTATACTGGTGTACTGTATGTTGCAGTTTTTTTTTACTTTAGGATACTGTAATCAATTCATCATTAATAACTGCTATACGGGTGTTCAATGTGCAGAGCTATATCATGTCACACACTCAAGTAACAGTAATCCAGAAATCAAAAACATCAAGTATATTAGTTTGTTTATAAATAGATACTGACAATTATGCATTGTACTACAGACTACTGTACACTGTAACATATACAGTATATAAGGGCATGTTGCCCAAAGCAAAGCGTAATAAACTTTGTTAGCTAGTGGAGATAAATAAATTAAAAACAATCTATGAAACTGTTCACCTTTAAATATCATTTATTTATTATAATGTGCATCAGTGTAGGTATAATAACGATAATAAAAGCGGGAAAAGGGTAACTAGTGCATTGATACAATAACATTATACTGTACGTATCAATTTCTATCCTTATTTGCCAAGACGTGAAATGCTGCTTGAAAATGATGCTTAGAGATTCTGGTATGAAATTTTTTTTGTGCATACTGTACGACAGTATCTTTGGTATCCATCCATATTGACTATGATACAGTAGTAGTAGGACTGATGGACAGACAATACAAGACAGAACAGTACAGTAAGATTGGAGTGGTGTCTGTCCGCTGTAGTGTCCGTGAGGCGACGACAAGCGTCCCTCCTTGTTGACAGTACACTCTCCATTGTGCTGTACTGTAGCATACTGCATTAGCTGTAAATCGAGCACTTTCTTTCAGTAGTATTGTTGACAAAATTGGAAGTCTATGGCATAACATAGCGTGCGTAAGGAGTTGGGTTAGGAAATAATCATTTCCTATTTGAGTTGGCCGTTTCTCGTTGCAGTATAAACACTTTGCAGTGGCAAACAAGCCTAATATGATGCATGATACATGTATTCATTGATTACATATTGCTATTAGCAGCACTTGATTAATAACTGTTATGCAAAATCAGCACTGCAGTCCTCTATATTGTACTAAGCTTGAGGTAAAGTTATTGTAGTCTATGACTTACAGTAAGATAGGATATTATAAGAATGAAAATTGAATGTTTATGCTTAGGTTTGCTATCAACCAACTGCAGCCTGTTCATAATTTCAGCCATTTAAAATGTCAACGAGACAATCCATGTCATCCATGATGACTTGATGAGTGGAAAACAACTTTGAAATATCCTATCCATCTATGTTAAAATATCGGTTGTCTAATTTTACAGTATACGATCAAAGTTTGTATTATTGAACCTGTCTGACCCTCTGATACCATTATAATTGGATACAATATATACTTGGTTGTGCACTATTTTAGGTGTAAGAATTCTATCGCTCGCTTTTTAGCGAGCTGTAGGCTAGTAAATAAATAAATATAAATATAACGATGACATCATTTGCTTACAAAGTCTTGGTCTTGGCCTGCCAACATGACTCAGGCTATACTGTACAGTAGTGTACTTGTAAGCGTTTAATGGTACTATACTGTACTGTACAGTACAGTGTACAGTGCACAGTACTGCACATGTGACTGTACCATGTACTGTAGTGTTCTAGAATCGACTGTGCGACCATCATCACTCAAACATGACTCTTCCCATTGCTATTACACCAGCCTAGCCATTGCGTCCCTGGTACAAGACACCGTCGTCGTCAAAAACGACGTAATCAATCGCCCCTGTCGGTACCACTTCAGTCAGTCAAAGTCAACGATTCGAGTTGGTTAAAATTTCACAAAGCAGCCACCATTTTTGATGCCAAAATGCCTCTATTTTCTTCCAATAATACGTTCGATGCCGACGTAGGTTAGTCAAGATAGGAGAATAAGTGTATTTTAGTTGTCGATGGAGTGGTATTAATAAAAAGAAATGGATTGGAATTCTGCAATAGTAACCAGTAGATTGTAGAGAAAATCAATCTTGCCTGTTCATGTTAATATTGTGCTTTGGATATTCTTTTCTTATAGATAAGGTTACCAATGAAACCAATACTTCTGAAGATTGGTCTCTGATTATGGAAATTTGTGATCGTGTTGGCCGTACTGCAAATGGGTAAGACTAATGCTAACCAATATCAATGAAAAGCAATAACTGGCTGTTAACGTAGAAGAAATTGATTTTTTTTTATGATTGTTGTTGTACAAATTGCTCTGATGATAACAAGTATGAGCTTTGTTCAATATTTCCAATGATATCGTTCCTGTTTTTATTGGTAGACCAAAAGAATGCCTTAAATCGATCATGAAAAGAGTTAATCATAAAATTCCTCACGTTGCTATACAAGCATTAACGGTAAAAGAAACAGATCAATTGCTTGCTTAATAATTGTGACCATCAGTGCTAGAGTCTTGATGGATATAAAATACGCGTACAGAGATCACTTTGACATTGTTTGCATGACAAGATGCACTATCGAAAATGTAATATGCGAGTACACTAGTTTACAGTACTAATTCGCTATCAACTTGATTATCACTGCATTTGTAATAGCCATGGAGGATAATCCATGTCCTAAAATTAAAATCCTGTACCTAGACAAGTCATAATGTGATTCTCTTCCGCTTATTTAGCTTCTTGATGCTTGTATGAACAACTGTGGCCAAATATTCCATTTGGAAATTTGTACTAGGCCATTGTCATTGGAAATACGAAATATCATACAAAAAGTAAGTAAAATGATATCCTACTTTTTCTACAATGCATAGAACACCTTTCTAAAAATCCAATGCTCAATGACAATTCATTTGCTGTATACCATTTCCCAAGTAGTCTTTCCAATTTCTCCTGAAATAATGTGATGATCATATTGTATATACTTACACAATCAATTAAATTGCTAAACTATGATTCACGGATATCAATTATATATAATTCATAGCATTCCAATGCTGCTGTTGGCAACAAGATGAAAGAACTATTACAGAAATGGGCTCATATGCTTAAAGATGATCCTAAAGTGACGTAAGGAAATACTACTTATAATAAGTCGCTTTTTAAAAATAATTGGACTTCATACACAGTACAGTACACTATATAGTATTGAAATACAACCTTGATTTATTATTGTTTTAAACTACTGTTGCAATTCTTCCAACAGCTTCTCATTGAAATCAACATGAATACTATTTATATTAGTTCGGTATTTGTAATAGATTTCGACTTGTAGATTGGATTAACCCGTGTTCAATATCTATTTCAATCATAGGTTAATACCAACACTTTACAATAGCTTAAAGAATGAAGGTGTTGAGTTTCCTGCTTTTACACCTGAAATTGTACCTGGGGGAGCAGCCTCTTCCAATCCTACTGAATCGCCGAACTTCACTTCTACATCAAACAAGAATCAACCTAGTAGCGATAGAGCTGCACTACAAGAGGACGAAGATCTTGCTAGAGGTACAAATGACACCACGCTACATGCGATAGTAGATTTCAACTATATTTAGTTCTACATCTTAGTAATATATATTTAATTCGTCATTAAAAGATATCTATTCTTTCAATCGATTATATCAGCAATTGAAATGTCTTTAAGAGATGCAGATAAAACTGGTGCATCCCATTCTTCTCATTCTACGACGGTTAATACTAGTACTCCTGCAACTTATTCTCAGGTAAAATGAATTTATAATATGACATTTAGTTTCTTACCTAACTTCTATTTTAACTATTCTAAATTAGACTTCGACATCAAGTATTTACCCTGTAGTTAAACCACCTTCTCCTAAGTCACTTAGGAAGGTAAGTTGTAGCCCATGTATTATTTTTCACTATCAAATATAGATCTAATGCGCGTGCATTACTATGTTACTAATGGCCATAAGAAATTAATGGGTTGGATGTATATCTATATTATAGGAACTTGAACGACGTAAAGTTCTTGCATTATACGATTTCGAGGCCGCTGAAGATAACGAGTTAACTTTTAAAGCTGGTGACATCATTTCTATCATTGATGATAGGTAGTATAGCACAATGAAGTCTATTACTAGCAATTTGAATGTATGAGATTAGGTTACTTCATGCAATAATTCTGTTTCATACGTTGATATAATAGCGACCCCAACTGGTGGAAGGGAGAGACTCCACATGGGTCTGGACTATTTCCGTCAAATTTTGTTACTTCCGATCTCAATGAACCAGGTTTATTAACAATTTTACTCGGTCTCATCTCTATAACAACATATAATTTTATGACATCCTTTTACGATACTAACTTTTTGCCTGTGGTGTTAAGTACCCAAGTATGAGGTACATCAGGAATTAGAGACGGAAGTAGTAGAGGAATCTGAAGTACAAAATGGTCTTGGAGAGGCAAAACGTTTGTATCTAGCGACAACATTTAAAATTGTAATATAGTATTATTACTACTTTAATTACAATATATTGAATTTTACTTATAGAACCGTCAATGGACGAATATAAAGAAGTTCAAATTGACGAAGTATGAAATAAAATCATAAGCTGAGATCACATTTATTTGCAGAAGTTATTTTCTATCTATAATTAAAAGTAATTATCACCCACAAAAACGTATTTTTAATGTCTGCAATCGTTTTAGGAAAAAATAGATATCACACTTGAGATATTTGGAAAGGCTGATATAACTGTAAATGCAGATACTCAAGAACTTATTGACTTAGAAGGTTGAAGAATTTAACTTAAAATGTTTCCGTTAGATAGGTAAATAGTCATTTTTACTTAATACAAGCGCAATCATATCATTTTATAGATACGTGTAATCGAATGAATTATCAAGTGACTAACAAATTAGAGCGCCTGGAAACGTGAGTCTTTATACCTTGTACAGTAACTTATTTTTGTTTCAATTAAATATTTACACTATTTTTATATTATTATTACCAATAGTAAAGATCAAGAAGTAAATACTTTAAAAAATCAATTTGAAGAAACTCTTGCTCTTTATCAAAAGTAAGACTTGACCTAAATGAACTATTGCTTTTTCGATGTTATTCGAATAACTAAAATTTTTATATTACTTTTCATATTAATAGATTGATGCAAGAGCGGCCGCGATATAGTTCTATCTACGCAGCTTATTCTGCAGCAGGCTTACAACCTGGTACTTTTCTCTTGTCCTTATTTTAATTTGAGAAAAATTTCCATTTCGTTAATGCAATGTTTACATTTATATTTACAGAGATGTCACAGCAGCACTTCCAATCCAACCGTTTGCAAGATAATCAAAGGATGGCACCAATCCAGCAACCTCTACCTCAACAATCTTCACCTCAGCAACTTGTACCTCAGCAACCTTTACCTCAGCAATCCATACCTCAACAACAAGTACCTCAACAACAAGTACCTCAACAACAAGTACCTCAGCAACCTGTACCTCAGCAGCCTGTACCGCAACAGCATATGGTATGTTATCCTTACTGAACTTATTTTTGGCGTATTTAAATTCACTAACCTCTACGATAACAGAAAAGGCCTACAAGCATATTCTTTACGGATAATTATACTATATGTATCTTGGTAGATTCCGCAGCAACCTAATACTCTTGGCTACCAACAACAGCCTACAGGTCCACAAAATTTTTCGCCGGAACAGGTAAATTTTCAAAGTCATTTTTAATTATAGGTGTGAAGCTTCTAAATCAAAAGTAGACTACCATCTATATTTCTGAAATATTTTTGATTTGGGTAAAATTGGAAATTATACAGCACCCAATGATGCAGGGATTGAATCAACAGCCGCAAACTGTTCAATCGCAACAGGTACTGTATATACGACACTTAGAAAAGCAACAAATTTTCCTTCTTAATTCCTTTTCTCAGTACTTATACTTTTATACAATTTTTTTATTCTAGAACATGTACAATCCAGTGTAAGTATACTGTTTAGCTTTGCTGAAAAGATACAAGTTCTTGTCAATGCAAAAGATATTAGTGCTTTTAACATTTTTATACGAAACCATATTCATTACGGTAGAAATCAGTCATCTGGGACGTCTAATGAATTTCCAGTGCAACAATCACAATACTATCACCAACAGCAACCTATCGATCCAAAAGGGGTATATTCTACGTCTCAAGGAGGCACAACCCAACAACAGCCACTACCTCAAATGAACGCACAACCTCAATATAACATGTATCCACAAGCAGCAAATCAATTTAATTCGAAGGTACCGTTTACCCAGCCACATCTCATGCAATAATATAAGCGTTGGGAAGATATTCTTTATTAGTACATATCGAATCGTTAGGAACATACTTCCATGTTTATTTTTTGTGACATCATGTACTGTACTGAAAGCTAACGGTTGTCATATTCTTGAGTTGGTATGTCGCTTTATGTGATATCCTGACTATTTCTTCGTAATATGTTGGTAGGAAAAGTGTTTGAAATTGACCCGTTTTAGTTGCTTACAGGAATGGCATGTCACTTAAACATAATAGACCTGTACAGCTATTTTTATTTGTATAATTCGTTACAATATATAAAAATTAATTAATCATAGAATTAACAAAAGACTGGATCATAAATTCTTGTTTATTATACATGTGTTATTACTTAGGTCTAGATGTCAAATATTTAATCTGTGTACGGGTATTGTAATTATATTTAATGATCCAACGTGGAGAACAATACTGTATTGGATTAGTACTTATTAAAGATAGCAAGCATATAGATTTTCAATTTGTATCAGTAGATTGGAATTGCACGTTGCATAATACTAGGGCCATTACTTACTAACCTAGCTTAACAAAAAAAAACATTTTCAACAAAAGGTCATACTCTTTATTTGCATTAACTCGTGATGATTTATATTTCGCGGCTGATTGATTACAGAGTATGCAGATATTCCAGTAACAACAAATAAGTATTATGAAGCTAACTGGATAATTTATTAAAGAGAAATTTTTTAACCGCATATAATATGTATAGCAAGTTATCCTCAATTCATTGGCATCGGTGTCTGTATGTACGTGTAAATGAAGATACAATGTATACGGATATGCAATTCGCTACTACAACTGTTGGGCATGCTTACAAAAAACGTTCCTACACAGTTGCGGTACGGTATTCCTTACTCAAATATCCGAAATTTTAACGATCTGAAATTCTTTGTCCAATAAAGTAATTTGCAGAATTATTATCAGTATTGCATGATTTATCTATCACCTATAATTACCGTACTGATATTAAATATGGCTACAACGTTGAGATGTAATTATTTGGATTCAATAGAAGAAACAAGATTGTCACCCAATAATCGAAAGTCTTGTAGAATACTTTCTTTATCTGGGCACATCAGCAGCTTTTTTGAACTCCCCTGTTAAGGCAATAAGTCCAGTTGTTAGAAGAGAAATATTTTTAGTTTCAAACACCTGCTACTTGATATAATAAATATTTAGAAAGTTTGTAAAATCCTATGACAATGTACCTGTTTCCTGATATTTTTATAATACATTTCATTAACCTTGAAAATTCATAAACGTCATTTACGTTAATTAAATTTTAGAATAATGAAATTTCGGTTACAAAAATACAGTATCAACAGTACTTTAAATGATTGTAATTTGAATGCATCAGGCTTCCAGACCACAGCAATGAAGTCGCCACCATACTTGTTATAAAAGAATAAAGCAATATCTCCAAAGGCATCCTAAAAGTTCATTATAGTAGATTATTACTCAATAACCTATATTGAAATTTAGGCAATATTTACCTCTAGTTCTTTAAGGTAGTACTCAACAGGATCGAAATTAACGACGGGCATATATTTCTTATTTAAATCGCTATGGCATTCAGTGACTACACTGTCAATGCCTTCGTGGAATCGACAAACGTTTTCTAGATTTAAATTAATAATCACATCATAGTCCTCCATTGGAGTTCGAAATATTTTCTACCAATAGAATAAAAGCTTCAGAGATATATACGTTCCATCCAATCGATTGCAATATATACCAACAACAAAATTACAGTTAAATAATTTACTGTCTTAGCAATGGCTTACCATAAAATCAACCTTTTCCGATGCACATGTTGACAATTGCTTAATCAGAAGATTATAGGACTCGCTGGCTAACAATGTTAGCCTATGCAGTATCGAATTTGTAAGTTTCGAAGTAGTTAAAAGTTGATTTAATTTCTTTTTCGGAACGGCGACGAACATTGCTGGAAATTTAGATCTATTCTCTCTAAAGTCCGTTCCTATTTCTACCATATCAGAGCCTAAGGTATCAGAGATAGTAATTCTATATTTTTTGTGTCATGTCATTAACGCATTAATGTTCATAGCTTTTGTACTATTGAACGCACCACTGAATTCTTCGTTTAAGTTAACAAGTAATGGGAAGTTTAACCAATCAAAAGTAGAAATAAGTTTAAGAAACCTCAACAGCCCATTAATCTCCGACCTATCAACGTTAAAAGATACTACCAAAGTTACCTTTCTTAAATGTATATTACAGAAAGCATTTATGTTATCCTACCCAGGCTTATCGTAGGTTTCCGGATTTAGATAAAGAGAAGCCACAATAACTTCAATGCATTCTTCGGTAACATAGCCACAAAGTTGGTGGGATGAAATCCATCTCTTGGCTAATCGAACGGTGGTACTGTATGAATGATACTGTTCATTCACACTAAAGTATATTGAAACGAGAGTCAGTTTAGTGCACTGCCTTGTACATAGGAAGTCGTTACTTTGTCAAAAATAATTAGGACAAATACCCGTTTATCATGGTAGCAAATTGAGGTAGCAAGATGGTAGTTTTCTCTAATTCAGCAGCAAGTAATTCATTTCCTTCATTTTCAACTAATCGTATTAAACCTGGCTCTCTATGATAAGCAACACGCACTCGAAATACGTAGCCATCCTAGTGTTAAATGATTCAAAAGTCGATTAAAGTGTAAAATTTTATTCTTAACTTAATATAGATCACATAATAGAGCGCATAAAGTTAGTATTTACTTTGAAAACGTCAATGTAGTTGGTTTGACCAACCGCCAGCAACGAGTAATGCTGAGATAGTAATCTAGCAATTTCTAGGTGAAGCGCAGATTTAACTCGTTGTACGGCTTCTGCATTTTGAGGCCAATCGCCACTTAATTCCATGCTGCATACAGCTAGTGTAAGACAATTGTGAACATATATTAATATCGCTGTAAATAAACTTGATGACTACTGAATACTAAATGATATAAATCAGACATAGTAATAACCTTCATTAGCAGGAATCCATTCAGGACATGTCTTATTCGCAGTTGGTAGTAAAACATTTTTGGCAACATTTCGAAATTGTACATCGTCGGAAAGCCTGGTGCGACTTTTAAAACGTTTCGCTGGCTTTGATGGAAATAACTAAAATATTTCATGATGGCATATTACATCCAATGCATGATCACAATATAAAACTAAGCAATTGTAGCATTAAAATGATGTTCTCAACTGGAGTACTAAATTCTAGAGCATCAAAAATTTGATTTAAAGTTAACTTACTTCGGTATGCCTAAAAACAGGACTGATTCCTTGAATTGTATTGATACTTAATGATAAACCTTTCAACAAACGCAGCTGCTTGCAGAGCTCATTAAAAGACTTTATAATTGAGATAGCATCTTCTGTAGCGTTATTATTACAGAAAGGCAGTTTAGATTTCTCGTCCTCGTATGTTATCGCTAATGTATGATCTAATTGGCCGGCAATATAGTTAACATTTTCTGGAGAAATTTTACCATGTCTGATTAATTATTAAATAAATTTAAGTTAAGATTTGTTGCGGACATACAGGATACCTTGTAGATCCTATAATTACTGTAGTAACTTACAGCTGCAATAGATATTTTACGATTCGTTCGCAAATAAATCTCCTCTCTGCTATATTCTTGCATTGCCAAATAGCTGCTTCCTTAATAGCGCCGTCTTTAAACCTTCGTAATTCTGACTTCTCACCCCAAAATTTTCTAAATAATTCCGCAGCCTAATCGAAGTTTATTATATAGTATAACGAATGGTATCAAGAACCTAAATAACAGAAATAATAAATATAATTTAATCTATAAGTCATATCTACCTGTGAGTCTTCAGCCGATGGACCCATTTCTACAATGGAAGAATATTGTTCTGTATCAAGTGATAAGCCGATGGTTACAGTTTCACTTTCTGCAGGCGGCATCTTAGTAATTGGCCACTATAAGCGAATAAAAAGCATTTCATAGTTGAATAAAATATATTAGATAGTATTTTAAAATTCGAAATTTTACCTTTGAAATATCTTCAGGCATAACAGAAATCAATTTAACTCTTTTATTTAAACCTTTTTGAAGGATAACCATTAACCAGCGTAGCATGACTGGTCGTAAATGATTGCATCTGCTGATAAGATACTCTAACACTTCTTGTCCAATATTAGCTTTTTCTATTTGTGGTAACTGTTTTAACCTGGTTTAAATTCAACGTACAGATTCAATGGTTAGCCAATAAAGACAGAAATCATGTTTATTACCATTAATCCGAAAAATATCATCAATTTAATTTATAATAGCTTATTTTGAATACTTTTTTTCCATGCATTTTTAATGATAACAGCTGTCAAGGACTTACGTAATATAGTGATCATATTTTGTAAAGTATGGTACTTTTTTCACGAAAAGGTCAGAGAAAACATCGCTAGAGCTGCTATCGAGATGTCGCAGTGACGAGGAGGCTGCATGACGTAACTGTAACAAATCAGAATATAATAATTTAAGAGCGTACAATTTGTAAAGATGAATATAAATTTATAATACCGAACTGTAATAATTAAGAGCATTACTATTGCAGGATTATAATTGTTACTAACTTCATCGTATGAAATTTTCGTTAAGTTGGCGGCTAAATTTAAGTATCCAGAAGAGTCGATAAAAACCACTTCAAAAACTGTAGAAAATTCTGCAGTAGATGGCTATAAAAAATTTAGAGCGGACTGTTATATAGATATTTGAAAAATATAAAAGAAGCTCATAATCTGAATATTGAAATTACAATATTGGAATTGTCCTGTTCCGCAAGTGTTATTCCATTGGTAGACCAGTCGGATGACGCTATTCCAACAAAAAAGTCCAGGTGATAAAAAATGTTAATGCTTGTATGTAAATTTTTCTTCGAATTTTATTGATTTCTATCTGTGTAATAATTAATACCATCTTATTTTATCGTACAATCGTATTATGATACCTAATTGTATAAGGAAGATCCTTAAAATCTGATAAGAGCTCATTTGCAAGTTGAGTTTCTTTTTCTTTAATAAGTAAATCAAAAACATTGAAGCAAGAAATCCATTCAATCCGTTTATCCCTTTATTAAATTCACGTTGGTATAGCCATATCTTGATTAAGGTAATGGCATCAATTAAAGATTGACTTTGTCGCGTTGCTTGATAAATCTCCCTCAGGTGGCGGCCGAAGCTCATATCTACCAATATACCATGATTGTAATGAGGTGTTGGCGGGCCTAACCGTTGAGTTTCTTCATTTAATTTACTCTCTATCGTTGGATAAAATTCATATCTTATATTATCTTTAGTTGGCTTTAATTGACTTAATTTGAACGCTGACTGATTAATGCAAGGGTATAAACGAATGGTAAAGTAGCGATTAAATCGTTCCGGTGCTGCTTTTATAACTAAGATTGGCTTAAGTGGGTCTCCATTCATTGTTGAATACTGGACTTCTTGACAGATATCACTCTGATTTAAATGATAAGCCAAATGTGCTAAGTAAAGTGCACGTCGGTAATAATATCTAGCATTGATGTGATCTCTAGAATTTAAACATTCCTGAAATACACAAAACACAAATTATTACTTTACGAGTATATCTTGTGTTAATAAATTTAATTTTGTACACTAATCAATTTTTAAATTTTAATTATAAGTATAGCGATTGAGACCTGCGGTATCTCTACGGTAACATCCACGTTGACTATTGGCTTGGTAATGGTACCAATCATATAGCTGCCAACAACAGCAATGACAGTCGGGGTTTTAAATATAAATTTGCCCTTGATAGTCTGCACATCTTTTAAATGAAGAGGTATCTGAATGCCATCAGGTTTGCAGGATAAACTATCAAATTCAAGTTCCTGTTGATTGTCATCGGGTATATTGATTAAGCAGTTACGTAAAGCATGAAGAAAAAGATCTAATTTTTTATTTCTTTTCTTCTTTAATTTAACTTCTTTTAATAATTCATCAATTTGCATACGAAATAATCCAGATCGATAGAGACTTTCAGTTTCTTTGATGGTAAATAATTCATCTCGAGTCAGAGGTGCATATAAACTTTTTTTCTTCTTTTTGACAACTTTGCCTTCATCAGTATCAGCATGATCGGACTGTGAAGCATTTTCCTATATGGTCAATTAAAATATATACATATATATATATATTATCCAATAAGCTGTATCAGTAATTCAATATAACCTGTTCTAGGTATATCTATTGCCTATTATGCCTACGAGAAGTGTATCGTGCATAGTCCCGTACAATTTGAAACCAAAATTGGACACGAGTCGTATGCCCGTCCTCGTATGTGTTGTACAGTATACTGTATATGCGTGTGTATTGCCAGAAATAAGAAATTTTTTTTAACCGATAATGTAGTTGATGTATGCCTCTATAAAATACGTAGCAATCATTCTACCTATATGGCTACACCTGTATGATGATAAGAACGTCTTACAAGGTATAATTTTGGGCCAATCAAAGTGCCAATCTACATTCACTATTTTGCAATGTTTGCTAATTCAAAGTACTACAGCAAGCTGCTAAACCAAGCTAAATTGTAGCTAATGATGGTTCCACTCATTTATCTCAACATTGGCTATAAAATGTAACATTACCTTTCTTTTAAGATGATCGGCTTTCTTGGATTTCATGTCGGTAGAGCTTGACAGGATGGCTGAGCAAATGAGTAAACTACTTACGTGAAATGATAAATCAAGTGAGTTTATCTACAGCTACAAATGATGATACAGTACAAGCTCAAAATGGTCAACAGCTGAAATAAAACCAGGACAATCACCAGTATTCCAATATTACAGATCGTACTTTAATATTTAAGCTAGCGAACGACTATCTAACTATGGCAATCTAGCTATAGACATTGTTAATATACTGAATGTAGTCCAATTGCTTGAATAAACCTCAACAATAATTGCTTACTTTCAACTTTCTGATCCTAAATCGAGCTGCTTGCCTGGCTGCAATGCTTCATCCAAAACTGCCAGTCTGACTCCCTCAGGGTAGATGTCAGGGTTAGGTCTCTCGTGAGCCATTTCCTCCCTACAGAATAGTATTCGCGTTCAATCATTGCGTATTCCGTATAGAACTCAGGTCTGAATGGCTCCGTTTCAGTTACCACGTGTGCTTACGTCACAGAGAACTGGACTCCATCCGGTAGGACTGTGCGGTAGCGTATGCGTAGTAGTGGGCATGACATTGATTTCGCACTTAATTGTCCAAGATAGCATAGTGGAATAGTTATCGGAATCAAAATTAATGTCGCTCAATGTGCCCAATCATGGACTTGAACCGAATCATTTTGAGTCCGTCCGTTGATCGATCGATCGTTTGTTGCCTCTTTTATATTATATCGTCCGCTTTACTGAGTCCAATCCCTTATCGATTAGATACTGTTTGATACCTATACATCGATTCGATTCCTGCTATCCATTCAACCAATTCTCTCTACTATACAGTACAGTATCACATCGCTATAATTATTTGATATTTATGTATTCTGCCTACATGCGAACGACTAAGCCTAGGAAATGATGATTCAACGAGAAAGCCTACGAAGTTATTCAGTCCATAGAGTTCATAAACAACGTCTATGATTCAATTTAAGACGGAAGGATTTAGTAAGAAATATTAAGAGCATGGCAGTTCAACTTTCACAGGCAGCCAAACTGCAAACGTACAGTACAGTAGGGTCATCGTACTGTACACTGTACACTGTACACTGTACCATGACTACAGTATGGCAAAAGACAACGCATTGTTGTCTACGGTGTACAGTACAGTACAGTACGTAATAGTGCTGTACAGTACACTGTACCATGGCTACAGTACTGTACAGTACTGTACAGTATGACAAACAAAGCATTGATGGCTACAGTGTACAGTACGTGATAGTACTGTAAATTGTACACTGTACACTGTACCGTGACTACAGTATGACAAAGCATTTCTGGCTACAGTGTACAGTGTACAGTAGTGACTGTACGTACTGTACGACGGGCTGAAAGTACTGTGCAGTACAGTACTATACTGTTACTCCATCTCCAACAGAATAGAAATCAGTGAGAAAGCGCTCGTTTAAAATCCCATAAAATCTTTTCCAATCACCATTTTTCCAGCTTACACGCAAATCTTTCCTTATTAATCGTTCTTACTGTAACATAATCATGGATAGACTGCTTAGATTAGGGTCTGGCGGTTTGCCTGGTGTTGGACAGGTAATTTTAACGATGGAAATTGTAGAGAGAAACTTTGTTGTTCAACGGGCAATAACAATGAGGATACCGATGGATTGCCCTTCGAAGTCAAATGCTCGGCAAAAGGACAATTTCTCTTGTTGATTATATTGTGTATCAGGGTGTATATTGTTGTCTTAAGCAAGTGCATAACTAGCATGATCAATTCATTTTATATCATTGTATATTAATTGACTATACTGACGTAGAGCTGAGCCTAAAAAGTATGTTACAGTACTTGATAGTAGGGGAGAGCAGCGGTTTTTTTTCTACCTTGTCATGGTTGATAAGATGATATCCATTGAATTGCTAACTTTCTCTTTTCGATAGCCTCCACCAGAAGCACCTAATGTAGACACTGCTGAGCAAGTATATATTTCTTCTTTGGCTTTATTAAAGGTAAGACTTGTACTTGCAAAATAGGCAAAAGATACTGTACTTTAGTAGTTATGATAACTAGTTTGCAGAGGAATACAAGCGTCCCAAAACCATTCGTTTTGATGATATGAATCAATTCTAGAGAGTATTATCAATACTTTACTACCGTTATTTTATGTAATGAGTGCAGTAGATAAATCAATAATCAGTTGAGATTTGATTTTGTAGCCTTGAATAACTTATAAAATTTGACAAAATATAACTTACATTAATACTTTTAATGGAAGATAATATGCCTACTATACTGTACTATGTCTACAATATTAAATACATTGCAATTAGCATTCTTTTCTTATTAATTCTTCTAATCAAATATTTTTCTCGACTGCGAATTTCTTTACAGATGCTTCGTCATGGTAAGTTATCTACACATATGTAGACCTGATAGATACACCACCGTACAAGATTGACGTACGGTATAGGTATCAGTGATGTATAGACTATGATAGCCTTTGAATTGATAATACTACACCAATCATAACCGGATAGGTCGTGCTGGAGTTCCGATGGAAGTTATGGGTTTAATGTTGGGTCAATTTGTTGATGAATATACAGTTCGAGTTATCGACGTATTTGCTATGCCGCAAAGTGGAACGGTTAGCATCAACTAAATGAATTAATACAGTATCAGCTTCTATATCAATTTTTATAGTAAAACTATCAAAATTTAATATATTGATGACCGGACGGTCAATGCAGGTTGTGTCAGTAGCTATATCTGCTTTATGTATACTCTAATTAGTTCATATCCAGTCATTGTTATTGTACATTTAAATTGCCGATAATGTATATTAAACCGTTGTTATTAACGTAAATCATAGAAAAAATGAACAACATTTACAGTAAAAAATGTAGATCGTTACGATTTTATTGACTTTATCAACGATGCGTAACCCTATTACAAGGACGTAATTTAGCAAAGGCTAAATAAATAAATTCTTATTTTCTTTTTTATCATTCATCAACAGGGTGTCAGCGTTGAAGCAGTTGATCCAGTCTTTCAAGCGAGAATGTTAGATATGCTTAAGCAAACTGGAAGGTAAGAATAGATAGACCCGAATATTTTTTTCTTAGTTGGCCAACTACGAATAACATGACTATATATATCTATCCATGTAGACCAGAAATGGTAGTTGGATGGTATCATTCCCATCCTGGCTTTGGTTGCTGGCTGTCAGGTGTGGATGTAAATACTCAGCAGGTAAAATAACATTAAAATTAATTTTTGCATTAAAAGCTGTGTTAAATTAAAAATCATATTTCTGAATCAACTAACTGGATTTTAAATTTTTAGAGCTTTGAAGCTTTGTCAGAACGAGCTGTTGCTGTCGTTGTAGATCCTATCCAAAGTGTTAAAGGCAAAGTAGTTATTGATGCATTTCGATTAATTCATCCTACCTTGATTATGGTAGGCCACGAACCTCGACAGGCAACATCTATTATAGGACATTTGCAAAAACCGTCTATCCAGGTACTGTACAAACATAAATCTTGAGTAAAAATCAGGCTTGCTATTTTATTTCAGCTAATCTGTAGCATTTTTTAGTCACCTTATCATACTACTTGTATTTTAATGTAATTACTTAATCGATTTTTAAGGCGCTGATCCATGGATTGAATCGTAGTTATTATTCTATGGTTATAAATTATCGCAAGAATGAATTAGAACAGAAGGTATACGAGTTGTGGTTACACGATTAAAATAATTCATTTCTATCTATCGCCCTAATATTAGTGAAATTATTATAGATGTTAATGAAATTACATAAAAAAAGTTGGGTTGATGGTCTACAGCTAGACGACTACAAGGAACATAATGAGTCGAACGAAAAGATTTTAAAGGTTTAGCTACTATTTACGATATCTTATCATTGTAAATCTTATGATAGACTACAGCTTAAACAATCCTCTACCCTTGCAATAGGATATGGTGCGGCTGTCAAAAGAATACGTAAAGGTTAAAAAAATTCTTTAATCATAGAATTGATATTTTTACATGGTTCATTGTAAAAAATAATTATTCTATTTATTTACTCTTAATATAGTCTGTAGAGGAAGAAGATAAATTAACTACCGAACAGCTTGCTATTCGTAATGTTGGCAAACAGGTAATGTTTTTTCTCAAGAAAAATGTAACCAACATTTCACTGATATTCTAAAAGTCAAGACTAATAATTAAATTGGAACTATTATGGACTCTCATTGTACAGTATGTAGTCAATGTTACTACTATCACGCAAGTGATAAAGAATGCTATTTCATTTTCTATACTAGGATCCGAAGCGTCACTTAGAGGAATGCGTTGATGTTTTGATGACCTCTAATGTTTCCCAGTGTTTAGGAGCAATGTTGCATAATGTCGTTTTTTAAAGTTTTCCTATCAAGTTGATATTGTAATTTCGGCAACAAATGGCAGATGTTATACTCAAGTATGATTCTTAAATACAACTCTGCTAATGATTAATTCTTGTATTTGACTTTATTTGCGTGAAAACTGTACCTAGTTTATTAGGGAAGTTAAGTATAAAACATTGCCATTCGGTTGTCGAGTAAAAATACTGTTCTTTGTAATATTCTATTTCTAAGGCTGTTATCTGCTGTGTCCCAGCACGAGAGCTAATACAATATTGATCGTAATAAATAAAATTGGTCCTACTACGACTGAGGACATTTGCAATGAATGAATTTTATAGTACACATAGTCCAGGAATGTACGTATGCCATTAACGACTTTGTTCTTGAATGTCAAAATCGTTATCTAAAGAGGCATTATTTGACGCAATTGTACGTACGTGCAACAGTAAATAAATGGATAATACTACTCACGCTTCAGAAAATCAATCCTTTATGGCAAGATTTTATCTAATACGATAAATATTCGTCGCAATGCCAAGTACCACAAATAATATCGTATAATTCATTAAATTAGTACTTTATGTAAACGTTTTTAATTTAAGTACAGCAATTTAGGAAAATGATCCGACAGTTTACAGGTACAAAGAATAATAATGACAAGTGTACAACTTCAAGTTCAGAATGAACTTCGACAACGACTTTCAAAAGGAAAATAGGATCTTCATAATGATGAATTTATGCTACAAAATAATATACTGTATAAAATGCTATATAACATTAAGAAGGAAATTCAATCTTTGCCTGGATCAAACACCTTCTAACACTGGAATGTAAGTCTCTAGAAGGTTTAAAGTCGTCTTTTCTGCGTGCTTATATAAAAAACTAGAAAAATTCAGAAAAGAGTGTTTATGTCATGAGTCAATGACTACATTACGTTATACCCTAGCAAAAGAATAACTTGTAGAGATTAGCTTACCATTATTGCCTCTAATGAATGCATCACCATACTTGTTTTTTAGCTAAAAGAAAAATAATACAAGTTAATAATAACAGCTTACGATAGCATAAACCATTATCACATCATGTAAGCATGATACTAGGAAAGTCTATTTGTAAGTTGAAATGCCTGTACGCCATGAAATACAGAAATTTAATGATTATACAGTTGTCTTACAACACCTAGAGTACTTATCATGGTAATCAGTAACCAAAAGCAAGTATAAACTAACTCTATATATTATTCATATAATATTACGACACGTTGTATGTGTTTCATACAGTATAAGAAATGAGTGATTTGAACAACAAAGGATTACCAATACCACATACTTGTCCATTAATATATTCCTCGGTTTGTTCCAAAGCGATATTCATGTAACCATCAAGGCAAGTCAAAATCCCTAAAATGTTTGATTGCAATATTAATTATGAATGAGTTGATATCTAATCGTATTCCATCAAGTTTCACGTTAAGAGTATGGATAATAGCATCAAAAGCTGGTAGTACTGCATTGAACTGCATTTGCAGCAGCTTGTCTTCCAATCGATCCATGATAAAATAGTTTTTAACATATTGAATGACTACTACTAGAGATAGGGCAGACAGTGAATAAATTTAGCAAAGCTAAGGCTTAGTATAAAGTAATTACGTGATATCATACACTGTGCATTGTACAATGTACAATCGTATATTCAATTTCGCGGTATTCTGTGTATCAGGTAGAATGCTGTAGGAATCATGGAGGATTTTGGTGTTCAAAGTAATGAAACCAAGTCTATCCAACTATGATAGAGTATGGATTTCTATTGTATATTGACTGAGTATCGACTGTTGTTATGACTTTCAAATTTTTAGAGCCAAAGACAGGTAGTCAATCTCGATTAAGATTATAAAATCGATCGATTGGGTTGCTCAATCTTGTATCTTGGTACTCGCTCAATGTGCTACATACAGTTCGACCTAAATGGATGATTTCTACTTCATTACCTCTGTAATCTACTCCGGAGTTGAGCTTGACGACCACTGGCCTGCCAATCACATTCTTTAAAAATTCACTTGGTGTCTGTTTCTTACTCATTTTCTTGACCTTTATTTTATCCTTCAAAATAATCGGCGATGGCTGGCAGTAAATTAACGCTGTTTTAGTTAAAATGTTAGCCTCGATGGAGTTTCCAACTTCCAAGTACTTCCAAGTATGAGCCAGCTGAAGGTACGCGCAAACCGTAGTGTATTTCGACTTGCTAATCTCAATCTCTCATTACAGTAGACTGCAGCAGTATCGCGCTTACGGAGGTACAGTACAGTACATCGAACTCACGAAGGACTTTGCTGGGACAGTACATAGTACTGTAGCATTGTACAGTACAGTGTACTGTACAGTGCACACTCAATCTTCAAGGCGAAGCGCACATGCAATATGACATTCATGCCAGTCTGAAATGACTGCAATTTTGAGCGACAATACAACAGGATTGATTGAGACTTTTCTGTCACCGACATCATGTCTAGTCTATGAAGGAGAGAGCAACTGCTCAAGAGTTCATTGCCCAAAATTGTGTAGGTTAACTACTACTTCATGGTCATCGGACTGTGTCAGGACTGAACTGTACTGTACACTGTACACTACAGTGTACAGTACTGTACTGTACTGTACTGTATTGTACAGTATACTGTACTGTAATGCACCAGAGCGTACCTGCACACTGTACACTGTACACTGTACAGTGCCGTACAGTAATACGCATACTCAGCAACAGCATGTACACTCATTATACAGTACAGTACGGTGCAGTACTGCACTGCACTATCCACTTTCACTAATGGCCAATGGAAGTGCAATAAAGGCTTTTGTACGGCCATTTTTACGGTCAAATCAACTTCATTTTTGAATATGTAGAATTCAATTTGAGTTACTTAAACAGGGTTAAAAATTCCCTAAAATGCGTAAAAAAAATCCAAAATTTCTATATTTAAATATTTTATTTCTAATTAAGCTTTATTGGCCGTAAATGAATATTTTAAAAAGAGAACATTCGAGTGAGCATCAGAATTCGACCGAAAAAAAATGATGGCGTCCGTTGAAAAAATCATCAGTCGACTTAAGAGCGTGCTGTGACGAATTGAAAAATTTGTAACAGCTTAATAATCCACTCTGTAGCCTGTTAAAGAGCTTCATATATCGTATAAGCAGGAGAATAAAGCTTAAAAATAGGAAACTTCTTTCTGTGGATACGAAATAAGAAGTGCTATAATTTTGAGGTTTTAACAGCTTTTAGACTAGGTTTGTGCATGGTCAATTTTCTTTATTGCACTTTCATTGGCCATTACAGTGCAGTACTACAGTATATTGTACAGTACTGTACAGTACTGTACTGTGCTTCTTGCAAAACGTATTGTAAAAGCTCACTTTGCTCTGCAATGAATGCAGCCATCTCCATGGTTGCGTTTCAATGAATTCAAAATTGAATCTTGGCCATTCCTACCTACTTGATCATTGCTCAATCATTCGTAAAGTGCAAATAGAAAGTCAACCAACAAAAACTCTTTCTTTTCCTTCTTGATCATTTTTTCGCCCCGAGTAAATCTTGCTAGACTAGGGCGAGGCTAGTTTTGAAGTGGGTTGGCCAACATCGTTTACAACTTGTAAGCAGTGCACAAGTTGAAATCACTGAGGTAAGACGAGCGAGAAAATAAAGGAGGCCAAGAGTGATTTGCTACTGTTTATGAAACTGATGTTGGTATGCTATTCAATGTAGCTATATGAATATGGGAAATGAAGAAGATTTCGACTTTGCAGATGATCATACAGCCAAAGACAAAGGCAATCAATATTTTACTCAACAGGATTATACCTCAGCTGCTCGATGTTATACCAAAGCCTTAACGCTATGCCAACACAAGCAGTCGACTGATGCAAGCATTTATTATAAAAATCGTGCTGCTTGCTATTTAAAATTGGTCAGTTCCACTCCTACACTATGGATAGTATCAGTTATTTTTGTATAGAATACGATAGTGAAAGAATACTTGTATGCAATACTTATAAATGATCGATAATAAAACGATCAACATTGAAAAGCTATACGTATCATTGTATAAGATTGAATTTTAAATCAATTTTTCCGCATATTATATCTATATATATTTATATCATGAATTAAGAAGAAAGGTTTTAAAATCAGTTCTTTCTATAACACTCTAGAACCAATATCAAGATGCAATAACGGATTGCAATGCCTGTAAGTATTCCGTTTACCGAAATATAAATAAACTTACATCAGCCGGTTTGATTTGATCAACTTGGACTTCTTAAAAGAAATTTATAGTATAATCAAGTGTGTGTGTCACAGTACAGTATAATGATATGCTTACCAGTAATTTCACCTAACAAATATATACAGTAGTATAGTACTGTAACCTCTACTCTCTGTCATGAATGTTTCTAGAACTGAAAAACTACACCAATATAGCTAAACCCTATCTCGATAATAGGAGTCAATTTCATATAATTTATTATCAATCACGTCTTTTTTAATCCAATAAGTAATAATCTCAGGGTAATGATAATATTGCATACCTCACTACAATTTGTATAAATTAAATTCTTTCATCGCTATTCTACTAATATCTATTGCAGCATTGGCCATTACTCCTAGCGATACAAAAGCTCTATTCCGTCGTTGCCAAGCTTTCCAAAAATTAGGTCAATTAAAGGAAGCGTATCAAGAAGCAAGAAAGCTCAACAAATTAGACTCAAAAGTTCGTTTATCAGATAAAGCATATTACAGCATATCAATAACGTGTTGCTCTTCACAGTATCGTGCGAATACATTGATTTCTTCTATCCAACTAAAAGATTAATGTTTGAAACTGCCACTAAAATTAGAATCAAGCTGTGATAGATATGCTACGCCAACTTAATATACAAATGACTTCACAAGTAAGTATAAACTAGTTCTACCACTGCATCATATTTTTTCGACCGATTGTATTGTAATACTATGTCATGATGAATTCAGATTGAAATCATTCACGTAAACTACATGATAACTTCACAAAGTTAGCTATCACCTTGAATAGATATAAACACAAAATTAAATCTACGTTAAAAATGCTATTCTTAAGCTATTACAAGGGCATAGAACTCCGTTTGAAAGAATTTTAAGAAAAATAACAATTTTAGTGATCATTAGAATAGTTTCAATGATTGTAAAGCTAATTATGGTCTTGTATGCATAGTCCCAAGCTTTAGGTAAAACCAGCACGAAGGTACAACAAATGCTATCAGTAGTTCTGAACTCTTCTAGTACCAATGACCAAAAGATGAAGGTAGGATATTATTTTAATTTAAGAACCAAATTCTAAAATCATGTTTTATTTAAAATGAATTAATTATTGACTTACAGTTAACTTTCCTAATAGGCTCTTAATAATTTACGCGTAGTAGCCAAGGAAGCAGCTGGTTCTGAATTCATATTTCGAGAAGGTTACAATAAACTATCTATAAAGTCATTTTGTAGCTTACAGTAAAATGATATCTAAATTCAGGCGAATCTATTAAGTTTTTCCTACTCTATACTAACAATTTGTTTCTTCCTCTAATAGAAGCAACTTGGAAACTGCTATCATCACTAGATAGCGAAACAGAAGAAGTAAAATCTTCCATTGTTAAACTTTTTATACGCATTTGTCAAGGTCATCGAAATAGGGTAAATTTGCTTCAATGCTATTATTTCTTATACCATCTGATGTTATCGACGCTAATTCGTTCCTTTTGTAATCAATCGATGGTGTAGATGTCTGTTGCTCTCAAGGAAATGACTAAATCAAGATTGCTCACGATGTTATCGTCGGTAGGGATTACCAGACCATCAGTTTTTGAGTCTAGATACTCGTATATGTAATCCTTTAGATCGAATAATCTCAATCGCCTCTATTATGGGACTATACCAAGTAATTTATTAAAAATATTTATTATATTTCATAATAAAAACAATTACTCTTGCAGCCAGAAGAAGATTTGTGCCAATCAATCGCTTTATTCCTACAAACTGCTCTGACTACATTAACCGGCTGCGACGACAATCCGGCAAAGATTCCCAATGAAGCTATTGTAATAGGTATGCTATACTATCACAAATACTGTACTCGTAATCATTTCATTATAACATTTATCCATGAAAGTGTATATAAAAGAATTCTTAATCCTTCTATAAAAAAGATAACAAAGTGGACATTGATGAGTTACTTGACTTGCTAATTCATGCAATGACGAATCAAAGGTAAAAGCATTAACTATTCAACTCAGGAAATCTATTACTTTAACCTCAAAATATTTTATCATTTTATAGCATTACTATCAGTGGTAGAAGCGCTGCTATTAATGTTGTGGTATATGCAATTCCCGAAGCTGGCATGACGAAAACGTTCATCGAATGCAAAGGTATCATATTACAGGGACTTTTCGATTTTTTATCCCCTCCAAAAAATTAAGTAGCGCATGCATATTATTTTATAAATTACTGCTTCATGGATTATTGCTTGTATAACCTATATTTAATGGCAAACTGAGTAGCATTTCTTAAAATTCAAATCTTTATTAGGACTAAGCAAACTCTTAAAAGTCGCAGCAGACTCTGCTCCATATTTTATGATTGACACTAGTGCTTCCAAAGATCAAAATGAAAATACAACATCTGAATGTCAAATGCATGTATCAGTAGCTTTATTCCAGTTGTATAAATCGCTCCGGTAAGAAGAAACAATTTTAATTTCTCAAGTTCTGCTATTAACTAACCAAAAATTTTATTAAATTAATAAACGAGTTATCAATTCATTGTCACAGTACTGGAATTATTCAGATAACTTAAATAATATTACGAATCAAAGTCGACAAACTAATGACACAATTCTAAGTAATATTTAATATTAGCAATTTATTAAAACAAACTTTCTCATAGAAATGACCAAAGCCGCTTAATTTTTCGAAGGCAATGTGAAATTTTTATTAGGTAAGGAAAATTACTACAATTATTTCTAACAGAACAATTGACCTCTATGAATTATGACGTTGTGATTTTATCGATATAATTATAACAACTAGAGAGCATATGCAATATAGCAACGATATTGATATGAATATTGGAGGGGTCATCGCTCTATCTGCACTCCTTGTTGTAAGAGGCACAAAATTAATTCAACGTAGTTGAATCTATATGAAAACAAGAGTTTTAGGATAATTCTGGCCAAATTATTAATATAATCCTAGGGAGTTAGTGAGGTTGGAATCGAAATTGCGTACACAGACAGTATCCTTCAGAAATTGTTTGAATTAATTGCGTCGAAGGACTTGGCTGCGAAAGTAATACTACGTAACTTCTTTATGAAAATACTGTATGAGATCTATTTATGCATTACTGCATAAAAATTCTCTAATCAAGCTATATTATATTGGACGTTTTTACTACATGCCATGACAATAGCTAAAGTCAAAATTACATTTATACTGGACATTATTGTTCACTCATATCATTTTATTGGGACTCTTATTTAGTGCGCCGCTACCGAAGTTTTCACTCATATATGTTCCGATAAGAATAAATGCCTGGAAATTAGATCGCAGGTATGATTATCTTTATAAAATATTGCTTTATTATTCATTCACCTGTAACAAATCATGTTATTATAATGATTAGATCTTTCCGTTGATGAAAGTGTTTTATGAGATGAAAAACAGAAAAATACGCATTCGGGCTCTAGTGGTTAGTTCCTCAACCAATATCTGCTATGCTGTTAGAAGAACGTTGATATTATATGTTATAAAATATCACTTCCACTAAATCTTATTTACTTTACTACCACAGGGTTTATGTAAAATAGGTCTTGTTGACGCCAGCGAAGTAAAAGATTGGCTTCCGGAAGAATCCGTACTGGAATTGTATTCTATTATTAGAAGGTCAGTCAAATAACTGATTGCTATGGCGAAAAGTGAATTTTACATTCATAAACCTATTGTAACTTAGTTATCTAGTGGGGGGAGAAAGGAGTTCGGATCTAAAGAAATGGTCTATAGAAGCATTGGCCCTAATTACTCTGGATGCTGACGCTAAGGTACTGTAACATCAATAGTCAAAAAATCACGTTGCTATTCCAATAGGACTTGCAATAATACTTGTCATCTGATATCGGTTTTAGGATGCTTTGGTCTCCGATACAGAAGCTTTAAAGATTCTATTCAATATGGCTAAGGTTATCCAATTTATCATTATGAATTTGAATGTATATAGAGTAATAAAACATTCAATTTCACTGTATAACGTCCTTTGTTCAAGCAATTACGACACCTCATTTAATGGTGGTTTATGATATTTTAAATACTTTCTAACTAGACTAAAGATATGGCAGTAACATTTGGAATTGCTTCAACATTAGTAAATGTTACCAATAGTTATGATAAACCGGAAAAAAATCTTGAACTTGAAGAGCTTGCTAAATTTGCTCAATATAAAATTCCGAAAGTTCACGAAAAGGTAATTATAGTTTTATGGTAGAGTCGTCAATTTTTCCTAATCCAATTACACAATTATTTATGAATTACTTTTCCTATTTAATTTTAGGATAGTGAAAAATATGTCGAAAAAAGAATCCTAACCATGATAAAGGTAGAAAAGCCATGTACAAAACCTCACTGGCTATCAAAGTACTTGTCATAAGTATTCATTTACTGTGCTACTTTTCTTATGTTAGAACGATGTCGTAGTGACTTTAGTCAACCTGGGATTAGATGAAAAGTCTGATAACTGTAAAGAAAAACTGGCAAGGTTAGCTAATGAAATTAGTCGTTACACAGTAACGCTATGTCATTACAATTCGCTTTTAGTGATTGTAAGAGATTATATGTATAATATTAATGTTTTAAACAGGTCTCTTTTATACTATCGATCAAATTATTAAATTTCTTGTATTTGTAGCTAAATTATTACTTATGCATTTTACTATTTACGGGAATAGAGTATTTTTAGCCTTATCCACTGAGCCTAAACACCGAGGTGTTATTGTACAGCAAGGTGGGACAAAGGTAAATCAATTTATATCCTTAGATTATCTTGGCATCTGTTGATCATGTATTCGCATACTTTTTAACAGATTTTGTGCTCACTAGCTTTAAGTGGCACAGATAAAGGAAAGTCATTGGCAACTCAGGCGATCGCAAAGATAGGAATTTCAATTAATCCTGAATTAGCATTCTCTGGGCAAAGAGTCAGTAACATTGATCAATTTCAAGCATTTTAATTTAGCTAGTATTCACAAGGAAAATTTTCGTAATTTCTTTTACTTATTGCATAGTATAAGAATTCCGTCTTTTAATGATGTTTATACCCTGGCTAAATTTGATAATTAGATATTAGAAACTGTCCGCCCTTTAATTGGATTACTTTCTTCAGATTCTGTAAGTTTAATCCTGTAATCTAACTGTTGATGTAGCTTACCTTTCATTCAATGAAATGTTTCTGATCGTTACATATTTTTTATATTTAAGGGAATACAACAATTTGAAGCTTTAATGGCTTTGACTAATCTAGCTCAAGTCAATGACACTGTTAGGTAACACTTGTGTATAGAATTACCGCCGTCAGTAATACTGTTTGCGTAGTTTAGATCTAATAATTTTGATATTGAATAAACCTGAAGATTTAATCGTAAACTTTTGCATGGGTTTTAATGACTGCAAATGGTAAAATATAATGGTATAGCTGAGAGAAATGCTGCAAAAGTATGATACCGACGATGTTGTATTTGTATGTTTCCTTTAGGAGAAAAATTATGGCGGAAAAGGGATTTACGAGTATTGAACAGTTGATGTTTGACGATCACGAACTTATAAAGAGAGCGGCTACAGAGGCTATGTGTAACCTAGTCAATTGCGAAGAAGTATATTTACTTGTCAAACGACTTAAATTCGTTTTCCCACCGTTAGATTTAAGATTTAGCCCTTAATGACTCCTTATGCATGTCGCATATAGGCTGCAGAAAAATACTTAAACGATAAAACAGATCGCGTTAAGCTGCTGACTTTGTATAGTGGCGAATCTGATTTTGAATTAGCTAGGTACAGTAAATTATCTTGCTATGCCTGTTAACTTATAAACATGACTGTAATGAATAGACATTTATTGCATTATTAGCTTCTTATGTCTGTATCTGCTACAGTAAATTACTCTCATGGATAACGTAATCTTTATATGTACACGTTAGAGCTGCAAGTGGTACATTGGCAATCCTGTCGTCCAATGAAAATATTTGCAAGCAGATTATCCAGGTATGTTAATGAATATAAGCTTGATTTAGCGTCTTTAGAATAAAATTTTTGATAATTTTAAGCGTATTTTCCCCCATACACTCATCTAGGTCAAACCTTGGCTAGAAATCATGCAAGAACTATTACTTTCTGAAAAATTAGAATTACAGCACAGGTAAGGCTGCAAATTTTAGTATTTGTAGAAGTAACTAGCTTGGCTTTATCCAGTCATTCTTACCAATACACTTTAATATCTTTCTTTGCAGGGGAATATACATTGTTGCAAACCTAATTGAAGCGAACAAAGCAATAGCTAGCGAAGTTAGTATGACCAGATTTATGAGTAAAAATTGTTCGATGTTCGCATTGTAAAATGCTGTAAATTTGTCGTTTAGGTTGTAGAAAGCAAGCTCTTGGAAGTTTTAATGGTTCTTTCGCAGGAAACTGATATAAATAAAAAAGAAATTGTAGCCAACGCTGAACGTGGTTTACTAAAAGCTGTTGAACTGGGATTGATAAAACGAAATAAGTAGTTTTACAATGTCAGACTGTTGTCCTTATTATCGAATTTTTTCTATATTTTACAGTACAGCATTTTAACATCAAGTACCTCAACAATCTCCTGTATATGATCAGCTACAGTAAATTCTGTTATCGATTATATCATAGGCTTACAGAAAATTTATAGTATTAAATCTATCTAAATTACAGTTTAATATCAAACTTGATCTCCGGCAATTTATTCTGTTCTTGCTACCGGGTGTTGTATATACGTGTACGAATTACACTTAATCTACTGATACTTATGTGTTTTTAAGGTCAAGCCAATATTTTCGTAAGATACTATCTACGTTTTATGGTTTAGAAGCTCATCAATAAGATCAAACTTAAAATAAACATGATTTTTATCTAAATATATACAGTATACTAAAACGTTTCTAGAGTAGGTTTAGCGACGATGAAATTTATTTATTCATCAATTCTTTCGTAATTATATCATCAAAGGTGTTTAACAGTAATAATCACCTTAATCCATAGATTTGATTATGTTTAGGGTATCTGTCGGTAATCCTTAACTCTGCTACATTTTATGATATGAATCTAGTAAGCTGGTACTCTATTAGTAATCTTTCATGTAAGTAAATATCGTACCTAAATTAGGTAAGGTACTGTCTTTAGCATTGATTAAGGATCTGGAAAGTATTATCATTAATTTACAGTTAAATTTTCATTAGTCCTTCTCATTGCTGATATCCAAATAGCTACGGTATCTCTTAGAGCATGAGGCACGAATTTAGAAAGTAATATTATAAATTGAAACGATACGCAATCATTAATTTATCATTATTCGTAAAATCGCTTTTCAGGTATTCAGGACAGATAATCTCTCTAAATCTTATACTCGTTTATCAGCGACTATTCTCATATCGTGTACGATAATTGTAATGTATCGAGTTTACTATCGATTGTGAACTATTTAACCCCAGGGTTTAAAATCAATTTTTAAGTAACTGAATCAATTGAGTAAATATACTTCTTAAATGCGTCCTTTTTATTTGTATTTGAATAGCTTCAAAATTTGTCTTTAAAATAATTTTAGATATTATAAATTACTTGTATGATTGTGCTAATATTTGATGAAAATTTTTTACATAAAATGCAAATATAATGGATCAATGATACCATAGATCAATAGAATAAAAAAATTATGCTCATATATATACATAAAATATGAATCAGATTAATGCAATATGATTATCTTTGATATCCCAGCGTTATGACAATAATGGCCGGATACTGTCAGTTTTAAGACACGTACGGTGAGCAAAGTTCATGACAGGTTATTATTTAAAAATGACAATTTTCCTATTCTTAACTCAATTATTGTAATATGAACATGGTTAATATGCATTAATCTCGTATAAAAGTGATATAAAAAATTATCCTTAGTAAACATTTTCAACGAATACAATCAATTACGTAAGATTAAGAGGAGTATTTGAATATTATTCGACTTGTATCTTAAATAAATTATGAACTTTAGAGTGAGATATAAATAAAAATTGGCCTGAAGAAGATCATCAATATATAATCATATCTGTATATTAATACGAACCGTTATTCCTAAATGAAATCAGGAAGATCAATGTCATCTCTAATAACCAATTTTAGAATTGATGCGCAGTAGATATAGCATTTAATATACAAGTATACATCTTCATCTATTAACGGGGTATGATATTACACTATCATTTACATCAATAATCCTTACGACATGAAATAATATGAATATGATGTTGATATAGGTTTTTCCTTTGATCGGTGAAAATTTACGAAGTCATTTCTACGAGTCACTTTTGTTCGTACTTGTTGGATCAGATTCAGCTCTGGGCTTTTTCATAGGTAAAATGGATCGTAACCATTCTTCATATTCGTAATCAGGCATTTCTACTATCTTTTCTCTTACAAACTGTATAAGATTAGGTAAAAAATTAATTTACTATTATACTACTATTATTCAAACTAGAAATAAAATTTTTATAGCAGTTACTCTGACATCTCTAAATAAGAAATATACCAGTACATAAATAATCATACATCACTTACTTCTATAGCTGCACTAATATCTGGAGAGCAAATTTCCCAATGACGTAACCCAGATAGTACTCGAATTAACTGGACAGAGCTCGGAACTATTCCATCAATCTATAATAATACATAATGCAATATCATTTGTTATTTAAACGATTAAAATATACTATTTTCACAACAAGTAGCTAAAACAGCCTAGTCTACCATGGTCGTATCGTAGAATACTTTTATTTGTAATTATTAGTTACCTTAGCGTGGGATGAAATCCTTTCTAACGTTTGAGAACATTGACGATCTTCCCGAATACTTTCCGGTAAAGTGTCGACTAGATTAATATACCTATCATGAAGTAATAGGAAAAAAGTGGATAAGTTGGTTGAAAGCTTAAATGGAACAACTCTATATTATCACGTAGTAGGTAAAGCATTGTGATTGTTAGCTAAATAAAAATGACAATTACCAAGGTCGATGGACTGATTTGTTAGCTTGGCGTATTTCGATTTTTTTTATCTTATGTCGCATTTTTCCTAAATCCCGATGAACATAAGTCTTGGGCTCAATAGCAAAGAAGCGAAGCTCGCATTTTTGAGATCTTTTCCTAATATAAGTAAAGAACAAACTTTAGGTAAACATAAATCATTTTTATAATCATTTCGCCATCTATTTAAATAAGTGGGTAACAATCAATCGAAATATCATCGTCGACAACAGGCTGACAATGACACATAGAGTAAAAAGTGAATATTATTCAAAATTAATCTGTACGAATTACGTAGTACTTACATTTCTATCCTATCTAACTGATCGTGTAGTAACTCTTCGTTTTCTTTGGCAACATCAATAAACTTCTGTCGCATTCTTGACGCTAAATCTTGGTATCTCTCAATACCTGCAGTACCCGGTGTATTTTTAACAGGTGCGCTAGACGTAAGAGATAATTTTATTCATATTCAATATAAATTGAAGACTGAGAATTTAAGTGTATTCGATTTACCTATCAAGCAGCTATGACTGGCTATTATTGTTAACAATAATTAATCTTGATATCAAATCAAATGTTTTTAAAGCTTCACAAAATGTAATAAAGCGGTACCCCAGCTAGTATAGTATCCATGTCATCATTTACTTTAAAAATATAGCTATAATAATCACCTTTGCGGTCGTAATTTTTTCTTTCGCTGGCGGTCATCTTCTTCTATGCCACCAAACTCTTCAATCCATGCCCTAATTTTAGCATCGTCGCTAATTTTGTCCTTGCTAACATCCTCAGCCTTGTAAATAAAAAGCACGTAAAAAGTATAAATGGAGTTGTAGCCTTACGATTATCAGATATCATACAGCCAGTAAAAGTTGAAATAAATATTGTTAGCTTATGCGGACATTTTTAATTAAGATTGCATTGAAATAGCACAATATTCAGTATAATGATTATAAACTTACGTTTCCTAATGTTCTAATTCGACGATGTTGTGTATATTGCATAAATTTTTGTATACTTCGTAAGGCAGCAATTGGCCATTTGCTTTTTGGTGCATTTTCATTTTGTCCACCAGGGGTCAGTGGAACTTGAGTAGGGATTTTACCTACGGCTAATGATATTCGCCTAGTTATTTGACTAAAATCAGTCGGTTTTGAAGCAGCTGTTGAATGTCTCTTATTGCTGCTCAGAGGTATAGCTTCTGCTTGAACAGCCATTGATGATCTCCTGCCAGTTACAATACCTTCCATAGTTGGGGGCATAGCCATTGATACACGTCTTGTAATTTGGTTAATATCGCTCGATTTTGCTAAAGACGCTCGACGTGAGCTTTTAATATTAATAGCTGTCTCAGCTTTTGGTGTCGTTGAGCTACCAACCATAAATGGACTAATATTACCATTAAAAGCGTATAAACTATCATCAGTTGGCATAGGGTAGTAATCTTCTTCTGTTTTAGGACTGTATGCAACACCTAGTGATAGAATATAGTCGCTTAATTGCAAGTTTCAGATTTATTTAAGAATAAGTAAGCCTACAAATTTTTTATTACCTATACCAATGTACAGTTTAAATGCTAGCACTAATTTCAAAAAAGATTATTCAATTTGCACTTTGAAGTATATTTGACCCTGGAATAATGTAAATTTATTACAATAGCGGCTTTTAAATTACCTTTACTATAATCAAACGCTCTCTGGCACCCATCTTCATCGAGGGAAGGATAATCACAACATGTCCATTTACTCCTAGTAAAACCTCCAGGATGAAATCTATCTTCCATCTTGTTATGCAGTTGTTGAGTTACTATTTAAGTAATAAATACAGCATAAATTAAAATCTTCCGTGAGATACAATAGTATCGATGTAAGATCTACTGATTTTTTTATGAGATGTAATAAACAAATAGCGCCTTCTTCGATCTTCAATTAGTACTCTTATATCATTCAACCCTGTAATTCTAACTATTACCAACTGTATACTTTCTGCCTAAAAAATAAATAACTCCTTCTTGAGGTTTTGTAGCACTGCATATTGTAGCAAAATAATAACGTATTTCTTGGTAATTTGCTCATTTATGGTCAAATCAACTCTGATACGGAAGAAAAGTTTTCTGTGCAATACCTCCATATTTTTAAACATCACTCTAAGAAAGTATGCATACTGCAGATCATACAGTCTTTTATTGTTAGGTTTCAGGATATGGTAGTGACCTTATCAATATTGTATGACATCACCCGTGAAAATCACTTTAAATGATTCTTATCTGTCTAAAATTTGAACAATTTTGACTAACTTACTAGATACCTTGTAATGTCTGACATTTCATATCATCGTTACTTACCAAATCTTAAAGCTACAATCCAATCTTCTCGTTCTTCTTCATTAGGAGCACATATATATAAAATATCTCCTTTACTCCCAACCTATGTCATGACAAAAGTAAAGGTATAAGTGTATGCAGTCCCCAAAATATATGTTTTTAACGCACGGGTATATCTATATTTAATATCTATAGATAAATTATTTTAGTCCAGTACACGTATTGTTCTATTCCTGTTCCATCCTTAAAGAAGACTGATTTCTTAAAATTACTATCAAACTCCTTTAGTTTGTAGGATTCAGATTACAATTATAATAGCAAATGAAAATTCCGTGAATCAAACCTCTCAATATTTGCTGGTAACGAAACTTTTAACCAACTCTAATGTTTCTAATATCAATGCAATTATACAAACGAAAAAGAAATAACCTGAAAGACGAAATCTCTCTCCAACGTTCCATCATTAACAGGTTCCACAATAGAGACATGCTTCATGTTAATGCAATCTTTATATTCCTAGAAACAAAACAAATTAATACTTTTGCATAAGATATCATACCAGCTCAGAGTGCACAAGTACTTAGTTATTAATGCATTTAAATATGCATACAGCAATAACAATTTTATCCATCCCTTAGTTAATTACTACATTGCTTTTATGAATTAAAAGAATACTTACTCCAGCTTCATTTCCATAATATGATAAAAATTCTTCTGTCAAGACAACAAATCGTTCCCTATAATTTGCAGCATTTTTACTCTTTCCACGTCCACGACTCCGCTTTACTACCCAGCCTTTCTTAACTACGGTTGACAATTCTATATAGTTTGCATCACTTAGAATTAGTTCAATTAAAATACAATGTTTCTGTAAGATCTACCATACATAGCAATAGTACATTTAAAATGAGCGAATACTACGCTTCTTTACTTCATGACATGAGCAATTGATGCTGTATATCGTATTACGATATTAAAAATTAAAAATAATCGTAATTCGAACAAATCTCTTACCATAGGGCAGTAGTATTTATGATCATTCTAAGGTCATTCAATTATTACTGTCAACTTTTAGGAATCAAATAGTTAAAACATCGTTTACGTTGTACTCACCAGTAGAATAATCAAATGCATGTTGGCAACCATTTTGCGAAAGATCAACCGCTTGGCAACAGCTCCATTTATCAGTATAGGCACCAGGATGATAGCGCCGATCCATATTTAGTTTTAATCTCTGACAGCCTACATAATGATGTAAAAGAGGTCAAATTTATAACCCCACATTTCACATACTTGAGGGTACAACTTATTTTTTGACCTAATTCAGTCAGTTAGAATAAGGAAATAAACTGCTTAAATTCATTTAATATCTAGCCGTATAGAAAAGCAAACTTACACTGCCGTAATGCTAATACCCATTCGTCACGATCAGTTGGGTTCATAGCATGAGCATAAAGAAGATCTCCTTTTGATCCAACCTGTAGCAATCATAAAAATTTATCGTTCCGACTATGGAGATTTGCAAAATTTCTATTGTTACATGTTAGCGCATTATAATGCTATTTTTTCTACTGGATAAAGCAATCAAGATCAGCACCTTTCTATTATGCAGACTTCGTAATATATGATAACTACAATTAGGTAAAAAAAACTTAAAGACCTGAAAGAAGTATTTTCGTTCACCAAATGTGCCATCGGTAACTGCTTCTACAATTGTCACATCTTTTAATTTCATGGAATCTTTAGGTACAGCGTTCTAAATATAGTTCAAGAGATCAATAAGAACAAAATGATGATCATCAGTTCTATTAATTGATTCAATCTTTTACTACTTTTTATATTATGGTAATATCGTAAGACGATAAACTCCATGCTACGATTGACTGTAAACGAACTAAAACTTACTCAATAAAAATTATGTCCTTATTAGTTCTCGAACAATACTTACCGCTTTATTCGTAATATAGTAAGACAGGCACTCTGTAGTCATTCTAACATAGCGATCACGATAATTGGCTTCTTTTTTGGGATCTTTGCGATTGCGACTTCTTTTGGTAAGCCAACCTTCTTTAATAACCTTAGTATCTATTTAGAAATAAAAAGTCCTTTATATTAGTCTGTAATAAATATATTTATACTGTATATAACTAATGGACACTGTATAGATTACGCTCGCAAATTTAACTCCAGACCCATTTCATGAAATGAGACATCCTAAAGTGGATCATTTACATGAACTGTAAATCATTTCATACCTAGCGTATAGTCAAAAGCATCTTCGCAACCTTCAGCACTAGACAGATGAGAGCAGCAAGACCATCGTTCACCTTTAGTTAAAGCCCCAGGGTGAAATTTTTTATCCATTTTATTTCTTAGTCTCATGCAAGCTAATAGAAAATACCATAATGTTAATTTCAAATTGAAAACGTTTTATAATGATTTTATGACTCTTGGACTTTAGCCTTCATGAATTACATAACAGGTAAGAAATTTTTTACTTTACCATTTCGTATTGCATTCAGCCAATCTTCACGATGACTATCGCTTTGAGCTAGTAGATATAAAAAATCATTTTTCTGGCCAATCTATATTTTGAATATATAAATAAGCTCAGTCGTTAGTTTCATTCAATCCAATTGTTATTCCAAAAAAAAGTTTTCTACCACTGCCATTTTTATACATACTTTTATATAGCTAGCAAAGGCTCAATATACTGCACAGTACAGTATATACAGTAGCTTAATCTGTATTTGCAGTGTCGCCGAAAGAAAAGTAAAAGGAGAGATTTACTTCCCGCTATACACTGTTATCTAGCTTATATTTCCATATGTACTATTCCTGAAAACTAATTGAAACTGCACTATTCATTTATTTCATACTCTATTAAATCCAGCCGACATGATTAAAACATACAATCACGGCATTATTCATATAATAATACTACAGAAAATATCTAACTGTTGCACCAAACACTACGTTTCTGAAAATGATTACCAATGCATCACATCTGAGAGCACAAGAAATTGTAAAAATATCGACAGGGTATCAAAAAATAAAAGAGATTTCTACTAACTTGAAAAACATTTTTCTTCTTTTCAAATGTATGATCTTTTACCGATTCAACAATAGTAGCATATTTTAGATGAATACAATCTTTGTAGTTATTCTAGTTGATGACATAGAGAAATTCAAGAGGCATAAATTTAGTAAAATCGATGATAAATAAAGTAAAAAATTTATTTACATCAGTTTGACGCCTTTCTATACTTAAAATGGGATTGATATATTATATTTTAATAAAGTGATTCTAACCAATTTCTCGTTAAGATAATATATCAGGTAATCCTTCGTTAAACGGACGTATCGAGATCGATAATTGGCATCTTTATTGATAGCGTTTCTGTTACGACTACGCTTGACTAGCCAGCCTTCCTTTAGAATTTTCTGCCCTCGTGCAGTTTTTGGTTTATCAGGCATTTTGATCTAAACATTTTAAAGTGAATATGACAATATCAAAAAAATGTGTACAGCTACTGATTTCGCTTACAGGATAATTACTACATTTCCTAACATTAACTTAGAATATTGAAATGTACATATACAAGTACATTATTTCAAATGTAAACTGCTATCTCGATGAATACGAAATCTTACAATATTAGATAACTGATGTGGATTATTGCATAATGCATCCCATTTATTATCCAAAGCTTTCTTATTATCCTTTTCTTGGCGTTTACGCGACATTTTTCCGTCATTTGATTCACTTAAAATGAAGATTCAACTTTAACAGAAAACATCATTTATGAACAAATTTTCATTCTTAAACTTACTTCAATTTCCAACATGCAGAAATAGGAACCATAATATAACCCAATTCTAATGCTGTAGCTTCCAGAAGCCATTGAATAACACATAGTTGACGAAAGATATGTTCTCTATAGTATTGAAAATATTGTTATCATATGGATTAGAGATTTGATAGTAAATAAATACGATCACTCTCCATCAGCTGTAAATACTAAATTATACCTGTCTGATTGGATCGGTGAACTGGCAACACTGGAATAATATGGAGAAAAAGGACGAACTTGAATTGAAGAGCTTTTTCGCGATCTGTAATGCTTGCGATGTAACCTAAAGTTCGGATGTGGCGATTCTGTTGAACGGCCACTATGTTCCTTCGTATCGCCATAAGGTGATCCATCCAAGCTATAATTACGACAAGATTAAGTAACAGTTAGATTGTAATTGATTTCACTCGTATGTGAAAATCATCATTTTTGATTTCTAAACTATAATAACTAGGGTATGTTATTTACAATACGATAAAATTTACTAGTAAACGAAAACAGTGTACTGCACATGAATAATTACAGCTAATATCAAGTTAATTTATGATGTATATATGAAGCCATAAAAAATGAATAACTACTGGTATCACATGATCATATGTCTATGGATATAAGTAATATCAGTTTAAATACCATACGATAAATGTAGTAGTAAATTACAGTGATACTCGTAGATCCGATCCACAACTAAAGCTAGCGCCTAATCATTAAGAATTAATTATTAATACAAATAATCATCATTCCATTGTGATTTTCCAAATTAAAAAAGTGCAACTATTATCTTTTCTAACTAGTATTTCTTACATTTCTAGTATTGTATAGTACCATGACATTAAGAATTATGACAGTTACAGCACAAAGAATTTCCGCTACAGCCTACCTTATTCGCGAATACTCGCCATTATTAGTTTGGCGAGCACTAACTGGTGTAAATTTTACTCCAATCGGACTTGACGTAGTAGATGGCAATTCCAGATTATCTTTCTGTAACGAAGGTGTTTGATACCTATGTCATAAAGCACAAGTCGGATAAAATAATAAATCAGTTAATGATTAACTCTCCCAACATGAGCACTTTTACACTTATTTTTCTAAAGGGATACTTGAATTGGGCAGTATCATTTACTGTAGGGATCTCTCTGACATCTGTAAATAGATAGATATTCTAGAGGCTTACTAAATTTTGCCATACCTTATCAAATAATTTTGGACAACCTCACGGAAACCTATGTCATCATCATCGTCTGACGACGAATCAGGCTCTCCCTTCGATGGTTTCCACTGCTTGTTAGCTCTAGCTTTTGCTTCTATCTCTTCAGTGACTGCCTTTTGTGCCTGAACACGGATTACAATATCGTACAGCAATCACGTTGATATCAATCGAAAATTCAAATCATGATGTTAAAATAATACCGTCGTATAAAATTTCATAATATTGACTAAAGTTAATTTTGTAGCCGAAAATTTTATTACTTTTATTGATATTGTAAATGGGTTTACCTTAGCTTTTTCTTCGTCTTTAATAATTTGAAATAATCCATGCCCAAGCTTAATTTTAGAAATTCGATCACTAGTAATTAAGTATAATATTCTATCAACGAATTAAGATAAAATGCGTACGACTACAAGCTGCATTGTAATCGAATATGAATCGAAAACAGTTTAGATACTTAAAACTACATATTAAAGAGGAACTTATTAAAAAACTGCACTTACCTATCTTTATTGACTAAATCTTGAACTTTTAACAACTTTTTATAACTGCTTATTGTCACTTTCGACTAAAATAAAGCATAACAAAAAAAGGGTAGCGAAACAAATAAATTTATCCAAAAAGATATTTTTATACAATAGAATTTTAGAAACTAACCTTATCGCCTCTAGCGATATCGTGATATAAGCCTTTATCGCTTGGTGTATTTGTTCCTCCATCTTGATCAGCCTAAAGTAGTTAAGTTATTCGATTGTAACATCATTGTAGCTTACACGAATAATGTATCGACGATAACTAATAATTCTTTTTAAACTTACATGATTATTGCTTTGGCCTAAAGCAGATAGTATTAGCTGCTTTTCATCAAGGCACATTTCGCCAACGGGCTTATAAGGACGGTGAGGCACAGATCGATAGCCACACTCAGTGACTTGTTTAGTTCTTCTTTCATGGTTATTTTTCCATTGATCTTTTTTCAAACTAGGGCTAATGTAAGTTGTTGAACTTCTCACTGATACCTTTTCGCCAATACATGACGGCGTTGGTAACGGTTTAATATCGATAATATCTCTTACATTATAATGAGCATTCACGGATAGCATACTTTTTCACCTAGAATAAAAAATTAAAAAATGAAGTAATTTGCTCATAATACAAGCAGTCATTCAACAGCAATTTTATGATCATAAAGAACTTATTTTTTGATTTTATACCGAATCGATATTTATAATTTAACAAACAATGTTATATAGATAATAGAATTTGGTAATGATTCAATCGAAATAACAGTTCAAAGTTCAATTTAAAAGGGCCCAATCTCACTATGATTAAATATAATTAATTAAAAAATGCATGAGCGGATACGTAATTAAGTCGAAGATAAATTAAAGATCACTTTAAATACCTATTCTTCCATTATTTTCGAAACATTACATTATATACTTGTAGTATATGATTACTATTAGTTAAAAGATTTGAATGTTACTCAAAATAAGGTAATGCTGATAAACTTCGATAAAAGCAGATCCTTAAACCGTATATAGATACCCTAATATATTCCAAAATCGAATGCTGAATTTTTTATATAAAAAGAGTCTATTTTTCTCACTAAATTACAATAATAAGAAATACTTAAAAAGTGGAGAAACACTTTTATACTCATGGTTCTAAATTTTATGAACTAATCGTAGATTTTAATTGTAAGTTTTTGATGTAACACTTAACAGACCAAAAAATATATTTCATAAATCTTGAATTAGAATAGCCCCAATATGTAACTTTTATAAAATAGCGCAAATTAAATATTAGCTATTTTGAGAGTTAGGATGCACTATCCCAAAAGTCTATAATTATATCTATTCATGCAATTGTTACATAAAAAGACTGAATAACTTTTAACTCTGACAATAGGATAATTTAAAAATCTAATAGTTAAAGGAGCTAAAGGATTGAACGCCCTATCAGAGAATATAAATAGATAATATTACCTATCCTTTACGTTGAAAAATTTAAACTCCGAGTAAGTATTATTCAAAAATCTCATTTATCCCTTGATACAGTATATAGTAACTATTGTGTATTTTATAATATTTAAACATCATCAAAATAGAATTCGTATTAGCAGTATATTTCGGCGTTTAATAATTGAGGCTTTAGAAAATCATCCAGTATGAACAATTAGTATTGTTATAAAAAACTAACTGCCTGTTATATAAACATCAAATCGTACTTGCTGTAATCAGAAGTACTGACTTTATTTGATATTATTTTTTATCATTATCAAAAATTACGTTAAAACGAAGAGAAGTAAATGAACGAAAACCAACTCAAACAATGATGCTGCAAGGGTACAACATTTCAGCATCATCTAACTATCAAACAAATCTAATGAAATGATTTGAGTATGGATTTCTTTAATTTTGATACATTCAGAAAATTAGAGAAGGGAAGAATGATTTACTATGCCCCTTTGTATGAGCAGTCCTTCGTATGCACCAACATCTTGACTCACATATTAAAAATGACTACGAAATGTCAATAATCCTATTCATATAGCTTCTATTTTAAAATCACCTACTTCGTTTCTTTCTTATATTTATATAAATTACATTAGAAACCAACAACTGCTAAGGAAAAGACAATATGAATTTCAATCACGTTACGAAAATTCTATTACTTTCTCCGAAATTGATCTTGAGAATGAAACAAAATTTAGCATACTCAGTTTTCATCCATGACGTGATCATAATTTCCACGTTGTGAGGGGATATTATTATTGGCGTCAGGATTGTATTAAAATAAGATATGAAGTACTGTATATGTCTTTAAATAGTGCACTGAATGAGCTGTGGATGGAACATTTCTTAAATATGTCGGATATATTATCATTTCTAGCCGATAGTCCGCTCGTAAGGTTAAGCAAATCAAGATAAGTAAGGTATTGTAGAAGATTAACCGTCATGTAATGACAAGTATAAGTGTTGCTTGTTTTCAAATACTAGAATAGTCAAGCAATGGCTTTCACCAAAACCAATAGGCAATGGGCCTGACACTGGTCAATACGTTGTCTGTTTTTAACCTATATATCTATATCTTCCTCGTATGATGTAGCAGTATTCACTTCCCATCTAAAAGTTTGATAAGAAAATTCAGTAGATAGATGGTTTATTATGAGAGCATCTCAATCTAATAGGAAGACTTTTTCAACAATTCTATTGAAAATTTCTGAGTAACTAGTATAACTGAATAGAAATAATTATTACTTCTATTTGACTCTCGATTGGTACACCCTCTTTGATAGGTCAAGGGAATTATTTCTCGAATAATTTACCAGGACATTTATTTAAAACGTAAACATGAGTAAAATTGCAGGTAGTGCACAAGTAATTTACTATCACTCGTAACGCCTATTCGGATAATTTATAAAGTAAACGGTATAGTACTACTTCGAAAGCACGTAAATAATATTTTACATTACTTTAATTCTGTATATAAAATCTTTCACATAACTCAAAACAGCGGTATGCCAAGATGTTAATTACTATCGTATCAAAAAGCTTTATTTCCTATTATAACTATAATAGCCCATCGTAAGAAAATAGCCCATATTCCCTGAATCATTTACCATCGAAAGTCGCTTTACGTTCAATGTTATTAACGATGATGAAATTCATCGAAACGTTAGAACAAGCGTGAACTAACAATACCAATCATTTCCAATTAAAAATAATTAATGGCTATGACTGTAGTTATTACGTTGATATATAAAGTTTGAACACACGCATAAATCTCTTACCTAATTGATGATGATTGGCGTCAAGATTATTGTACAATAATATACGAATAGATAGATAAAAGTTACGATATAAGTAATTGAGCAATTGCAATCGTGCTCTCGTCTTATCGCTTGTTAACACTCAAGATTAATGTTCATTATATTGATGTAACTCCTAGTAATTCTCCATGGCCATAGATCTTAGCATTAGTTGATATCCAAGACAATAACTTCCCTATATGACTTGCTCTTAATATCGATGACAATGATGAATGATTTAATGTTGAATCTTACAACTAATATTGTCAAAAATGATCCAGTCAATTAGTACAGTATACGTGTATAGTGTGTAGTGCTCTATATTATTATCAATGAATTAGATAGTAGCCTTGCAATGTTTCAAGAATATTATCTAGTAGTAGAACAATCGCTATCATTATGGTAAATGCAACGTAAGGAATTACGCAACAATAAAAAAGATGTTTTACATCGGTTGCTATAGAAACGCATGACAACTTACTCACCAATCATTCTGTCGCTTCTTCTTCATATCATTGGATCATTTGTCTTGACACTGTAGGGGTTTGGCCAGTAAGGGAGAGCTTATTGAAAGCTAAAAGCATCATTGTAAATGGAAATTATGCATCTTTGATGTCGATGAGGGAACTGCATACGTAGCATTCTTACATCAAGCGAGTACTATATCTAGATGTAGCTAGGCTATAATTATTTCTTATACTGTTTACGTAGATTCAGAACAGAAACTGCATACGTACTACTTTGACGATTATTTCTAATTAGTATAATTTCAATTAAATTTACAGTATAAGTGTATTACCTCACGTCTGTTTACTTTTAATTTCTGCCATCCATGCTAGTGCAGTAGAACCTAATTAACCCTATTGATTAACACCAGCTACTCCTGCTTCTATCGACTATTTGTGCAATTATAGATAGTAATTAATGTGTCCTGCATTGGGAGGCATCTATTGAAGTCGTTTTCAAGTACCTTGCTGAGAAATAACCATCAACGATTACATGATACACTGTAGACAAACTAAGCATTTTTACAGTATGTCTGTCAATAATTTTAGCTAATTACAGTAGTCATATGTTAAGGAATACAGTGATAGTATGGACAATGTCCTGTACGACTTCGTATAGAAGTTGAAGGTTCGAAAAATCCATAGGGTGGGGATGAAATTCACTCAAATACAGTAAATAACATGTATTAATGGATATATTTTCTATTATAATATGGACTAAATCCCAATTTATCTCCTCATAATAACGATACATAAATTAAATAAATAATTCAATATTTTACCTGAATACAATAAGGTTAAACTTGCAGTGCATCCATTTTCCATGTTGCTTCAACTATTCCGCATATTAATTACCAGTCTAGATACATACGCGGGATGCATGGTTGTTTTGCAAAGGAAATTTACACCTCATCTCGATCTACAGGATAGCCTCTCATATGATACGATTTTCCCACTGTCCTATATAGAGATTACAGATACTTCTGTAGGGTAGCTTTGCCAAGGAAAATTGGATGCGTTGCCTTAGATGTATGCCTTGCGCCAGTAAACTTGCCATGCTGAATAAGCTTATGTAGAAAGGGTCTACTATAAGCACTTTATACATTATTGTTGACAAAGATCTCTAGAAGAATGTCTATGGTATAGGAAAGAGATCTCTCGTAAGTCAAAAGGACTGATACATTGTCAATGTTGGCCATAGTAGATGTAGAGTAGCCGCCTTATTTTTAAAATTGCAAAGCACATCCATCGTCTTCATATTAGGCGCGTTGTAAGATTGCTATAGTAGAGAGGGTACAGTATCGGCTAAACGCTAGTATATAGTATGCAGAACGAGTACCGGTACTAGGGTTTAATATCGGTTCCAAGTCGCATACTTGGTTCTGGCTAGACGACAGTACAGTATACAGTACTTGAGTCCGAGATGCTCATAGACATTCCCTATGAGACGATCTCCAGACGAAGTCTCTGAGCTTAGAGCTCCATCGTGCAGGGTAGCTAGCAGCGTCGAGAAAGAAAATTTAAACACTTCAGGAGCCCTTCTACATCGTCTTAATCACGTTACTAAGATGTTTCCAGAACTTAATTCTCTATTGGAATGTAACAAGAAGAATTTACCCAACGTAATGCTTTACAATACGGCATTCGTACTGCATTAGCCTAGCTAAAATTGGCTATCATATTCTGCTCTCGTCTACTTTATTATTTGTTATTCGTTCATCGAAAGACCGCTTGCGATGCCCAAAATCGACTACTTTAAATACTGTATGCATAAGTACATGTACAGTTAGAGATGCACTTTAGTTTAGCTGCATAAGTATACCGCAGAAAAGGCTTTACTATAAAGTAAATCGACATGTTCTACTGTATTGCTAGCATACTGCTTCTAAATTGCAAGTTACATGAAGTTGCCTAAATTTCATTCATTGCTATCGCATTACTGTACTCCAATACCCGTAGAAGTAAAAAAAGATCTACCTAACTATTCTGTATGCCTCTGACACCATTAGAACAGATTTGTACACTCTATGGTTCTCTACTAGCATGCTGTACTTTACAATAGTTTAACGTCGAAAATGTTGTTTTATTAATTAATGTACGCTACTTACTAACCATTTTGTTCTGTTGCTATTTATTGTAGGGAAAATCGCTGGTCATTATAGATTCTCAAACAGATGGAAGTTTCTTATTGCACCACTTTATATCATTATACATTCAAGGTAAATTTGTAGACTGCACACGACATACAATCAACCGATAAGAATAACCGGTACTTTCTTAACTTATCAATAAATTAAATTTGAATCAAACATTATCCATTTGTATCAATTACATGGTGTGACTTCTTTGATGTATTGCAATCCATCGAATTCATTAATTCGTTATAGTTATGATGACATAATCATTCTCATATTCAATCTCAGGCGGTGGAAAAGTTGTAATGCTTGCTTTTGCCCAGTCTTTCAGTCATTATAGCTCAGTTGCCCAGAAACTAGTAAGCAAATCCAGTCAATATCACCTGCTATATTAAAAAACTCATTCTACATCTCACTCATCATGTCATTGAACAAATCTACCTTTAGGGTATAAACCTAAATTCTGCCTGCGACGATAAGACTTTTGTCTTTTTACCCGGGCTGAAGTATACATTAGATGGAATTATTAATCGAGACGTCGAAAACCCACTTTTGGATACCAGGTATGTGAAAGTACCGTAATGCTTAACTGCAACGACTATATACGTTTTACTTTAATCTATCGATTGTAAACCCACTCAACTGTTGTAAACTACATCTACTCGATCTAACCCTGGATTACCTAAAAAATTTATTACAGCAATTGTAAATCCCTCCATTCTTTATATCAAGCCATAAATTCGGCAATCTCTGCAAATGAAAATCAATCATTGCCGACCTTATTGATTATAGACGACATCAGTACATTGTTATATCTTGGATTTCAACACACGGAAATTTGTACCTTTCTAACTTACTGTCAACATACCGTCTGTAAAAAGGTTATATACAATCATCACTATTTCTTGATACAATCAATTTAACAATATTATCTTGTAAAGAATGCACGCATAGCGCTTTTTCAAAATTATTAACCCTAACCATATTCAAATTCTCTCCTTTACAGACCAACGGTTGTATACTATCTTTAATTCATAATGATTCGGACGTTGAAGATCAGTCAAGTAATCTTTTAAGTAGATGGTTCCATCATTTTGCCGACATAGTTTTGGAGTTAGAAGGTTTACAAAGTGGGAGATCTAAGGATGTCCACGGTCAGGTCGGTCTTTTATAACGTATACTAGTATAAAATATCTATGTGTGTAAAGTGCAGTTGTAGTTCTAATCGAATTTCCTTTATTACCTCGTATGTATTATACTGTGGAAAAATACTGAATTTCAATTTTCTTTGGATTGCTAATAACTCCTAGCTTAAGGTGGTTTTCACGAGAAGAGAGCAAAATGATTTGCATTCACTATCACCACTTAGTAGATGCGTTCACTATAGAATTCGTGACAAAGGAGTTTCATTTTTTGCATTGGGAACCTCACCAGCCATTTTATAATGTTTCAACAAAACATTCTATATATAAAGCTGATTTAACTTGAGCATATGTATATATACTTATAAATAACATAATTTTTCTTTAAAGTAAATTTGTATTGGCCAATAAAATAACCAAATTATTTATTGTTCAATATTGTTGTTGCATTAACATAAATTATTATCTTTTGCGATATTATTTACAAAATAGAAATAATTCTCAATTTCTATATAATATCAATTATCTTATAACAAATTGTCATACAGAATCGCTTACATGTTCCTTTTTAAGGTCTTTCCATTGCACTATAATTACATTAAAATCTAGTTTTCTCGTTGCACTTGGAGACATCACAAACAGAGGTTCGTTATCCATCGGAATCATAGATATGTCATCGAGCCAATTTAATGTACAAGGTTCAATCACTTCAAAAGTATCACTGAAAGAAATTGCAGCTCGTTCTAAACCAGTCTTTGTGTCAATAATACGCAAAATATCTCCCTCAAATCTTCTGTAAAGGATCACTGTTAAAGCGCTACCAAACGAGACCAGTCGTTTATCTCCCTCTGAAGGAATAAATCTAAAGTAAAATCCCACATATTTATTCATATATCAGTACATGAGATAGTAACGAACTAGCTAGGGTACAGCACTGTTTCAGTAGTTAAAGACTGCAGTACAGCATACGTGGGTCTCAGCTATAAATTTGAAAGCTGAAGAAGTACGTACTTGATACAGCATAGCGAGGATATACTCCAAAAATATAAGCCACTAGCTGCTGCACACGCAATCACATGACCGTTGAATTGCATTGTAGGATAAAATTGGTCGTCCTTGTTTAGAGTTGTGAGTGGATAGATTAACTTCTCGCGAAACGATTCAGCAATAATTGAGATCTATTTGAAAAAGTATTAACTGAGATTTCAGTAATACAATCGTTAAAGAAATAAAATTGAATACAGCATATTTTCAACTTTCGTAATAGATAATATCTCGCACACCGAAAGGATATGACGCGTTTTTACAATTAGCAGCAGATCTTCCTTATCGAATTTCACGCCATTAACTAAAGATTTGGCTAGTTTTACCTATATGAAAATTCATACTTTAGCCCAATCTTTGAGGTCTAGAATGTGCTACTCTAATATTTAAGTGCATCACTTGTTACATCTGAGATACATTATTACCTCTAGAATCCACTCGTCGTGACGTAAAGTTTTTAGTAGGCTTCCTGATGATAATTTCCAAATTTTAACTGTCTTATCCGTGGAGCCAGTAACAAGTAAATCTTGGTCTAGATCATAATCTAGGCAGTATACTAGTAATAGAATTTGATGCAAAGACAAAACAAATCATAAGGTTCTAAAATCTGCTCATACATCTCTAACCGTATTATAATAGAAGTGTTTTAATATCCCAACTAAGAGAAAATTAAAATTGCAATAGGAAACTGGTGAAACAATGAGATTCAATTGTTGGTAGGAATGGATTATTATGGATAGTATTGGGCTGATACGTTTTATTTGTAAATATAGTCCTAATAAACCATGGATAAGAGGATTATGCACTGATCATAACATACATATATACACGTATAAGTCTGAAATAGAAATTTGACATTAGGTAAATTAAGCTCCTTTAAATTTTAATTTCGTTGACATGACTAGCTACTAAAAAACGACAAAATGTGTCATTATACTGTACAGTATACAGTATTCTACAATAAATTTCAAGTTCATCAAGAACTGCATTTGAGATTTCAATATCATATAATACAATAATCAACAGTACAGAAAATAACTTCTATTACTGTAATGCAAGCAGAAGAACAATTACGAACGTAAAACAATTCTTAAATTATTTGTATAGACAACTAGATTTCGAAACGAGTTATTATGCAATATTATTACTCACTGCGCTCGCATAAATCATAATTTCATATACAGTAAATTAACCTGCTCCAGTGTGTCCTTTAAATCTTTGGATTAGCTGGCCACTTTGCCAATTCCAGGCGGCTGCCGATGTATCGAAAGAAGCCGTCAAAATAATATTTGCATCACACTTTAAAGCTGCACATGAATGCGTTTGAAGGACATGATTGCAGTGAAACTGATCATTTATTTTTCTCCAAATGCGTACAGTCCTATCATCGGAACCTACACATAGTATATAATGCAGTAGAATAGAGAATTAATACGTATATCAATTCAATATTATGCTATAAATTTTAGTTTACACATACTGTGTTAGTCATAACTTTGCTACAGTAATGATAGAAACAAATCGAATAATAGCATTCTTCATTGTAACCTCGTAAAAGGGTAGATATAGGCGTAGACTTCTAGGTACAGTATCTAGAAGTCCATGGTACAGTATAGGACAGTAACAATAATCGCGTTTGATCAAGAGCTATAATATCATAACACATGCAGTTTTTGTATTCTACAATCGTTGTCCTAAGCATAGTCATCAATAACAAGATATCGAACATATTTTCACATCGTCACACGTCATGCATCAAAGTATGATTACCACTGATAAATTCTAGATCCCAGACAAATATTCATACCTGTAGCTAGTAAAGTTTGGTAATATTTTACAGCTCTAACAGGCAATGTATGACCAGCTAGTTTGGTTTCAACATAACAGCATGTATTCGATACCGCCTTAAGCTTCGTCCTGCATTGCAGATATAATTTTCTCCAAGCGCTGTAATGCTTATTCTTGAACAAAACATTATCAACATTAACTCCAACGTCACTACAGGCACTTTTCCATAACGGAATACAGCGACAGATAACTTGATTCCATTTTCTGCTTACTAATCGGCATTGCAAGGCATGCTCGATTTGGACATAACGCAAGATTTTATAAACTATTTCCAACGGTAAATACTGCAAGAAATCGCAGTGTAGAACTGGACTAAATTGATGCCAAAGGGAAAATAACTGAGAAGGTCCACAAAGTTCTATCAATTCCTTCAAGCAGATAGTTTTCTCTTCGTTTTTTAATTCTGAAAAATCTTTGCAAACTGTTTGCAGCCAAACCTTAAATGAGTCTGTCATATTGCCTAAAATCTTCCTACTAGACTATGTAGACGTTGACTACGTTGCGTTATTTACTGATACCATAATTCTAATAAATTTACTTCATCGTCTGACGCAGATAAACAATATGACAGCATGCATCCTATAATATTGCATACAAAAATTGATCAATATTGTATGAAGCCATTATAAACTAGTAAAGGGCTCACCAAAGACCTGAAACAGATCGATATAAGATGCATCGAAGATCAAGCAGCTCCTTGCACCGAGCTTAATAACCAGTCGTTCGTCGTTTTGTTACATGCTTGTGTACTGTACTGTATATCTGCTACCGTAGTTGATGGGTGACGGGTGGATACCATCTGTACGTCCCTTCCCATCCATGACTTTCAATGACTGTACTGATTGATATTATGTACTGTACTGTACTGTTGATATTACACTTATACAAAACAACTGTCGTAGAATAATGCGGCGTTTGTAGTAGAGCGTAGAGATTTGTGCGATATCTATTTTGCACACTTTTTTTAAGCGGTACTCCACTTCTACGAAAAGAAGCTACACGAGTATGAGTGGATCCGTTGATATAAAAAAGAATTCTATGAACTGAAACAGGGAATACTAAAGAAAGAATGGATCATGGCATCTTATCGGCTACTGTGGAAATACTCTTTTAGGTTTGTATATTTACTGGCTTTACTACCAACTATCAACTGTACACTTGTACACTACAATTATGTGCATTGAATTAGATCCCTCGATTTTTATGCAGTACTGTTACTCAGCGTATAACGAGGGCGTTTAACAATCTTTGATGATCGCTTTTACATTACTGCTGCACCTTTAATTCATGTCAGACTGCATACAATAACGCTAATTGTATATATATATATATATCATGTATATATTATAATTATTAATTGTATAAATACTGTACAAGTGTACATAAATATTATTAATTACCTTGTTTACTGTAATGTCGAGAACATACAGTATAATACTTATATTTCTGTAATGAATTCGCTAAAAAAAATAGGTAATTATATCTGTATGTATAATATAATTATTATTACTGTCGTCAAAATGTATTCTACTGAAGCAAAATTAGACATGAAATAAGTCTAAATAATTGAAGTCTATAGCCACAATATTCAATTTCCGAATTACAATCTTCAAATCATAGGATGATAAAATTTGAAATTTGCGAGAATCCTCTTTATAATAAATCTTATGCGATGGTCTAATATTTCAATACTGCCTAATACAGTATATCATTCGTAGGGTATATTTTACTATAGTATACTATATATCAGCATTAGAAATATCAAATTGATCAATGCACAATTCATTTATCTTTTCACTGGGGTATATTTTACAACATTGTACTACACATCAGTACTACAATGAATATGCCACAATACTGAGTTACAGTGGAAATTAATAGTAAACATAGACACAGATATAGAAATATAGTACTGACATAGAGGGCCTTTTACTAAGCCATAATATTCAATTTCCGAATTAATAATTATATATACAGCATAGATATCGATGTATAGGTAACATAATTAATCTTATAACTTGCTGCAAATACCATTCGATTATCGTTGTGTTTTCCAAAGTAAGAGATTACTCCGAGAATATAATTGTAGCTAGCACTTTATTATTAATTACCGGTATTTATAGACTGCATACTCTGTCTTACTTATCATCTGATGAATTTCGTCTTATCACATGTTACAGGGGTGACAACTAATATTACCTTAAAAGTATTTAATAAGAATCATTGTATCGTACCGATATCTAACAATTATGTTATTCTTATTATGAACTCTATTGCGCGAATAACGCTAGAAGTTCTGCACATCCAGTATAGCTACGCTATCCTTATTCTTATTCGTATAAAGTAGATGGATAATCGTTAGTATTGTTGGTCTACCGATGAGAAAAAATATTTTATTTACTATGGTGCTATACAGTAGTGTTAGCCAATACAATGAACTCATAATAAAATCTGTTTTATTCCGAATCATATACAATTATAATTTAATTATAGAGAAACTCGAGAAACAAGTTTTATTACAATTTTAATATTACTATGTTTAGTGAAATACATTAAACTCTCATTTGTAATTTATTCATGGCAAAATTTGAACAAAAATACGTATCGTACGACCGCATACATTATAAACTGTAGAAGCACAGGAGTATAGTAAATCGAAAAGCAAGCATCTTAAATTACTGTATCGTGTATGAGCTTAGATCACTGTGCATTACCAGCTACTAGTGGCGTGTATCAATACTTCATTATGCAGTATCGACATGACTGCGCTGGCATTTCATAACATTACGTAATCCTTCTTCAAACTTAATTCCATTACAGAAATCAAAAAATAAGCTGATTGGTATATCATAATCGAACTTTCGACTTTCTAGCGTAATAATGGATTTGCCTACATAGGTAAAGACGATGTGAGCGACAAAATTCCGATAAAATATATGTAAACGTCAAGTCTTTGTAAACCCATTGAAGCATATGTGACCTCCACAATTAGTAAATAGAATTATCATTTTATTTGTAAATATAACGGCATTTCACTTTACAGTATAAAAGTAGATTATTTTCTAATCTTGATCTATTTACCTATAGAGATTATAATCAAATAGTGGCCAGGTATTGTATTGCATGCTGTATTATGGGCATACGTCGATTTAAAGGGATAGTCGTTAGGTTACAGCTGGGGAATACTGTGAAATAAGTTCGAAACCCTTGCTGTACGTGCGGTAACATATATTGTTGTTAATCAAGTATTATATTATTTACGCGATGTTGTTGGCAAGTTGACAGATAGATGATGATCATAATGACCAGAAAAGCTGTGCCATAAATTTAGCCTCTATGGATAATTAGTGCCAAGGTTCAACTTTTTACTCGAACTGAAATCTGTTGTTATACGATCACTTGCCATAATTACCGTACAGAAAAATCAAAAAATTAATTATCTAATCTTTGAATTCATGTAAAATAAATCGTAAAATAAAGTCTTTTTATTTAAGAATGACACATCTCCAAAATAATCAGACAATTCAGCTTACTAAGAATTATGTATACGTATTATGCGATGGTTACTCGTCATATTGATTTTTTATGATTAAATTATTGCATACGTATCTCATTCCATATTTAATTTGATTTTTATTATTATATCTTTTAAATTTGAGTAAGTTATTATGATATTTTTTATTAAATGCTATGCAAATCTTCCATATGTTCACTATAATTACATGTTGAAAAATTAATTTACTCGTTATACGTAGTTTACCCTTCGAATTATTCATAAATTAAATTCTGCTTTCAGGAGGTTTTCTTTCTATGATTTATATCCAGCGACACAGACGTACACATATCAACTCTTACTGTAATTTAAATAACTATCCCATAACTTCAATATAAAGCATGATACGATTTTTTAATTAATAGAATGTTTTCCGCTATAAAATAAGCTATCATTCTTAGCTTAATGCCTTTGAATAGGCCTGTTCTTAATTAGATTTTCTAAGAAGTAAAATGATTGAAAACAAAACTCTCGTGAAGCCAAGCAGTGAACTAAACTTCCTATTTATTTTTTATTATTGATTAGCATATGGCTAAAATGAATAGCGTTATAATGTAAGTACATTTTACTTACATAAGGAATATTAAGGATACGATACTAATATAATATTTTGTTACTCCGAAGGCGGAACATCAGTTATTGGCGCCGTCTAAAAATTTGTCGTAATACGATGCTTTTGAATTCAAGTTAAATAAATATTGGGCCATTCATTATTCAGTTACTGTAGAATACAGTACAGCAGAAAGACTACAATAATCATGATAATCAATAATAGATGAACTTCTTCATTCATTAACGATACAAATGCCTTTATACTAGCATACTTATAGTGAATGTTATCATATAAACATCTTTAATTCAAAATTTTTTATGTAGAGCTCACTTTCCTTGCCTACTAATATCGTTTTCTTCGATTAAAAACCACATTAAACTTACGCCACTAAAGGGATTGATGGTAGCCAGTAACATTGGACATTAAAAGAACAATAATTGATATGACGATTACATTTACCCAGATGCTAATTAACTTTCGGACATGTATAATGGATGCCGGTCACAAACCGGATTTGGTTTAACGGTTCTTTAATCGATTCTTCGTTAATTTATCATTTCGAAAGAGTTGCTTGTATACGAACAATTGCTCTATAAACGTTCAATTATATTATTAGTATTATCTGTAAGGTGATTAATGATAGCGTAGTGCCTTTAGGGGTATTATCTGAATGGCCAACTTTACTGCCTATGTCAAAGTTCAACGTATAAATTGGATCATCACTAGAAATCACTACTGTACTTTGCTACAAGTCCATTGGCTTTCGTAATATTTACTCGCGTATACGCGTATACAGTAGTATACAGTAAATAGCATGAATTCGATATTTTCTCATATGTAAGTCAATCGATCTAATGCTAGAATACCTTCTTCCAAGCTTATAGACACACTAAATTTTAACGGTCAATTTATATCTATAGTACTACCCAGTTTATAAAATCATGCCGTAATACATGAAAAAATCTCTAAATAATAACTGATGTAGTTTTGGTATACTCAAACGTTTATTATCTACTGGTTACAGTATATAAGATAATTTCTGAGAAAACTAAGGTAATTACTGCAAACTTTAATAGATCCGGCTTCAAGTAGAATAGGAAAACAATTAATACTATTGTCTGTTTTGTTTGTGTAATGTTTTCATTATAACTTTTAGTATAGTACTGAATCATTTTAGTGGACGCCAAATGGCCAATATACTGATACTGTAGTTGTTATCAATTTTGGATTTGACCTGATCCACACAGTCTACTTTACCATTGTACAACGTTTAATGTATGGTATACTGTACTATCATGGTATCACGTATATGTATATTCTTCCTTTGTTGACTACAACTAGGAATAAAC